GTTGTACTTCGTTCACTAACCCTAACCCTAACCCTAACCCTAACCCTAACCCTAACCCTAACCCTAACCCTAACCCTAACCCTAACCCTAACCCTAACCCTAACCCTAACCCTAACCCTAACCCTAACCCTAACCCTAACCCTAACCCTAACCCTAACCCTAACCCTAACCCTAACCCTAACCCTAACCCTAACCCTAACCCTAACCCTAACCCTAACCCTAACCCTAACCCTAACCCTAACCCTAACCCTAACGGAGAACGTTAGCCCACAATAGCCCACGATCTATATAAGGAAGGAAGTAGACTTAAGAGGAAACAAAGTTCTATATTCTTTCGAGTAACTGATTTAAGTACACTTAACCTTGCTTAGTTATTAACAGGCACTCACTATTTTGACCCTAACGTAAGCCGAACCCTCTAAAACACGTCCTGATATCAAAATGTCACAAAACGCAAGTTGTAGCTCGCGTGGCTAGTTTAAATACCGACATGTAGATAATATGCGGCCCGGTTAGACGCATGGCAGCAGTCCAGAAACCCCCGACTCTCCAAAATCCATCACCTGGCGAGTGCTCCTTGATAATCCACCGTTTTTCTTTTTGGCTATAATAGTAGTCCCATCGCAGGGCCTTCCCACACGCGTATGTTGGCCCTGTGCCGATTCCCTTGTTATACTAGTCGCGCTTAGCGCACCAGTAATGCAGGTTAGCCTCGGACAGGGTGACCAGGAGGAACCCGATCCAGAGACTTGATTTCATACTTTCAGACAAACCATCAGCAGGTATTTCAGTTTATATATAGTAACGAGAGGGCTCTAACTTAGGTCTTTATATTCTGGGGCAGATGGAGATGCCGAGGTAGAGAGAAAGGCAAGTCGAATATTAAGCTCAGGTCGGCTACTAAGTTCTCGACTCTAGTTGTCCTCTAAAAAATATTTTAGAGGAGGCTTTTATACTAGAACTTGCTTCTAAGGGTTTTCTTACATATATGCCTATTCTAATAACATTTGGCCGTCTTATGTTATGATTGATCCTTGGACTAAAGCTTTATATTACCTTTGAGACTCTAAACATAGCTGAGATCAAGGCCGCTTTAACGCTTCAATGACTTTCCACGCGTATTATAACTACCTACCCCACACCTTAGAGCCGAGATTTCCCACTTGTCACTCGACGATGGATGGCCATACTTTAATTTAAGCCCTTCCACCGACGTAGTAGTAGGTAGGTAGGACGGCCGGGATGAAGAAAAAAAGCCGAGTTACCCTAAGGGTCCAACTAGCAGGAATCCCAATTGGCCGATAATTACCCAGTATGCCACCCTAAACCAGCTGCTTAGGCATCACACCTGGGAAAATGTGAAGCGACAGCATCGCGCCTTGAAAATGTCGACTGATAGCATCATACCTACAGAAATATCAAGCAGAATATATGAAGGCAAACGACAATTGAATAATCACTATTTTAACAGTTACATGAAAGACAAATCAATATTCGAAGGTGGGTATTTATCTTTGCAACGATATGGAACGATGATGATAGGCTGGATAGTCTTCGGCTGAATTTGATTTTTAGACCGTAACATACCTTCTCGTCAATAGTCCTGCTAGTTTAAACCCTTATTTAAACCTGCTATACCTCGGCACTTCTGGTATACTGTTTATCATAAGTTTAGCTTTAGTATTAGTGATAACCCTACCACCGCTCACTCTCGGGGTGCTGTTCTTCACGGACGGCCTTCGTGGCAGGTGCGGGGGTGGGCGGATAGAATTAGGGAATTATCTATATAATTCTAAATGGTGATTAACTAGCGTCGAGGAAAGACGCTCGCCAGGTTTACACCTCGATAAATGTAGCCCTCTAGGCATTTTTAATAAAGGATAGGTCTCCTAAGATCCATTACCTTATATAGTGGCCATCAGATCAGTAGACCAAGCCATTAGTAGCGGTGATTTGAATTGTATTAGGATTTTCCTTCTATGCGCTCATCTTCTGCCACGTCACGATTGTGACCTCAATATTTCCCTCACCTGATTAAGCATTTTGAAGGAGCCAGCGGGGCCTGAGCGGCAAGGGTACTTGACGACGTGATGCCTAGGATGAACCCTTTTGGTAGTGATATTGCAGCTCCTCGGATTGACTGATACGGAAGGGCGGGGTTGGTGATGAGGCCTGCAGAAAATATTTCGATATGGTTCGCTGAATCTGTTATGACCCCCAACCCCCGCCAATAAACTATATGACCCGTCACATTCATGCATTGAACCAACAGGATTTTTTTAACATATAAGTTCCCTGAGGCTCCGCCATTCCCGCGTGTGGTTTCTTTATATCCCATCTCCGCACAAATCCCGCTAGTACAGGTCTCGGTCTTTAGCAACATAATGAGCAGTCCAAAGTCCAAAGTGTCCTCTTCGGCCTCTAGCCCCAGGCCAAATGTGCCTGCAACATCCATTCCCATTGTAGTTGTGCGTTGTAGCGTCTTATGTCTACGGAACTCTCGGCTCGACAGCATCTAATAATTGCTTTGGAATGTCTTGTTAGGATCCCCATCTTGAAGACATAGATGATGTAGATGATGGAGCCTCGGAAATCAGGTATCGCTCTTCCTTTGAGCTATGTCTCTCTGATTTAACTTAGAGCTTGCTAATATTATCCGCCCTAAACAGTGAATTCGAATCAACCGCCTCCCTATCTGAGAGTATCCGTGACTTTCGCAGCATCCATGGCCGTACCTATGGTAACTCTAAGACCACAGAGTATTGGTAAGGCTCATGCCCATAATCTGTGACTTCTATCACACAAGGCTATATAAGCTAGGCAATCGACCTATGGTCCTGACATTGGTTCTAGGGCCCCAAACGATGAGCAGCAAAATATTGGGCTGGATATAACGTATGAAACTTGAACCGCCATCTTAAGCCTTCTAAGTAACCTCATTTTGTAGGCACCACTATTTGCTCCTCTTCTTCGACAATAAATTATTCCATGCGCCTATCGGCGACAACCCTCAGGTTTCCCCCTGCTAACGCCCTCCTCGGTGTTCGTCGACATGACAAGTTTATATTAATCTAACTATTTTATTTGATTCTTATAGTCTGTGTTAGATGTGGGGACTGGCACCGGTATATGGGCCATGTAAGTCCAGCCGACCAGCCGCCGTCCTCATGGCTTTCTGCGCTAACGCTAGTCCACTAGTGACTTTGCTGATCAATTCCCGTCCGCCCGTATCATTGGCACCGACATCTCTCCCATCCAGCCAGGGTGGGTACCGCCTAACTGTGAATTTCATATTGACGACGTCCATCTTGATTGGACCTGGCCTTCGGACCATTTCGACTACATCCACATCCGCGATCTTTACGGTAGCATCGACGACTGGTCTGCCCTTTATAAAAAAGCTTTTCATCACCTCAAGCCTGGCGGCTGGTTTGAAGATCTGGAACTTGATATTCGTGCACACTCAGATGTACTCACAGACCCTGACCACATCGTTCACCGCTGGAATGCGGTCTTCCAAGAGGCCGGTGAAAAGACGGGTAAGACATTTAAAATCGCAATTGGCTCACGCATGGGAGATTTAATGCATGAAGCTGGTTTCGTCGATATCACTGAGCGCAGGTTTCGACTTCCAATTGGTGCCTGGAGTCTAGATCCTAAGCTTAAAGAAGTTGGGCACTTCGTATTTGCATTCGTAGATGGTGGTATCGAGGGCTTTGGGCTCTACTTACTCTCACAAGTCATGGGCTGGAAATACGAGGAGTGTCAGTTGTTTATTGCACAGATGAGGCACGCTGTGAAAAACAAGAAACACAACCTATACTATGAGATGTGAGTGATAGAAATTATATACTTTCAACGACATTTGTTGTATATTAGCTAACTCTTAGAATAGGACTCTAGTGTATGGGAGAAAACCGGAGGCCTAAGCTATAAGTTAAATAATAGAGAGAGGGTTAAGCTTTATTATTATTTTATAATATCAACTAAAGCGCGCTATTTTGCTGAAAGCTCTCCTATAAAGGATCGATTATATAGAGGACTTTAACTTCTAATATAGTTGTTTTCCACTAGTTAATAGTGTAATTCTAGCTAAATTATATACGTATAAATCTTTGTTTTTCTTATAGATTTACTAAATAAAGGGTCGAAAGGTGAGGGAGGGTATATCGGTTCTCCCATCTACGAAAGACGGGCTAGGCATACTAGGTCCCCATACCGTCACACTTTATAATGAAAAATTAGAATTAAAACTAGATTTTTAGCGTCTCTATAAAACAAGATCGAGGACTTCTGATAACTACCCCTAATCCGCACGTCGCTAGCGTTAGTGGTGGTAGCTGGCGAACAGGAGCCATCCTCCCTCCTTGACAATCTCTACTATAGAAGAGATAGCCTCTCATATTACGTCGAGGTTATATTACGCGGCTACGCTATTCTATCGTAATTTATCAAAGGTGTTGCCTGCGGCGACGGCGGCCTGTCTCACTCTAGGGCTAGATTAGCAAGACTATCAAATTAAGGTATTAGCCTCTCGCTCTATACTAGAGAGATTAGTGTCGGTCGGAAAAAGGCTAATGATAGGTAAGTTATATCGCCGCCGTATGGAATGATGTCTATGCTCTGACCGGACGAATGCAGCCGCGACCAACCTATCTCATCCTCTTAAGAATAGCATAGCTAGGAAGGCGATCGGAAACAAACTCTGACACATTATGATCTTACGTCTAATAAGTTTTTTTCCTTAGTTTTAGGATATAATCCTTCCGTCTCTAACCTCACCCCTGTCTCGTGTAATAATAGAGGAGAGACGGAGATTTGTCGAGGTCGGACGGCACATTTTGGTGGGTGGATATTGGCACGACCTTCCTGAGGGCTACTGGGATCCACATTAGGTAATCGTTCCAAGGTTCTATTCGTCAGCGCAAATCCAAGACGAGTTGGGCGAGAAACTCATAATGACGATTGATATATCCATTCCTTCACCTTAAAAACTTCCAATCTAACCACTCAGAGATGTACTGGCGCGCAAGCTCCCTCAGGGTGGGATGCTCAGCCCTGTGCCCTAGTTTAGATTGGGTAAGATGCAGCGCTGCCCCGGTTTTCCTAGACGCCAAGTTGGATGCCGCACTTGTCCTGTCCATAACAAACCAAGTTTTACCCCACCATCCACGTGCCGCAGCACCGAGGCACTGAAGGGCAGCGTCGGTTCTTCATCCCCTCATATTCTCGCCATGCCGCCACCAACTATCGTTTCTCAAATTCTCGTCCGCTTTATACACATCTACAACTCTCTTCGGTTTTTGACATCGACAGCATGGAAGCACTTATAAGCCAAGCTATACAAGATAGCCTGAGGTTGCGCAAAACGTCAGTCCCATGGAAGGACGACGAACCTCACCCACAGTCGTACTACGCATTCGATCTCACGGCTGCTTCCTGGGTCGCTAAGTCGCCTTCTAAGGATGTGCCCCCAGATGCAGGCGAAGGTGTGATCAGTAATCTAAAGCTTTACAGCTGGAACATCGATTTCATGCTCCCGTTCGCCGAAGCTCGCATGAAGCCAGCACTCGCTCACCTTGGCAACCTGGTTGGTTCGCACACACAAGATGACATGTCAATCATCTTCCTCCAAGAGTGCATGCCGTCGGATCTAAAGACTATCGCTTCGACGCCATGGGTTCGAGAGCGGTTTCACCTAACTGACTTGGACACAACGAACTGGGCAACCACTCACTACGGAACTGTAACTCTAGTCGATGTCCGTCTGCCTATCTCGGCCGTCTTTCGTGTGCATTATTCCAAGACGCGCATGGACCGTGATGTCTTATTCACAGATGTGTCTGTTGGGGAAACAATACGGTCCGTCTCGGCAACACGCACCTTGACTCGATGGCCTTCAGCCCACCATTCCGCCCAGATCAGATGCTCACCGTAGCTCGGTACTTGCGTGGAGAGAACATACATGCAGCGTTAGTTGCAGGAGACTTTAATGCGATCGAGCCGTTTGATCGAACTCTTCATACTGAAAACGGCTTAAAGGACGCATTTCTGGAACTAGGTGGGAGCGAAGATACTGATAGCGGCTTCACCTGGGGTCAGCAGGCAACTACCAAGCTTCGTGAACAATTTGGGTGTTCAAGGATGGATAAAGTCTTCTTCTGTGGCACTGCGGAGGTTGTCAAGTTTGAGAGATTTGGTGCTGATGTATTAACGGAAGGAGAGAAAGAGAGAAGTGAAATCATGGCCTTTGGGTTTGAACAGCCATGGGTAACAGATCACCTCGGAATTACTGCTGATATAAAAGTCCCCGTGGAAAGGAGTGAGAGCCACCTCTAGGACAATGACAAAAGGAGGATGGCTATATTAGTAGAGTGTTCAACAATATTTAGTTAGTGGCTTATATTGACTTGGCATAGCTCGATATCCTGCCTATACACTTAAGGAGATGCATCTATATCTCTAGACATGCTTAACTATATTAAAGGGTTTGGTCTTCACGACGGTTTAGTGTTCACTTAATCATGTAATTAAAACGTCTAAAGGTGGTAGGGCGATCTGTACCTTAAAGAGCGTTCCCGGAGCGGCTCAAATACTCAACCTAGGCGTTCCGGAAACCTCTAGGCGAGCCTTGTCGCCTGTCCCGCGTAGCTATAATGTCTACGTTCTCAAAGACTCTCGTGCTCTAATACGTCAGGCCGTTTGCTTAGCCTACGGCCGCCACCACAATGTTAGCTTTGCCTCACACAACATGCGGCATATATCGTATGTCCTCTAATAAGTGAACCAAATGTTACAAGCGCGAAGAAAGGTTAATCTAAGATCTATAGATGGTACTAGTCCCACGCTGTCATTCCATATGTAGAATATAGGCTATACACTATAGCAAGCCATTTGTCACCGTGCTACCTACATAATCCTTCATGCTTTAGCCAAGCATGCTCGCTGATATTTCGACTGATGATAGTGTAAGCGAGCTGCTTTATTGACAATATATGGTTAACAACAGTCTCCTCTTTCCGTCGGTACAATATATCAACGGACTCGATAAACTAGGGACGTTGATTATCGTTAGAATGCTGACGCTTGAGCCACCACTAAAGTATTGTGTAGTGTCAAGGAGCTAGTATCTCTAATATAATTGATATAAGCCTATAGACCTAATGGCGCCAAAGGGGTACTCGAGTCCATGACAAAAAATCATTTGTAAGTGCGGAGGAAGTTGGTCTATAGTGCTGACCTCTAGCCTCAAGTAGGGCCTGGAATCCTAGTGCTAGGCCACAACACGACAATTGCATTTACATGCTTGCTATGGAATGGCCCGTAGGAAGAGAATTGGCAGCAAAATGTATAGGGTTCCCATCTATGATCATTCTCTACGATTGGAGAATCTGACTATATGAAACTCAATCGGTTGTTGCCTCTATATCTCTGAGACCCTCACAGCTCTTTTGTGGCGCACGATATGACATAGTTCTCGACCCTTAAACAAATCGTTCTCTAAATAATCTCGGGGTTCTGCCTCTTACCATTGATCTCAGGGCTTGGTTCTTAGCGTTGATGCGCAAGGAGTGATTCTTCGCTAAAACCCCCATTCCTCGGAACCATAATGTATCGCAAACTGAGGGTCGGGGAAATTTGTAAAGTTCGTTCCATCCGGCTCAAACTGCCATACTTGGTCCCCTGCGAATCCGGAGTGGATGAGCGCATCCTGCCATGGAAGAAGGGGCTCGATATGGCCGTCCCTCTTACCGGCTCCGTATTCCTCCAATATAATTGGTTTGTCAAACTACAGCAATGTTAGACAGCCTCGGCATTGGTTTCAATGTGTAAAATGCGGTAGCTATGTAGTAAATAGTAGCATAGAAATGTAAAGGGTGTGAGAAAAACCCTAACAAGGCTAAGCCTTACCTGTTCAGCAAGCTTATCATGATCCTGGATCCACTGGATTCCCCATTCATAAGGGTATGACCAGTGGTCGGGCCAAACTAGTCATAAGTTAGCGCTATAGCCTCTAGAGTTGGACGACAGTGTAGTTTATAAACTCACGATGGATAGTCCCATAGTCTATCGTTTCAACTCCCATGATACCCACCCAGTCGACTCCGTTTGCACCACTATACCCATGACCCTTATCTCCGTACCCTTCATCTCTCTCACGAGGTGTCAGCCATCCTTCGTCTCCCATACTGACCATATGTCTTGGATCTAATTGCTTTATGAAGGAACTCATTGATTTGGCCCAATCCACCAATCTTTGCATCCCCTCTGTGTCGCAGCCTTCGCACCTCGGTTCGTTTCCTATTTGCCACGAAAACACGGCCGGTGAATCTCTATACCGCTCCACCATGAACTTCACATAGTCTCTATAGACCTCCTGGGCTTTAGGAAACTCAAACCATCGTTCCGTCCATGTGGCCGAGTATGTCTTAATATATAGTGGGGCGCCACCATAGTCAGACCACTGATTAAAAGAGGAAGGACAAGCTTTAGACCAAGTTCTTCGCAGCGGCTCACGAGGCGATCGAAGCGATCGAGGCCGTCGGGTCCGTAGTTGATATAGCCTCCAGTCTCGTTTAAATAATGAAAGAAGACGTTCATAGGAGCGGGCTCGGATCCCTTGGGGTTTGGGAGCTCGTTGATCTCGCCGAATGCCCAAACACGGATGAGCTCGTAACCGCTCTATGTCTTACAAGTTAGAACATGATTTGATGTATGCGGCCTGCCCCGGACACCAGTGAAAGTGATAGCTTGGTCGCCAACCCATCTCTGCGCTTTCACGGGCAGTGTTTGTGATCTGACATGGTAGCGCTATCAAGGTTGGAAGCCATAAGTCGACATAAATTCTCGGTCACGCGAACACGTTTGGGAGAGGAACTAAATCATGCCAGGAACAACCATGGGGGCAGCGACTTGCATCTATAAGTTGAGACAATGTTATCTCCAAATCGCCCTCATCGAGTCGATTCAAATACCACGCATTCGTCCCGCTCATGTATTTGACGGTGCCATTTACTTCAAAAAGCCGACCGGATGGTTTTGCGAAGGCTTCGTCAACATGACCGATCGGGTACTTTGGCGGTATCTGAGGATCCTTTGATGACCGCAACTCAGCTCTAATTATTGGAGCTAGGGCGACTAGTTGAAGTAATCTTCGAGCTATACTGGGCCTCATCGCGACTCGAAGGACAGGCTGGACGGTGCGGGTGTGATACGGCGCCTAGGAGACTGCGAGATGGGTAGAATCTAGGTAAAAAAAAAAGCCCAGAGCGCGAGATTCCAGGCCACTTCTTCGTTTACTTCTTTGTCTACCCCTTCTCCATGACTTATTCTTTCGCGATGCCGCTCCTGATCCATATTAAACCATCGTTTGGGCAGCATTTTCCCGGGTTATTTTGCCGGAGGCCAAGGGCGGTGGGTGCCGGGCAATACATAAAACCTTGAAGACAGGCCACCCCGCATCTTCTCAAGAATTAATATCGAGGATCTGATACATAGAATAAGAATTGTGTGATTAAAGCAATGGACAGGTGGATTGGCGTTCATATACCTACACTCCTAGCATCCGTCTTCGAGTAAGGTAAGTACACGCGCATAAAAGAGGCGTCGTTAACAACATCATAAAAAAACCATTAACGAGGGCGAAACATCGTCTATAACCCTCGATTTCGTTTCTCTTCTTTAAATGGAAATCCTGGACGCTTTCTCCTGGCTGGCTAGCATTTGGATCAACCTTTCTCGGCCAGAATTAATTGTGGAGCTTACACCGTATTACATTGAATTTGGATTGGTCAAGGTCAAGGTGGGAGATACTAATATTGTGAGATAATCTTTGAGTGGAAGCACGCCCCTGCTTGTCTCTTCGCTTCTTGAGTCGTTTTCGGCTAGCTGGGCCTGGGGTAAGGGTGCGCCACGCGCACAGACACTTACTGACCGACCAGTGGATCTGGAGAAAACATAAATAGTAAGAGACCACTTCTAAAGCAGACACCCTCGTTTCCTGGTCCGGCTTTGCCCCTGGTGCTCGAAAAGCGAAATGCCTAGACAATGACCTAATACCTAAGTGGTTTCGCACTTGTCAACTCACTAAATCCAGCTGTAGGTTGGTTTTATAAGTGTTGTGGACCCAGTCTATCCATCCCCCTCAACAGAGCCCCTTGATATGCGGGGCTGTCAAGATCAGCCCTCGGTCTGCCGAAGTTTTTACAGTATGTTTTCAACGAAGTAAATAAGAAGAGCGTTCCCTTAATATGAGGAGGAACATATTAGAAGCAGCAAGAAGCCCTTAATCGTCGGATCTTACCCTGCTAGATTATGGAGGCTTTTCTAAAATTGATTTGAACAACCCTCAGCGCCGGGGAGCTTCTTTGATGATCTTTCTCAACTTCGCTCGTACCGTAATGTGGACGCCGTGTTATTGGTGGACTAGTTCTTCACACTCCCCTTACTCTGCGGGGTGGTGTGGTGCAGGATAATCAGATCGACGCCACAACTGAGGGTTGGGTCCCCGCTGGTGTACTTTGTCCCCCTCACCTCAATGTTACAGCGCACTATCCCAATTCTTCAACCTCAGTGGTGGAAGTTGAACTTGGTGCAGCACCATGATCCCTGCCGACTAGATAAATACTATTATCAATTCCACCGAGAACGTAGGCCGAGTGTACTAATATTGCCACACGTTGTCGTAAAAGTGTCTGTTCTGTAAGAGGTACGCCACAGTTATTCCTTGGTGCGGGAAAATGGGGTTTAGCAACTGTCCATGGCTTTCGGCGCGTATATTTTACCGTCTCTGCTTCTCAACCTGGCTCCCACTTTTCAACCTTGCATGCGCCACGGGGTAGGGACATCAACCACATCTATCTACCCAAGCCTATGATCCGACGAGAGACCCCCTGGCCAAATTGCTGATCCGGGAATCGCTTGCCTCATCGGGAGTATTTCGTTACATCGTCCACAGGCCCTGCTATAGCAGATATGCAGTGTATTCCAGGGGCCTGGACCAAGCGACTGCATGAGGATGGGGGTTTTTAGTTATATATATCACTTCCCGGTATCCCCACCCGCGAGGCGGGCCATCTGATTCAAATTCATCAATTTGCTTCTTACGCGAATCCCGCCGGCCGGAGCCTTCAAAGCCCTTGAAGTCAACATAGAGTTTGGGCACGGATGTTCAAGGTTTCTTTTCTCCCGATATTTCATTACTGCAAGCCGTTTCATCATGGGCTTGGTCAAGTCTAATAAAGACCACGCTGTGGCCGACTATGGTTCCATGATGCTGGGGTCGATTTGGTTCATGACCGGCTTCTCGCTCCTATTTGTTGGCTTTCGAGTGTTGGCAAAAGTCAAGACTAGTCGGTCCCTCTGGTGGGACGACTTTTTCTAATTATTAGCTGGGTAGGTACCGAGACTGCAACATCTGCCGGCGAGGTAGATAGACCCTCTGAGCCGTCGTGAACTGCCTAACTAACTCAAGAGAACTGACAGATCAACCTCATGATATCATCAGTATTACTTACCCAAGGCGTCAAGTGGGGTGTTGGTATGCACTTCGAGGATATGGTGTTAGACAACATCCCGAAGGTTGCCGAGTTCTCATATGCTGCCGGGTTTGCAACTATTCTAGGAACGGCTTGGAGCAAGACCTCGTTCGGCATTACTCTTCTACGGATCTCCGACGGTTGGGTGAAGTGGTTTGTGTGGTTTCTCATAATATCGATCAACCTCATACTGGGTACCTCTGCCGTTGTGCTGTTTGTGCAATGTCAGCCTATCGGAAAATTATTCAATGAGATGCTAGAGGGTAACTGCTGGCCTAAAAGAACGGTCGAGTTATATCAGACGTTCTGCTCTGGTAAGTCGAGTGCGCTTGTATGGAGCCTTGACCCCGTTCCTTCATCAGATTCTTATGCTTTATTAACGCAAGATCTTAAACCTAGTATACTCTGGGGCTACTGATATTGTTCTCGCTCTACTACCTTGGAAGATAGTTTGGAATGCAACGATTTTTAGGAGGGAAAAGATTGGCGCGCTTATAGCGATGAGCATGGGTGTATTGTGTGTTGCGTTCTTTCCGGCAATATGAGGTGGCATATTGTGACGTTCAACGCTTGCTGACTCTAAACTTTCACATAGCTCGGGAATCATGTCCTTCATGAAGATCATCAAGCTGAACGAAATCTCAGACGTGAGAGGTATGAAATGCACCCCCACCACCCCCATCGCCATACACTCATGACACTAACATCGAGCAAGCAACCACGGTTGATTTGAAGATTCTCGGTATCGCCGAGCTTGCCATAACCATCATCGCCGTGTCTATCCCCGTGCTTCGTGCATTCATCCGCAGGAGGTCCACGTCTGAGGGCAAAGCAAGTTTCGTCCATATGTCACAGCTACCGTCCATTGACCGCGAGATACGTGGGCAAAGGAAAAAGGCGGTTTCGACTCAAGCGAGATTTATATTGATGAAGCTCAACCTCGAAAAGCTGGATCAAGCCCTGCACAATTTCATGTTTAATCTAGCGACTTTTTCCTTCTAGGCGTTTGTCGAGGCGTTATTCTTTTGTTCTTAAATCTCAGGTTTGCATTTCAAAATCTAGCCATTGGTCATTATACCCTAGAGCCCATCCTTGCTGTGAATCCATCTTACTTACTTTTCGGCGAAGAGAAGTGCCGAGTCGACATGTCCTCTCTCCCGGATAGGATCTCCTGAACGGGGCAATTTCCGTAGGTTCACGACGAAGTTAACAAGCCTGTTTTGGCACGTTGTGTTGCGAGCCGCCACCTAACCCCTAGGTCGCACCGATATCAATTGTATGAGTCTTTCGCCAGTATAAGCTGGCGCACGTAGGATATGTGGGCTAGGGATAATGGCGATTACACGTTTGCTGTAAGAGACCGGGGACTATAAAACAGGACTATATGAGCCTATTAGTGGTTCTGCGGCGGTTGGCTGAACTGCAAACGAGTTGGTGAAAACCGCCGTACCATATACCAATTGTCATTCCTGCCCTGGCCTCTTTGTGAGCTTCACCACCAACCCCTTCTGAGGCGTAAACCAACGGCATTTGAACGACAACTCAGATGCCGGGTCGGCGAGAGCGATATCGTACCGTACCAAAAGTGACGCGATAAGCTTGGAGATCTCCAACTGGCTCAAGTTCCTTCCAAGGCAGGTGTGTGACCCGGCACTAAACGCAAACAAAGATCTCTTCCTCGTCGCGACGAGGTCCGAATCGGAAGACAGCCATCGCTCAGGTTGGAACCGTTCCGGATGAGGGAATACCTCTGCATCGTAGTGTAGGACCCATGGGCTAATCCCCACTTCGGTCCCAGCGGGAGGAAATGACCAGAAATCGTGGCTCCCTGGGCGGGCACGGTTCGAGGATACATAATGCCGTTCGGTGGATGTATACGAAGGGCTTCCCTGATCACAGCGTCAAGATAGGGTAATTCACTAACGTCTTGGTATGAGACCGGAAGTGTCAACCTCGCCTGATCCCGGATTTCGTGACAAAGGGCAGCGTACACATCTGGGTGCTTTGCAACCTGAAACATGATAGTCCTCATTGCTATCGCTGTTGTATCAGCCCCTGCGGTAATATTATTGAAGGCGTGTGTGTTCAATTCACGGTCGGTGATGGAATCAGGCTGTTTTTGCTGCTGCTCGAGTAACCTGTGGACAAACGTTCGTGGCCCTGATGGCTCTTCGTCTCCTTTTTTCGGAATTTGTCGACCTGGCCGAGGGCTAGGTCAAACGCCGCACCATTAAGAGCACTGTTACCGAGCACAAGCTTCTCAACCAGCCGATTCCCTAGGAGAAACTTGTGAGTCCACGGGAATTGTCCGACCTAATCGGGTGCCAAGTTAGCGAACTAGGAAGAAGGCCTGTGGGCCGGAGAGGGACTCCTGCCTACAATAGCTACATAGTCACCAATAATGTACTCTAATACTGGCATCATGCCAATAGGGTCGCCATCCTCCATAAATTTCATGTCTTGTCCAAAGGTAACCGTAAAGATAACGTCAGTTGCGTAGAGACGCAACCACTCCCCCAAATCACAAGTCTTGTCGGCACACTCGGCAAATGAGTCAAGGATATTGAAGAGTCGTACTGTCACGTCGTCTAGTAATGTCTCGAGCTGAATCATTGCTCCCATAGAATACGCAGTATAGGCACTACGTTTCATCCTCGTATGCATTGCCTTATCCGTGAGAACAAGAGGGTCCGGCAGTAGACCTTCCTCATCGTAGACGTGGAAGGGAACGTAGAACTTGGACTAGACATAGAACGCGATGAGATGGTGGCGCTATTTGATAAGTAGGTGGCTCTAGACTTACCTTGATAAACTTATCCGAGGCATTATAAATGAGGTTGATGGCTGCTGGGTCACCGATAGACACCTGGTCAGGTCCCGTTCTCACTATTTTACCATATTTTCTATGTTGTCGAAGCTCCCACTCATGTGGCCGAGCTCGAACTACTGAGATGAACCGAGGCAAGCGTGAGCAAGACGCCCAGAACGGCCCAGGGATACGCCTCAGCGGTGTTAAATATTTGTTTGATATCAGCCAGGAAGCGCCAGCGACGGCCAGAACAGCCCACCAATGGCGGGAGGCGGCCGCGGCTAAGAGCGAAGACAGTTCTCGAAAAGGCATAGGAGGCAGAGTCGACGCCAGTACGCCCGGAACCTGCGCGTATGTTGACAGATCGGGATGACAGGATGATGTTATTAAAGAAGCCTTGTCTGGAGCCGAAGACTATAGCTGCTTTATAGTACAAGTTTGATCCTGAATATAGCGAGCGGGATCCCGGGACAACAAAATTCAGAGCGTAGGCGGACATTCGGCCTCCGCTAGGTCCGGAGGAAGCAGCTCACCATTGCCATTATCCAGCGCATTATTGGTGAAAGGTGGGCACTGCGATATGACTGCTAGCGATGGAAAGGGTCAAAGAACGACCCGGAACATCCTTTGATTCGCCTGGCTAGCACGAACTCCGCAGAAGCGCTAAACTTAATAAGAGTATTCTCCACACCTGCATAAGACAGAAACCCCTCCGACTCTAACTTGACACGCTGGGCGCGGGAAGCATCCGGCGAGATGTCGTAAAAAGGCAGGCTTTGAGATCAATAAATCTCACCAGTCTCTCATTATGAATAGTGAGACAACCACACTAGTTCTAAGAATCTAATAATTACTGTCGAGACTAGAATCTATACATGTAAAAGGTCATGTGACAAATCTCTCAGGGAGAAGAGGCCCTAGATTGTAAATAGATAGTAGCTACTTAATTCGGTGGCGAACGTATACAATTTACAAAATGGCAGCGAAAAGGAGGTGAAACTAGAAGTCGAAGCGAGACTTGAAGGGTCCGAGGCCACCTCTCTCTACTTCTACAAATAGGTGACATTGATAGTCGAATTGGTTGATATTTAAGCGATTTAAGGAGGCAAACTATATTTAGAAACAAAGTGTATAATCAAGTTATCGCAGCAGACAACACATTCCTCTACTGAATGGGTAGGAGGACTGCTAGGGTTCCTAGTTCCTGATATCCCTTCAGCAACTTAGTGGTTTACCCCATTTGGGATAGCCTTTGATATCCCAGCCTCCTTCACTCCATTGACATACAGTTTTGTCGCTGTCTCTCGTTGGGAATCGGAATTTGCAACTAGCTTCTTCATCACTTCCTTCGCCATTTCCATACCGCTCTGGACAGCCCCGTCGATCCAGCCACACCAACCATCCGACCAGTCCGCGCTGGCAAAATACACACTTCCGTGAGACTTCTGGAGGGCTGCCAAATACTTAGTCGTGGCCTCGGGAGGCATAAAACACCAAGTGCCATTTGCAAACTCGTCATTATTCCAGTCGTGAGATACCTAGCTCCGACGTTCAGCGAATTTTGGTGAGTGGAAGAGAATACACACGATAAAGAGGTCGGGGCAAAAGAGCGGGCATTGCTACGAGACACTTACGATGCGGGTAATTATGGCATCCTCCTGCTTCCCTTTGGGTAGAAGGTGGAGCGCAGCAGCCTGGATCGCCCCAACATCATCCAGTCGCAGTCCGTTAGCGGCGTCTGGGTCCGGACCAAAGCAAACCAAGTGAGAGTTATCTGCGTGCGTTAGATGGTCTCCGAATGCTGAGATTAGACCTTTTCCTGGGGACCCGAGGGAACTCCAAGATAAATAATCGGGGCCCAAGAGATCAACGTGGACCTTGTTACATCTATTGACAGACTTTTGTTCCAAAGCCGCTTGCTTGTTGGCTGGTAGGGCGGGGAAAATTCTATGGATGATAGAACATTGAGCGGGATGGTGCAGATTACGGACCTCGCTCTATAGGTCCTACCGTCCCTGCTAATGACGGAGACAACGCCTTCGGCTTCGTGTATCGCCTGGGTGGGGTCCTGGAAGCTGTAGGAGAGATTTCCCGTTGACATGGAGTGGTCGAAGATGCGCCTGTGCAGCTCACTCTGGCCACTTCGAAGACGTGTGTGCAACGCAATATCGTTTAGTCCAGTGGGTGAATGAGAACCCAAAGACCACCAACGGAGGGTACCGAGCAATCCCATCTTGTCTAGAGAGTTGCCGCCCATTTGAAGCAGCTGGCCTTCGAGGATGGTAAGTTCCTCTGGAGTAAATTTGTGCTTAATCTGGTCAAGGCGATCTTGGCAGGAGAGCGTATCCCATTCTGCCATCTTCTCCGGGGACTGGGCAGTACCGAATGCATACTTCCAAGCGTGGCGGAGGTCATCTCCATCAACGTTGCAGAATTCGCGAAACACGCGACCAGAGATATCGACCTGTGGAGGATGGATGAGAATCAGATAAGTTATCAGGTCGTTAAACCATCACCGCCGTGTGTATAATGTGCCTTGTGCAAGCGGCGTGGCATCCGTAGGCTCCTGACGATGGGAGGGTTGCTCACCTCTTCTTCGTGTGTGAAATTACGCTGCTCATCACCAGTAGTGGTGGTGAAGTAGTCTTCCTTTCCCCCTGGATTCTGGGTGACGATCCAATCGTTATGGAGTCCGTAGTATGATACCTCCCGGTATATATGGGGCATATGCCAGTGAATCCAAGTTCCGCCCATCTCATAGTTGAAGCCGTTGATTGTTGCATGCCATGTACGGCCTCCGATTCTGTCTCTAGCTTCGACGAGGAGTGTTTTCTTGCCTAAGATGCAACCTCACGGTTAGCACGATGGGGAGAACCTGAGGCTGCGAGGTGCATTTCTACTCGCCCTGGGTGGCGAGGTCACGCGCCGCAATCAAGCCAGCATACCCAGCGCCAATAACTACGACATCGTATATCTGGTCAACGGGAGCGTTCTCGGCATGATGCGTAAGAGGCTCGATGGCACCGATGGTGGGAGTCCGTTGCGGCGCCCTCCAGCCGGTGTCCAGGTGAAGCCGTCCGTCGAGTAGACCATTTTGAAAGGTGGTAGCAACGATGATTAAAAAATTGCGATAAAGTATACGAGGAAGCAAGGCGCATGTAAGATCGGCTGTCGGTATAGAAAGCCAAAACTGAGCCGTGCCACCACTACGAAGTTTACTTCAACTTGTGACCGGCCAAGCAGTCTTATGTTGACCAGCCATGGCGGATCCCCATAAAGAAAAGACAAAAAGGGAAAATGAAAGAAATTGACTGCATCGTACGGAACGGGCACGTCTTCTAAGCCAGCAGCACATTTTTGCGGTTTCCGATCGAGCTAGGTCCTGATCCTCAATGTCTCCTTGAGACTGCCCCACAAGCTAAGCATGGAGTAGGGGTGGGGTGGGTCACTGTCAAGTCACGGAGCGCAAGAGCGGAAAAACTTGACGAATCAGGACCAGGCTCGCCCTTTTGCAGCCGAGATAACAGAAATCGCCAGATATGCAGAACTCGGGGCAGCATGGAACCTAAGCTACAACCTCGATGCAACGATTTCGCTCCACGCCAGAGAAGTGAGCTGGAACGCGCCCTTGTGAGACTGCCTCCCGAGTCGGCATCATTGCTGAAGAGAAGCGCGCTGCTTCACGATGACTGCTTCAATGGCCGATATCAACTTCTCTGCCATCCATGGCCCTTACCGGAGGAAAGTGACACTCGCATGCGGTTCTTGTAGGAAGCGAAGGGTAAGTGCTGAGTCTTCGCCCTGATGCGATGCAAACATGCCCAGTGTCATATAGCGACTGACATAAGGACTCATTGACGGCTCTGCACTGCCTGAAGGTTAAATGCAGTGGAAACCAACCGTGTGTTCTATGCATTGAGAACGGTCGCGTATGCGAGTTTGATAATAACAACCGGTCACGACGAGGCCCACGACCGAGGCATCAGCCGAATCACACACCTCGAATCATCCATCCGCTCGCTCCTCGCCAGTCCCCACCTACACAGGCATCTATTGCGGTGGCTGAAATAGTCGTCAAGCCGATACCAAGCCCCCGGGAACCTGCATCGTCGTTATCTAACAACAACTCTATCACTTTCAACGCTCAAGACAGCTGCGAGGTTAGCGACAATCGAAACGGTGAAAAAGAGTGCGGAGCAGATTATGAGGGTCGTGATGATGATGAGGAGATAATTCAAAGCGATCTTGACGAGGAAAACGAGTTCCCCGATCCATCATTACTGGTTCCCACGTTACAAGATCTGCTTTACCGTAAAGGATCGATATCAACCTCGTAAGCAGCCATCTGCGCGAAGCGCCTAGAAGGTATCCATAACTTACAATTTCCTACCGCAGCATACCAATTCTGGATGTATATATGGTTTGCCATCTCCTAGAGATATTCTGTACGCGATCAAGTGCACAACTCAAGCAGTTCATACCCCCATCTCACCTACGCGAGCAACTTTCTAAAGGCGCATTACGCGCAGTCTCGTGCTCGCGGCCTGCGCGTCAAGTGTGCGATTCACCGTGCATAAAGCGATCAGAGGCTCCCACGCTTCTCGCCTAGCGGACGCGATAGCTCGTGAAGCTCGCAGATCAATGCAGATATCGCATGACATCTGGATACAAGTAAGCGAGATCAAAGCTGTCTGTGTGCTTGTGGATTATGAAGCAAGTCGAGGCCGCGGACGCCAAGCCTGGGTAGACATTGGTAAGAGAATATTCAGACCATTTTCATTCTGCAGCCACTAGCTAAGCATTGCGAAGCGATGGGCCACAGTCTTGTGGAGCTGGCCAAGGGAGACGTCCACTTAGACCCGGAGCAATCTGCAGCTCTCACCCTCGCCGAGCGATATCTAGCAATTGGACGTATCTCCCATGGTTTTGGTCATGTTACTTTACAGCCTGGGCTAAGCCGACACTATAAGGAGCTGCCGTACAATCCCGGCGGCCGCCATGCCCGGAAGACTGTTACCACCTCGAAGAGTTGCTCGAGATACTTTCACGTGCTCATGCGCTATGTGCAACGCCTTTCAAACAACACAATCCAAATCCATGGGCCTCGGGGTCCCAATTTCGGGTGCTTCAAGACGCGTTGGAGGAGTATCTGCTGAGGCATCCCAAGACATTTCATTTTGGCCCGGGCTCTCCCTCCCACAACTCTTGTACAGGTGACCTGGACGCCTCGGTGGCTTCTTTGATGTGGCACTGCTGCGTCATTATCCTGAACCGCACATTTTTGCCAATCCCGGAACGGTTGCCCGGGTGTGCGGAGAGCGGTTCAGTTCGCTGCATTGAATTCCCAGGGGCGCCGACATTATTTCTAAAGGAACGAATCTACCGTTGCGTTTCTAGTGCTGGCGCAATCTGTGAAATTACCAGGGACATCATCAAAGCCGGTGGCTTCTCTTCTGTATGATTTCTTCACCCCCTGCCCCCACCAATCTTCTCGAACGCGCGAGAGAGCAACACGCGGCTAACTGAAATCAAATAGCATTCTGCACTAGTTGGATTCGCTTGTACTCAGAGCGCTCTTGTCATGATTAATCGACTCCACCGGTCAAGTAAACCATACGAAAGCCGGATCGTTGAAGACTTGAAACTTGCCTTTGTGGCTCTCGGAGCCTTAAAGACATTCTATGCGCCAGCAGAACGTTGGGTAAGGCACTCTAGGATCAGATTAATGCCACAATCTCCCAAAATAACATTTGGTGGTTGCTAACCTGGATGTGCGCTTCAAGTTAGACATACTCTTCAAAGTCCATGACACCGAAACGAAACTCCGGCTTCCAACATCAGACGATGTCGACCTACCATTTGATGGCTATTTCAGCCGGTTTCTCGACATAAAGGAGCCTCAATTCATGCCATTAGACTTCAATGACATCGATACGGATGAAGAATCTAGTGACGACACCTTACACTTTGGAATTAGCCCCGATTGCTCCTTGGAAAACGCTAGAGCTAAGACCGGCGACAAACGGCTAACTTCTCCTCAGGATGCGCCGGCATGGCTTCAAGCGTACACCGGACATTTGACTGGGGATATTGAGACAACCGGTGGCATGGGTTACGTCACAGAAGGGCCGTCCCTGCTAGCGCCCAAGGGAGATTCGGGAATGCTCAAATCAGTCGCCGAGGGACAACTGTCTCAAGAAGGAGACTCGCGACAGCTTCTGCCGCCAACAAAAGAACTAACTATAATGGAGATCGAGGCTTTAGCGTCTCAGTCGCCAGTACACATGGCTGGGGCTATTCTCACGTCCATGTCAGGAAAGACGCCCCTTCAGGGAGAGAGTCTACAAGAAGTTCACATGCAACCTCCTTGTTCCGAATTATCTCGTGATGCAACTGCCATTGACATGGGGCAAGCATTCTCAGAGTTCTTTGGCCATGGCCCTTTGCCAACCTTTACGGATGACCCTCTACTGAATTCAGAACTGTCACTATTCTTGGGTATGGGTATAAACTCGGTCAATGGCGACGCTGACGCGTGGCCCGATGTATTCAATCAAGACATATAAGATGGCGTTGTACCGCGGCGGATGTATGTAAATTTTCGGGGACCGAGTGTAGACCCTTGTGACATAGTTGACTTTGATTCCTGCTGGTCCACCGATTTCCTTTTTATTTTTCCCTTCACATTCCGTAAAGTCTCTCCGTCTATCATCGTGGTGCAGTTGTAAAAGGCATAGGTACCGCCCCGATTGTACAACTGAACTAAGCAAAAGTGAAGGGAGGAGAGAAGAGAGGGAAGTCTAGAGAAAAGAAGCGGTTAGACAGGTGCTCTGATAAATGCATTGATTTTACAGAGGCATCTCTGTGTTTGCACCCCGCAGTCCTCTGCCAGCGCGCAGTCAGAGCGCAGCCCAGGGACATTGACTAGTTGAGAGCGTCTTATCGTTAGGTGGTACTAGGGACCTGCTAGCCCCCAGACTCGGGTCCGCCCCACAGGATACCTAGCGAGGTATTGGTAATTGGGCTTTTTGGCCGCCACCGCTAACCAGAAGTGCGATGGTGTATGGCTCCTTCTCCCTAAATGGGGTGGGAGGTGCGGGGACGAACTTATCGCTGTGTCCTGTTGATATGTAGATAGGAAATCGAATGCCAGTCCAGGCATTCGGCCCCGCGTCCAACGTTTTCCTTCCACCCCTACATCTCCGAATCTCGCATTGCTTCTGCATTCTGATTGTTCCTGCTTCCCAGCCATACTTGCCCAGGAACCCAACGCGTGGAACCCATTTGAAACTTGGTGCTTGGAAACCCCGACGTGACTTGATATATCATGGAGCGTACTCTTCCCGCTGCCGAGGATCCGAATGAAAACGGTTCATGCTGGGCATGTTTAGACAAGCGAAGGCAATGTGACGGCGGCCTCCCCGTAAGCACTTCCCCTCTACCTCGCTGCACTCAGTGCTGCTAGCTTTCCAGCAGTGATGACCCTAACTAATAGCCATACCATTGCGTAGATTGCAGAACCTGTATTCAGAAAGGTGTTCGATGCACCGGATACGGGCTGCGGCTCCGGTGGCCAACCGTCCTTGGAAGCTCGAATAAGCGGCAGGCGACCAAAAGGAGACGCAAATCATCTACGTCGGCAGGTAGACCCGCTTCACCTGCGATGGATATCGCGATGCCAGCGGCTATATCCACTCTAGGGCTTCCCGCGGAGGATAGCTATTTCATGCAACATTATATACGTAAGCATCCCTAGGTGTTTTTGCGGTCTTGGGTTGCCGTAATGTTGGACGGGGCATGCTCCGTGTTGGAGAGTACGTCGCCTGCTTGGGATTTTGCTAATAGTTGGCTCGTCTCCTCACCTCTCCAGACAATATCGCAAGGATTGCCCTCGCCATAGACTATACCGGGAACGGCTATAGGTCGCTTCTCCCCATGGCCCTCCGGGAACCCGCCGTCCTTAACGCGGCTCTTGCTGTAGCCGCCTCTCACCACAGCCGATGGCAGCACACTACCGACGTCGTATCCCGGAGATACCTACGCGCCGCGTCTACAGCCCTCAGAGACCGGTTTTCGAAGCCGGAACATATACATAGCGAAGTGACGCTAGCGACCATGCTCCTGTTGGTCACTTTCGAGGTCTTTAGCGGTTCTAGCCGCTGGAAGGGGCATTACGACGCGATAAGGGGGTGGATTCGTTCTCGTGGTAGCTGTGCCGATCTGGACCCCTTTCTAAAAACATGGGTGTGTCTTGTCGATACCCAAAGCTCCTTAAATATGGGTAACGCTGCGATGGCTGAGCTTGAACCGTGGCTGGATGCGCAAACGGAAGGTACAGGACAAGGGGCCTACATCGACGCGCTCTTTGGATGTTCCTCGCGGTTATTAAAATCTATGGTACGTGGCATCATCATTATTTCATCCCCGCTCGACTTCCTTTTTCCCTCTCGCCACGGCTTTCTCTTCCTGCGTTTCTTCTCTGACCAGTGAACAATCAATGTAGTGGGCGGCCTCCCGGCTATACGCGTCATTTCGCGACGGTCAGATTACAACTGAAGAACTCAACTCGAAGGCAAATGAGCTTCAAGAGCAGATACGATCAACGGAAATCATTCTCGAGGCAAATCCCCTGGTTAGCATCTCCTGCCAGAGCGGTGCTGAGCCGTTCAGTACCATTGGAATGGGCCAAGAGGAGTTGAGGAGACGTATGGTCGCGACGGCCGAGATATTTCGGCATTCATCTCACATTTATGTTTATCGCATCGTCAACGGACCCGAAGTCCCTCTCACCGAGGAAATGGAGGCCAGTCTGGGGACAGCCCAGGAGCTACTTACGATGGTTCCCGATGCTCTTGGACCAGGCGCGAATCTAGGTTGGTGTCTGGTTGTATTAGGCGCAGAGATGGATCGGCTACACGACCGTGAATATGTCCAATCCCGACTTGACGGACTGCACTTGCTGGGACTCGATAACACGAGAAATGGGCAGCGAATACTTGAAGAGGTATGGGTGCACCGAGATTTAGTCATGCAGGGACAAGCCGAACCAGAGAGATGGCAAGACATAATGCAGAGGATAGGCCAGTCGCAGATACTGGTATAATTACGTGTGCATATTTTGATTAATTCTTCAAAAGGGATAGTTTTATCGACTGTCGAGGGATTCCCACGGTATCCTCATTTGTAACCCTATTCCTCTACTCCTTATTGCCCCATGCAGTCTCTAGGAGTTTCTCAATTCTCATCGGAGTAGTTTTTGACTTGAAATGTTGAACGAGATCAAGGTGGTTGGGAGGCGCGAAAAGTCATATGCTCCGAGAGCCACGGAAGCGCCCAAGTCGGCAAGGAGTGCACTAAGCTGAGCCACGCCTTCTGGGAAATGCTCAGCAATAGGCACGTTGCGTGGCAGCATAGTGTTGTCTCGATGCTCCAAAAGTGTCGCGATGGGCTGGTGAGAAACCTTCAAGGGGCGTCCCAAATTTTTCTCAACCAGCGACACCAACTCTTTGATAGTGATCGTGTCCGACGCCGTCGTCATGGTCAAAGGCCAGTTCTCCAGTTCGAGGGCCAGAGCGGTGTATCGGGCAACGTCTTTAGTATAGGAGACGGCCATTGGCGTTTCTCCGTCGCCAGGGATCAGCGCGACCCCGTTTGTTGGATCGACAAATAAACACAACTCCCGCAGATGCGTGGGGATGTTGGGCATCCCGAAATAGTCCATAAACATCCCAGGGTAGATGTACGTGTATTCAAGGCTCGTCTTTTCCAATTCGCGCCTCGCCACGACATGGTAGCGCTTGTCCGGGTAGGGAAGCACATCATCCCCTTGGTCGTAGTCAACGTTGAATTCGGATGGGATGAACCTCTTGACGGAAGATGCTCTCTCCGCCGCGCGGATCAGCGTCAATTGTGAATCGCTCGCGGCTTGGAAATCCAGGGCAAAAGTACAGATGACTGTGTGTGTTTTGTACTGCTCTAAGAGATTGACCACGGCCTGCTCCGAGCTATAGTCCGTTTGAATGATGGGAAAATAGCTCTCACCAGTTATGGGAGAAATGTGAGTCGGAACACTCTCCGGTACCTACCGATGGGGATGAAAACCGTTAGTTTAGTTTCTTCAGTGGAGTCAGGGCTTGAAGAGCATTGGACCCATTAGATCAACAAATGAATCCATCCCGGTCCGTTCAAACACATACCCGGCGAGACATTACGTAGACTTCATACTTTCCGGTTTCACGAAGCGCGTCGGTGATGAGCCTACCCATGTCACCCAGACCTCCAGCAACTACAACAACAGACATGATTTTTGATGAGCGAAGGGGTCTAGAATGGAGAGAATTTTGGCTGTCTGATTTGGACTGGGGCTGCTCTTCAGGGCAAAGAGGTTTTCCTAGAGCTTGTTCAGATACTTTATACAATGGGTGCTCCAAGCCCCTGAGTAGTGCTAAAGGCATAGCTAGGCAGATCTCAGTAGATGGTCCCTTATGTTCACCTTCACCTTTGACATGCGCCTACTTGGGGGCGTCAAGGCGGGTTGATGCTTCCGGATAGGACGCTAGCTTCCAGTCTTTTAGTGTCAAAACGAGGAATAAACACAGAACCAGCCCGGATCAAAATTTTATTGGACCCGATCCTAGACCAGCAAAAATTGTGGACCTGGCGAGGCGTCGGGCCTGTCGCTGTTGGTTCCGAGCCCCAAATCATGAAGACTAAAGTGCCATATGACAGTGCCTCAAGTGCTGCCCTCTCTGAAGGAACGAGGCCAAAAGGCAAGCCCCTATCTTTATCATTCACACTCTTCGTTTTACCTCAACCACCACCACAGTTGCGATCACCGGTTGCAAAGAACACCCGGAACCTATAGTCTCCTACACCGTTGACTAGAATCAACTTGCATTTGAACACCATCATCCGACCCAACTTCCCAAAGCAGTCCAACCCGCAGCTGCGACAGCCCCAAAGGAAAATGGCGAGCCAAGTTGTCACACGTGTCACCCTGTTCAAAATTCCTCCGAGGAGGGCCGGCAACGCCTAATCAACCTCTACCGGACACTCCCCGCCAAGGCTACCAGAGAAGGACGGCATTACATCCTGTCCGCAAACGTAGGACCAACCTTTGACGATGCTCGGAATCAGGGGTTTACACTTGCGGCAACCACCACATTCGCCACCCTTGAGGATTGGAAATACTACGATGAGCGATGCCCCGCACACGGCGAGATCAAAGCTCTAGCCAAGACTTTACATCAGGGGATAATGATGGTTTATTTTCAGAATGCGCTATAACTAAGAGATCAGAAGTTGCCCGCTCGCAGGCGTCAATTTAGCAAAATTCGTCGATTGAATGAGACATGGCCCATGAATAAAGTCCGACTCAACTGGATGTACCACTGTGACCCCCTCGTTTGAGCAATCCGTAACCTCGGCCCGAGTGTATTTGTTAGTGGCTGGCCCTCGCTGGAGGCAAAGCGTCGGGAACTAGCCAGCTCCACTCGTCGTGGACTGAGGCGCATGGGTCTCGTTGGTGAAAGATTGAACCAGGTAAAAAGAGGAACAATGATTTTTACTAGGTAACAGAGCAAGGACTGTATTATATTTTTGTGTTTTCCATTTCAAAAGACCAATTGTGCAACATATTATGCGTACGAGAGTGGTACCGCTCCGAAAATTGTCCCCGAACAATCACCAAATCCAACAAGTCCTTCTTCGGAGCCGCAGACACCAGTAATATTCACCGTATCGCCGTCGGCAAGGAATTTTCTCTCTTGCCCATCCGAAAGCTTAATAGTGAACTTACCGGCCATATTCTGCTCCAAGAGGCTCCCACGCGACCGCTCATCGGTTCCGCTAATCGTACCGCTTCCGAGGAGGTCGCCAGGCCGCATTGGACACCCTGAGATAGTGTGGTGTGCTACCATTTGGGGGAACGACCATAATAGGTTTTTAGAGCTTGTCTCGGTGATGACCGTGGAACTGCGAGATTCACCCTCGCCAGTACTTAACTCGACACGCAAATTGATGTCGTACTGGTTACGCTTTTCTGTTTGACGGAGGTAGGGCAGTAGTTCCGTGTCGTTTTCAATTCCCGGGGTAGCGAATGGCGCTAGGGCATCGGGGAGGACGACCCAAGGACTGATGGTTGTAGCAAAGTTCTTCGCGTTGAACGGGCCAAGAGGAACATACTCCCACGTCTGAAGGTCTCGAGCGGACCAATCATTGACCAAAACATAGCCAAAGATGGTTTGATCCGCTTCGTCGACCGGTATGGGCTGGCCGGGCTCGTTGGCTTTGCAAACAAACGCTCCTATCTCAAGCTCGATATCTAGACGTCGACAGGGAAGAAGGCTTGGAATCTTGGGCTCCGCCGTCGGATCAACCAAGATCTGACCCCAAGGTCGGTGGATAGGGGTTCCCGATACAAAGACGGACGATGCCCGACCATGATAAGCGACGGGTAAGTGCTTGTAGTTGGGTTGCAAGGCGTTCTGGGGCCCCTAAAGAGAGAACCCACGGTAAATGCGTGGTTGATGCCGGCAAAGAAATCCGTATAATCACCAATTTCCATGGGTAAATGAAGGCTGACGGAGTCCAAAGATATCAAGGCTTCCGACCGAAGAGAGTCGTTATCTCGAAGGGCCTCCGGATACGGTGTATCCGAAGCGAGCACATGCTGGAGATATGTTCTGACCTTGGAATGAATGGGTCTACCCAGCGCCGCAAACTGGTTCAAAGTTGGCGCGGAAAAACGTGTAGATGAGCTTGAATTACATCCAGTCCTGCGAAGCCATGGCGCTCAGCAAAACTTTTCAGATCGAGTACATGCGTCCCTACCACGGTCGCGGGCGGCGCACGGGCGAATCAGGCGTGGAGATGATGCCGAAGGGGATATTTGCCAGAGAAAATGGCGACAAAGCGGCGACGGGGAGCCAAGACCTGAGACCCATTGCGTATAAAATTCTGTGTATCTTGCAGCGGTCCGGTTCACAAATCGACAGCAACGTCTAACTTAGGGATTTGGGAAAGAATATAATTCAGTCGGCTAGTTGTAGGGGACAACACGAGACTGGCCAAGAAGACAACTAGTCATGGGCCGTTTCCAGTATCAGGCATTGGCCACGTCGATGACAAGATAATATCTGCTAGGTCCTGTAGTGAGTTCAGAGTGTATTTGACTCCGCATCCCGGACCTCTTTCAGAAGAGGTATGAGATAAAGGAGGTGTAAAGCTGAAGGCTAGCTGTAAAGCTAACGCGAGGGGCAAAAACGCCGGATCCATGCCCTTGGGTGGAATAAACGACCCAATAGAGCTTTGTTCCTGACGGCCAAGCTAGGGATGGAAACACAACCCCTTTGGGGGCTTCGGATTTCGAGGCTGGAAAGCGTTGCATGGCCCGGAATCGGAATTACCCTCAAGTTGCTTTTGCGAAGTTCATGAGGCTAATCCATTGGCCCAGGGTTAAACCTTGGCCGTCGCCTCCGGTCGTTTGCATTTGGTGAGCGATATGGGTCGTCACGCTCGAACGTTCGAATGGAGTGGCCTGCATCCGCGCGTCCTGGAGAACTTCCCATAGAATTCAATACTTATTACAGCAAATGATTCAGGTGTTCGCTCCCACACTATCCCTTATCAATCGGTCAACGGTCTCCGTACAACATTTTCTCCTGGCCTTCCGCTATCAAATCGACGCCAACGTCACCGTCATCGTATCTTTTGAGTAAAGCCGGCTTAGCCCGACCCAGTGAAAATGCCTGTTACCAATTTCTCAACGCCCGAAAAGTACCAGTATCTAAATGGTTTCGGGTCGTACCACGAGTAAGTCATACCATTCCCACACGTTGATAACGTTTGAGTCACACTCAACTGATCGTTGAAATACATTCATGTGCAGGAGTGAAGCTATCCCCGACACCCTTCCTATTGGTGCCAACTCTCCCCAAAAGCCCAATCACGGCCTTTATGCCGAGAAACTTTCCGGAACGTCCTTCATTGCGCCCCGAAGTGAGAACCAACAAACTTGGGCCTACCGTATCCTTCCCTCCGCGGCGCACCTCCCATTTGAGCGGAATGGCGAACACGAAGCTACAACCACAATTCATCACATTCCTCAACAACTTCGATGGGACCCTTTTGACCTGGACGACTCCGTTGATTGGGTCCACTCACTAAAGCAGTTGGGAGGAGTGGGAAGCCCGGCGACAAAAACAGGCTTGGGCATATACATCTATGCGGCGGGTGTCTCCATGGCACCGCACGATGCCTTTACTCGGCGGACGGTGACTTCTTGATTGTTCCTCAACACGGCGTGATGGATATACAAACCGAACTCGGACATATACTAGCCCGGCCAAATGAGATTGTAGTAATCCCAAGGGGCATAAAGTATCGCGTAGATCTTACCGAAGGACCAGTACGAGGGTATATCCTTGAGCTACACGATGGCCACTTTAGGCTTCCTGAGCTTGGTCCTATCGGTTCTAACGGATTGGCCAACGCCCGCGATTTCAAGCTCCCACAGCGTCCTTTACGGACGATACGGATGGTACCTCCTGGACGATCTATGCAAAGTATAATAGCAACATGTTTGTTGCAAATCAAAGCCATACCCCGTTCGATGTCGTCGGCTGGCACGGCCTCTACTACCCGTACAAGTATGACTTGGGAGGTTCAATGCTATTGGAAGCATTAGTTTCGATCACCCCGATCCAAGTATTTACACCGTCCTATGCAACCCGACAGCCGACTTCGTCATATTCCCACCGCGGTGGCTGGTGCAAGAAGACACGTTCCGACCGCCGTGGTACCACCGCAACACAATGTCCGAGTTTATGGGACTCATCATGGGGAGTATGATGCCAAAACTGGCGGGGCTTCCGCGCAGCCGGCGCTAGCTTGCACAACGTCATGAGCGCCCACGGCCCAGATGCGGACTCGCACGCAAAGGCGAGCGCGGCGGATCTGAAGCCGGTGAAAGTGGGAGAAGGCAGTATGGCCTTCATGTTTGAAAGCCCCTCATGATTGGAGTGACGGATTGGGGCTTGGAGAAGTGCCGCAAAGTTCAGCCAGACTATAACGCTGAATCTTGGGTTCCTCTGAAGAAACACTTCAAGAATCCATTGACTAGCACCAAGTAGTGAGATAACCTATATGGATATTAATGAAGCATCGTCCGTATTTATGATTCATCGTATTTGCCATTACTATCAAATCAGCTAATCGGAATGGCTTCAGAGTTAGTGCATCTCCCTTGGCCATCACTGGCGATTTCCGGACCCTGGCATGGCCCGTAATTTTTGGAATTGTCGATAGAGGAAATTACTTCGTTAGTGTAGGAGGTAGATAGAAGTCTTATCCTACGTATGCTTGTAGCATATGTTTTAGAATGCGTTACGGAATGTCCTCTAGTTTCAGCATCGCATTGCAGTTGCTAAGAAACAGAAACACGCACTATGGGCTCATCTTCGCCATCCGGTCTATTAATATGCCATCAATAAATTAGTAGTTATCTCCCTAAAATCCTCTCACCTACAAACGCTTTTCCGGAATATATCAGAGGCGTGGCAACATCCAACGACAGCCCGGTATTCCCTTAATCAAGCGAATAGTGAATGGTACTACACCGCACGCGATACGCTGAAAATAACCACCATATTATACCTCAAGCAACTCAAGTACTTCAAGCCCACTCCCCATTATTTGAATCGGTAGTCCTTTCAGCCTCCGAGCCATTCCCATCTAGACGACGTGGCTGCTCGGTGTTAGAGAATTCCAGGGGGCCAAAATAATGTTTGCGACCATAAAAGAACCAGAGCACCAAAGATATAATGAACACCGCGCCGATAATAGTAGAGGCGTAGTTCCTGTAGTTGAGGATTTATCCCGCAGTTAGCTGAAACTGTCCACTCGCAGAAAGAAGTGGATAGCACTTACATTGTGGCTCCGTTTACCGGGCTAATCACGGGGAACGACATGAAGAGTGTCATGAAACATCCGAAGAAGAAAGCGATAACATGAATAGGGAAGGAAAATTTCCCAAGGCTGAAAGGCCCTTGACAAGGTCCTTTTGAACCATGCCGTATAAAAGATATTGATTCCAAGGGGTATCACGTATGACAGCTGGAAAGCGACCAGAACGCCTGCCATAATTCCGTAGAAGGCCGTAGTGTTCCAAATATAGATCATGAAGACCACGATGGAGGGTACGATGAGAACCACGTTAGCCATGATAGGTACGCCCCAACGCGGGTGTAGCTTCGCCATCGATGGAGGAAGGGCGTTATCACGCGCCATGCTCCAGATAGCCCGCGAGGCAGCGCCCCAGAGGTCAAAACCAGCGGCCATTGCGACGGAGGTACTTATGCAGTTCAAGAAGCACGAGAGTGGCACATTATTTGTGCTGTTGATCAAGATCTGAGTGAACGGGCTCATCATGCCGATCGGAGACTCCAATACTTCTGTGATATTTCCAATGCAAAGTATAACAACAACGACAAAAGGTAACGTCATGATTGCAGTGCTTCCGGCTTGCAAAACCACTGTACCGGAGTCACCAGGTCAGTCAAATCGAACCGTCGGGTGCTCAAAGGAAAAGAAGGGGCAGGAAAAGAACTTACTCGCTCTCGGGACCAGAACGTTGGCACGGGGAATCTCTTCGCTGAAATGGGTAGCTGTATCGAGAGACAAATATGCGTAGAGGGCGGCAAGCAGGCTGATCGACCACGAAACGAAATCGCTGTCCCAGCCTGTGCTGTTTTGGAAGTGCGTGAATATATATTTGGCATCATGCTTCTCTTCGTGAAGCCCGTTAAGACGCCGATGACGACGAAATACCCAACGACATGGAGAACAAGGACTAGAATGTGCATGGAAAAGTCAGCGTTGGCGTGGATCGAGACCACGAGAGACAGGCGTGGGCTGGCCCGGGACACCTACTCATCATGTTCATATGGTGAAGAGCTTTGACGGCAAAGATATTGACGACAATCCAGCAAATCATACACGCGATGCATATCTGGCGAGACCACGCCTGTTAGTACATGATGAAGCATGTTCCTAAAGGGCCATGTATTAAAGGGGACATTACCACAAATGCGTGCCAGGTCTTGGGCTCGTAGTCTCGGTTTACCATGACGTACGACTGGGTCTGGACTGCAATACCCATTCCACAAGACAAGGCTGCTAGCCAGGTCCCCGCAAGCCCGCACCAGGCAGTAACCCAACTCTGTTCGGGGTCAAATTTCAGTATTCGGAATCTTTCATGAGGGAAAATGGGCTTCGATCCTTACCAGAAAACGCGAGTGCTTAGGCGAGGCGAGGTTGGCAGACCAGACGTATTGTCCTCCGGAAGACGGCCACATGCTTTCCCATGCCACAAAGGTTAGCGAATTTTGACAAAGAAATGGACGCGCGATAGAGATTGCGACACCCAAACCGGGAGTATGGAAGAGAAAGTTGGCACCGACCTTACGAATTCGGCCAGAGCGCAAGCCATGCATACAATTCCAACCGAGACGAAGACCCAGCCCCAGACGAGGCCGACGGAGCCACCACCGGAGATTCCTTGAGCAATGGAGGCAGTCCATCCTTCCCACTACAACGCACAAGGTTTCTCTCACGTTAGTGAAATGACTTGAGTAGGAGTGGCACATAAGACGGGAGAAGGACTCACTGCTCCGGAGGTACAGACGGCAACGCTGAATGCGGTCCAAAAGTTGAACCTCTTCTCAACCTGGGCTGTGCCCACGGGGATAGTTTCCATGTCAGACTCCCTTGTTGGAGAGTCTGTTGCTGTTAACTTCTCCGACTTAGACATGACGGGTGGCTGGACAAGTTAGAATGTCGCTGATACTGATGTTGGCAAGTCGATAGGAGTGGACGATAGAGGCAGCGCGGGCTTCCAGTCAACAGCTCTTGTTAAACGAGTGGCCAGTTGAGAGGAAGGTGGGGGCTAGCATGATATATATCTTTCCCTAATAAATGATACTTTACCCGACGAGCTGCAAGGTTGTTGCCCGAAGCCCGGCCGGTTGGTGAGATTTGTTGTCTCGATCCTTCGCATTGCCTCTCGGTCAAGGATTTTGACCGCTGCGCAAGGACGTATGAAGGGGGCCTTGATTTGTGTCCTAGGCTTATCATCCAGACGACCTGGAAGGAACTAGGCATGCCAGTGGGGCGGGTGGTGGTGACTTATCGAAACACCGCTAGTCGGCGCCGTAGCCCTAAACGGGACCAAAGGGTGCGCGCTAATCAGTGATAATAGATAGGGGCGCAACCAGGGACGATAGCTTGGCAGAGGCCCCGAGATACATGGGGTGGCCCGGATAATCTACCTACAGGACGAGAGCCCACAACGCATGGGGGTCTGACACCGCTAGGTCGGTAGGCATGGATGTCGATGTCCCTCGGCGTGCCATGGGATCTCTTTCGGGGACGTACTGCCCATTTTTGAACACGCCGCCGAGCCACGATTCGTCGACTGGGGAGTTTATCCATCCCAGAGGAACAAGCTACCCCGGGAAGCCTGGACATTTTGTTGGAATTGCTCTTCTTCCATAGGCCACTGCAGTGCGGGGAAGTGGGGCAAGCCTTGGGCATGCACCGTTGCTCGCCCTTGGTTCATCAGCATTGGTTCGAATTATTACCAGAGTGTTACAGTCCAGGTCTAGGTCAAGCATCTGAACAGATTGACTATCTCATTGTCGCTCGTGAGACCGCACGTATCAACTGATAGGAGGGGAGTTACATGTAAGTTTGTGCATAGCAAAATTGATCCGGGGCCATATGACCTTGTCGGGACGCCGCCAATTCCAAGTCTCGCAGTGGCGAGGGCTTGACCGGGATTGGGAAATGGGCTCACAGCTACGAGATATGCTGGATACGAGTTACGCGTCAAGGACTTTTTATTTAGGGATGTACTGCTCAAGGGGGTCTTATCGACGGCTTAGAGGAAACGACACCCATGAAATCGAGCGACGACGGAGCTAGAATGAAAGATTCAAGAAATTTTCTATTGATGATAGTTCTAGAGTAGGTGTCGTTCAGAAGAACGTCGCCACGGAGCGTTCTCATTATCCATCCGCGTAATCTTCAAACCTTAGCGAACAGCTATTTTGTCCTTTCCTACCTTGCGACTTTCTACATTGTAGTCGCCTCCTGCAGGCAGAGCTAGCTCCTCGATGGAGCCTGGCTTGTAACTCCTGACATCAGCTGCTAAGTGGTCGAAGTGCTTCTCAGACTGGCTCGTGATATCGTATTCAATGACCCACTCGGGACGTGGAAGGTTGAGCACCTGGGGGTTCTTCTTGATTTCCTCGCCATCAAAGTCGGCATTGTGATATCCATCCCTCACAGAGATCGACGCCATGTGTGTAACGTGCGAGCGGTTGAAGCGGATCCTTTCAAAGACCCGAAGAGCTAAAGGTACGTCTCCCTTGGCCCGGTCCAGCGACACAGCTAGGGCTACTCCGTCCTCCATTGCCTGAGCGCCACCCTGCGCCGAGGTGGGCAAGTGGCAGTGAGCAGCGTCACCCATCAAAGTGATGCGAGCTGATGGGCTCAACCAGGTCTTGATAGGGTCACGCCATACAAGTTTGTAATCAACAAGCTTATGCTCGGGCGTCGCCTTGACGACCTCGATTAACTTTTGTTCAAATCCACCATCTATCAGACAGGCTAGAACATCGTCCTTCTTTCCAGGGAAGGACCAGGATTCGCCAATGTCTTCCGTGTCCTAACGCAAGAGAAAATGAGTGAGATGTGACTTCCTTGACAATAAACGACCTTTTAGTGGGTAACAATGGGTGGAGTGGTTATACCTTATGCGTTAGAACCCAGCCGATGCTTGTCCCCTTCATCCATGTATAAATCACCATGTGTAGATCCTTTGTAATCCACAACTTTGTCATATCTGTTGTTGGGTCGCAGAATGGCGCGAGATACTGGTTCTTCTTGTGTTCCTCGGTCAAGCTATACTGCGCGCGAAAGATGGCATATCCACTGTTGACTTTGGTATCTGGGAGGCCAAGGACTTGTTGGCGCGCAACCGACCGGGGTCCGTCCGCCGCCACCACGACATCGGCGACGTGCGTCTTTCCGGACGCGGTGACGACGCTCGGCTTCTCGCCGTCAATGTACTGCACGACGCGTTCCCCGAGAAGAAACTCGACGCCGAGTTCGACAGCATAATCGAACACGACCTTGTGCATCTGGCCTCGGTGGCCGCCGTACTGCCGCCAGAAATGATGGGGTTCTAGAAGCCAGTCCTCCTCCCACATGACCGTACCATCGGCCTTGCAATACTGGAACTTGTCGCCTTGGTTGATGCACACTTTCATCAGGTCGCGTCCGACACGGCCATTGTCCCAAGCCTCGATGATGCGGCCACCATTAGGGAAGAAGTCGATGATGTCTCCGTACTCCAGACTCGTTGGGTAAGTCTCGATCACCGTCACATCCATGCCACGAAGACGACACTCAATAGCCGCAGTGAGGCCGCCGAAGCCGGCCCCGACAATGAGCACGTGAAGTTTGCTATTAGACATGTCTAGTATGAGGTTCAGGGTAGGATATAATGTTGGTGAGATGATATAAAAAGAAGGATAGCTTGATAGCTTGGCTCGGAGGTCGTAAAGATCGGAGGCAAACAATCATAAGGAGCCACTTGTCGGGCTTTATGCGCGCGATAGTTTGTTTTAGAAAAAGTCTACGACCGGGTTTGTAAAATTGAGCCTCGCCTATCGTCGCGGTGAATGCTGGATCTCTGGGTCTGAAATCGAATGTAGCTTCGGAATCCCCGCCGTGTCGACCGATTAGATAGGCCAGAAGGTTGGATGTACTGAAATGGGCGTCCGTATTTCTCCTAGCTTCAAGCTCAGCTTCTTTTGGAAGGAATCCTGATCGTATCGGAATTTACTCTTTCCCATTGAGAAAGTGGTTAAGAAGCTTGGGAAATTCCGAGTTCTTCCAATCCCGGGAGGCCTATTCGACAAGTCCCAAAAGGGGGCGGGGCGCTTCGATGTCGATAACCCACTAGGGTCAAGGAAGAATTCGTGATTGGTCCCAGTTCCTGGACCTCTTGAAGAAACGATTTTGTGCGCTAGTAGAAAGGTTGCGCAAGGTCCTGGAAGGTAAACCTGTGATTATTAGCAATCAAGGTAGCGTATGGATACCGTCACTAATAGCGTGGAGACAGGATAAGTGGGGAGTTGTGATTCGGACACGAGAACAGCAGCAGCGGTTGATTCATCGTGGAAAGGGTCACACGAGGTCATGTGGTCTATTTTGTCTATCTAGAACTTCCTTGTCTCCGCGTTGGATGCACCCATGAACCGAACAGCCACAAAACACCCCAATGCGATGGCATAGGCCAGCCCAGCGAACAATATGAGCCCAAGATAACTTCCGCCTGCCGCCTCCAGAATCTGACCTCCAAGTGGCACTCCGATAAGCGAGCTAGACCCGACTCAGTCAGCTTCCGGCCGATATGCACGTGTTACGCTGGGCGGGATGGGGTGGTGATTTTAAGTACTTACCCAAAGCTCCCGATACTGTAAATCGCGGTAAAAGTTTTGCCGTAATCTTCTGTAGCACAGAGCTGCCCTATGCAGACTGGCACAAGGCTGATACCACTTCCACTGCCAAGTCCGAAGAGGAGCACAAATGCGGTCAGGCCGGCCACCGTGGGACCGGCGGGCAACCAAATCCCTAACACCGATACTAAACACAGCGCGAGCGCAATTATTTGGGCGTTGAATCTTCCAATCTTATCGCCCAACCACCCCGGCAGCCAGCGACCAAGTAGAGACCCGACGTTAAGGAGAGTGATCATTCGATACGCTACGTGACTAGACATGCCCCGGGATACTGCGTAAGAGGCTACGTAAGTAAGGGGTATAAACAGACCTAGCTCGATAAACAGAGCACCCAGTGCCATAATGGAGAGCCGTGGCTTTAGCAGGATGCGTAGATCTGGAATGAACGCCAACCGCGAAGGCCCGCGCGAGATAAGTCGGCGACGCATGAGAAGGGTTCCAACGACAACAAACGGAACCATCATCAAGGCCATCGCCCTCATGGTCCAGGCGAACCCAATCCTGGGTACTAGGGTGCTGATGATGATTGAGAGACGATGCCGCCGACGCTGCCGCCAGAGATGGCCATCCCGGTCGCTAGACCCCGGCGCCGAAGAAACCAGTGCTGAACCGAGCCGACGGCTGGTGTGAAAAGCAAGCACGTCGCCAAACTTCCCAGGCCACCAAAGGTGAGAAAGAAGTGCCAGTATTCTGAGCAGTTGGCCAGTGCGATGTACGTCGTGACCAATAACACCCCGCCGCACAACGATAGGTGCCGGGGCCCGTAGGCGTCAAAGACCGGGCCGAGCGGGAGACCAGCGAAGAAGCTGAAGAAGTTGTAGAATCCGAAGATCCACCCGATACGCCCCGGGCTGCTGGACTTGAGCTGGTTCTCTGAAAGATAGTCGCGGTATACTCCCACCGAGTTCATCATAGACAGGGCCGCAAAAAGCGAACAGAAGGAGCCGAAGACGCAAATCCAGGCCGCCTTGCCGCCGTCGGGATACTCGTCTGGTGTCTCGGGAGTATTGGGGGCTTCTGCCGGCTCCTCTTCTGCCTCCTGATCAATTGGGGGTGCAGGATTCATCGTATGGTAGCTCTGGGCTGCCGAAAGGCCTTGGCCTTGTTGAAGATGGGCTTGATCCATGGTTAGTGGTGATTTGGAGTATTCCACGATAGTAGGAACTTGGCGACTCAAAATCCAAAAAGAATTGTAGATCTAGAGCTCTTTCTCGATTCTATTGAGCTTTGATGGGAACTCTCGCGGTTGCTTGGAATACCCGACTGTTCTCCGGGTTGGCAGAGGCCGTTGCCCGGACTTGGATCAATACGCTATTGGCTCAGGAACAATGACCACCACCCCGCTTGGGCAGGCGACCAGAGCTATTCCACGACACAGCTAGCGTTATGCCCTCAAGCCCCCAACAGAGCCCAGCGGCTATTTAATAACTCGGTGGATGACAGGCAATCATTATCACCAACACTGAACTATCACCATCATCAATCCAGCATTATCAGCGTGATCCTGAATCGTTCCTTGCCCACCTCATATTATCTATTCTTTCAGCACGTTCCTCATATATACTACATCATGGTTTTCGAGTGGCAAGATGAGGGCAAACTCCACCGAGTGCCAAAGCTTGAGCCTGGTCCGCCCAACGTCTACTTTGGTATGTCGTCACATTAAACCTATCGAAATCTGCGTTATAAGGCAGTCTCAGGACCAAAAGTATTAACGGATTCTCTAGGTGATGTCTTCAGCACGTCGTCCAAGGACGCTGCGAATCCTCTGACTGGCTCCTTTTTCCTCCTTGAGAAGTTGGAGAACCCTGACCCGGCTCCCAAATACGACTACGATGAGAGCGGCGTGGTATTGAAGGGTAAGCTTTGGGGGTGTGTTTCGAGCTTTACCCATGATACATGCCGACTAACATAGGGCTGCGTGCCTAAATCTAGGTGAGCTACACATTTCTGACGAAGAGGGCAACACTGCCAAACTCTCGCCCGGTGACACATTTTTCATTCACCGGGGTAGCACCATTGTATTCTCAACCCCCGCCATGCGGTAGCGTACAAGGTAGCAGCTCGTCACAAGATGCACTGAAACTCTGAAAGGGGAGAAGATGACAGCATTTATGAGTCCGCTGGCAGTTCAAAGCGTGATCTGGTCCGAGGCCATAGAACTATAGACCTTTATGTAGATTGAAAATATAAAATCCCGCCCATCCTCTTGCTCTGTCGGTGACGTCGTCTCACAACTTGGCCATGTTCGTAGTTATAAGATAGTTGTCTTGTAGGTAGTTAGACGCGTCTACATAAAGTCGCATCACGGCATATCATTTGCATAGAAAAGATACCTTCAAGACCCTGACTCATGTCATGATCGCAGACACATATCCTACATATATACTTGATTGTGCTATATACAGGATTAAAAATGAGCCCCTCTACTTATGCTTCCTTTTCTTACCCTTTCTCCTATCAGCTAATTACAATACCCTGACAAAAGGCCAGAGATAGTTGAATCCACAGTACGCCAGGCCTCCCGTGGTGGAGATGATAGCGCTCAGCACCAAGATTCCACCAGTGACGATTCCCTAGTAGAAGAAACCAATGCCATTTTGCCTCTCAGGACGCTTTATATCTGGTAGAGGAGCGCTAGCCTCAGCCTTAAGCTTATGTAGCTACGGGGAGATGGCGCTGGTAAGGATGCTCTCGATGCGGGAGATGAGGGCGGGCGGGCTTGGGGATGGTGAAGAGAGATGCGGGGTAGCGAGTGTCCTCGGCATGGTCGAGAGGCTTGCTAACGTGGGCGACGGGGCTGACTGGATAGGGTAAGGTGTGTTAGTTAGGCAACTCAATTGATGAGGTCTACCAAAGATAAGATGGACCGAACTTACAGAGGAGGTTGGTGGGGGTGCGTGATATGCCGTATCTCCTCCTCTATTGAAACCTGCGTGCTATTAGGTTTGCTGGTTAATGAATAATAATTAATACTCGCATCTACCATACACCTCTAGAAGATAACGAGGCCGCATAACGATTTGGCTCGCTGTCTTTTGGCGGCAAGTGAGGCTTGCCCCATGTCGTGACCTAGATGGCGGAGGATGGTGTTTGCTTCATTGTCTACCGGCCAATCTGGCAGATCCAGATATGATAAACGTCCTAGCAGAGATTCCTATTCTTACAATTCAAGTGTAGCACATCATCCAGGGTTCGAGGAAAATCGGGAATCCCATCTCCTGTTGTGATTGAGCAGAGAGGCTCAAGAAGAGCTTGTGAAGCTGCGGGGACACGGCGCCGGCAAGGATGCTCTCGATGTGGGAGATGAGGGCGGGCTTGGTGATGTACCGGGGCTTGGGGACGGTGAAGAGAGACGCGAGGTAGCGAGTGCCCTCGGCATGGTCGAGAGGCTTTGTGGCGATCTAGCGATCCTCAGAAAATTGTCCACGGTGTAGGAATTCAGGCACATTATGAAGCTGAGAGTCTCGTTTCGCAGTTTCCTCTTTGTAATGTTCACTAAGACTTTTACATCATAAACGAATTTAACGAACAAAGCCCCGCGATTGATGAGCTCTATCTCTCTACTGTGGGGAGTGTAAGATATTTTACCGTCTTTGTCACCAGCCATCCGTCCAGCGCTTCCTCCCCGAGATCACGACCGAACCCGGACTGCTTCACCCCCAAAGGGCGTGTTGGAGTGTAGCATACCCCAGCAATTTATGGTAACCTGGCCACTCTCTAGGCCCGCGGACACACGTTGCGCTCGGTTCACGTCATTTGTGAAAACTGCGGCGCTGAGACCGTACTCACTGCTGTTGGCCTTGGCGATAACTTCGTCTTCGGTCGAAAATTTGGCAATAGACTAAACCGTCAATTAGCACTGACCTACAATCCACATGAGAAAGCTGCACGACTTGCCGCCACGGGGCCAAATATCTCTTCCTTCATAATAGCCGCATCGTCGGGCACGTCCGCGAAGGCGGTGTTTGGGACGAAATATCCCTTTCCAGACATGTCTTCACCTCCCATGAGCAAGCGGATGCCGGACTCTTTGGCATGATGGATGTAGTCAAGAATTCGTGAACGTTGCTTGTGGCTGATGACCGGACCTTTAGTGGTTTCGGGTTTGAGCGGGTCGCCGTGGGCAGTCTTGATCAATCTCTCAGCAAAAGCAAGCAGGAAGGCATCGTAGATACTGGCATGAATGTATATGCGAGAGCCTGCCGCGCACACCTGGCCATTGTTGGCGGTGAAGCCAAGCGTTGTCCAGAATAGGGCATTGTCCAGATCTGCGTCCGGAAACACGATCGAGGGCCCTTTGCCGCCAAGCTCCAGGGTGACCTTTTTCAGGTTAGACGAGGCAGATGCCTGTAGGATTTGTCTGCCGACCGCGGTGCTGCCAGTGAAGGCAATTTTTCGAACGGTGCAATGTTCCGCCAGAGCCTGGCCTGCAACGGACCCCTGGCCGCAAATGATATTGATAACACCTGCAGGGAAGCCGGCCTCCTTGATAAGAGCGGCCAGTTTCTGGCCGTAGAGTGGAGCAAGCTCCGGAGTCTTGATAATGAGGACGTTTCCGGCGGCGATGGCTGGCGCAAGCTTCCAGATGGTGATCATGCTAGATCAAACGAGGTTCGTTAGATAACGCTTGTTTGTTCCCAGAGGCAGCCGAGTGATAATGTCTTTGTGGTGCGGATGAGTACTTACAGGGGTGCATTCCAAGGAATGATGGCGGCGCATACCCCGATTGCCTCACGTCGGGTGTAAGCGTAACCTCCGGGGATGTTCAAAAGACTTCCCGAGATCTTATCCGCCCAGCCAGCAAAGTACCGCAACGTTTCGGTTGCCTGTGGGATGTGCAGCGCCTTGGATTCGCCAAACAAGACACCTACGTCGAGGGCCTCGAGGCTTGCGAGGTCATCTACATCACGCTCGATGAGATCAGCGAGGCGGTGGAGCAGCTTGCTTCTCTCTGTGGGCAAGGTCGTCTTCCACACGCCCTGGAAAGCGGCCTGTGCGGCCGCCACGGCCGCGTCGACATCCTTTTTCTGCGCAGCGGCCACGGAGGCAAGGATATCGCCGGTTGTGGGATTCTCCACCTCAAGCAGCGCGCCTCCCTCAGCATGTCTAAAGTCATTATTGATAAAAAGACCCGTATTTACTAAGTGGGAATTGGAGATCACATGTCAGCAACCGAAGCAAGACTTCTTCTACCACCGCGTTCGTCATGAACCAAAAGCCAACTGATACGTACAGGTTACGGTCTTCCCTCCGAAACCAACGAGGTGTGTGTCACACATCTTGTCCTACGCACGAAAGATGTTGGCTCTGTATAGTGATGTCTTGGGAAATGCTGCAGTAGATGACAAAAGCGATCCTAGGACGAATTAGAGTAAACGACTGAATGCAATGGTGCGTAGTATTTGATGAGTGTCTCTATGAAGCACCCTCCTTCGCATTATTATTTACATATATCTGGGCCCTTGACCCATGACCCATATGAATCGCTCGCCGGAGCTTGCGGACCAGTCACATTAAATTCCACCTTTAGCGCGCCAGAGGGCGACTACCCGCCGGCGACTGACTGCCGCTAAAACGGGGAGCGGGGAATCTAACTTGCACCCGCAGCCGAGCCTAAACACAAAGTTGGGGGCTTTTACGTTCCCCGTCTTCAATTGATGGCTGACCCGACGCTCTAGGGGAGCACTGGTTGCTCGACAGGCAGGACGGTAGGTGCCGGCCCCAATGGCTCCGTCCACACCCGATAGAATCGGGTAGACAGCAATACTGTCGGCTGGAGATGTCCGGCAGGTCTGCTGTTATTTTCCTAGGCCAAAAATGTTTATTCAATTATACAGAGAAAGTGAAGGGTAGCCAAACAAAAAGGACTAAAATATAGAAGAAAGATCCACCGTGTCGAAAGAGTAGGGTTGTTAAGCTGCTGGGATAGAAAATTCGTCGATGTATTGATGTTATTCTCGGCGGTGGCACGGACAATGTTCGAACTTCAGAGGATTATGTTATAGTAGAAGGATGCATCGCTGGGCTACAGATATTGATAGCGAACATTGCTCGCTGAGATCGCCCTGGAGGAGACACCACCTCCATGCAATTTGGGAGCGTATTTTGACCGGCCCCTTTACTCTTTCGATCGGCGCCGACATTTCTTGCCGATGGGGGTTACCCACGATGGGGATTTCGGGATTACCGGGTTGAAGAAAGTCGACAACTTCAAATTTGGTGCAGTCGTCCTGCGCGCCACGCTGAGGCACAGGCATTACAACTGGCTGATGGTTCGCGGCGGAAATCATGGTGCATACTCGGTATGCTCCAGGAGGAAGGCCCCCTTCCACCGTCGCGTAGAGCAGTCCGTGTCCATCGCCGGAGTCGAGAATCCCGGAGAAGAATACAAATTCCCTTGGGTCAGGAGGAGTCGAGGACTGGAAGGACCCGATATCCTGGATAGCGATGTGGCAATGACCGAAGATGTCCCCATTACTGTCGAGGTCCTGAGGAGCCGTATAGTAATTGGTGGCTGGGTTGACAAAATAGCCGGCACTAAGATGTGTGGTCTGGACCGAAACAACGAAGTTCGTGTAGGCGGGGATTCGGGCAGCATGCTTGGGGTTGGTGATGATGGCCGAGACCATGTTGTCGACGGAAGGAAGCCGACCCATGGGGATACCATTGCAGGAGCCGGCAGCATTCATCTTGCCGTTTGTGAGCTCTTGGCCATGGCAAAAGTTTATAAAGTTGTTGGCATCTGTCGCGGAAGGCGCCTGCCCCGGTTCCAGTCCCTCGGTTCCCGGCTCCTGTCCCGAAAATGCGCTGGAATCCTGGATCAAGTCGGGCTCAAGGCAGCTCCCCGGATAGCTGGCCGAAGCCCCCGCACGACCCCGGCGGAGATAACGAGGGCGCCGTAATAAAGTAATCGAAACATGTTTGCCCGAGATAAGAATGTGGGAGTTGTCGCAGTGTAGCCCCGTGTGAGTATCGAGGGAACCGGTCGTCGAAGAGATGTCGCCGTGGATACAAAGAGAGAAAAGGAAAAAGCAGGAGACAAAGAACAAAAAATGAAAAAATATAGCAGAGAGCGAGTGTCGAGAAGAAAAGACGATAAAGAAGCGAAGGATCAAGGCCGCGGCAGCACCTTGGCTTCGACGCTGGGTTTATATCGTCCGGCTTTCTCCATGTTTGCGGAGTGTCTCTCTTTGACTTGCTCTTTTTCTCTCTCATGTTATTTCAGGTCGCGCCCTATCCAAAAACGGGCAGGTTGAGCCTTACCGCGACCGGGGTGGTGGTGATCGGCGGTCAATCCCAATCCCACCAAGCCACCAACGGCGGTGGTGCACATCCTCGCTGACCTCCCGCGAGACATCCGCCACCTATCGCATTAGCGATCGGGCGCTACAAAGGAGGGAAAAAGATCCTCTCTAAAGGAAGGAAGCGTCCGTCGGATATCTCGGGGGCTCTGATTTAAGCATCCGAGCTCCTTGTCCGGGTTGCGGCCCCCACGTCGACCTCGAGATCTCCCAGATCCTCATCGGGGAAACCCCAAATCGATACCTCACGATCGAAGTGACCATGCGAACTCGGGGTACCCACAACTACCAAGGGAATGCCCTCACCCTTGTGGCATCGTAGCCTTCGTCCCAAAGGTGCTTGGGTTGTCTGTCCGCTGGGGAAGGTGCACCACGGACCACCTCATCCGAGGGGCAGGGGAGCGAAGGAGCGCGCTAATCAAAGGGAGCCGGCACTTGGGAAAGCCGAGGATGACGCGCAATATGCGATGCTGTCCAAAAAGACAAGAAATGCACGAAACTACTGGTGTGACGAGAAAGTCTTTTTCTACGAATAGGTGGTCAAGTCTAGCCTAGCACTAGCTAGGGGCGCTGCGGAGAGGTAGAGAAGCGTTGGCCATCAAAGGACACCGACGAGCCGGCTGGTGGGGGTTCCCGCCCCTAGTCGTGATGAAAAAAATTTGGAATCAGTCGCACAAGCCAAGCGTTGCGAGCGGGGGATCGACATGCCCGCCCTTGTGTGCCTGGAGGTTTCCGCTCCGGCGCCATCGTCCGAGGATGCAAGGAGTGCGTTAGCCTCTTAGGCGCCGAGTAAGACCCCCTGCACGCCTAGAAATAGAGGACCGGGAATCGGGCCTATGGTTTTACGAGACCTCGCGCGCAGAGGGGCGATGGAGCTGTAGCCATAGGATATTGCACGCAATCCACAGGCTCAATGGCCCGGTATCTAGACCTCAACTTCTTACATGTAGAATTTGCAGAAAGGGGAAACCAAAACCAAAAACACAATGCTAGAAGAATCGTTTGCGGATTGTCACCGATCCCATCTTGCGCCGCGGCATGTCTGCCACCCGGTGGCGGCGGGGCCTGACTGACGATGAAAGATCCACGGATGAGACTGAAAGAGCCAGCAGCCTATAAGCTGTGCGGCCTCGTACCCATCGTACAGAGTCAATATCACAATGCAGATTGGACTTGGTATTTATTGACATCAATTTACCGAAGCAGGTACTCGAGTCCTAGCGACGCCCACAGCTAGCTCTTCAGCCAAGGCTGTCCACCGCCTCTCCTCTGTGTCCTGGCTTGCATGGTAGATCTCCAGCGCTAAAACTATATGGTGCTTGTCAAAGAAAAAAAGAAAGGAAAGAAAAACCAAAGGTGCGTGGGGAGGCGCCAGCTGACGCTGCAGCTCGAATCAGTCGAACAACAGCCTCGATCCAATGCGCCTACTCGTACATCGCCGAGTTTACGCCATCAATATCATACCCCTAGTCAATACAATCCTCGAGAAGCGCCATTTTCTACCTGAAGAAGCTTCAAACATATGCCGGTATTCCCAAGGCCGGCACGAAAATCAGGAAACATGATTGTCCCAATCTATATCTAGATACGACGGCATCGAATATGCTTCGAGCTCCTCTCGCTACCTTGGCAGCTGGGGGAGGGTATGCGTGGGTATCGGGACTTGGGCCCTTTAGAAGTGTCTGTCCATATGGGCCTGATGGCCATGAGAACCCGGCTGGCTAATGCTGCGGAGGCTTACCGAAGACGGAGTTCTTTGATACTTTTACTGTCGCTAAGAAGAAGGGTTACCGCCACAATGCCTTCGGTAGGTAGCAGGCGTGCAATTGATCAGTGTCGTTATATTGGCTATCAACTGGCCTTGCTATGTCCTGTTGGGCGCGAATGGCCTGCTCGTCAATCATCTATTTACCTTGAAGATCAAGGCTTGAACAGCGTTAGGTGGACCTCGAGAGCGCCCCATCATACATGGATCGTTTTTGTTTCGGACAGCGAGGAGGCTAGGATTGAACGGTCGGCCGTAAAATATGACGAAGAATGAGTCCGTGGAGAAGATCGGCGGAATAAAAGTCCCAGTCGATCCAATTCGATAACCCCTCCTAGCCCAATCCGTAGTTAATCTTGCCCCAAAACTATCATGCGGAGGATGAGGACTTGTGGGAAAGCCAGTTCACCATGCGTCAGGCTTCTTTGAACTGGAGTGCTCGGCATGGTAGCCGACGGTTGAAAGCTTGAAAGAGTCGCTCATTCGCTGTTATTCTAGTTCGTAGGTGAGGTGAGATATTATTGGGACTAGCTAAATAGCCACAGTAGATCCTCTATCTGTTTCCATGGGGGTTTCTCGTACGGGCAATCTGGGTCTTGAATTTTGGATCGTTATTTGTTAAATACTGTCTAATCCCCTTCAGCGTATTGTGAGGCTGCTACTAAATCGCCCGTCACCATCAAGCCTCCGTAGACCCTAGATCTGCAGCTGGGAACCTTTTGTGAAGGCCACCTTCGTCCACCGAGCCATGACGTTAAGGAAATTCCCCGTAGACGTAAAATAAATACTCTAGCTCCTTCCAAAATGTTCTCTTAGACGAACCCCTATCTCCAGTTTGCTACGTTGGCATGAGGGCATTGGGCAGTAGCACGGCGCTGTCGATTCGGGCCACACGTCGCCGCCCTTCACGGCATTTGAATACGCAAAGCAGGACTCAAAGGCGTCGGAGCTCCGAAGTCCAAGGCAAACACAGCCCCCGAATGCGTTCATTTACGTTCCAGTCCTTTTTGGGCTATTCGCAGCCAATATCGGGCCCGATGTGCGTTCGCTGACTGTTCTGGCTGGCGGGGAAGGGAAATATTCCGAATGACGTCAAATCCAACTTGCCGCACCAGTCGCGTTGGCCGTCGCGTCACGCACCCACCCACTTTGCCACACCCTCTTGATTATCTTGATTCAATTTAGCCCTGCTGCGAGTGACGTCAAAAATGGCGTAACCCGCAATATGCGATGCCTCAGGGCGTCGTCGCAGATGGTAGATGGAATCGAGTATAATACACAACGACCCTGCGCGTTTTGTGATGGTTGGAAATTATCAGATCGTCAACAATATTCAACTCAACGCCTAAACAATCAATTTTTGCATCTTTAAGTGTCTTCTCGCACGTTTATCTCTCAGCACAAAACACAATGGAGTGGGCAAAGCAGACCTACAATGACCAGTACGAGAAGTGGATGCCGTGGATCGAGGATTTCTATCTTCGCTGGTTCACCAATGACAACAAGACTAGCTATGTTGCTAAGCGTAGGTTTCGATCTTGCCCAGACGGCGTTGTTCGAGATACGCAAATGTGCGACCCTACTAACACGTATGCTTTTCCTTCCCACAGAGAACCTCGACAAAACCAAAGTCACAGGCATCCAACAAGTCGATACCCTGCAAGACGGAGTACATAACCTAGTGGCAGGCCAGGTCGGGCAAGGCGGACTTCTCCAGCCTATCGGGGATCTTGCATCCCGGGAGGGCATCAATCGAGCCGAGCGACAGGGCAAGGACGACCAAGGAGGTTACGTGCCCGGCGCAAGCTCCGTTCCCGGCGGCCAGGCCCTTAACAACGGTGTCGGCGCGACCGCCAATGGCCTCCAGGCTGCCGGAGGTGCTGCCGCCAATGGCGTCATGAACGCTGGAGGCTACGTCGGCGGGCTATTCGGTGGCGGCCAGAAGAAGGTTGAAGAAAATGGCCAGCAGCGCCAGTGATCGGTGACGTTAGCGAACTTGCGATATCTATGGAGACTCGGTTTAGGTGCAGATGGGGTCAGAACGGGATGATAATAATTATGGGATACCCTTTGGAGGATTTTTGGGCGTTTAGCTTTGCTTTTCCCCATCAGGGGTGTTATATGTATTTGGTTTGATAAGGAAGTAAATTTGAATACGCGACTACAACGATAAGGGTATCTATCTGTTCATATCTATCAACGTCTGTTCGTCATGAAGAGTCCACTTTCAGCCCCCTTCACTTCATGCAGGCTCATTGTTCTTCTCGTCCATGCAAATGCACATGGCCGCGGCAAGCGCCATATCGACGTTGGGAGCCACAGTTACGGTGTAGGTCTGTTGGCCGGCCAAGTAGTGCTTGGCCGTTCGTTGGCGTCGAATACTAGCCACGACAAAGCCAGTGGCTTGGTCCACAATCTCCGCGCTAGACGAACGCCAGTTCCCCTTCATGACAAGCACCTCTTGTTTTCCGCTATTCGATTGGAAGGTAATGGTGGCTTTGGAGCCGATAACTGTTTGACACATATATGCATGAGCGCCAGGAACATAAATATATTTAGGATGGACGTGAGGTTTGGGGAAAAATATCGCTCGATACGCGCGAACAAGGCGTCGGGAACTTGACAACTTACATGTGGTGAGACTGCTCTTCACCTCGAGGATAGTTTGTCCAGTGGGCTTTTCCACCAAAAGGTCGGGCGCAACGTCAAAAGCTTGCTCGTAATGGTGAAGAGGTGGTTGTTGGCCATGTCAAAGACTTCCTTTCGACCTCGGAGGGACAAGGCATTGCCTTGGACCCTCAATAGCGGGGCGCCGGAAGCAAGCTTGATATCGAAGCTATCGCCGGACAAAGACATGCCTTTCTCATCTACGATGAGGGTCTCGGTCTGCCTCGCCAAGAACGTGTCAAACACGCCGATGGGCTGAGGGGCAGGAGGAAGGGCTTGCATTTTGGGTGGGAGTGGTGATGGTAGGACGCAAAATCTAGAAAGAGAATATTGAGTATTTTGGACGCGCCAAGACAAGCAGATTTAATCGAAAGGTCAATGAGCAAAAGGAAGATGGCCAAGTTCCTGGGGCCTCCAGAGCTATATACACCCGCTCGAGGTTAGTATCCTCTTAGCGGATGCTGGCGCTGACAGCTGAATGCCAGGTTTTAGTCAATGTGGCGGAGCATTAAAGAGGGTGCTTATTGGTTGTGTGGCAATGCCAAACTTGGGATCTGGGGGCCGTGTCACGGAGGCCCAATCAGAGTGTTACGGCCTGTCCAGGGATGTCATCACGGTCTACCCGACGACTACGATATACCCGACTACCCGAGACGCTGCGCCGAGAGCGCGAATTGAAGTCGGGGGTAGTGACAGGATTCTAGACGGGCGCATAAAAAGGCGAATGGAACAAAATAAGAGGAACAGAAAAACGGGGTTTATTAATCGTATTTTCATACATCTACTGAAACCGCTTGCCGACCTCCGGTCGTGGTGAATCAAAGCGTGACAAGTATGCCACTTTCGGGTTCTTGGGTGGCGCACGTGTATCAATTGAGCTTTTACGCCCATTTCCCTAGCAAAGCCATTAACCCCGCGCCGAGACACATGCACGCAAATGCCGCGAGCGTGGTGGAGAGGGGACTTCTACGCATGTCGGTATTGAAAAGGAATTCGTGCGCCATGAGCTCGACGAGCCCGGTATACAAAAGAATACCGGCAGAAACGGAGTCAAACACCCCGTTGATGATGAGCGACGAGGAACTTCCTGGCGTCAGCCGGCCGCGGACGCCCAAGCCTGCCGCGATGGCGATGGGGTGGACAGGCCGTAGAGAACGGCCAAAGATACGGGGCCCAGCCCTTGCCGCGGGGCCAAGTCGCGGCGGCGAGACGTGAGCCAAGGCCGAGGCCCTCGAAGAATTGGTGGAAGACGAGGACGATGTAGAGGACGACAAACTCGTCGCCCGAGACAGCGAGGGTTAAGCCGATGAAGATGGAGTGGAAGATGACGCCGAATTCGAGGATGAAGATGGCCGTCATCTGCATCGCCATGGACTCGAGGTCGGAGTGCTCTCCCGCGTGGCTTAGATGTCTGTCCGTGGGGGTCGCAGCTTCGAGATTATCACTCGCGGCAGTTTCCGTCTTCCCGGGGTCCACCTCTACTTGCACGAAGATTCACTCGTTAGTATTCGCACATTCCGGTAGTAATGGTGCTCCTTTGCAGCGTTGTCGTTTTGTTTTTGCTTCTTCTTTTCATCGGGGATTTTGTCTTACCGGGATCTGTGCTCTTTGCCTGCTGACCGGGGTTTGAGAGAACCCGGGTACTCCGTACCGACTCGAGATTAGCTCGATGAAGAACATGAAAAATACCGTCATCAGCGCGATGCCTTCAGCCCACGAGTATCGCGTGATTGGGCTATCTGGGTCGATGCAAGGCGATGTAAGCGCCTCCACCGCCGGCGCGAGAAGGTGGATAAAAGCCGTTGCGACGATCACACCGGAACCAAAATACTTGGCAATGAAGAAGGCCGCGCGCGGGGTTTCTACGCGACTAGATCTGGCCAAGATGACGGGCATGAGGGCTCCGAGGAGAGACCCGACAAGGATGACAAAAATGGAGGAGACGCGGAGCCCGATGCGGCCATCGTAGTCATTTTCGGGCCCGCATTCCGTCTCCACCGTGAAAGTATCCCCTGCAGACTGCCGCCGGAAGAGCACGGCAAACGCCGATGACGGGCCGGCCATGTCGTTGGAACAGAGTCGTAGCAAGTCGCTCTCGTGATGTGATTGGGTTGGGGGACCGGGAACGGGTCACGAAATTTGGTGACAGTCGGGCGAGCGTGAGGTGACAGACTCCTTCCATGCAAGGACCAACTGACGTGCAGATCAAAGACTTGCGCCGAGTGGAACGGTTGAACAGACCATGTCGTGAAAGCATAATTTCTTGGCGAGCCCGGGCTTGGCATTGGCCCGTTATAAGGGAGGCGGCCGAGAGAGAAGGAGGACGGGGGCAAGGACCCGGATGGCACTTTGGGCCCCACACGATTCCCACGGCCGGTTAGATCGGAAGACGGGCCTATCACATTCGGGCAGAGGAAAAAACTCACTCGACGGAGCTAGACGCGTCATGGTCCTTTCTCCATCAGCCCTACTGGTAACCCTCGCCTTGGGTTGTGTTGAAAATCCCGAACTTTCCTTTCCTTTTAGTGGTCCTGGCTTCACGGCCGTCGCGGTCCTTTGGCGGTGCGCCCCGCGCTTGGGGAAATGGTGTGCCGCTTTAGCCGTTTTCAAGGGCTATCTTGTAAGGACAGGGAGGACTAGCCTGTTTTTGGCATTCAACGACTGATAAGTGAGTACCCTGATGGCCTAAAGGATTGGTGAAGGAGATACGCCGAGGACGCATGTTGCGTTTGATACCAACGCGGAAAGAGCCGTTCGGTGAAAGGAGACCAGGTGCGTCTCTTTGTGAATGATAAAATCAGGGCTTGGGGGATTGTTTAAACTACAATAAATCAATCTAAGGACCATGACTAACTGAGCCTGTCGCATTCAAGAGCAACCCCTCGGGGTGTGGAGAAATAATAGGAGAGTGACAACCTGGAAAAAGCAACCCCCACGTGGACGTGAACCATCACCACAACGACCTAAATATAAAACATGCTGTTCTTCAATTTCTCGTGTGGTTCGACTTCTGTATTGCCCACAGCCCCACCGGCGCCGCCACCAACCGTTGACCCGGCCCCCGACGCCGCAGGGGTCGCATCATACACATCTTTCAGATACACCCTCGCTCTCTCACAGAGAATATGGGCATAGTAGACCGGCGCGCAGATGCTGACCGCCTTGGTCGCCCTGCCGTATGTGTAGCAGAGCGTCTGGCTGAGGCTCTCGACCACATCGGCGACATTACGGTACGGGGAGGCACCCGACCTTTGTAGTGATTTCGGAAAATCTCGTCCAAGATAACAATGTAGTGTGCCGGTCGTGCAGTTCCCTGAATGGCCGTGTGAGACTGCAAATAGAAGTCCCAGGCCCCAGCCTCGGTGACGCCGCGGTCGACTACGGTACCGGCAGGGTTATTGGAGCCTCTATCAGCGTCGGCCTCGCTGGTGGGGAAGAATCGCGTGTGGTGCCGCTTGCTGACGATGATAATGGTGAGGCGAGGTAGTCCGGCCTTTGATCCGTGGCTGGGTACACCTCCTTGCAGGCATCCCTGAAGAGAGTAAGCTCCTCATCCAGCACCTTTTGGTACTGTCCCTCTGATACTCCGTCGCGATACACCAGGATATTCTCCGGCAGGGATTTGTGCCGACCCATCTCCTTCCACAGCCTGAGCCGCGACTTGAGCATGTCTTTCATGTCGGACACCATTTCCTGGCGAGCCGTCGACTGGACGCGGAGGATCCCCGGCCATTGCGAGACGTGCTTGTCGATGCTGGCGACCATCCCCGCGATACTGGGCGCCATGGTGCTGGAGCCCGGCGACGGATGGGTGACGTCGATGCCGATAACCATGGTCTTGTCCTCGTTGATAATCCCCAGCCTGGTCGGGTCCACTAGCTGGTTCTGGCCGCCGAGCTTGAGGTTGAACTTGAGGGCGACGTTGTTGAAATACTGGTCTTGGCCCTGCACCTTGGCAAGCTTGTCGGCTACCACGCAGACAGTGTGGAGGCCGTACCTCGTATCGCCAAAGGACTTGATCCGGTAGTACACCGGGGTATTGGCGCTGGGAAGGATGACGAGCATCAGATCCAAAGCCCTCGCAGCCCCTGCATCGTTGTGTTGAGTTGCGGGTCGTCGGGGCTCGACAGGTTCAGTTTCTTGCCGGGCATCGGCGGGGCAGCCGCGATTCCACGTTTTCTCATGACGCTAGCGAAGCTTTCGACTACCTGCAGCGGGTTTACGGTTTCATACGTGTTGCGGGCCCCGGGTGGGTGATGACGATGAAGGACCACTTCTTGAGGCTTCCTCCCGTGTTGAACTGGACTTCGGTCATGTTCCAGCCGCCGAACCGGACCTGCACGGGCTTGGCTTGTTTGTATAAGACCTTGGGCTCGGGAAGTACGCGCCCGGGGACCTTGATCAGCCCGGAGGAGAATGAAAGACCAAACTGGCTCTGCGACTCTTTCGTGTCAGATCGTGCACTTAAAACACGGCGCCTTAGGGATATGGGGCGTGGTGAAGTGGCAAATCAATAAGGAAAGGAGCTTACAAGTAAAGGATTGGAGCTTGTCAGCCCCGCTGTCCGGAGGCCGTCGCGGGTGATGGACTCGGCATTGTCGCAGGGTTTACGAACGGCGAAGCGAATCATATTTTGCGTCTGCTCGGGGCTCAGCTTCGTGTTGGCGTTTTGACCCGGGAGCACATTGCACGCCTCGGCGGGTAGATAGGTTGGGCGCTCTCTGGTTCCAACATTGACAATAGGTACATTGGGATCCAACGTCCGTTTGTAGGCTAGCGATTTGTTAAACGTCTGCACGGAATTGTCCCATGGCAAGTGCGTGCTCGGAGACCTGTGCGAAAAAGCCTAACAGAGGAAAGAAGACTCACTTTGTTTGAAATAATCGTACACGCTAATGTACTTGCCCGCCCCGGCAGCTTGCGGGGGCTTAGCAGCACCCTCGGCGGCCTGACCGCCACCTTTGCCCTTTTTCTTCTTCCCACCACTACCAGACGGCGTGCTGGATGTGGCAGGCGCAGGCTGGGTATTGTGGTTGGCATCCATCCAGAACTCGACTTCTTTCGGACCGGCGCCGAACTTCTGGACACGGGGAGGGTGATCAAGACCATGGCCATCGTTTTGTGTCGCGAGGCCAAGGACAGTCTTGACCCTTGTGACGACCTGGCCGCGCCTATTCTTCCGCTCCGGAAGGTGGAGCATGGTCACCCTTAGCTTCTTGATAAACGAGGCCTGCGCCGCGGGGCTCCTGTTGCGCTCTGCGTATTCGCTCATGAGCCTGTCTAGTGGCCCGTGAGAGTAGAAGACGCCGTGGCTGACGTTGACGTTGACGAGGACACGAGCGGTGGCAGCCCGGACGCTGGCGAAGAAGCCCCGCACCGCCCAGAGCCCGGCACCGAGACTGTACGATGCAGTGTTCGGATCGAGGGAGAAGGTCTTGTTGGAACCGACGGTGACGAGGTCCGCCGACTGTTTGGCGTTGTGGTTGAGGAGGATATTAAGTGCCTGTATGGTGGGCATCTTGTCGAGGTAAATGGATGATGGGTCGGCAGATTTGAGCTGTCGGACGAGCTCGCCGACGCTGAGGGTGCTCGTCTCGAGGAGGCGGACTTTATATGTCGGGGCGTCGTCCCTAGGTTCGTCATGCGTCTCTTTTTGGTATACCACCTTGATCGTGATCTCGTTCCCACCCAGCCTGCGTCGCGATAAAAGCGTCGACTTGAAGTCTGTCACTAGATCCTTGTCGAACTCTGCTAGTTCGGAAGACAGTAGGAGCTGTCTGATAATCTGGCCTAGCTTGCGGCCGACAGCAGAGGGTGAGACGCTCATGTCGTACCGGTAGAGCGTCACGTCGGAAGACGCCATCATCTCGACGTAGTTGGCCCATACCGTGATGGCTTTGCCGCCGGTGCCGAAACCCGGACGGACCGGGGCGACGGTGGTGAGGCTGAGCTTACTGGCCTGGAGACCGACGGACTTGGATAGGATCGCGTCTTCGGTCTTGGTGACTTCGGCCGACGGTACGGATTGCGTTCCGGCCTGGCTATTACGTCGGGAGGCGAACCGTTAGCAGAACTCATCAATCATTTTCTTCCCCACAGCGAGAAAAAAAGCACGGCTCTAAAAGAAAAAAAGCGTACGTGAAGATCCGGGCGCCCGAGCCGCCCCTCCACCGCTGCCGCCTCCACGGCCTCCTCCGCGACCAGTGAATCCCCTCGGCCACCACCCCCACCACCACGGCCTCTTCCGCCTCCTCCTCGCGGGTTATAGGACATTCGAGTGGTCGTAAATCGGTAACTTGGGACGGTTTTTCTCGTTGCTTTTGCGGGATAAATTGAATTTGGTAGATGGCGGATTAGAAGAATCGAACAATCTCACGAAACCGGGGGCTGTGACGTTTTATATGTGGCAAAGAACGTGGTCATTCACGCAACGGTCAACGACAGTGAGGCGTCGCACATCGCGTCTTCCATTGGTGCCCGCTTAGCCTCACCCTGGCTACACACACCCCTTGCGCCGGCAAACATTCCATGTCGCAGGCCAACCTTTTCCTGTGCTACACGCTTTTGGGGCCATTCATGGGGGAACCAAGATGCCCCCGGACATTCCTGAACCCCTGGGATTTCTCGACGAAACCACGCTTTTTCCACTTTGCCGGATTTCGACCACACTCCATTTATTACCACAAACCTTGAAATCGGGTCACCCAACAGAACTCACCTCACAAGCAATTTGCTACCTGATCAACACGTAAATCACGCCAAGAAAGTAAACTCATCCCGCCACGCTTCACCATGACGGACAATCAACAAGCCCGAGCATTTTAAGCATATTTCAGGCCGTATCTTAATGAGCCGCGTGTTGGTTTTTAAAACGCCAATATACATTACAATCAATGATTACGATGATCGGAAGCTGGAAAAGCAATTGTTGAGAAGGAGGCAATTGGTATTCATGCATCGTCATTTACTCTACTTTTATCTCTACCAACAATGTACAGTTTTCGGCCCTATCAAGCCTTGTCTTTACTGAGCAGATGATCTGCCAATCTCTGGGCCAATGCGACGAGCGTCAAGGTCGGATTCGCCGCAGGGCTGACGGGGAAGACGGAAAGGTCACAGGCGTAAAGATTGCTGATGCCGTTGACTTTGAGGTTGGTGTCGACGACGCCCTGCCCTTCCTCTCCGAGACGCATGGTTCCAACTTCATGGCCCACCACGCCGAAGCCCGCCTTTCCGACTCCGGGAAGGGGCAGCTCGTGGCTATCGCCGCTCTTGCGTCCGAGGGCGGCGCCGATGTCGCGAGCGAGGCTCTGCATCAGGGGATCTGGGAGGTGTTATCCTTGACCTTTTCGATCTGGATGGTGGTGGTGGGATCGGGCAGGTTGAGGACCCTGTTGGCGTCCTCAAGGGGCGCGCCCATGCAGAAGGCGACCTGGACGACGCTCTTGGTGATATTTTCCTGCTTGAGGGCTTCGTTGAACTCGGCCTCGGGCACCTCGTCGAGGCTCTCGTCGAGGTAGACGGTCGGCAGCTTCTCCGACTGGGCTCGGCCAAGGAAGGTGTCGGCGTTGACGGCAATGTTGACAAGGACGGGCTCGCCGTTGAACTTGACCCAGCTGTTGAGCTTGAGCGGCTGGCTGTTGAGGGTGGCCAGGTGGGGGCCCTGGAGCACCTCGAACCTGGTGCCCCAGATATCGTGGTCCATGAGGCCCTTTCCGATGAGTTTGCCGGACTCGCTGGCGGGCTTACATCCTCACCGAGGCCGCTTCGTAAAGCGATGGAGGGCGTTCCGAGGGTTCCGGCCGATAGAATGACCGAGGCCCCCGACGGGAATCTCGCGCTCCTCTCCCGCGGCATCATCCACCGTGAGGCTAACGATAACCGACGGATCATCGGGCTTGCGGTTCACAGTTAACGTTCTCGTGTTGGGGAGGACGGTGAGGCGCTCATCCCTGTTGTAGACGCGGTCGAGGATCCAGTTGACGGGGCTGAAAGCGCCCATGGAAAACTGGTAGAGAGAGCGGCCGGGGTCCTTGGTAGCAAACTCCGCGGCGAGGGGGCAATTCGTGAAAGACGTCCCCCATTCCTTGGTGCCTTGGTTGAGGTTGTCGACGAGGCTCGAAATCTTACCCACGAATTCGCCGGCGACGGCGCCGTTGGAGGGTAAGGGCTGTCGATGGAGGCGTTGGGGTCGTTGGCGAGAATCTGGTACGCTTTCTCGTATCCGCCCTCCTCCAAGAGGTAGGAGCAAATCTCCTTGGGGAAGTTGGCTTCCAGATCCTCGGGGTGAATCTTGGGGGTGTAGAGGCCCCAGACGTTGCCGCGGCCTCCGAGGCAGAAGAACTCCCCGCCGACGTAGGGATAGGAACCCTGGGTGACGGTGTTGACGGGGTGCTTGAGGGCGTGGTAGACGATGTCGTTGTCCTGGGAGGGCCCGGCGGGGATGTTGTGGCTCCAGTGGGGGCGGGGGCGTTGAGGCAGTGGGTGCTGAAGACGGGTCCGCCGCGCTCAATCAAGAGGACCTTGGCGGTGCTGCTCTGCTCGAGCAGGCACTGGGCGAGGATGCCGCCGCCCATGCCGCTGCCGACGATGATGTAGTCGTAAAAGCCATACTCGCAGAGCCGGCAAACGTCCTTGATGGAGGCGGAGAGAAACTTGTCCATCCTTGGCTGCTTTCTTGTGTGTCGTCGAATTCCTCGGACCAGTGGGGCGGGATGAGCAAAGAATTTGATTTTAGGAAAGAGAGCGGGGAGACGGTCGAAGAAACAAGAAAAAAGCAGAAGCGACGATGAAGATGAAGATTTGAGCTCTTCGCGTGCTTGCGTTATATTTGATTCGGGCGCTTCCTCTCGATGATTTTTTTCTTTTTCTGTATTACCAAAAGCGGCTGCACATGCCGGTCGGCTGGTGGTGTTGTCGTCCTTCCTCTAGCGAGTTTCCCATGTCGCAAGAGGGGGTTGGCGGTCAGGATCGTGGCGCAAGCTGCACGAGTGGCCAATGGATGCAGCACACGCACGAGGAATCGGGGACGAGCCAGATCTCCTGGTTTTTCCACTTTCGTGCATGAAGCACTGGGGCGAAAAAGAAAGGACTGGAAAAATTGGGGCCCTTTGAGCTTGGGAGAGGGAAGATTACAGGGGTACACCCCGTCCTGTCGCCGCGTGCCCGGGCCGGAAAAGACTTGGTCAACGACAGTATAGCCCAACCCAGCCAGCTTGAAGCGGGCAGCGACGAAAAGGCATGCGGGGCGTGAGGGGTAACGTACGTGCAGTGCTGTGCCGTAGGCGAACCGAACAAGCGGGCTAACTCGTCTCCTTCCCAATAGGCCCCGAGCTTATCGGAGCATCGTGGCCAGAGGTGAGTACCACTTTGCTTGAACGAGGAAGGGAGGCATCCGACGGACGAAAATTCGGGGGACAAACGCACCGAGCAGCTTATTTGCAGAATTAGTTGGGCTTATTTGAGGGGTTTGGGTTGGTAACTCCCGCATTTCTGTGCGACTAGCGCGGTTTCGACAAGAGGCATTGGAGGCAAAAGAGCTTGCAATCTGCATGGAGAGGGTGTTGGGCGTAGTGTGGTTTCCCAAGCACGCGATCTCGAGAGTATGCGGACCGATAAGGAAGGGAGAAAATCTAGCTCGGATGGATAAAGGAGGTCGGTAGAAAGAAGAGAAACCGAAAATATAAAAAGTAAGAATTATTCGATGTTGGGGGCTATGGTTTCTATAATTTAGCTGCATCTCGCTAGAGCTTTTCTCGATTCTCAAACGTCCCCCGGCCGGCCCCGCTGCTAAACCTTGCGGCTCCCCGGATACTCTCGGCCTCCACAGCGGCACACCCCTTGTCGAATTCGTTCGCCAAGGCGTCCTGGAACGAGCTTGCCTCGTACGCGCCGTAGTAGCACGAGTTCCGGTCCAGGTTCATGCACAGCTGCGGGAACTCGAGAAGCTGCTTGGCAATCGCTGTCGCCTCTCCCAAGGCCTTGCCCTTGGGAACCACGCGGCTCGCTAGCCCCATGCCGAGGGCTTCTTGGGCCCCACCGGCCGCCCCGTCAAGATCATGTCGAGGGCGTGGCCGAGCCCGACGATGGCGCGCAGCCGGACGGTGCCTCCGTCGATGAGGGGGACTCCCCAGCGACGGCAGAATACGCCAAACACGGCATCCTCTTCGACGACGCGCATGTCGCCGAGGAGACTTAGCTCCAGGCCCCCGCTACGGCGTAGCCTGCGACGGCGCAGATGAGCGGCTTCTTGACCTGCAGCCGCGAGGGGCCCATGGGACCCAGGTTGCGCCCCGAGACGGGGAGCATGTTGGCCGAGGGCTCCGTTACATTGGCATCGGTTTGAGAAATCTCGTGAAGGTCGGCACCGGCGCAAAGGTGCCGCCCGCTCCGGCGAGGATGCCGACTTTCTGGGTGGGGTCGTCTTCAAAGGCGATGATGGCGTCGTAGAGCTTTTGCGCGGTGGCGGGATTGACTGCGTTTCGCCGGTGCGGTCGATTGATCGTGATTGTCGTGATGCCCTGAGGCGTGGACTGGCTCACGACGGAATCGGCGTCCTTGTCCATTTCTACGCTAGATGTTGTGAGGGCCCTTGACTATGATACAGGCGAAGCGGATTAATGGTTCCAGTGCTTGGTAAGGGAGTGAATTTTATCTTCGGGATTGCGCAAGATCTACACTGCTAATTGGGCAATCAAGGAAAGCTCGGGAGGATGCAAATTTATGGGAGCTGACCGGTGCTAGTACCGACCGATAGTTGTGGCAAGTGATATTTGCGGGGAATGGTACCGGGGGACTCAATTGAGGCACGGATATGGTCCCGAACGGATCAAACTCTAGATACCTCGGCATGGGATTTCACCACTTCCTGCCTCAGACTACGACCACGAGCTCGAGCTGCCGCCTGTGTTTGCGCTACAGAGAAAAGGAGTATGGGACCCCACCAATTTCCCCGACGCAGCACAGACGTATCACTTCGTTATGGTCGAAAAACGTGGGTGTCTGGCTTTATTCCCAATGCTGCTCCCTCTTCCCCGCGAATCTGCGCCACCGGCTCCAAGACCCTGGTAGCCTACGGATGGGCGAATCTCTTATATCGTAGACCACTGATGGTGAATCAATGAGTAGTTGACGTAATTACGCCAGGAGAGGACGGCGATTTATGGTTCCCACGATTGTTGCATTAGTCAGCGGGGAAAAGCAAATAGCCGACTAACTGAGTCGCCGACTTGATCACTCGGAGGCCGTTTCCAAGACCGGTCAGGCCCCGATATCCCTGGCCCCACACCTCGTTCAGCGGCGGCCTTGACTGGGCCATGACGAGGAAGGCAAGATAACTCGGTAAGCACACGGAATTCTCCTCCGCCTACCGGGAGTCTTGCATTCCTCCGACAGCCGGTTGGCGATCGCTCCGGCCTGCAGGCCACGCATGGCATGACGCGCCGCATTCCTTCAGGAGGGTTCCGTGAGGAGAAGTTTTGGGATTGCATTGAATATTGATAGTTACCGGACTGCAACCCTCTGTATTGCGTCTTCTCAAGAACGGACCCGTGAAATGTACTGACTGGCCACACTCCATACATAGTAACAGACTACCTTCTGATGTCGTGCGTCACTGAGTCACCTTGGCTGGCATGTATGTGCTGCCGGCCGCTGTGATATCGTCACCCCGGACCTATCGGGTTCCATCGGCTTGAAGGTAGACGATATGAATCGAAGCGGCTTAACCACTGTCACAATGAGCACGGCTGAGTCTAGACAGATGAGTCACTTATTGGAAAAAAGAGCCTCCAATACCCATCCATGGTGGAAATGGAGAAAAGGTTTAGCAGGCCAGCGTACGACACGAATAGTCGCAAATGGCTGCTCTCAATAATAGACGCACGACGGACGTGCAGCCGAAAAGCCATGCAACTTTGATGGGTGAGGGAGGGACCTAAGCATCAATCAACCACAAAATCCCCAAACCTCAACATCCTGCATCGCGGCTTCGTCGCACAGGTGAACTTGCGGCCGACTGCATCCCGCCAAGTATAGGCGATGCAGTGTCAGGCATTACGTTTCGCCGCCACCCCGGCTACACGGGTCGTGGAGTCGCCGATAACTCGGGCGGGAGGTCCTTGGGTGGCGCTTTGACGAGACAGGGTGGAAATTCTCAACTCCGATCGCGGGACAGGGCAGGACAAGGGGACTCGGATGCTCCATTTTCAGTGGGCGCCGGCACGTCTACTCCAACGGAGTGTGGGGCCTCGACTCCAATCTGGGTTTTTCTTTCGCCGCGCTAGGCCAGGTACTTAAGGGACGAGAGCGGCCCTTCAATCACATTTGAGCTTTTAGTCAGAGGGAGCCAACGAGTGAAAGATTTCAAAAGAGGAATGAATCTGGAGGATCCGATCTTGATGCGGGAAGAGAAGAACAAAAGAATTATAATTTCCTTGCTCTATTTTGGACCCGAAACAACATGGGAGAAAAACAGGCGGCACCTCAGCCGGGTGACCATCACGGCGCCGACACGGCCGCACCGTCGCCGCCATCATCTCCCGCGCCGTCTCTGCCTGGCGCTGACGAGCCGACACAACTGCACACTATCTTTGACAGGCGGCAAAAGGTAGTCATCGTCTTCTTGGTAGCAACCGCCGCGACGTGTGAGTCTAATAAACAACTCGGCGATTCCATATTATGATGGCTCTTCAATCGAGTGCATGTGAAGCAAGGTTGTTCATGGATGAGAGTTTACTAATGTGACCTAGTTTCCGGGTTTGCGTCCAACATCTACTTTCCAGCCCTACCGACAGTCGCCAGCGATCTCAACGTGTCCATCGAGCTCGTCAATCTTTCTGTAACGACCTATCTCATATTCCAAGGCCTAGCACCCAGCGTGTGGGGTCCCTTGTCCGACGTCAAGGGCCGCCGCATAGCGTACTGCTGCACGTTTCTGGTGTTTCTCGGAGCCTGCATCGGGCTGGCCGAGACCAAGAATTACGCTACCCTGGCCGCCCTCCGATGTCTCCAGAGCGCGGGCAGCGCGAGCACCATCGCCATCGGGTCGGGGGTGATTGGCGACATCACGACCCGCGAGGAGCGGGGTGGATTCATGGGCATCTTTCAAGCCGGGCTCCTCACACCTACTGCGATTGGCCCCATCATTGGCGGGGCGCTGTCGGACGCCTTTGGCTGGCGCAGCGTGTTCTGGTTCCTGGCCATATACTGCGGCGTTTTCTTGGTGTTCCTCATCGCCTTGCTCCCCGAGACGCTTCGGTCGGTGATTGGCAACGGATCGCGAGTCCCATCCAACATCCTTGCGCGGTATCCCCTACGCTTTTACCAACGGACGACAAAGGTTGATTGGTCGGTAGCGGACGTGGACTCGTCTTCTCTGGGGCCGAAAAAGCACGTCGACGTGACAGGCCCGTTCCGGATCCTCGGTACCAAGTATGCCACGCCCATCGTGGTGTTCGTGGCCATCTACTACGCCGTCTGGCAGATGAGCATCACCGCCATGTCCAGCTTATTCAAGGAGGAGTACGGCCTTTCCGATACCCACATTGGATTATCCTTCATCGCCAACGGTGTCGGGTCCATGGTCGGCACGCTCGTGACCGGCAAGATCCTCGACTTTGACTACCGCCGGATGAAGAAGAAGCACGAGAGTCTCCCCAACGCGGCATCGGTCGACTTTCCGATTGAAAAGGCGCGGCTACGGCTGGTGCCCCTCTTCTCGCTCCTGCAGTGCATCGGCATTGCGCTCTTTGGGTGGACCGTTCAGTTCCCGCAAAAGTCCACATCGCCGTGCCCATCATCTCGACGTTTATCACGGGCTGGACGTCCATTTCCATGGTCTCCCTCACGACCACGTACCTCGTCGATATTTTTCCGGACCGCGGCGCGGCGGCGAGCGCCAGCATCAACCTCGCGCGGTGCCTGTTCGCGGCCGCGGGCACGAGCTTCATCATGCCCATGGTTAACTCCATTGGCGTGGGGTGGGCGTTTACCGTGTGCCTGGGCTTGCAGCTCGTCGCCACGTTGGCGGCGGGGATCCAGTGGAAGTTTGCTGGAGTGTGGAGAGCCGAGGCCGAGAAGCAGGCTGTCTCGGACGGGTATTAACACGTGGGGAGCGCATGAGTCTGACAAAAAAAGAGAAGGTGATTACTTTTTATGTCGTGTCCTGTTTTTTGGCGCTCAATTCGCACATTGCATTTTTGTGGCGCACCGCATCGCTGGCGTTTTAGGATAACGACTTGCATCCACACAAGCGGGGTGCGACGATAGACTGGTTTGTGTTCTATCTCTTTTTATAGACTAATTCTCGTTTCTTGTACAAGCCTGGTTCTGTTTGGCGATAATCCTGTTCACAAGCCTGTTGCTTGATTTTACACAAACATTTTTGGGTCGTTCCTGGTTTCTGACGTCACTCAAATCACCCATCAGGTCATGCCGAGTCACAAAATGATCCACTAGCTAGCCACCTCGCTTTTCCACATATTGCTAGTCACATAATAGTGTTGGCTTTGTTTATTGTCCTGGGAGAGTGTGTTCGACCTACCTGACCTCCTCCTGATTCCCGGTGACTATCGTATAAAATCGAGCTTCAGGCCGATAATAAACAAGTACATCGCGTGTTCCCGTGTCTTGATAGCGGTCTTCTCCTCTACGTTTACCATCGGCTGCGGAAGCGATTCTCTAATGTTTGCATCTTTTTCCAACATCCGCGTCTCGATAAATCGTCATCAATTTGCGCAAAACTGGTGTCGATACTTCCACACGACGATGGCTGGTCAAACGAAATTCAAGCACCTGCCTAGGGCGCTGAATGGACCCGTCGGGTGTCCGTTCGAGGTATGTCAATGTTCGGTCACGATCGGCCCCATCCGGAAATCTCGATGAAATGGTTAACGGGCTTTAAAGGGTCGACCTTTACTCCTAAACACGCACTACAACAAGGGTTCCGCCTTTCCCGAAGATGAGCGGGACAGGTTCAAGCTTCACGGCCTTCTGCCACCGGGAATACAGACGTTGGATGAGCAAGTTAAGCGTGCCTATGAGCAGTACTCCAGTCGACCGGACGACTTGGCCAAGAATACTTTCATGGCGAGTATGAAGGCGCAAAACCAGGTTCTCTACTACAAGGTACGAATGCCACGGCAAGATTGCACTGATCTCTTGCCTACACAAATCAAAATATCCAACTTGGCTTGCTAACGATTGCGAATTGCTAGTTGCTACAAACACACCTGAAGGAGATGTTTAGTGTCATTTATACCCCCACCGAGGCCGATGCTATTCAAAACTATTCAAGAGTTTTCCGCAAGCCGGAGGGGTGTTACTTGAGTATTGACCACCAGGATAGGATTGAGGAAAGCCTCGAGAACTTTTCCGACATAGATGAGATTGACTACGTCGTCGTGAGCGATGGCGAGCAGGTATATACATTTTTAACCACCATTGATCACGCGATAGACATTGACAAGAGGGGCTAGATTCTCGGAATCGGCGATCAAGGGGTGGGGGAATCCTAATATCATCTGCCAAGTTGGCCATTACGACAATTTGCGGCGGAATTCATCCTTGGCGACAAATCCCCATTGTGCTCGATTGTGGAACAAACGTTAGTAGGCCTCCAATCCAGAGTTTTCGTGTTGCCTCAGCATCAGGAGACTAAGTTTTGCTGACACGTTGTGTAGAATCAAGATTTGCTGGACAATGAGCTGTACCTAGGTGTACGCCGGGCGCGTGTTCGGGGCAAAGAGTACGACGAATTTGTGGACAGATTCATCCAAGCGACAAGGCGCAAGTTCCCGAAAGCCTATATTCACTTGTAAGTTCACTTCATGCAGCAATCTATGCGACCAGCTCTTGCATGATGTAAAGATATCACTAATACGGCACTATCGCAGTGAGGACTTTGGGCTACACAATGCCAAACGTATCCTAGATCGATACGGCGACCAGTTTGCCTGCTTCAATGACGACATACAGGGCACGGGGTGCGTGACATTAGCCGCGATGATGACGGCTCTTCATGTCAACAAGGTCAAGATTGGCGAGGTCAGAGTCGTCTGTTTTGGCGCTGGCTCCGCTGGGACTGGGATTGCGGACCAAATCAGTGACGCGATCGCTACCATGTCTAAGAAGTCAAAGGAGGACGCCGTTCAGCAGATCTGGTAAGATGCAGATGGTGACACGTTTTATGAGGATATTGTAAGACTAATGGTTTCCTCACCGCGATTCCGGAGTTTAGGTGCGTCGATAAAGCTGGTCTGTTGCTCAAGTCGCAAGGAGACGAGCTCACGCCAGCTCAGGTGCCATTTGCGAGGAAGGATGGCGAATGGAGCGAGAGCGATGAGCGGGATCTCCTTGCCGTTGTTAAAAAGGTGAGGCCACACGTGCTGATTGGCACGTCGACGAAACCTGGCGCATTTACCGAGGAAATTGTGAGGGAAATGGCCAAGCACGTTGATCGGCCCGTCATATTCCCCTGAGCAACCCGACACGACTTCACGAGGCGAAACCTGAGGATCTCATAAAGTGGACGGACGGGAAAGCATTGGTCGCTACGGGAAGCCCCTTCCCCCGGTAGAGTATAAGGGCGTCTCGACCGAGATTGGTGAGTTGGCTTGTCTCCGCTTGTTACTGAAGCGTAATATGTGAATCTAGGCTAACACCGCTTCAGCTGAATGCAACAACTCTACCGTTTTCCCTGGCATCGGTCTCGGGGCTATTCTCGCGCGGACGAGTCGGGTCTCGACTAAGATGCTCGTGGCAGCATCCAAAGCGCTCGCGGCGGAGGCACCGGCCCTCGAGGATGACACGAAACCACTTTTGCCAGATGTAGAGCACGTACGGGAACTGAGTGTAAAGATTGCCAAGGCAGTCATTCAAAGTGCGGTGGAGGATGGCCTCGCCCAGGAGGAAGGAATCCCAAGTGACGGGGCGGAGCTGGAAGAGTGGATCAGGGTACAGATGTGGGATCCTGAGTATCGGCCGTTTGTCAAGGCCTAAATGTTATGCATCTACTGAAGCTGAAAGCATTGGAAATCTATATCAAAGATGGTATTTGGTAGAAATGATGGTGCCCTTGGACAGAGTGTCACACCACCTGGGCACGCAGTGACACAAGTGTAGACTCAATAGTCTCTTTGGAAGCCCCATGATACCGGTCTGCAGCCTCCAGCACGCACAATTCAAGGACCACTTCAAGAAACCCGATACAGCTGTTGTAGATGCGATCCATCATCTTAAAGGCGCGGTCAATGACATTTGGCCCTCTTGGTGTGCGGTCCTCGAGAAAATCCCAGACTCGGTGGTAAAAGAAGACCTGGATAACTGTGAACCACACGGTGACGACAACCAAGACGACCCATATGGCGAGGCGGGCCGATAGCTTGTTGTCGCTGGTGCCCAAGGGTGGCACACGCACTCTTTGCTTGTTACAACGATGCCTGTGAGAAAGAGCCCGATAGCGCCAGCGGTGACGAGCATGACGGCGTCCCCGGCAGTCGCCTTGCCGTAGACATGGGAAGTGGGAGATATCCTGAGAAAGTAGAGAATGAGGGTAGGGCCCAAGGCTATAATCAGCGCGAAGGGGTACGCGAGGGAGACTCTGAGTTGCCTGTCGCGTGAGGGTGTAAGGGTCAGACACTGATCTCTCTTTCAAGACTCGCGCATGCGCATGTGCGGGCGCATGGGTAACGGGGTAGTATACTTACCATTGGCCACCGAAATATTCGTCCACGGTCCCATCACTACTGAGAAAAGTCGTGTATCTCCACACCTGAATTCCGACGTGTGCCGCAGCTGCCAAAAGACCCAGGCCAGCTAGGGCGAAGTGGAGGACGTTGATCTGCGGTCCTGGCCAGAAGCCACCAGTAGCTGGCTTTGGCGTTACTGCATTGTCCTAGAGAAATGACGGGTAACATTAGTCTCTTTGGGGTAGTATAACCTACACGCAGCGAGGGGAGAAGGAGTTGCATACGGTTTTCTGCTCCACCTCTGAAATTGGGGTCTCCTCAGGGACGAGGTCGAGGGTGCCCTATTGGAGTTTGTTAAACCCTGCTACACAGCTCAAGGCAAGAGGGGATAAAATGAAGGCATACGTCGTTCAGAAGAATGAAAGACCTTTTGGCAGGCTGCTGTAATGGGGCCTGCGGTTGGTCTAGGAAGTGTTCACGCGCGCTTTGCTCGTATCGACGCCGGCGAAGACCGTGCCGCTGTTGTGAAAATAACGAGGCCAGAGGTCCCCTCTCGCCAGAATCTTCCCTATCGACCATATCCGAGGAGGCGGCATCGTTATCGGCACTCACAAATGGTTTGTAGCGCTTGGGTAACCTGGTTGGGCAAGGAATATATAGCCTCAAGAGAGTCATAGTGACCATCACTGTAAACGCAAGGGAATGCAAGCCCAGCACCGCGTAATAACTTTGAAATATTCTCCTCTTGGATAACGACTGGTGCGAAGCCTGCTCCAGAACCGGAAATAAAAACCCTGAACAAATGATGCTAGTCGCGCAGAGCCCGATACTCAGCAGCGCGTGGGCCCAGCCACGCGTCGATCTCGTCAGGCCAGTGAGCGCATAGACCAGTAGTGGTGGGTTATCAACAGCTGGGAGTATGTTTCCCAGCACCGCCAAGAAGAAGGCGGCGTCTCTGGACCGAACGAAAGCGGTGGATGGCGACTCGCTTTTATAGAAGTCGAATACTGCCCACGTCGCGCTGATCGACAGGGCTAACCTTCCTATCGTGGCCCCCACGCAGAGGACGGTCAAAACCGGGAGCGTAGGGAAGAAAAGGGCCCAGGGAGTTTCAATCTGCGAACGGAGTTGCTGGGAGATGTCCTCGAGCCGACTTTTATTGACAACCCGGAAGAGTTCGGCGTCATGGCGCCGGGGATTCGGCGCCCCTTCGCCGTTCATGAGATGGGGCTTGATGGAAGGGAAATGTAGCTCGTCGGTAGGGGTCAGTCAGCACTCGGTACTGTCGGGGATGGGACCGGCTGAAGCGGCGAACATCGACGAGCTTTTCAAATTAAAGGAAGAGATGGTGTTGATGTTGAATCGTGTCGCGGACTCGTCGACATTGTTTCATGCTTCGCCACAACTCGAGCGCACACGTGACGTGAGATTGGTGAAATCGCGAGGTGCCCATCTTGATTTGCGACAGCGCGTGGCGATCTCAAACCCCTGTCAGCCCCGGTGCCAAATTCGGGAGCCCCGCAGTCATCGAAACTTCAAATGGGATCTTTTTCAAGAGGCGAGCTTTCGTTCATGAACCCTAGAAATGTCGCTATGTGATAACTGTCGCGCCTTCGATATCCAGGCTTTCAAGTCGGACGGCACACGAGAATACCGTGGCCGCGGTATTCCCTGCCACGCGGCGGTGCTGGGCGCCAACGCAGGCTGCAACTTTTGCATTTTGCTCGTTGATGCGTTTCTTGACGAATATGAGAGCATGGCGTCGAAGCCACTCAACTCGTGGTTTGATTTGAGGGCAGTCGGGAAAGCCTTGGGGGACGACTGTGCTGAGGGCATGGGGCTTGAAGGCTTTGATATCGCGCTTGTTGATTTCCCGCTGGAAATTAACGGCGTGACCGACTACTTGGGGCAAAGAAGACTTTACTTCCATGTCGCTGCGGATCCAGGTACGGCGCTTTTCAACCGTCTCTGGGCGTGATTTGTGACAGGGCTTGGGTGTGAGCCACATGGATCTCGTCTAGCCTGGTTTTAACTTCATCTTCTAGGTTCTGCCGCCCAAACTAGTGGGGATGTGATTGGGCCCATTCCCCAAGACGACCCGCTCAGCGAAGCATCGTTGGAGTATCTGCGATCTTGGCTCAACAGGTGCACCGAGACTCACAAAGCGTGCGCCCGTTCGATCTCCGGCGCCATCCTCAACAGCCGCGACGCCCCGTTGCCGACGCGATGCCTGTTGATCGATGGCGTGGATCAGTCTGGGGACCTTCGGTACCGGCTTGAGGAAACGCTCGGAAAAACTGGGTGTTATCTGACCTTGAGCCACAGGTGGAATGATGACACGGAGACTTCCAAAACGACGTGGAAAAACTACGCTCGCCGCAAAGAGGGCAAAGATTTGAACCTGCCGCCGCTGTTTAGGGACACTATCCTCCTGGCGCATAAACTCGGCATTCCCTACGTTTGGATTGACTCGGTCTGCATCGTACAGGACGGTGATGACTGGGTGACGGAATCCCTCAAGATGGCCGACTATTACCAGAATTCTCTTCTTACCGTCGCTGCCGCCCTGGAAGACAGCTCACAGCACGGTTTGGCTCTTTCCAAGCTACCTAGCGAAAGGATGCCACAGCTGGCCCGGCTACCCTACCGTGAAAAGAGCGGCCGCCAGCGCGGTTACATGTACGTCTACAAGTCGTCTACGGCAGTGCCGGAATCCTACAAGCAGCTGCTCACCAGCTCCGACCTGCTCACGCGAGGATGGGTTTTCCAAGAGTGGTCGTTGAGCCGGCGGATAGCGTGCTTTGCATCCCATACTTCGGGCTACCGCTTGTTCGTGCACTGCCAGTCCGAGATGCCCCGGAATGAGTGTGGGGATTCCGTCGCAAGCCGGAGGAACGATCTAAACTGGGGCCAGACGCTCGCATTTGCGGCCAACTCCCCGCTTGTCCCTTGGCTTCAGTGGCAGATGGCCGTGGAGCGGTTTTCCGCCGCGGCTCTCACCAAGCCTGACAAGGACCGCACCATTGCGCTGGCGGGCGTGGCGAAGGAGTGTCGAGAGGTGATTCGGATTCTCGCTCAAGGCGGAGCATACGCCAACGAGCGTGCGGACGTCACCCCGACCAGGCGACTTAGTCCCGACGACCACTTTGTCCATGCCTATGTGGCGGGACTTTGGGTGAGGAACCTTCATAGCGATCTTTTGTGGAGGCAGAGCTGTGATCGGTCTACGGTGCGTTCGAGGATAGTGGGGTTTCCGACGTGGTCCTGGGCTTCCATCCTTGTGCCCGTGATTTGGGCTCTGGACGATGATAAACGATCTCTACAATCCAGCAAGTTCATGGGAATAACCACCGAAGACGGAACCTATCATGATGTCAACTTGTGCGAGAGCATGGAAGCCGACAAAGTCTCGGGGCTTGAGCCTCATCCGTCGCGTGCTTTTGATGTCGACTGCATGCACGGCATCCTTCACTTCAGTGGAAAGCTCGTCCCCGTGGGTATCTTGGGGGAGGTCACCAGGGATGAGTGGAAGCAAAGATTCAACGCTAAACTTCCGGGGCTGAATGTTTCAGTATTTTCCGACTGGAGAAATCTTTTCAAGATGCAGCTGCCGTCGCACAGTCCGGTCATTTGCGGCTGGGGGTCCCTGGAGCACCCCGAGTTCCAGGAATATGGGTCGGACTCCTCGGATGACGACACAAGGACCATATACGCCTTTCCTTTGACTCAAGGAGAAACGTCCTCTTCAGACCTCGGCATGACTTTCGACGTTTTCTGGAGTGTCTTATACTTGAGAAAGGTGAGGGACCAGTTTGAGAGGGTGGGCATGGGCTGCATCTTTGGGCCAGACGTTGTCAGGGCGCTCAAGGCGGCAGAAGAACGAAGCATCGTGCTTTGTTGAGGTAGGCTTGAGAGACGGATGGGGTCAGGGAATTCATTAGGTATTGATAGCTATTCTAAATTTTTCGGTTGAAAGTATCCATCAATTTCTTGTGAGGGCGCACCTTTCGTATTGGAGGCTCTAGCAGCAGTGACTTGGGAACTGTGGTACGATGTGCAACGGAAGAGTACATTAGCGCTTGTCTAGCGCTGCCCACCATCATCATAATCAAGCCCTGGCTCTCTCGCGCAGTCGGAAAACCCATTCGTTCTCTGGACCACCCCATTTATACCGATCGGTTATTTGCCGTCCATTGGGGCCAGTGGCACGTGTCGTAAACACTCTGGTCCATCACACGACGCGTTAATAATAGTTGGGAATCCTTTCACATTGGGAATTAGGAGGTCTACGTACGGGGAGCCGTCGATGTACTTTACTTTCTAAAACTGGACCGGGACCGAGGAAGGCGGAAGTCGGCCGTGAACATTAAAGTCGCAAATGATCCATGTGACTGAACGCTCCTCGCTGTCGAAGTCTCCGGGTAGGTGTATATAGTCAGTATCAACTAAAGGCCCTCATGAGGCCCGAAATGCGTTGGGCGAAGTCGTTAGCGATCCGTGCTGCTCTACCAGAAGGCTCCGTGGGTATATTGGTAGTAATAAAACGTATGGCAACACGCAGCTCATCATCCAGGTTTGTCGCGGCATCTTCAAGTTTGTCCATAATCTCCGAACCGTTGATCTTTGAGAGGTCACGGATTATTCTTTGGCAAGCGGAGTTTCCATGCAGGGAGAGAGATGGCCAGAAAAGCCGTTCATGAGGAGCTATGCGCACAGGCCATTCCACGGATCTCTTCACTGTGCTGCTAGTCGCCGTCGAATTATTGGTTGCTCTACCAGCCAGTTACGCTTCACGAACAAAAACTTCGAAATGTCTGCAAGGGCCAGGAAGAATGGGTTGGGCTAGAGTACTTTACTTGTAAGAAGAAATAGTAGGTCTTAGACGGAGGCAGGAAACAACGTTACGTCGCCAATTAACAATATTGATACTCGTTGCCATTTCTATTCTAAGAAGAATGTTGCGCTCTCTGGATTACTGTCCACCTCGGAAACTGCCAATTTACCCCCGTCATTAATGCTAAGGAAATGCTCAGACGAGTTTACCAGTTCGAACGAAACACCAGATTCATCCGAGAGTCCTTGACGCTGGTAGAACGAAGAGGCTTTGGAGAAGGCATCGGATTTATCATCCTCGCCAAGTTTGACCTCGGTTCCAGAATAAGAGATGAATAACCCAGGAGAGGAGGCAGATTCAAGGCTTAGAGTACCATCCCCAGCTAGGCCTGGAGTGACTATGCGAAACTGCGATGCCTCAACGCTCGGCAAAGCTAACCCCACAAGAGCATCATCTTGGGCCGTCACGAAGAGGCCAGACGCGGAAGCTACTTTTAGTCTTACAGGCGTGTTGCCGTCAGCCACAGGAATACCAAAGTCAGGTGTTCCATCAGCCTTCCAATAGACCTTCTGCACCCTGGTGCGCCTGTTCGGGTCGTTCAATGGATCGCCCTTGATATCACGATACCCGCGGTCATGGAATACGAGCAGGTCACTCATGCCATCCTCTGAGACGGTGAAGCAGCTGTGGCCCGGTCCCCACTGGCTCGTGGGAGCATTGCTCTTGAAAACTGGCTCCTTGGCCTTGCTCCATGACGAAGGATCCATGAGATCGGAACCTTCGGACGCTGTCAATAAGCCCATGCAGTAATTGTAATCTGTTGCGCTCGCCGAATATGTCATGAAAATTGTACCGTTTCTCTGAATGACGTACGGGCCTTCGTTGACATTGTGGCCGATACGCTCCCAGGGCAAGTCGGGGCGGGAGATGGCGAGGGCGGGGCCCCGAATCGTCCACGGGTTCTCCAAAGGCGCCAGCAATAAGCTAGTGCCCTCCTTGGCCCACGTAGGATCCAGCTGCGCCCAAACGAGGTAGCGCGTGCCGTTGGCGACAAACGTAGAAGCGTCGAGAGAAAAGGTGTCCCAGTTGGTTTTGATGATGCCCTTCTCTACCCACGTCGCCGTTAAAGGGTCGTCACCCGTCCCTTCGAGGACAAAGGCTCGGATGCGCCACTCGCCTGAGACGCCGAGCGCCACGTAAATGTACCATTTACCGTCAATGCGGTGCAATTCAGGCGCCCACACTTGTCCGCTCCCAGTGCCCGAGCCGGCTGGTTTTCTGGTCCATATCGTCGTTTCCGGGGCGTCGGCAAGCCCTTGGATGGTTTCCGATTTGCGGAGGATGATGCGGTCGTATGCTGGGACGGTGGCGGTGAAATAATACCAACCGTCGTCGTGCTTGAGAATATGGGGATCGGCTCGCTGCTCAATGAGAGTGTTGGTGTAGCTGACGGCCGGTGAGCATGTCGCCGTGGAGGAATATAAAGAAACCATTGCGAGAGCTAGGACGAGGATGGAAGAGATGAAGTCGCGCAGCTGGCGCCCCATCTTGGAGAGCTGCCTTTGAGGAATAAATCTACTCGCAGTTGGTGGCGGGGCTTTTCACGGTGCCCTACTAGCTCTTCGATGAGGTGAGCTAGTCCATGAATCCCACCATCCAGAGATGCATTCGCTCCCTTGAGTCCCTAGAACCAGCGCCGCTGATACAGAGCAGGGGGATTTTCGGTGGCTCTTGTACTTTGGCTTCTGTCCTGATTTCTATAATTGGTGCGCGAGCACCCAATTTTGGTTTAGTGGGCGAATCAATTGATCAAATGAGACCCTGCTTCCACCACGATTCGGACTTTAAGCGCACAAATAGGAGGGGCCGCATCCACCATTTTTTGCCGAGATCAGTGGCCAAGCCGGGAATGTTTTTCTAGTTGGCTTCTCCAACGACATGTGTGGAAAGCTGGCCACGGCTACGGCGCCTGAAAGGGTACATGCATGCCCAGAACATTGAAGATATGGAATGTAACAGGATTGGGACGGGAACGTGTGGGGAAGGTAATTGCCGCAACTGGAACCAGCCATGGTTGGCATTCAACATAGGCTAGTACGGGCGTGCTGTTTTTGACTGGGAAAGTCGCTTGCGCATGTTCAAGAATCAATTACACACATTCTCATGGAATGAATTTATAGATCCATAGGACGAGTGTCCTCTATGGAATGTAACGAAATAAACAATAGCCTTTGTCGGACGTTTTCCAGACAATGGGTCTTTGGTTCCCACAGCATCGCTAGTACATGACTGTCTTATAAGCTCATTTCAAGCGTCCACGGTCGATTTACTCGTCCGAAGCCTCTTCCTCCTCGATGATCTCCATCAGCTCGGTCTCGAAAACTATGGCAACGGGGTATTGATTAGTATCTTGCTGTTCTTGCGCTGCACACACGCCAGACCGTGGTTGAAATGTCCACTTACCAAGGGTTGAGCCTGCCGGGATGGGACCGACCGCCTCGTTTCCGTACGCAAGTCCGGGTCCGATGGTCAAAATCCTGGAGAGATTGATGGCTATTAGCACCCAGTTGCCCGTTACTTGGGGAATGATGTATCCCAAGGTTGTCTGTCGTACCTTTGCTCGCCCACGCACATATCCAGAAGTCCAAGGTCCCATCTGTGTCCGCCGGACGCAGTTAGTACATAGTTCTTCGCACGCGGCAACATGAAAAGAACGTGATCAAATCATACCCTCGGATAACCATGCCGATGCCTAGCGGGAAGGTAAAAGGACTTGAACCATCTTCCGAGTAGCCTATGAAAATCCATCGTTAGTCGACGCGCTCTTGTTGCTAGCCTCTGGACGCCGGAATTCGGCAACCACGTACTGGAATCGAACGGGGTTCCATCCGTCAAAGTGCCGTTGTAGTTGACGGCGATGTTGTCGCCGACCTTGGTTTTCTTCGCGCAGCTCAATCGGTTAACGATGTCGATCTTGAGAGAATCCTGGGCGGCAACAATGGGGGCCAAGGCGATGCCTAGCGGTAGGAGAAGGTCGAAACGCATCGTGAAAGGAGTGTAAAAATCGCTGATGCCAAGATGGTGATATGCGAAAGAACGAAAAAGAAAAAGAAAATACAGAACAAAAAAGAAGCTTCACTTGGCGACCTTGGCGACCTTGGCAGCCCAGCACTCTCCCGTGTAGGGCCAGGCCAAGATCACCACATTAGCAAAGCAGAGGTGTGGGGGAGGGCGGGATCAGCCACATTCAGCCTGAACGCGCTGAACACTGTAAGTAAGGGACGGTTCGACGCCAGCTAAGCCCGCTTTAAATATAGCGGTGATCTCTCTGAGCATCCTGGCGCCATCTATCGATAATCTACAACAAAAAGAGGGGGATTGATTGATCGGGAGAACAAATTGGGACTCCAGGCCCGAGAGAGATCAATTGGGTCGTGTCTTCCACACGTGTAATCCTTTGAACGGCAGTCGAATATTCGGCAACCTCTTTGCAAGAGTCACCCTCCCCTTAACCTTCATTGATCATTCCACCATGCTATCGTCGAGGCCTTCGCCGACTGATAAGGCCCGGTTGCAATGACCGCGCAACAGGCCAATTGGGGGAAATCACGCAAGAGAGTCATGAATATATCCGTATCGCATAACCTCTCTACGTCGGTAGATGCAGCAATATTTCCCGAGGCTTCTTTATCTCTTCTTTTGCCAAAGTGCACTCTATACTAAACGCCATGCGACCCACTCGGCAGACGAGTGGTCGGTGACACACCCTCCATTAAGCAGGCAGGTAGGTGATCAAAATGACCTTGTTTGATCCAATAGATGAATAGAATAGGCTTCCCCAGATTCGAGAGCTCGGGTATTCTTCATTTGATCCATCGACTAGCTACTACCATGACCTTCAAGTTTCGGGCAGTCGGCCGAATCAACGTGACAGACGAGTATCAAGCTGACACGACGCCGTACCAAACAAGCCCCATTATGCCGCCCCCAATAATGGCGGTCGGGGATTGACCCCAAACCAGTAACCGCCAACGTAGCTCGTGGCTGTGATGACCACCATCCAGGGCTCCAGGGCGAGGCTGGTGCCTTGCTCGTACCCTTCGTCCACAAATCCAACTTGCCAAAGGCGATAGACCGCAGTATAGATGAGCCCTACCGCCGCAGCATTGATACCCCGGAGTAACGATTTAACCCAGCGCAAACCTCGGACCGCACTCCAGATCCCCATTGTACCATGTACGGTGATTAGTCCCGGAGCGAATATGCCCAAGAAGCCGAGGAGTGCACCGAGGGCGGAACTGTGCCCGGCATTAGCAGCAGTCAAAGCGCCGAGGTATACGGCGAAGTTGAAGTTGGGGCCTGGGAAGCTTTGTTGGATCGCGAGGCCGATCAAAAAGTCGCGCGCGCTGACCCATCCTTCCGCAACGACGTACTCGCTCAGCAAGGGGATGACGACGGGTCCGCCGCCAAAGATGATGGTACCGGCAAGATACATGTTGGCGAAGAAGCTGAACAAGAGATTGTTTTCGGCGATGAGCCCGCGTAGGACCATGACGGCGGTGAAGGAAAGGAAGAATGCGACGATAATTACAGTTCCGAGCTTCCACGAAAAGTCTAGCATGCGGTCCTGAGGTACAATGCGAGGCTCAGGTTCCGGAGGCACAGGTGAAGGGTGTAGTTCTTCGGATCGACCATGGGGTGGCGGTGTCTGTTGGGATGTCCGTGTCTGGCCTGGCAGGTCTATATCTTCCTCTTCCTCCTCACCGGCCGGCCTCTCGCGGCCGACAAGTTTCCGAAGCCACCGATTCGTCTTCTTCATAGGCCTGTGGAGCCAGCGAAGATCGTAAACGACTGCTGCGATGCCCGCCAGTGCCATTAAGAGAGGAAAGTACCATAAGGCGTTGTGCAGTATTCCCGCAGCCGCGCCTAAGAACACGAGCACTCGCGTGAGGGTGTCGGTGATGGTTTTCTCCGACAGTTGTACGGCGGCGAGGGCAATGATGCCAACGGTGGAGGCGTTTAACCCTGAAAGAAGGGCATATGCTGGCCGGGGAGAGAATCTCCGATATTGGCAACGCCGACGGAAAGGCCGTACATCGCTAGGGCCCCGGGGAGACTATGTGACGAAAGTAAGAGTTGGATCAGTATTGTCTCCTTTCTCCTTTTCCGGTCCTAGCTCTGAATAGTTCTCATACCTCCAGATGATGAAACCCAAGATGGCTGACGGAAAGCCGTCATGGATAAGGTTGATGCAGTAGTGCATCTTAGTGCTGCCTGGGCCGGAGAATGCCTGGCACACACTAAATAGCTCTTGGTACTATGCACCCTATCAGATTGGATTGATCCCTCGAGGTCGGGTCATGTACATGCACTGCATAAGCGCGACAAAAGCAAGAGGGGTGTGTCTTACCACCTGCTCCTCGATCCATTGGAGCTTGTCGACGAACTTGTCATGGAACTAAAAAGGCAATGATGGGTGTTAGCCAGGGCACATTTCAACTCCAGCCGGTAGCAAACTGCGCAGCCTGTGCAAGGCTGCGCAGACGCCGTTCTGCTCAAGGCACGGAGTATGTTGTGGCACATACGATCTTGAAATGGACGGGAGGGCCGCCGAAGGATGTGAACCCCAGATAGTAATTCTCTCGGATGGTATTAGACAGACGGTTGCCGAACCCGACCGGAGACCAGCCAAACCATCGTCGGATGGCCATTTGAATAAGGCGTTCTTGAAAGCCTTGGGAGTTTGGTATACTATCATTTACTTCTAAAAGCCACAATTTCGCGCAAGTGAACTGCTCAACGGTTCACACAAAAGCCCTGAGCCACAAAACTGACTGGATATTCTCGGGATAGTCTGGCTGCTGGGGTGGGGATGGATTGCGTCTTAAATATTTCGAAGTGGTGGCTTGGGGCTGACTGCTCAGCCATACCGATTACCCAATCAAACACTCCTTTTAGCCACGTGCAGCTTGGCTTCATCGTGCCTCCCCACGATGCTCATTAGGGTAGGTATGCTGAATCTCGGGTGGGGTTTTTTGCTCTTCGTGATGCGACGCAGATTCATTGGTGTCGATCAACTCCGTATTCCCGCCGCTGCGGCTTCTTCCGGCCGCGGCAGGCTCCCGGCGGTTACCCTGAGCCCTTCGGAGCCCGCCACCGCGTGCGGGATATCCCGCGCTTGCTCGGAAAGTAGCATACAGGCATTATACCGAGTCTGGAAGAATTCCGCCACGTCAGCCGAGCGCCTTTGAAACTCGTCTTCGACCCCGGCGAGGCTTTCGCACACATCGGACCCGGCCGGGCCCAAATTTCCGAGAGCGGCTGTCATGTCCCTAAAGGCGGCCTGGGGCCCGGTCTGGGCGATTTCACGAATCTCCGCAACCGAACCTCGACTGCTTCGAGGATCGTGTCGTAGACGAGGGTCGTGTTGGGAGGGGCGTTGCGCCCGGGTACCTTGCGCATCCACGCAATGTACTCGGCGACGGCAAGGGACATGCCGGCGATTTCTGCCTGGCTATGGAAGACGGCGGATGAAAATTGGGCGATTTGCGTCGCGATAGCCCTGTTCGCGGTAGCTCCGTCGTCGTTTGAAGGCGGCTTCGACTGTGGGGTGTTGCTGGCTGCATGCTCACGAAGAGTTGGGAGGGATGAGCAGTGGGCGGTTTCGCTCCCGGAGCTGGACAAGGTGGGAGTGCCGATGTGGTGAGGCTCAACATGGTCATGTAGCCTGGTGGCTTGGGCTCGGAAATCGTTGGCAAAGTTCAGCTCATCGACAATTTCCACGGCGCCGCCTACATTCTGACGGCCACTCTGTTCTGGGGGATCTAGGTGCATCTGTCCTCCCCTTTCGCTGTTGCCATCCTCCGCCACAGGATTTCCTCGTACATGTATTGTGTCAAGTAGACCTTCTCCTAATGTTCTTGGAGAAGCTACTTGAGGCGGATAGCTTAGGCCTAGGAACGGTGTTGAAGTGGCCGCTGGGGATAGGCCATTAGGTGTGGAGCAGGTGAATGATGACAATGGGCATAAGAACGCGTTTGATTCGGGAAGCGTAGAATCATGCATCCAGGCAGATGGTTGTGGGGCGCTCGCCTGACTCGACATGCTACTAATTCGCGCTTCTGCCTCCTCTGATAAAGTGCGCCGCCTTTCTGTTAGCCTCACGGGATATCTGCTAGAGCCGCATGCGGCTCAGAGGTCATCACAACAATCTCCAAAGTGATGGGCGCCAACACAGCTCGTGCAAAGGGGGTTGCAAGGAAGGTTCTCATACGTAGGCGCTGCTGCAGAGCTTGAACCGTCTGGGTAAGGTCGGCCCGACTTGGTCGCTGGGTCGCAAGGTAGACGCATTCCTCGCCGGCTCTAACACACTTTGCGCACGACGGCTGTTCACCGTCGCAACGCACCTTGCGGTCCCGGCAGTGTTTGCAAGCCATGTGTCGCGCGGGTCCGCTCATGATTGTGAATTCCGGGCGCCGTTGTATCCCGATGGCTGTAGATAGCGTGGTGGTTTGCGTGGTACGATGGTTGTACGGAATACGATCTTTCGGTTACCTCTCTTCAATCCGCCGGTGCTCTGATTTTCTTCAGTACTCCTCACGATGGTTGGCACTTGGAAGAGGCACGATTACAAAGAATGGGACATCAATCTAATGGATGTTTGATCGTGGGACCCGGATATCTGGTTTAGGGGTGGTAATAGGGGCCCGTCATTCTTGTAGAAGAGGTGGCTTTGATGCTTGTCGCCGATGAGTGGGAGGAGGAGACGAAAATTGACTACTATTCACCCGACTACTTCTGCGTCGCTCATGCACAGGACCTAGTATCCCGATGGGTGCGAGCCATACAGCAAGCTTCCTTCTTATCAGTGGCATTGACTCCAAATAAACTGGATTCGTCAGCAGCTTAGCTTCTGAGGCCATACAAGCTGGGGCCGTTTATTGGACACCCACCATCACCCCCAAAACTGAAGAGGGGCCACCCGAAGCGCTCTGGGGGCGATCCTGGCGGATATAAATGTATGAGAGGGTTCTACTTCGGGAATCGTCACTCCTATCACGCAACGTCTCCTATGTGAAATTATTTACGTAGAACGAGCTCTTGCCATATTAATATTTCTTTCTAAGTTGTGATTTTCACCTTGAAAGCGCCTAGTTCTTGGTGGTGGGCAGGGGATAGGAATTGATATGATAAAACCATTGGTTATAAATGACGTGCTCAAATTTGGCGTATTCGGGGTGTTCGGACCGGGACGCCCGACGTCCTGTCCCGCGACTCAGGAAAGACTTAGCCCTAGAAGCAGCTCGCGCCGAGTTCACCGAGTCCGTAGAATAGCGCCTAACCCGCCGTATTTTTGTGTATCATAGGGCAGTGAGGGTTCATTTTCAGTGGGGGTTTGTCCTGGATCGTACTCCGGGTTATGGGTACTGTCGGTGTAGAAGACTTCGAGGTCAAGCTACGAACGAAATTTAGGGCCCATTGAACAGTCTATGCGGTGATTTGGAAATAGCTTCACCTCTTTTGATATGAACTACCTAGTTTATCTACTCGGAGGATAGGGCTCGCTACGAGACAGTACTGGGTAGAGGCCTGGTGCCCTTGGGCATTCGGTGCCAAGTATGTGTCTCCGTCCGGGATCGCTCGGACCGGTTTGCCCGGAGCTACCAACAATGTGTCCGAGTCTCTCCACAATGGCGGCCGTACGTGACCGACGAGGTGTATCAAGGCAGCATGGCAACGGAAACGGTTTTATACGCTCATTTCCCTCTGAGAGTCGGAAAAAGAACGCTTCGAAACTAATTATCGAACACAGCAGAGGCCCCTTTGAACCTCGAAACCTGTCCACGCGAGAGACTTCCATCGTTCGACGCCCTCGAAGATTGAGCCATGACTATTGAAAAAGACAGCCATGCGTTGAGTACGCAAAGCAACAACCTCGCCTTGCCTGAAAAGCAATCTTTACGCAGTGTCTCCAATGCTGAAACCGGAAGTAATGTCACTGGGGATGCCCATGACGAACCAAGCCCCGAAACCAAGAGAGCCATAACCGGCCCCAAGGTAGGATCAATGATATGATTAAATGCTCTCGAATTCCGAGGCCCCGGGATAATCTTTTGTTTTACTTACACGGTTCTTTACTTAGTGGGCCCTCGCATACGGGGCGTTGCTGTCGACTGTTTTCTTGTTCGCCTTGGACGGTACAATCGTAAGTCAAGTTGCCAACATCAAGCATCGCAAACCAGCTAAGACCTTCTAGGTCGCGAATCTCCAACCATCCATCGTCGAGACATATCGAACAGAACAAAACTTGGCATGGATTGGCGTGAGTTTCATGTTGGGAAACACTACCATCTTGCCTCTGTGAGTCACTAGGAACGATAAACCCACCTCAAGAGGCTTGTTCTGACGTTTCCCCCTTTTTTGGGCTTATCATTCTCTTATCAGGGGCAAAGCGTTTGGTACCTTTGACATAAAATGGGCCTTTCTTATCTGCCTCGTACTCTTCGAAGTGGGTAGCGCCATCTGTGGGGCCGCCCCAGATATGAACACCCTCATCGTCGGCCGAGTGATCGCCGGGGTAGGCGGCTGCGGCATATACGCGGGAGGTCTCAACTACGTCGCCATCCTCACGACAAACCACGAGCGCCCTCTGTACCTGGCGGGCATATACTCCATGTGGGGCGTCGGGTGCGTGCTGGGTCCGATCGTGGGGGCTGTTCGCGCGGAGCGGGGCGACGTGGCGCTGGGGATTCTACGTCAACCTGCCCATCGCCGCGCTGTTCGCCCCGGCGTACCTCTGGTGCCTGCCGAGCATCCGGGCCTTGCCGACGACGCCGTTTCTCGAGAAGCTTCGCATGCAAGACTGGATCGGGATTGCAATCTTCCTGGCCGGGAGCACGTGTTTTAGTTTGGCCGTCAATTTCGGAGGTACCGTGTTTGCGTGGGACAGCGGGTCCGAGATTGCGCTGCTGGTCCTCACTGGGGTGTTCCTGGTTGCGTTTATCGGCTGCACCGCCTACCACCCTGGCGTGCCGAAAGCCCGCAAGCTCTTGCCGGTCGGGTTCATGACGACGGTCGATTTGGTGATTATCCCGCTCCAGGGCGCCATCGTGGCGGGTGCCATGTTTACCGCTATTTATTACACGCCGCTACTCTTCCAGTTTACAAAGGCGGATGGGCCGCTCGAGGGCGGGGTCCGTATTCTTCCGCTGATTTGCTCGCTCGTGGTGTTTGCGCTGCTGAACGCTTTCCTCATGCCCAAGACGGGATATTATATGCCGTGGTACGTGGCTGGGAACGCCGCCATGGTTGTCGGGTCTGCACTCATGGGTACGTGCCTGCGTTTTTTGCCCTTGAGAATATCTTTGACGAAACATATCGTGGTGCTAAGAGATATACTAGTTACATTGGAGTCGCATACGTCTACGTCCAAGATTTACGGGTATACCATTCTTATCGGGATTGGAATTGGTTGTTTCCAGAGCGCGGGCGTTGCCGTTGTCTCCGCCATTGTACCGGCCTCTGAAGTCAGCAATGCTGTGAGCATCATGACTATTGGTATGTTCGAATCATAAGGCCTTGCATGGGGCGAGCAGGGAGGCCGATTTGGACGGAAGCTGGCTGCTAGTACTACGGGAGAGCAGAGGCTAATGGTTGACGCTTGCAATTTTAGCTCAGGTTTCCGGCATCCTAGCGGCGCTATCCATCACCGGGGCGGTCTTTCAGAACCTCGTTGTGGGCAAGGTTGGCTCCGTACTGCCTGGCTATTCGCAGGATGATATCGTTCACCTAACCACGGGCACCAGCAGCTCCTTATTCCGGGGACTCGATGCAGGACTCAAGGAAGCCGTGATCGCTCAGGTGACGGAATCGATTCGACACGTGTTTATCTACGTTCTTGCCGTGTCTTCCCTCGGGCTCGTTCTGTCCTTCTTCCTTAGTGTGAGTTCAATGGTCCCCGAAACCTCAATATGGTTGTTTCTCAGACTCTAATTCTAACTCTTACAATTTCTTCCCATTTTATTTTGTAATCAGCGTAAACGCCTTTACCTTAAAAGCGGCGAGATTGCCAAATAGGCGACTACACGTTGAGTCTGAGTGAAGCAGCAGTTCGGCGATACAATCAGGCCAGTGTCGTATGGGACGGGGTGGGGGATGGGACTGGAACCGCGGCTCGACAGCAGAAGGATGCAGAGGATGCGAAGGAACGGGCGAGGATTGGGCCGGAGGCGACATGGATGCTGCAGCGAGGGGATTCGGTCTCGACTCCCGGCAGCTTTTTCCCCAGAACAACGGGGTTAGAGGAGAATAAGTGGCGCATGGTTCCTCGGTACTGTGGATTCCATTCGGCCCTTACACGGCGAGTCTTGTTTGGAGGTTGAATCGGGGCTAGTGGGAAGAAAAATGGATTTTCTCCGAGGGCCTTGGGAAAGCGGAGGATGGGGCTTGCAATGAAAAAAAAATTAGGAAGGAAGGACACGCTAGTCTTTGGTGTCTACCCATACTTGAAACGCCTGGTCTTAGTAGCGAATGATTCCTGGAATAAAGCCATGGTTCATAGTTCTGTCATTGTCGGTGCTAGCACCGGTTTGGGGAGGAGGCGTATCCCCCTTCGCTAAGTTGGCGACGCTAGCTAGGAAAAACTTGAGGATGGGATCATCGCAATAGACCTCGGCCTGATGTTTTGACTTTGCCTCTGCTCACATCAGGGTTCGAGACGTCGAAAGGAAGAAGTCTGTGGCGTGAAAAAGGGGGTGGAGCTGGGGGTTTAAGGTTCCCCACGGGGGTGCGGGGAGGTTCACTAGCCGGGGGACCGGATGCACGACAAATAGCAACCGGCGTGGAGGGTGCTTCGTACTTGGTCAAAGGAAAAAAAGAGACAAGTGAAGAGTGAAGAATGAGGGCCGCTGACTTTCTCGGTAACGAGCGAAAGGAAAGTCGGATTGGGTTGCCTGGTAACAATTCCGGCTGGATTGGTTACATGACATGTACGTCCATCTCACAAACCGACGCTGCGACCAGAGCAAGACATGCATCCGGACGGAGGAATTGAGTCATGCGTGTTGGGGTTTAATTCACTCTTTGGCATTGACTCTCACGCACGCACAAATAGCGTTTATTTCTCTTTTCGCACTTTCAAAACATAATAAACGACAATCTCCCAAAAAAAGTGCAATGTTTTTAATGACCAAAAGATTTTCTTCATCTCCTCGTTATCAGTCCGTCCGCGTCTAGCCGATGCTGACTGACATGGGATTTTTATTGCGGGGCCAATTTGGTTTGGCCGAAGCCATGAGCCGACGCTTGCTCGGATGACGTTGTGCTCGCTGGACGGTGAAGCCGTGGTTGAGCAAGGGGCTTATCAACGAGGTCTGCCAAGACCAGAGACAAACCTCGTTCCTCGCAAGAAAATCGAGTGATGAGTGGCCCGTTGCCGAGAATCCTGCATTTTCCATGTCCCTTGCGCTGCCCGGCTTATTATTCCTTTGCTTACTTGCTCGCCCCCGCGCGCACTACTACTACCACACCACCACGCAAATGCCCGTCTGCCCACTTGCCCACGCACACGCACACGCACACACACCCTGCGAAATGTGGCATCGCCGAGGCGATCACCTTCCGCTTTGAGTGTAAGCACATCCCAGTCCCACATTGCTATCCATGACTTTTTAGTTGCTATGAGAAGGCCTGGCGCGAGGGGGTTTGATATTCTCATCAATCGAATGGGCCTTTTTCCCCACCTTTTTTTTAACCCCTTCTGGAACTTTTACGAGACCTGCGACCTGCGACCTGCACGGCAATCCTGTCCGAGTCGAGACAACGTCCCTCCCGGGCCAGTGGAAAAGGGCGAAATCAATGATATCATGGGGGCAAAGGCAAGACACGGCTTGCAGAGGGGCCGCCAAGCACGGCTCCCGCCGCCGGATCCCTTTTTTTCTTTTTCTTGGTCATTTTTAAGCTTTTGACATGCGCAGGGCGTGGAGTGTATGTATGAAGATGAATAAATGACAAACCCCCAAAAGGCACAAAAAAGGAAACAAATCGACATGACCGAATGCCATATCTTGATGCAGTTCCCCGTCTTCTGACCCTCCATTCAATCGATCCTTCGCAGTATCTGCGCATTCCCTTTATCTCAACGGTGGATCCAAACAACGCCGATCACTCTTCCCCCAACCCAACCTCCCCCACAGCTCCCACTTTTTGATCGACCCCTTGGAGTACTTGAACCAGATAGCTCCCCTCCCCCAACTCTTCGCTGGTCGGAGCTCCCCTTTTGTTTGGTCTTCTTTTGTATTCCTCTTTACTTAAATGTGTTAGAGCGAGATAGCTGCTGTCCTTGCCATAACATCACAATGTCGGACAAGGAGAAGAGATCCGGGTCCGTGAGCCCGGGGACGCCGAAACGGCTCCCGGCGGTAGCTTGGCTGCCAACGACGTCAACTTTCGAACCATGGCCGACGGCACGCAAGATCTCCTGGCGCGCAACGATCAACTTCAGAGAGGCCTCAAGAGCCGGCACATCCAGTTCATGGCCCTCGGCGGAGCGTGAGTAAATTTCTTTTTACCAAGAACGTGTGTTGTATCTCTATACGCTAACCCTCCATCCGTAAAAACAGCATCGGAACCGGTCTCTTCGTCGGCTCCGGCCTCATCCTCTCCACCCTCGGTCCCGCGCCCCTCTTCATGGGCTACATGTCCATGATGATGATCGTGTGGAACATCATGAACAACCTCGGCGAGATGGCCACCTACCTGCCCCTCAAGGGCGTCTCCGTCCCCTACTTTGTCGAGCGCTTCGTCGAGCCCAGTCTAGGCTTCGCCTGCGGCTGGAACTACTGGTACGCCTACGCCATGCTCGTCGGCGCCGAAGCCTCCGCCGGCGCCATCCTCCTCGAGTACTGGAACAGCCCCGTCCCCACCGCCGTCTGGATCGCCATCATCCTCATCGTCCTGCTCGGCCTCAACATCTTTGGCGTCGCCATCTTTGGCGAGGCCGAGTTCTGGTTCGCCAGCATCAAGTTCATCACCATCATGGGGCTCGTCATCGTCAGCATCGTCATCATGGCCGGCGGCGCTCCCAACGGCGAGGCTGTCGGCTTCGACTACTGGAAAGACCCCGGCGCCTTCAAGGAGTACATGGCCCCCGGCGCCACCGGTCGCTTCCTCGCTTACTGGAGCGGTTTCGCCCGCGCCGGCTTCGCCTTCATCACCTCGCCCGAGCTGCTCGCCATCGCCGCCGGCGAGACCGTCGCGCCCCGCCGCAACATTCCCAAGGCCGCCCGCCGCTTCGTCTGGCGTCTCGCCATATTTTACGGTCTCGGCTCCTTGATGATTGGTTGCATCACGCCCTCCAACGACCCGGATCTCCTGAACCCCGAGTCCAACGCCAACTCCTCTCCCTGGGTCCTCGGTATTCAGCGCGCCGGCATCGGCACCCTGAACCACATCATCAACGCCGCCATTCTCACCTCGGCCTGGAGCGCTGGAAACGCCTTCCTCTACTCTGGCAGCCGCGTGCTGTACTCTCTCGCCCTCAACGGCCAGGCCCCCGCCATCTGCGCCAAGACGGACAAGCGCGGCGTGCCCTGGGTCGCCGTGCTCGCGACCTGGTCCATCGGCCTGCTCGCTTTCCTCAACGTCGATAACAACGCCGCCAAGGTGTTTAACTGGTTCATGAATATTAGCACCATTAGCGGCTACATTGCCTGGATCGTCGTCATGATCACCTTTATCCGCTGGCGCAAGGCCATGGTCTTCCACGGCATGATGGACCGCCGGCCTTTCAAGACGCCTCTGCAGCCTTATGCTACCTACTTCTTCCTCGTCATCCTCATCCTCCTCACTCTCACCAACGGCTTCCAGATCTTTTGGCCCAGTAATTTCAACGCCGCCGACTTCCTCGCCGCCTACATCACCATTCCCGTCTTCTTCGTCTTGTACTTCGGCCACAAGATCATTTATAGGACGCCCTGGGCTCGCAAGATTCCCGACGTCGACGTCGTGACGGGCGTTCGCGAAATGGAGGAGATGGAGGCTAGCGAGGAGGAGAGGGTGCCGCAGACGGTGTGGCAGAAGATATGGTATTGGGTTGCGTGAGCGGCTTGTTACTATGCAGTAAATATTAGCGTTAGTGGTAGAAGAATGCATTGCCATGCTGCAGATACCTGAAAAGCAAATAAATTTTCATTATTCTGTTCAATAATTCTTTTGATTACACCCGATCCTTCCCAGCGTGAACACGAACAGGCCGTTCGTCAATCCCTTGAATCACATGTACGGAGATAGGCTTGTCGGCCTATAGCCGCAGGGAAAGCAGGGTTGAGCGTTTTACATCGCACCCCATTGGTCTCCTATGCTCAATAGTCGTTTAAGTTATATATCAGAAGCGGTAAGACGCGAAAGCCAAGATGTTCAAGCCTTTCCAAGCGTTTCCATAAGAGCGAACACAAGCGAGAGGCAACGCCTGGACGTGCAAACGGACAAAGATTCGTGATGGGCTTTATTCTCGAGGACTTGACAAGTGCAAGGTCCAAATATAGACGCATCTTGCCGATCAATCATTGATTGATTAAAGAGCCTATGCAGTCTTGGCCATGAACGTCACGGCCGAGACCACAAGCGTGTATCAAGTCACAGGGTCGAGATGTACAACGAGCTCGGTGCTGCCGGATATAGGTCGTTGATTTGTGTGCGGGGATGGGTGAAGCGCATCACGACAACGTCACTCTCGCATATGGGTGCGTGATACGAGGCCAATCTGAATATCTATTAGTAGAACCCATCTATCTCGTCTCGGACATTCCTCATTTGAATCCTCCTTTGCCAAGGTGAAGGGGAATGGCCTGAGCGGGCCGATCATAATGGCGAAGGAGGCTTTCAAGTTGTCACGGTAGCGGGCTCGACGCTCGCCTTTGGTTCGAGGATTCTGCCGAGATGATGCAGTTCGCTTGAAACTTGATACACGGAAAGGTCCATGGATGCATCACGTGCGATCTTGCATTTACCTTTCAATAAGAGGATTATGTAGTTGAAAGACGGAAATAAGATGCCGCGTATTGTGCTCCTGTTCCATTATTCCCTGTCTGGCGCAGCGGCAGCAACCACAGCTGTGCGTTATGGATCAAGGGTGCAGAAAATTATGTTTGATAGCTTTCTTCCGGTGGGGGAGAATTGAACCGTTCAATGGATCCTCGGATTTCAACTTTTAACCTTGGCAAGTTGCCTTTGCCGGGGCTGTACCACGGCTCAACCGCGCGCCTCCTGCAGCTCGAGATCGCCAAGTTGCCGGTGCGACCATGATAGACGACCAGATCCAATCCGCGCGCCACTTCTAAATTACTGGACGGCGAGCCAAGCATTCAAGCCCCTCTCTCCAAGATGCAAGCTTTGTCAGAGAGTTTGTCAGAGAGCAACATGACGAAAGGCGGTGGTTGATGATAGATGCCAAGGGGGAAGGATCACGTTTGGGCACACTTTGAACCACACAATGGGCGGAGCGTTGGAGCGAATGGAAATATTAAGAAGCCCCCTCTCGATAGGAATTTTGGTGGAGCGGCCGCCAACGTGCGGGGCCCAAGGCTACCTCGCCGGACTAGCCCTCCCGGCTAATGTGGCCGAGAACAGAGCAGGGCCGTACAACGCTGCGGGCTTAGCCGCCGCCACAACCAGCATTGACGACTTGCACGCGTGAGGGATACACAAACCCAAACTTGCGGTTTCTCTGATGTTTAGTAAACATTTATCTCTGTCGGGTTATCTTTGGCGGACTACGAGGGGCTGTACCTTGAGTGGGCGTCGTTCGTGTGTTGTGCGTGTAGATGAATGCCTGCGCTCGGCTAGATTTGCTCGCAACCAAGTCTTCTACTAGAGGGAGCTACTCTGAGCGGTCCCCCATATTCGCCTCGAGCGGGGCGGAGACTTGCTCCCTTCCCCAAACACGCAAGGCAGAGAAAGACTGACGATGGTGATGAGGTCTTGGCCGTCCCGCCTTGTCGTGTTTCGGGCTACATCTATCGCATCCCATCACAGACGGGCCATTCTCGGGCTGTTCTAATTTGGCATTCCATCCTCATGGATCACTTCATGTGGCCGAGACTATATTTCTATGTCTTGGCCAACGCATGGGACCCCTCTAGATAGAATCTTGGATCTATTTCGGTCTCGAAGCGTAAACGCAAGGCAGGAGGGAGGCGGATCATGATGCGAGCCACGTCGATGTGTGGAAAGAAGGACAGAGCTTTCCCATCAGTTGATCGAGGCCTCGTGAGATATAAATACGGCGAAATCCACTTGCTTCTTTGATGCTAGAAACTGGCTCATCACCCAGACGCAAAGACAGCATCCATCGACCTTCAGCAGACACCGATCCCCATCTTTACCATTTCCCCATCATTCTTCCGAGGCATTTCCTTAAGAGCGCCACCATGAAGATCTCCGCCATTCTTGCTATCGCTTCTTTTGCGATTGTCACCAACGCCGTGGCCATCGACGGAAACGATGGTGCCATGGCCAAGCTGTTCCAACGAGATATCGCCCCACGCGATGATCCGTGCCTAACACCTTGCATGGATAAGACTAGCCATTACTGCCCTCACCCCGGCGGCTGCGGCCTCCAATGGTATGTGATGCCCATGAGTCTTCGGCTCCTCCTAAAACCGTTTGGTTGTTACGCTTGATAAGATGAGGTTGAGGCTAATCGCTCGAGGGTGCTGTTTAGCTGGATCTGCTGCGAGGTTAAGAAGTACAAGGCCAACTCCTGCGGTTAAGTGTCTTGTTGTCCTTCCGAAGGTGTTTCGATGGATTTTCAAACACAGCTTTATCGTGAAGGGAAGAAGGGATGGCTTGTTGTGGGACACTTTAAGTTTTTGGAGAATAGTTTAGGGAACCGAGATATTTGACGAATATTGACAAGACCCATTCCATGAATACATCTTGCTATTATCATAAATACCGTATCAAGTAATCGTGTGCGTGGTTGTTTCCAAAGACGCCTTTTTCCTTGGGTGATAGTTCTGTTGTATAGGTTGTGTATGCGGTGGGCGTTGAAACATTGATAGTCTTGTCGTGTACGCCAGCAATAGATGCAGGTACGACGGCGGTTAGATACAAATACATTCCGTCGACGCCTCATCGTCTCGCCTTGTGAGCTAGAGTCTCTTGGCGCTCGGCCCCTCGCGCCTTTTCAGGAGCCGACTACCCGGACCGTGACCGACACATGAACCTGGGGAGGTTCGGGTGGAGAACACTCACCCCGAGCGTGAGGTGCAACTTTCTGTTTGCTTCATATGAATTTCTGCGGGTGCATGACCCATAGGTATGTTGGCTCGAAGCTTATCTCCCCGCGAAGCTCGGCAGCACAGTCGATCCGATGTGACGCGAGAGCGAGCAAAGCGTGTGGGTTGCCCCGCGCGGGTTTCCCCTCAATCCCCACTCTTTTTCCACGGCAGTTCTTTTTTTCCAACAGACGAGACTTGAGCCAAAGCTTTTGATGATGAAGTTGGCAATCCATGTAGACCAAAAAAAAAAAAAAGAAAAGAAAGACGAGAGCGTCATGGGAGTATGGAGACGGATCGCCCCGCTCTATTCGGAAGACGAGGAAGTGGAGACGAAACCCCGGGATATCCTGATTTACAACGCAAGCTCCTTGCATTACCCTTGGATAATTTTTAAAGATTGAGATTGATGCCGAAATCGGGCTAGAGCCTCAAATCTGCGTGAATATTTTCAAACTTCCGCAGAAGAGAACATTATAGAAAAGACGAGGTAGCAACAGCAGGCTGCGAGCCTGTTCACCTTCAGCTTCTTCCACGATATAGTAAAGGACGATTAGCAATAGGGCATCATCCGCCTCCTCTGCAAAGGCCCTTCTTTCCGAAAGAATTGTGAGATTACCAAGGGGCACCGGGGTTAACCACATTCGGGTAGCGGGTGGGTAGTCCCACAGTCGCCACTCTCCCCAGAGACTAGTAGCGGTGCCCTTGGGGCCGAGCGTAGGGTCGCGGTGAACCGCGGTAGTCCAAATTCCAAAAGAATTTCAGGTTTTTGTTCCTTGCACCTTTTTCCAAACCATTTAGTAGCCTCTCCAGCACTCGGGAAACGACCTGGCCTTCATGCGTCTCTTATCGAGGATCTCCAGATGACAACGAACGTAGATGCTGCGGCGGCGACGGACGCATTAGCCGTCGGCGTTCCAGCCCACGTCCCCGCGACGATCCCCGGCGGCGATCCCGAAAAGACTGTGGTTCTGGACCGTATAGAGACGTCGAGTTTGGATTCTGCGCCGCTATCGTCTCCTTCCGACTTCCCGGATGGGGGCATAGAGGCCTGGACAGTCGTCTTTGGGGCCTGGTTGGCCTTGTTTTGCACATTTGGCCTCATTACTTGCGTCGGCCTGTTCCTGGAGTATTACGTGGAGGGACCGTTGGCGAGCTATGGACCGAGTACTGTAAGCTGGATTGTCAGCGCCCAGATTTTCGTCCAAGGTGGCGGCACGGCAATAGTAAGTTAGATACCTCATTTTTCCTCATCTTCCCCAGCACCGCGGCGCAAAGGCATCGTGGCGACTTCCCTACATTTTCAGTTCAAAGCTCACCCCGTCTCTCTTTATGACATAGTGGGGTAGGATCTTTGATTCATATGGCCCTCGCTGGCTTCTATGGGTCGGCACGCCAGTGTACTGTCTTGGCATCATGATGACCTCGCTCTCGACCAAGTACTACCAAATCTTCCTCAGCCAGGCCGTCCTCAGCGCTTTAGGGTCAGGCGCTGTCTTCAACGCCGGCCTCTCATCCACGGCGACTTGGTTCCTGAAGAAGCGAGGCGCGGCGTTTGGCATCCTCAACTCAGGCTCCTCTGTCGGCGGTGTCGTGCTGCCCATCATGATCGACCGCCTGTTCAAGTCCATCGGCTTCGCGTGGACCCTCCGCGTGCTCGGGTTTCTGCTGCTGGCGCTGTGTGCCATTGCCTGCATCACCGTCAAGTCTCGCCTACCCGCAAACCCGCGACCGCTCGTGCTTGCCGACTACACCAAGCCGTTTACGGAGATGCCGATGCTCATGACCATGCTCGGAGGCTTCCTCTTCTTTTGGGGCATGTATCTCCCCATGAATTACATCATTATCCAGGCCAAAGCGACGGGAATCTCGACTTCCATAACACCGTACCTCCTCCCCATCATCAACGCCGTGAGCATCATCGGTCGCATCCTCCCCGGCTTTGCCGCCGACCGGTTCGGCCGGTATAATTGCATAATTATCATCACTGCCCTATCCGGGATAGCGACGCTGGCTCTGTGGATCCCGAGCGGCGGGAACATGGGCGCTATCATTGCCTACGCAGTTCTCTTTGGCTTCGCCTCAGGCGGGTACGTGACCATGCTCCCTGCGTGCATCGCCCAGATTAGCGAGATTGAAGAAATTGGGACGCGCACGGGGATTGCGTTCCTGGTCACGGCGATCGGTACTCTGACCGGGTCGCCCATCGGCGGGGCGCTGCTGTCGTCGCAGGACGGAAATTTTTAGGTTTGCAGTTGTTTGCCGGGCTGTCGATGCTGTGTTCGACGTTGGCGTTTCTCGCGGCGCGATATGCGCAGGTTGGATGGAAAGCTGCGGCTATTTGAGACCATCAATAGAGACGATAGAAATAGTTGTAAATCTCATCAAATATCACCACTAAATTCATTGTTCAATTAATTCTTGCCTTGTTTTCTGTTTGTCACACGGCCATGACGCGTACTTGGAGCATTACTCACACGTTATCTGGGGGCCTCTGCTCTCGTATCTAGAGGCTTCCTCGGCTAATATGCGCATCCGGGATACAGCCTAACTAAAGCCACGGTCTATACATGTACTTGGTGGACCATGAGCAGACTCTCTCCCTAATCTAACGTTCTTGGGCTTTTACTTGGCAAGACGTGTCATTTTGACTTCACAAAATACCTCTGCACCACACATTGCCTGCCCCATACATCAACACCAACGAGCCACCATGAGTAGCAATAAACTCAGAGTGCTGTGCCTTCACGGACAAGGGACCTCAGCAGAGGCAGGTTAACTTCCTCGGCGTCAGGGACAACGAGATCAGTTGCTAAAGCGCGGATATTAGATTTTGAGGATCCAGCTCGCACCCTACCTCTTCCGTCTTCAACGTGAGCTAGGTATCGAGGTCCATTTTCGCAACGGTCGCTTGAAGTGCGACCCCATCCCTCTCTTGCTGATGTATACAATGGAGAGACCTTTCAGAATTACTCTTGGGACGACGACCACGGTCCCCCGACTGAAGAAAACAAGGTAGCCGTGAAGAACGCGTTTAGTCACTTGGAGGAAGACTTGGCGAAGGACGGACCCTTTGACGGTGTTTTGGGCTTCTCGCAAGGCGCATCATGCACGTCGGCTTTTCTGCTACAGCTAGCAAGGGCGGGAGCCGCCACGGTTCCTTTCCGATTCGCGATTCTGTTTTCGACCTCGGGCATACCGGAATGGGACGTTGAGGACCAAGAGTCTGTCAAGATTAAAATCCCTACACTTCATGTCTGTGGCGAGGCCGACTCCGAGTGGTTTGAAGACGCGAAGGCCGTGACGACACGGTGCGCGGACGGCACTGCGGAGCTCATTACGCACACGGGCGGGCATGTCGTGCCGAAGGATCGGCCAACGGTAGACAAGGTTATCCAGGGGATTAGACGACTCGTTGAACGCTCCCGATGACTTGCGCATCAATAAGGTACACAGTCTGTCGGGTGTACATATCGAAATATTCATGTATTGATAGGAATCCTAACCCTAAGATTTCCATTGGGACCAGACTCTTAGTATACGAAAGTCCTTGCCATTGATACAAACGAATTTGGATTAAACAGTTCAACAGATAGCCTAGGCAACAGAGGAACGATGAACCACGCGCAACAAAAATGTCACTGACTTGAAAGTCGGCTCACGACTAGCGCACTACGGCAAGGAGCTTTAGACGATAGGACACCTCAACTTGGATTTGGGCTAATTATTATCTTATCACAATCGAATAGGCCGTACCTTCCCTGCGCCGAAGATTTCGTCCGCTGATTGTGCTGTTCACCACATTGTCCCTCACTTTTGTAGCGTCAGGACGCCGGGCCTATACGGTAGCTTCCCATAATCACTGCTCGACCCCGGCGTGCGGCCCTGATACAGGAGCTCAAGGTTGCAGGGGTCAATCGTCATGGTTTGGTCGGGATTGCTCCTGATAAGATCGCCATGGCTAATGTCGTCAGTCCAGGTTGCGTCGGAATTGGCCTTGCCTGCGAAGGGGGCATTTTCGCTGGTGGCTTGCGCCGTCCAGTCCCCGTCGAGCCGATCGGCAGTGTAGGAACGGAAGTAGCGGCCTCGAGAGCCGATGGACTCCACGATCATGAGGTACTTTTGCTGTCCCTCAAGCTTGTAGACTTGGACGGCTTCGAAGAGGTTATTCGTGGTGTCGCTCATGATGATGGTGGACTCGAGGCCAAAGTCTGAGGGGAATTTGTCGATGGGCATGGTGGAACGGTAGATCTTGCCGTTATCGCCGGCAAAGAAAAGATACATGGTTGTATCGTCGCCGATGAGAGTCTGGTCAATACATCCGGTACTGGAGTCCGTAATCTTTCCCGAGAAGAGGGGCTGCACGGCCGACCAAGCATTCGGATCGGTCGGGTCGGAAGATGTCCGGTAGGAGAAGGAGGTCGGCCCCCACTGGTAGGCGAGGACCCAGATATCCTTGGGTTCAAAGTAGAACAAGGTAGGGGCAACGGCGCTAAAGTTCATCTTGTTCTGGCTGGAGGTGGCCATCTCTGTCCAGTTCCCAAAGAGCCCAAAGTTCATGGAGCCCCAGGACGAGCCGTTGTCGTGGTTCGTCGCGTACACGAGGTATTGGCCCTCGTACATGGCGGTGGTGAAATCCTTGAGAGATACCCAAGGCGCCTGTGGCTCCGCGAGCTTCCCAGAATCCGTCCAGCGATAGGTCGATGGAAGGTCGCAGGTGGTTTGCGCGGCAGTGGCCATCGCCATGGCAATGATTGCCGCTGATTGAGCTAAGACCTTCATGGTGGTTGACTCTGGTTGCGAAGAAGACAGGGCAAATTTTTCGGACGCGAACTAACGGTGGATGAAGCTAGCTAGCCATATCCAGTAGGCAATTGGACTCGACCACACCTCGGGGTTTTATACGTTATTTTGTTTCGAGTTCCAAGAGCTATCCTCGATCGTCGAGAGGTGACGGCGGAGCTCGGTCAGACCGGGTAAAGACTGGGACACACAGCCAGCCGGGTCCAAGCAGCCCATCATAGCACAGCACTATATATTCGGGAGGCCTGACTGGTGCGGCTCTCCATTGACATCTAAGTTTGTGAATTTTTGGACCCCATCTCGGTGTTTGGGATTTTGCGGTCCAATTACTCGCGGGCAAAGTGGTCAAGTTGGGCATTTCAATTACCGAACATGAATATAGTTAAAGGGTCCCGTACCGACTTAATAAAATACCCTCCCAATCCGCCGATACTCAACCACTTCTCTGTGCGGAATTGAACCGAAGCCTAGCTGCCAAGTAAGAGGTCAAGAACGATAGGTGGAGTAATTTCGTGGCAACCTTAACCCAGCGCACTCATGTTCAAACCGTCAAGCGTGCCAGTAAACGCCGTCCAAATGGAACGCTCCTTATATCAGCGATGGATATTAGGGCGGTAGCAGCTCGCTAAAATGGGTTCATCCGTGGCCCTGACATTCGGATCAGCCTCGCGGCGTACGGGATGAGAACCTAGCACACCTGTGGATAGTAGTCACCCTTCTCCAACTTTGAAACCCCGTACCCGCCGAATTCCCGCATCGAAGAAGCAGATCTCCATTAGAGCCATCATTATGTTGTTATTGTGAGGTGGGGGCATCAATCAGCCATATTGAAAGGGGAGCGAGTTATCTAGCCAGCAGGAGGAACTGAATGAATGGCGGTGAGCACAGAGATGGCTAAGATACGAAAACACAAGTCGAATGTATTAAAGCGTATTATGACAAAGAAAAAGATTATTTAGCATCGGTAGTATGGACCATAGTTCCATATTGTCAAGCCACGGGTCCTATTGGGTGAGTTGGCTAGTTCCGGGCTTAGAACAGGAGCGCCATGCCGATGGCGAGGAGGCCAGCGCCAACCTGCGACTTGGACGAGCCGGCAGTGGCGTAGCCGTCAGCTCCGTTGGAGCCGGAGCCACCAGCAGGAGAAGCGCCACTCTCGCCAGCGCCGCCGCCAGAGGCACCGCCGGAAGCACCGCCGGAAGCACCGCCAGAGGCACCACCAGAGGCACCGTCAGAGGCACCGTCAGAGGCACCACCAGAGGCACCACCAGAGGCACCGTCAGAGGCACCGTCAGAGGCACCACCAGAGGCACCACCAGAGGCACCACCAGAGGCACCACCAGAGGCACCACCAGAGGCACCACCAGAGGCACCACCAGAAGCACCGCCAGAAGCACCGCCAGAAGCACCGCCGGAAGCGCCGCCTCCAGTGGATCCGCCGGCGCCACCGCCAGACGAGCCACCATTTCCGCCGTTGCCTCCGTTACCACCATCACCACCGTTTCCGCTGGAGCCACCGCCGTTGCCACCATTGCCACCATTCCCTCCGTTGCCTCCGTTGCCACCATTACCACCGCTGCCGCCGCCAGTGCTTCCGCCGTTACCTCCGTTTCCACCGTTGCCGCCATTGCCACCATTGCCACCGCTGCCACTACCACTGCCTCCGTTGCCGCCGTTGCCGCCGTTTCCACCGTTGCCACCGTTACCGGATCCCCAGGCGCCGCCGTGGCCACCGCTGCCGGATCCCCAAGCGCCGCCGTTGCCACCGTTGCCTCCATGACCGCCATTGCCGCCGTTGCCGCCGTTGCCAGATCCGGATCCCCAGTGGCCGGGCTTCGCACCCCAGCCGGGGGAGCCGGGTCCATCACCGCCGCACTTGCCGCTGGGGCAATGAGGAGAAGGCTTGCCATGTTCACCACCGCAGTTGCCGTCAACGCAAGGGCGACCGGGTTTGTTGCCGGGCCAGAAGGGGCACTCGGGTCCACCGCAGTGAGGGCTGACGGTGCAAGTAGGGCACACGGTGCTGGTGTAGGTGGAGGTGAGGGTCTCAACGGTAATACCGTCCGATCCGCTAAACGTGGTGGTGAGGGTAACCGCGCTGGTGATGGTCTCCCGGTCGGTGATGGTGGCGGTGACGTCGGGGAGGATACCACCTCGAACGTAGATGAGGAGCAGGACGTTGGGAGCAATGACCGCCTGGCGACGGGCGAGCTCGCTCTGGTCGAGGAGACCACCGCAGAACTGTTCGTCGTTACCGGGGCAGGGGATGTTGCAGCGACCGATGGTGACGGGGACGGCGCTGATTCTGGGACCGCAGTAGCAGTTGGGACCGAAGACACCGACGAACCTGGTGCCACCGCAGACGGCGATACAGAAGTCGAGGGTGTTCAAGGGCGAGGAAATGGCGAGGGTAAAGGAGGGGAAGCCGTCCTCGGAACGGAAGCATCCTAGTCTGCCGTAAGGGCCAATGTTGCCAGGGGCGCCGTCATTAGGATCCACGCCGCTAGTCGAGATGGTGCTGGTGCTGCTGCTGGTATTCGTGCTATCGGTGCCGGTCTCGGTGCCAGTGGGGGCGCTGGAAGTACCCGTGTTGGTTCCAGTGTTGGATCCGGTATTGGTGTCAGTGTTGGTGCCAGTGCTGGTACCAGAGGTAGAATCAGTGTTGGTGTTGGTGGCGGTAGCCGTATCCGTGCCAGAGTTGGTACCGGTCTCGGTGCCGGTCTCCGTACCAGTCTCGGTGCCGGTCTCGGTGCCAGTCTCAGTGCCAGTCTCGGTACCAGTCTCTGTGCCGGTCTCGGTGCCGGTCTCGGTACCAGTCTCCGTGCCGGTCTCGGTACCAGTCTCCGTGCCGGTCTCGGTACCAGTCTCGGTACCAGTCTCCGTACCAGTCTCCGTACCAGTCTCCGTGCCGGTCTCCGTGCCGGTCTCGGTGCCGGTCTCGGTGCCAGTCTCAGTACCGGTCTCCGTACCAGTCTCCGTGCCGGTCTCGGTGCCAGTCTCAGTACCGGTCTCCGTGCCGGTCTCCGTGCCAGTCTCGGTACCAGTCGCCGTACCAGTCTCGGTGCCAGTCTCGGTGCCGGTCTCGGTGCCGGTCTCAGTGCCAGTCTCGGTGCCAGTCTCGGTGCCAGTCTCGGTACCAGTCGCTGTGCCAGTCTCCGTGCCAGTGGTGTTGATGTCCTCCTTCACAATGCAAACGATGGTTGTCACATCGCCTTCGACGATGGAAGTGCAGGTACAGTCTTCGCCGTCCTCGCAGGGCACGCAGGTGCTGAAATCAGGAGCATCGGGGCAGAGGCAGGTCTCCTCGAGGGGGTTGCAAGGGGTGTTGGGAGTGCAGATACCACCGTCGACAGGGCAGGTGCAGTCCTCGCCGTCGGTGCAGGGCTCGCAGGTGCTGAGGTCCTCCTCATCCGTGCAGACACAGGTGTCTACTTCGGGGTCGCAGGGCTCAGTGGGAGTGCAGATACCACCGTCAGCGGGGCAAGTGCAGGTGTCGCCGTCAACGCAGGGCTCGCAGGTGCTGAGGTCTTCCTCATCTGTGCAAACACAGGTGTCTACCTCGGGATCACAGGGGCCAGTGGGGGTGCAGACACCGCCATCGGCAGGGCAGTTGCAGTCGTCTCCATCAGTGCATGCAACGCAGGTGGTGAGATCAGGGGCATCCGGGCAGAGACAGGTATCGACTTCAGGATCGCAGGGCTCGGTGGGAGTGCAGATGCCGCCATCAGCAGGGCAAGTGCAAGTCTCGCCGTCAACGCAGGGCTCGCAAGTGGTGAGGTCCTCTTCATCCGTGCAGACGCAAGTATCGACTTCAGGGTCGCAGGGACCGGCAGGGTGCAGACGCCACCGTCAGCAGGGCACTCACAGTCGTCTCCATCAACGCAAGCAACACAGGTGGTCAGATCGGGGGCGTCTGGGCAGAGACAGGTGTCTACCTCGGGATCGCAGGGCTCGGTGGGAGTGCAGATGCCGCCATCAGCAGGGCAAGTGCAAGTCTCGCCGTCAACGCAGGGCTCGCAAGTGGTGAGGTCCTCCTCATCTGTGCAGACACAGGTGTCCACCTCGGGATCACAGGGGCCAGTGGGGGTGCAGACACCGCCATCAGCAGGGCAGTTGCAGTCATCTCCATCCGTGCAAGCAACACAGGTGGTCAGATCAGGGGCGTCCGGGCAGAGACAGTTGTCTACCTCGGGATCACAGGGCTCAGTGGGGTGCAAATACCGCCATCAGCAGGGCAAGTGCAGGTGTCGCCGTCGACGCAGGGCTCGCAGGTGCTGAGGTCCTCCTCATCCGTGCAGACGCAGGTATCGACCTCGGGGTCGCAGGGAATAACAGGAGTGCAGATACCGGCCTCAGGGGGCAGGTGCAAGTCTCGCCGTCAACGCAGGGCACGCAAGTAGTGAGGTCCTCCTCATCCGTGCAGACGCAAGCATCGACTTCAGGGTCGCAAGGACCGGTAGGGGTGCAGACACCGCCCTCAGCGGGGCAGACACAGTCATCTCCGTCGATACAAACAACACAGGTAGTCAAATCCGGGTCATCGGGACAAAGGCAGTCCTCCGTCTCAGGGTCGCAGGGAGCAGTGGGAGGGGTGCAGATGCCGCCCGCAGGGGGCAAGTGCAAGTGTCTCCGTCAATGCAGGCGATACATGTGGTAAGATCCGGATCATCAGGGCACAGGCAGTCCTCCGTGTCAGGGTCGCAAGGAGTAGTGGGAGGGTGCAGATGCCGCCCGCGGGGGCAGACGCAGTCATCTCCATCGATGCAAGTAACACAGGTAGTGAGATCCGGGTCGTCAGGGCAGAGGCAGTCTTCTGTCTCAGGGTCGCAGGGAGTAGTGGGAGGCGTGCAGATGCCGCCCGCAGGGGGCAGACGCAGTCATCTCCGTCAACACAAGTGACACAGGTGGTGAGATCCGGGTCATCAGGGCAGAGACAGTCCTCCGTATCAGGGTCGCAAGGAGTAGTGGGAGGGGTGCAGATACCGCCCGCGGGGGCATGTGCAAGTGTCTCCATCAATACAAGTGACGCAGGTGGTGAGATCCGGATCATCAGGGCACAGGCAGTCCTCCGTGTCAGGGTCGCAAGGAGTAGTGGGAGGGTGCAGATGCCGCCCGCGGGAGGGCAGACGCAGTCATCTCCATCGATGCAGGTAACACAGGTAGTGAGATCCGGGTCGTCAGGGCAGAGGCAGTCTTCTGTCTCAGGGTCGCAGGGAGTAGTGGGAGGCGTGCAGATGCCGCCCGCAGGGGGCAGACGCAGTCATCTCCGTCAACACAAGTGACACAGGTGGTGAGATCCGGGTCATCAGGGCAGAGACAGTCCTCCGTATCAGGGTCGCAAGGAGTAGTGGGAGGGGTGCAGATACCGCCCGCGGGGGCATGTGCAAGTGTCTCCATCAATACAAGTGACGCAGGTGGTGAGATCCGGATCATCAGGGCACAGGCAGTCCTCCGTGTCAGGGTCGCAAGGAGTAGTGGGAGGGGTGCAGATGCCGCCCGCGGGAGGGCAGACGCAGTCATCTCCATCGATGCAGGTAACACAGGTAGTGAGATCCGGGTCGTCAGGGCAGAGGCAGTCTTCTGTCTCGGGGTCGCAGGGAGTAGTAGGAGGGGCGCAGATGCCTCCTGCAGGAGGGCAGGTGCAAGTGTCTCCGTCAATGCAGGCGATACATGTGGTAAGATCCGGGTCATCAGGGCAGAGGCAGTCGCTGGTGGTAGGATCGCAGATAGGCTCGCAGTCCAGGCCATTGCAAACGCAGTCGACTCCCGGCGTACACGAGTCACACTGCAAGAGACCATCGACGTCGATGCAGAGACAGCCGAAATCGGTCAGGGGTTGCAGGAAAGGGTAACGCAAGCGATGGGACGGAGGTCGAGGTCGCAGTTGCAGGTATCTCCATCATCGCAGGTCTGGCAGTTGAGGGGTTGGATTCAAGGCAGATGCAGGTGTCCAGGAGCGGGTTGCAGGGGAAGAGGGAGACGCAGAGCTTAATATCGAGAATCGGAACCGTGACGCAGGTACATTCAACGTCTTCCTCGCAGGACACACAGGAAGATGGATCATCGGTATCCACGCAGAGACACGCGAGCGAGCTGGGGTCGCAGTCACGCTTATGCAAGCCGCTAGGGGCCCGGTCGGGGAGACTCATCTCCCCCAGAGAGGGCAGGGCAAGCGTTGGAATGACCGCGGCTGCCAAGGCGAGGCCCCGCAAAAGGTGGGCGGGCGGCGCCATGGCGTTCAGACGACCAGATGATACCAGGGTAGGCGAGGTCGTCTTGATGCTCAAGGGGTAGCACAGGCGTTGGGGGTACTAGAAACTATGGGGTAGAGAACGAGTGGCAGGCAAACGTTGCCAAAGGTAGCCAGGCTCCTGCGGTGGAGGATGGCGAAACGAAAGGGAAGGGGGGCTAATGAGTGACTGGTGAGGCTGGTCGCTGCTCTGTGGTGGATAAAGAGGATAGATGGAAGAAGCTGGCCGGAGTGAGCTTCCTTTATACTCGATATACTCCCCAGTGGTGAAGAAGGGGAACACGACATTATGGGGACTCAACCAAAGGGTCGTCGGCGTGTAGTCGCGTCTCCTCATCTCCGGTGGAACCCTAACCACAACACAAGGCCGACTTCTCAAACCCAACTATTGCCACGGTCAAGCGCGTGTGAGACTTGGCCCCAAACCACTAAGCCGCGAGAAGAGCAGAAGTATGAAATCTAGTCTTGTGCTGAGCTTTGGTGATGATGAAGCTGTCTCCCATGGACTGGAACATGGCGCCCCATCTCAGGAAAGACTAGCGCGGTGTTCGTAGATTCAGTCCTCTTTTGATCATGGAGTGAGGCTCGATACAGCTGGGCCCAGGGGACAGGAGAGCTCGTCCCAACATGGCCGAAGTGTTACAGAACTAAAACCTGGCAGGGGTTTAGTCGTGAGGGTCGCAGGAAAAGGGGGGCGCCACACCTTTTCAAAGAGGACGGAGACAGTCTAATTGAGTAATTGTAAAATAGCTGAACCAACTTCACCAGACGTCTCAACTTGCCCTCCTAGGGTTTTGTCAAAGGCTTGGGAATGGGCCCTACCTCGTGGCATAGGTCGACTTACCCTTACCGCCCCGTTCTTGACACCAGGGGTGAGCTTGTGGCTCTGCGGAGACCCAGGCTAAACTTCATGATGGCTGTCTTGAGATCCAAGCACATTAGCCAAGCGTGAGGGTTGCGGTTGTTGCTTTTTGCTTTAGCGTACATGCATATACCCTTAGCTTCCAAGAACTTGGATATTTCTTCTCGTTCACGTCGTGGTGGCAGCTGGCCATGCTTTGTTCCTGAGGAGGTATGGAGCAGCCGCCGCAGAAATACATGTAAGAGACTATGAACGTGAGGGTGAAATTGATTCTTGTTAACCAACTCCTCCTGGCCAAACCAAACGTGCGGTTCGAAAACTAGTTCTACGCACAACAAAAGGCTCATCCGCAACACAGACTAGAGGTTCTGTTCTGTAACTGAAATTCTGTGTAGCTCGCCAAGATAGCATGCCTCGAGTCCGTAAAAACTTGAAAGTAATTCAACCGTCGTCACTGCGGCGCCAGGCACATGGCAGACTAACTCTAAACCATGCTAGCTGGCGGCGGATCGCCGCGAAGCTAACTTTCTTTGGCGTATTTTCTCGGCGTCTCACAGGCCAATATCCAACATTTGGCGTGTCCAGTGTCTCAGTGCCACAAGTAAACGACTGGTTGGATCCGGGGTTTCCTCCCACTAGGGAATGGATCATGGTGGCTGGAGGCTTCCCTCCGAGGTGTGAACCATTGTCTCCTCTCTTCTTTTTTTGTTAGAAAAACAGCTCCCAAAACAAAAAAATTTGTTGCTTGTTTTCCCTCCCTCTAGCTAATCTAACTGTGGCTGCACTCTCGATCTTCCCTCTCCCTTTTCTTGGCGTCTTGAAGTGGTTGCGTATGCGGGCATGGAATCCATCGTGAAATGCCATCATTGATATTTCTAATCGATCGACCGGGACTTAAGATGCCACTGCGGAGGACCCTGGCGATCTTTCCAATTATGGACACATCGCATCGCGATAAGCTTATTGCTGTTGCTTCCATTGCCATACCCAAAAAGGATAGGGGAACGCTCGCCGTGCATTCGAGATCACAAGAGGCTTATTCCGAGATGTCCTGCGCCAATATTCAGTGACCCTGCGAAGCTCCATGTCGGGTTCTCGGCAACACCTCGCCTCCCCAGAGGTGCATGAACGTCCTTTTGACAATACAGCATATCTAAACACGTACCTGCGCTAGCTCTCTCGCACCCGACCCTAATTCTTAAACGTGACACTCCAGAGTGAGAACTGGGAGCTAGGGAGAGCTGAGGCTCTGGTATTTTCCCGTGCTGGTCCAAGTGAGACGGCGACAGCACCAACACTGGAGGGAAATGGCCGACACGCAGTCAACGCCCAATCCGAGAAGCAGACATCCAAGACTAGGCCCAGCGCCCAGAGAGAGCGTCCATGAGCCACGCACGTCACCCTAACACCGCAATCTCCCGCCACGCTAACAAATTCTCGGCGATGGAGAGCTAGAGGGGAAGAGGACAAGGGCCAAGCGAGCCCAGCGGCGATCATTCAGCAGTTCACGATCCAAGATCGAGACACGGACGCCCATTTTTGAGACATAACGTGACCACTAGCCCCGGCATTTTTGTTTCCAAAGCTCGGCCGGCAAATATGACAACCAAACGAGGTATCTCAAAGGGTTTTCATGTTTCCTTTTTTCCCTGGACGCGCAACGCAGCCCGTCGCACTCCACTCCTCCGCCCCCATGGGCCCGCCCCTGCATCCAGTTGGAAATTGCTGTTCGAGACATGAACTCTGCAAACGGAGATTTCCCTGGCGATCGCAGCGACGAGGGGGCGCCGCTGCCTTATATGCCGGAGAGTGAGCCACGCGGAATTGTCGAGTGAGTCGCGGATGCGTTGCTTCCATCTTGATTGAGCGGTGCCGAGAGTTTGTTTCTTCTCCTTTTCCAAGGTTTTAGAAGCGGGTGCAAAACAATCAATCAGTCGACAAATCAATCTCCTTCTGATATCTACTCTGGCTGCTCGGATCTCTTGCTAGGAGCCTTTTCAGCACGTTCGAAGTAGGTCCTAATCAAGTCAGTCCCAGCCACTGCCGTATTTACTCGGATTAAGATGCATGGCGCAGGGTGCCGGGGAAGACGAACACGGACAACAAATGCTCATGTTCCTATTCCCCGAGTTCCCAGTCGACGTGGGCACTCCAATCCCGATAATCGATATCAGGATTGCTTCTTCCATCTGATCTCCTCACGATGTAGGGTACTTGAACGAAAGATTCCTACCATGTCGGGGAAAGATCGACTAGCGGTGCAGGGAGGGACAAGTCCCTCTAGCCTTCAGCCGCAGGTCTCGAGCGGAATATTTCCCTCTCCCTCCATAAAAGTTTCTCCTCCTCGGGCTTCTCGCAGCGGTGTCTACGGGGAGTGGGAAAATACAAGGGGCAATGATACCCCCTCGGGTTTGTAATGTTAGCGTGCCAGCAGCGACGGGAAGGAACCGCCCCTCCAATACAAACTCGATCCCATGAGCTCGCTAAATCTTCCCCGGGCGGGAGGATTCAAGACACGGCGATGATATCTGATTATCAAATCGGTCGCGGTATGCTCGCTCAGCCTGGGTTCCGGCCGATGAACCTGTCGCAACAAGTTTTTGTGGTAAAGTCAGTTCCAAAAGTTCAACTGTCACTGGTCAGCGGAGCTTTCTTGTTGACCCTGTCAAGGGCGACACCGTCTTTCTCCTCCTTTAGAATCACAATTTATGATCGCTAGCCACACTTGCTAGAGTCCGCACGACTGAACGAAAAAGCGGACGGGGTAAATCCACAGAAGAGGTTAACACTGCCACAAAGTGGCGTTACGAACTTAGGACTGCGCTAAGCTGGACTGACTGAGGGTCTCAGGCTGGAATGAGTGGCTGATACACCCGGCGATGCAGACCGCGGGGTTTTATTTTTATTTTATTTATTTCTGTCTCTTACCCTTGTTATGTTTAACCACTTTCCTCTCACGATGTATTACAGACCCAGCCGCATTGTGTTTTCTTTTTCCTCCCCCTTTGCTTGGCGTCTGCACCCTCTATACCCGGGCCGAACGCTAGGGTCAGTTGCCTATCTCGGCACTACATTTGCTTCGTCTCTGGGTGCCTAGATAGCATCGTGAACTCTCACCGAGAGCGATCTCAGCCGACTGAAGGCTTGTCTACCATGAGACTAGTTTCATGGAGACCTCCTTTCCCGATATGATAGAGCCGACCCCACTGGAGGACTTCATAACAGAGGTGCAAGAGTGTGTTACCTGGCTCGAGTCCCACGGGAAATCCGCCGTAGAGGAGAAGAGAGAGCCTTCATGCAGGGTCTTACATTAAGGATAAGCCATAGCTTCACTTCAGAGGCAGGCGTTCGCTTGACTTTCCTCATTAATAATCCTCTAGGCCGACTCTGAGGAGCCGATGGATATAAGGGGCACCGTCGGCTCTTGGCCGCTCAGACCTCAAGTACTTGTTGCTTCACCTCGGGCTACCTTGTCTGTCTGGTGTCTGGGCCCACAATGCATACGCGGGGAAGGTTGAGAATACAGATCTATCCCCCAAAGGCCTGTCTTAGCAGCAAAGGAGAAAGTAGCCGGATATGTTGAGTAATTAGGAATACTTGGTGGTCCTCGTGTTATGTGGTTGAGACTGTGCATCCATGTTGCGTCTGGTTCAACATGTTGTGATCGAATTGCTGTCTGTCCGCGAAGGAGAAAAGAAGAGAGAGGGAAGAAGAGAGAGAGGAGGAGAGACAGGAAGAAAGGACAAAGTTGACTCAATGAGCCTGTAAGGACGGTCAGGAAAGGTGCCAGTTCGATTGTTCTTCGCTGGCATCATAGAGTACGGCGAAGGGTCAAGGTGAAAACATAAACGTCCCACGAGCCTCAGCCCAAACTGCAATTGAAGCCAAAGATCAAGATCCGACAAGCGTTGGCGAGGTGGGTCCGCTGCAGATGTCGAAGCCATCAAGGCCTTTCGCGTGACGGTTATCCCCCGATGAGGAGACCCGACTCCGGGTGTTGCCAACTGCGGAGAGCAACCAAGCCCGGTCGATCACGGGATTGCGATTTATAAGAATTACTGTTTGCTATATGAGTAAATATTGTTCGTGGAGCGAAATAGCCGTGGGCCTCGGGAACACTAGAAGAAGCAATTATCTGTATACGTTATAGAAGTTGTCCTTTTAATACAATGCCATACGATGTGTACATGCCCAGCAATGCCTCTTCCATTTCATGGAGCACACCGGAGCGCAATTGTGAAAGCGCTTTGCCTGTGACTGACGAGGGATTGGTGAGCAATGAAGGTAAACAGCCTCGGCTCTTTATGTGTCAGTCAGATAATATTATATGCCTGATATCTAGATATAGGCGGCCGTTCGAATAGTGGTGAGTAGAATTTCACTAATACAAGTTTTGAGGGAAGTCACCAGAAAGTGCAATTGAAGTCCTAAATATCATAATACTCCTATTGTTTATGCTGCTCCTTCAGATAATATTGCCATGCAGAATGCCTGCCCAGTCCAATGAATCACTGATTGACTTTCTCTTGCTTAATTATTTAGTTTTATAATAATACTTAAACGAATAAAACAGCCGGGTTCTGGCATTGGAGGAATTTGCAATGTCGTCTCTTTATCAAGGCGCCATTATTTCCTCGATGGCCCGGGCAAACAATTCAACGAGGACGTGGATAGTTTCAATCGGGTCAATGGTACGATTCATTTTTGTCGTCGTACCTGACTTGTCATCACACGTCATGGACCACACCAAGGTCAGTCTACGATGACGCTTTTTTATTCGTGCTACGCCATCACGCCCCAAACAAGCCCGACTCGCCCCAAACCTTGAGCGGAAATCTGCTGCCTAAAACACGGGGCTTTCGGTTGTGAGGTGTGCGAGTTCGCTGCAACGTCAGATCAGGCCGTGCCACACTTTTCTCGAGGGGAAATCGCTGGTTACATCAAGTGTGCGACTTGGGAGGGAGCGATTGGCGAATCTCTGCTTCGCCACGTTCGGGTATCTCGCTGCTCCAGCTCCCCGACCGACGAATGACAATCTGGTTGTGACACGCGATCTCCTTCTCTGACACGAGGAAGTCGACAACCCCGCATCGCAACTTGATCCTTTGGGTCGTTCTTTGAGCCTATTTCTACCCTCGCCCACCTCCACTCGTTTGATATTGTTCCTTCTTATACCCCAAGTTTACTCTTCCAAACACAACCACTCTAATAGCGACAAAAATCGCCCATGACAAAGTTATTGTCGAGACGCCGTTTATACCGTAATCAGCAACACGAATCAAAGTAATCAGATTTTCCCTTTTTCAAAATGGGTCGGTGGTCGTACCTTGACACGGACGAAGCGCGCCTGCCCGATGGCATGAAGCGCGTAGGCTACGACGCCGATACGCAGGTATACACATTTCTCGACGCCCACGACGGCACCTACTGGGAGAGCGCACCGGGGAACCAGTACGGAAAGTTGTTCCCCGTGAGGTCGTCCACGCCCCGCTCGAGTCCGCCACGATCGACGAAGAGACGGAAGGGGAAGAGCCGGACGCCGAGCTCCAGGAAGGAGAGTGGGAGCCTCCCACCCCGACGTCGCCGACGGGCCCGCGCCGACAGGATAGCTTGGTCCGCAAATTTATCAAGCGCTGGAACTCGGTGCGGCTGTCGAGGTCGAGCTCGGCGGCGTCCGGTACCCTCGTCGGAGAAGACGCGGCGGCGGAAAAGATCGAGTACGAGCCGGATACGAAGATGGGAGAGGCGGGGGTGTACGCTTCGAGCCCGAGCTCGATTCGCAGCTCGCCGTCGTCTGTGGATATTTGCACCGCTGCGGAAGATACGAAGAAGTCGCCAATTGCTGGGGCCGGGAAGGAGACGGAGTAGGCTTTTACGTGAAAGATATTTGTTTGAACACTGCCTTTGAGAGGAATGAAAGAGATGCGATACGCAGAAGCCAGGAGGGCTGTATTCACGCGGGATGGCAGTTAACCGTAACTTCAACTGCGGCCCATCGGTGTCTATCCAGGAGCTTACATGGAACAAAAGCTTCAGTGGTTGGTTGCGAAGGGGAGGAGATGATTGATACATGGAGCTTGCGGGGAAAGGTCCAGTTCACCCAGTTCGCCCAGTATGCAGCATGCCTGGATAACTGTTTCTTTTTCTTTTTCCCGAACCGCTTATACCTATATCCAACGAGACGAATATATAATAAAGCAACATTAAGCTAAGATGGAGAGGCTGGATGTGGTGGGATGTGGTGGGATGTGGCTTGTAGTAGCTACCTACTATTTCGAGCGCACCCGGCTTTCGCTCAACGCCTCCCGGGCTCCTACGTCGGGTGAGCGCAGGTCTCCTCACGTTCTAATGACGCTCACTTGACAAGCTTCCCACCGACGTAGTATCCGGCGCGGTGATGGGAAGAGTATCACACACCGTTGATGCTGACAAAGTGAGACACGGGGAAAGCCAATCTACCAATTCCCGGGAGGCGGAGACAACTTGGAGCACGCACGAGAGGAACAAGTTTGCTACGGAAATGAAACGGTTCAAGCGCATTTTCTGCCTCGTAGAACGGCCGCTTCCTAAATGCCCATGCTTTATTTCCAGTATTATCAAAGATCTCTCTGCGACAATGACATTGACATGGTGCATGGTTAGCGGGCGGCGCGCGGGACAGGGCGCTACCGGGGCGGAAAGCGCCGCCGTCGCAGCTGCAGTGGTGCACGTTCCTAGGGCTGAAACGCCGCCGCTCGAGTCTGTCCGACCTCGAGCGAAACAGCGAAGTTCAGATGGGTCGTCACACGTGTATTTGAACTTTCGTTCGGCGGGTCCGTAGGACTTTGAAAAAGTTTACTGGCCTTCCGCATATTAATGGGATCTCTTCGTCTTCTCTTCTTGTTCATTGCTTTTTCTCTCGTGGCTTCGTTTTGGGTTTCCCGAATGCTACGTCGGGGTCCAGCACTACGTGAAAGTCAATGTTATCGGGTGGGAAATAAGATTTAGTGGCTTGCGGTCAGCATTTCCATGTGCAGCTGAAGTGTATCACCAATCCGTGGGTCTATGGATGTTTCAAAGATTGAGGGATTTTGTTGTTGGGTCCAAACTCTTATGCTGCAGCTTGTCGTTGGAGAGGTTGAATCTCGCATCGCAGATCGCCGACATCCTCCTCCGATCTAATAAGTATGGCGGGGCCGGGTGGATAGAGTCTAGCCCAAGTGTGATAGCTCGTGCTGAAATCATAGGTGCAAACCGCATATGTAATCCGGAAGAACAAAAAATTGATAGGGGACCAAGAGCTCTGAAAGACCGAGAGCCGACGCCAAGCCTGGGAAGATTACTGGATGTGGACAATTTTCCGACAATGCTCTCCTAGGGCCAAATCTCGAATCCATACTCGAATAATTACTACACCTGGATGTCTAGAATGACTGGGCATGGCCTTTTGTTCCTGTGTCCCCTTACCGTCTCTTTAGCAAACCGAAAAAGAAAGCCTGCATCGCCGGTCTCGCCTCACCGTGACTTCAAGCAGGCTCGGGACTCTGACCAACAGGCTCGCAACAAGATACCTCTTTCGTCCGTGCTGCAACGTCGCTGTTCCAGTAGCCCTCGGAACCAAAACGCCGTGACGTGACGGGCTGATTTTCCTGCACTCTTCCTCACACAGGTCCCCGAAGCCCCGCCCCGGACTCGATCACGCAGCGACTTCGGTAGCCATGTCACCGCCGTGCAAGAGGGGAAGGAAGAAGAGGCCAAGTGAGGCGGGACGCAAGGGGCGGAGACAAGGGGCGGGGAGCGGAGAGGGGTCCGGTGGGGAATCCTTTTTCATCGTCTGCATTGGCGGGCAGATCCCATTCGTCAACCAGACACGACACTAGCGGCTGTTCTGACGCCTTCCGCCCGCCCTCGTTTTCGGGAGCTGTCTATTAATAAGGAGAAAATTTCTCCCTTGCTTCCTCGATGCGCCCTCTCCCCGATCTTTTTCTCCCCACTTATCCTATCACCAACTCGCCTCTATCTTTAAAAGTCTCCGGACGCCACCACTGAATCGTAGCCAATTCCAAGCTCAGTAGCAGGAGTGACAGAACTTATCAACCCCAATCGAACCAAGACGCCGTTCTACTTTGCCCTCACCCCGTCCCCTCGCACCCCGGCCTCCCTAGGTCGTCGTATATGCCGATTGTCTCTAGCCATGCAGAGGACACCTGCCTAAAAACCGCCTTTCCCCGGCCAGCTCGAGGCCGGCGTCCTCCCGCGCCCCGCGAGGCGACGACGAGAAATCCGCCCTCGCCGTCGCTGCCGCCGCCGCTGAGCGCAAGGAGGAGGCCGTCGGCCCCGGCGGGCCCGGCGTACCCCCACACTTCTTCCTCGCTCGCCTCCGTCACCGGCGACGACAACGACGATGCGGATGGCGAGACGTATCCCGAGGGCGGCCTGCAGGCGTGGCTGGTCGTCTTTGGCTCCTTTTGCACCATGGGTGCCGTGTTTGGCCTGACCAACTCGGCTGGTGTGTTCGAGGCCTATTTCAAGCAGAACCAGCTCGCGCAGTATAGCCATTCCCAGATTGGCTGGATTTTCAGTCTGTATCTGTTCCTCGTCTTCTTCGTCGGTATCCAGGTCGGGCCCGTGTTTGACCACTACGGTCCGCGCCTCTTGGTTGCCGTCGGGAGTCTGACGACGATTACGAGCTTGATGCTCCTCAGTTTGTGCAAGAGTAGGTTATCTTCTTGTCCTTCCCCACTCTCACCGTCGTTTTGCCGTCTCTTTCTAGTCGGATGCCCGTACAAAAATGTCTCCCCTCCCCCTCCGAAATAAACCAGCACTAACGCACAGAACCCAAAAGCGTACTACCAGATCATCCTGACCTACGCCGCCATGGGCGGCCTCGGAGGCGCCCTTCTCAACGCCCCGCCTACGGCGCCATCGCCCACTTCTTCCACAAGCGCCGCGGCCTCGCCACCGGCATCGCCACCACCGCCGGCGGCCTCGGCGGCATCGTCTTCCCCATCCTCCTGCAGTTCCTGCTCGGCGACAAGGGCGTCGGCTTCCCGTGGACCTGCCGCATCCTCGGCTTCATCTTTATCGGCTTGTGTATCCCCTCCAACCTCTTCATCCGTAGCCGCCTGCCGCCCAAGCTCGGTCCGGACGGCAAGGCCACGACCAAATCCGTTTGGCCCGACTTCACCATCTTTCGGGATAGGGGTACGCCATGGCCACCACTGGCGTCTTCTTCATGGAGTGGGGCTCTTCGTGCCCCTCACGTACATTGTGTCGTACGCGCGCGCGCAGGGCCACTCCGAGTCGAGCAGCTCCATGCTCCTCGCCCTGCTCAATGCCGGCTCCGTCGTCGGTCGCTTCCTGCCGGGGCTCCTGGCCGACAAGTTTGGCCGGTTCAACGTCATCATCACCACCAACGGGCTGTGCGCCGTCGCTGTTCTCGGCCTCTGGACTCCCGCGCACCTCTCCAACGCCGTGCTCGTCACCTTTTGCGTTGTGTTTGGCTTTGCTAGCGGGAGCAACCTTGGCCTGTACCCCGTCTGCATCGGCCAGTTTTGCGATTCGCAGTCGTACGGCAGGTACTACTCCACGACCAACATGGTGGCCAGTTTTGGCACGCTGAGCAGCTTGCCCATTGGCGGAGCTCTCGTCGGTCTTGGCGGGCAGAGGGGGTGGACCGCGCTCATCATCTTTTGCGGACTGTCCTACGTCGCGGCCATGACGTGCTACGTCTCGGCTAGGGTCAGTGCCATTGGGTGGAAGGTGCGAAAGGTTTTCTAGGCCCTCTTGTGCCTGGACGCGAACTGCTCTGCTTTTAATACTCTTTCTTTTGGGGCCCCTCGTTTCGTCCTCGACCGGAGGGTTTAGTGGCGAGGGTGGCTGCACCGCAAGAATTGATTAGGCAGGAGTGTGCACTGGCAGTTCGTGTGATTCTACGGGGTATCCAACCGTCAGCGTGGATGTTGCTGAGGGTGGTGGACATGCTGTGTCGAGCAGAGAGCGGAGCAGAGAGTGGAGATGAGGGGTTTTTTCAAGGCTCATATGGTGTGGTATCTTGTGTGACCGACTTGGTTCCAAGGGAGAAAAGGGATATGAATTAACTGGTGCACGCCCATGGGGATGGATGGGACTGCAACAATATATAGATAGACCGCTTCGGCTACCTACCTGGCCGAGTGCCCGAGATCCGAATGCCAATATACCACTTTGAGTCTGGGTGCCATGGACAGAATATCGTCAAGTGAGACAAACGTTTGTCAGCTGTTTGTTACGGTGTCACTTGCTGTAAATTAGCTAGTGCGCAAGTCGACACAAACAAACCAGCTCTCTGGTTTGACCGCGCCTGAAGCTGGCGGTGGTCCTGAGACATATCCAAGGGTTCATCACAATTCCATCTACGTGGCATCTACACTAAATATGACACGACAATGGTGTTTAAGAAATATATTGATGAATCTCAGTGATTCCATCGCGTACGCCCTTTCAAGCTGCCCCATGCTCTGTTCTAGTTGGCTGCTCTCTTAGAGAGTGTATCGGAACAACGGAGACTTGTCTCCGAGGACGGCGAGGTCCTCATCGGAGTACTTCTCACGGACCTCTGCCTCTGAAATCTCGCTCCTCCTCTTGTTAATGCGGATATAAATCACGTCGAGGGTCACGGATGCCACAATTCCCAAGGCGCCAAAGGCCAAAGACGTGCCGAATCCGGTAGGGTAGGCGGGGCTTTCGGAGTCGATGAAAATGTAGGATGCGCCGATGCCGCCCAAGTTGGTGAGCGACGTCATGTAGGCAATGCCAAGGGCACGCTTGGCGGGGCCGGCCAGGTTGTTGCTGATCCAGGAGCTGGAGCCGGGGTTGATAGGGTACAGACCGATGCTGGCGAGAACGATGGCGAAATAACAAGCGCCGATGTTGTCCTTGATCTTGGGGGCTAGGGGAGTGAGGATGGAGTAGGCGACGATGAGCATGGATTGGGGGATGATGAGGAAATAGGATCGTCGCTTGAACTTGTCGGAGAGGCGTCCAAAGCAGTACGCGCTAATAGCGCCTGCTACATAGGGAGGTACGGTCCTGCACGCGATTGTCTTGGTTAGAGTTTTTGAAAAGAATGTGCAGTGTGGTGGACGTGCTGGACGCCTCGACGACTCACATCAGCTGGGCATTGCTGTTGGTGAAGCCCATGTTCTTCATGATCTGGGGCATGGTAAACTTGAGGCCGTACGTGGGCACCGTGTTGGACCAGTAGTTGAAGACCATGATGTAGAATTGCCAATCCGACACGACGTCCCACAGGAGGCTCCAGCTAAAGTGCGAACCAGCCTTTTGGAGCTTGGCGCCGCCGTCTTGGAGGGTCATGCGAGTGGTCAGGTAGCGCTGCTCCTCTTCGCTGAGCCAGCCTGAGCCGTTCTCGGGGGTGTCAGCGAGCACGAAGGGAGTTATTACGCCGAGGACGACAGTAATGATGCCCTGCACGCATTCTTGTTAGATGACTAGGCAAGAGTGGGGTAGGTGAGATATCTCCAAAGGAAAGACAGGACAACGCACTTCCATCAAAAGATCCAGCGCCAACCTGCGACGCCGGAAACGCCATCCATGAGAGAAAAGGCGTAGGCCAAAAGTCCGGAGAAGGCGCCGGAAAGAGCCGAGCCTACGTAGAAGAGGGAAAATCTCGTCGCTAGTTCGTACTTGGTGTACCACTTGTTCATGAACAGGATTGCACCCGGGAACAAGCCTAAAGAGAGAGATGTTAGCGCCTAAGAACGGTCGAAGCACTTGAGCCTTGTCTCGCTCAACACGGCACAAAATTCATACCTGCTTCGAACACGCCCATCAACAAGCGTACTGTGAGAATTCCACCATAATTTTGGACGATTCCATGCTGTCGAGCGAGTTCCTCACGTCAGTATCTTCCTGGACTATAACCCGATGATACACAGGGCTAGCGCTTACCAGCGTCATGAGAATGCCCCAGGCCACGGTGATGATGCCAATCCACCAAGAGGGTCGGTTGTGGAAGTAGTTTTCGAGAATAAAGTTGCTCGGCATTTCTGTAGCGATTAGTGTATGGACTCAATAACGAGGCACCGCATCTGACGAACCGAAGATAATGTAGGTGACGAAGAAGATAGATAGGACCACGTTGTATTGGTTGCCGGTGAGCCCAAGATCCTCGTTCATTCCCTGTACAAATGACGTCGTCAGTATTGGGGCTCTCCAACAAAATACGAACTACTACACTTACTTCAATCTTCGCGTTGCCGATATTGGCGCGGTCAATGTATGACATGACTGTTCAAGGGATTAGTTATAGACCCGCGTCTGGGGATAAACGGGAGTGGGAGGTAGTACGATAGAGGAGAATGAGGCATGGAATTATGTGCAGGTCCATCTTGCGCAACAACTTCTTCTTCTGCTTCTCTGGGAAGGAATCGACAAATCGTTCCTCTGCGGTCATGGTATCGGCCATGCCTTCCTCTTGCTCGGAGTGGCTGACATTTTTCTTATCGTCTTCGATAGAGGCCGTGGCTGCGGCTTCTTTGGTCATTCTGGCGGTAGATATTGAGGATCTGTGGGGCCTAGATGGAGGTGAAGGGATTTCTACGACAACCCAGCCGAAGAGTTATCAAGAAGTCTTAAGTAGTGTTCGAGGCAAGATATATGGATGTCGACGAGGCAAGATCCGCGGCGTGATGAGCAAGTCTGACAATACGACGAACTCCGATACCCTTATATATCTGTCTTGGGTCTACGGGACCTCAGCAGCATAGTTGGGTGAAGTGACCCCGGGGAGAAAAACATGGAAGCGTTGACGGAAAATAGTCGTCTCCTTGATATTGACAGGGGGATTCGCCAAGGTGTGACCATGAGGTGTGGCATCCATAACCTGGATAGAGTTGTAATTTACCCCGGAGAGCGAGATGGAAGAGAAAAAAAAAGGGAGCAGTCCCCGTTCAGATCCGGGTTCGTGTATTGTTACCCCAACCGAGTTTTCCTTTACTGGAGAATTGTTTTGCTAACCCCAGAACGAGTCTAGAGAATGCGGGGTATGACCAATTGACCGATCGCCATTCGGCTCCAGGGCGTTGGGCCAACGTGGAGAAGTGGGTCGAAGGAGCCGGGGCGAGATCTCGGGATGAGAATGTAGCCGGTGTGGTTTCCGGCGATGTAGCCGGGCTGGCTTCCGAAGAGTTGCGCTGTACGATGCATTACCCTAGATGACCGGACAGCGGGGAGCTACACATTTTCGTCTGGACGAACTCGATACTATAAGATGATGACCTTAGCGCGGCTCGCTTTATACCTTGGAGCAGCCTATCTAATCAAACTATAGATACATATGTACTGTGTTGGACTGTTCACATCCTCTATCCGAGTCTTCAAGCACATCCCTCTCCAAGATTGTTAGCATTGCGAATAAGGTCTTGTTCATTTCACGGTCTCTCTTCATTAATCAAAGCCCCTTGTTCATTCTTAGTTCACAATGGCTCCCTCCGCAACAGAAATCAACACCACCCCTGCCGTAGAGCAAGGGGTTGTCTTGGACACCACAGGTCTCACCGGCGACGAGCGTGCTGCCGCCCTCAAAAAGGCGAGCCAGGACCGCCCCCTCGACGTATTCACGTACGGCGGCCACCCCATCTCCGGTCACCAGAGAGAACCAATCCACCAGATCCGCATCCCCAAGTTTGCCAGCCTCGAAGATGAGCGCGAGTGGCGCAAGCTCCACCACGCCGCGGCCCTCCGCTGGCTAGGCCTCAACGGCTACAACAACGAGGGCGCGGGCGGACACGTGACGATTCGCGATCCCATCCTAACAGACCACTTTTGGATCAACCCGCACGGCGTGTCCTTTTCGCACATGAAGCCCGAGGATCTCTGCCTCGTCAACGAGGAGGGCGAGGTCGTCCAGCCGGGCAACATGCACGCCATCAACCCGGCCGGCTTCGCCATCCACGTGGCCGTGCACAAGGGCCGCCCAGACGTGGTGGCGGCGTGCCACTGCCACTCGGTGCCGACCAAGGCGTTTTCCGCCCTCGGCTGCAAGCTGGAGCCCATAAACCAGGACGCGTGCCGCTTCTACGAGGACCACGCCATCTATGAGGGGTTTGGCGGGATCGTGCTGGCCCACGAAGAGGGGAGGCGTATTGCCAACGCTCTTGGAAACAACAAGGCCGTTATTCTGGCGAACCACGGCATCTTGACCGTCGCGAAGAGCGTGGACGCGGCGACTTTCTTGTTCGGTGCCATGGACCGCTGCATCCAGGCGCAACTGCTCGCGGATGCCGCGGCGGCGGGTAGGGGTACGGCGACGATCAAAGTGGGCCACGAGGAGGCCCAGTACACGCGCCGGATCTATACCGACGAGATGGAATATGTCATGTTCCAGTCCTGGTAAGTGACCCGAAGACTTTGCATTTCCAACATTCATACGCAAGATAGTCTCAGCTAACTCTTCTTCGTAGCTTCGAGGATGTTGTTAGGGCGTCGAATGGTGAGCTTCCCATGTTCACTGGCAAGGAAATTCCTCGGACGGACTAGAATTGAGGCGCGCATGGGTTGCTGTGAGATGCGATGCTCCGCTGTGTATAGATTGATGATGTATTTGATGTAGTTTCTTTAGACAGATCCGTTGATATGAAATACGAGTTTGATTAATGCTTATGCAAGCCAGTAACTTTTATTGCCTTGAATTTACACCTTGGGTTGACTTTGTACATGGGTCCCTTGCTATCCCGATCCCCGGGCCCGTGTATACGGGTTTTGTTGCTGAGAGCACGAAAACGTGAATGTCTTACAAGGGGAGATAAGGCGCGGACGCGAAGGGCGTGTCTATTCCGGCAGGGAGATTTACGTACGATAAGAGACACGTCTACCCAATAGCTCAAAAGTCTTCAAGACAACAACAGATCGATTGACCTATCACCACACTTGAGAAAACCTAGAGGAGGTCAACACTCTGTCACTGTGGCGAGATTCCCACTCTTAGCTAGTTGCAAGGTTAATTATCGGTCTTCGCCTCGTCGACTGACCTGTCCTGGCTTGGCGAGTGTTAGCGCAAAGACTAGCGCATCCCTTCGGCATCCTGAACGCTTCCCCAGATCATGACCACGATTCCCCGCACTCTCTTCCCCGCCCCTTTTTGTAGCCGGAAACCAAACTTGCCGGTGGTTTTCCGACGGTAAGGTTACTTAATAAGGCGCACGCGGAGACCGTGGTGCTCGAGTTATCCGGGCGGATCAATGCACTTCAATCTTAAACCCCCTTGTAGCGGCGTGAACTTGATTGGCATTACTGATCCACCTATTGGTGCATTTGGTCCAGAATGGAGCCCAGCGAGACGCAAGCTGAGACCAATGGCTCACCAGAATCCCCAACAGCAGCGGCTCAGGAGAGAAAGAAGCCTGCCAAGGAACGCGTGAGAATCAGCCGCGCCTGTGATTACTGCAAAAAGTCAGTTTAAGAACCCCAACCCCTAGTGCCTCGATTACGTTGGACACGGCCTGGGTCTTGCTCGAGAATCTCAACCCAAAAGAAAAGACATGTGCAGTTAAACTAATCTTACATCCAAACGAAATAGGAAAAAAGTGCGGTGCAATGGGGGCAATCCGTGTATGCGCTGCGTTGACGAGGGGAGGTATGTGAGTACAAGGCACCATACGCCAAAGGCAGGAAAAAGCACAGGAGAAATCCATTGCCTCTGCACATGGCTACCCCATCCTCTGAAGGCTCATCCACGTCACCCTCGTCGACGGTGATTGAGCCCAGGATCGCGGCAGCACAATCTGCGCACCCACAACTGCAGCCGCGCCTTCGGGGGAACCGCTGGGAGGCGTACCGTCTGCCCAAACGACGGCTCTTGGGTTGGTGGCTGCGCTTGAGGGTGGAGCGTGTCCTCCAGCGCCGTTGGAACCGAATTCGCGATCCTCTCCTGAGCCGGGTGAGAGCGACCGTCAAGGCCATTTTGTTGGCGCGTCTTCCGGTGTTACGTTTCTTCTACGCCTACAGCGTCGACTGAGGCAGGACGCCGGGGGCAACTCGGAAACGTCCGTCTTCACTCTTGGAGATGCTGTTCTTCCAGAATTTGACGAGTTGTCCTTTGTGCCCCCGACGAGAGCCGAGGCCGAAGGCTTACTCAAAACGTACTTTGAGCTTGCATCGCCGACGTATCGCTTCCTTCATCGCCCGACAGTGGAGCGGTGGTTGACGCAGCTCTACGAGAATGGTAGTATATCCGGGAGTCACTCGCGAAGCAAATACGCCGTCATTCTAACCATGTTCGCCCAAGCTGTGCGGTACACTGGGCCAGCATCCAACACTCCGAATGCAAAGACTGGGTAGGTTTACTGCTCAAACTTGGCCATCTTTCTGCTTCGGAAAAAAGTGCTAAGTTATCTTGATAGGGTCGAATATTATCAAGCAGCGGAAAAACAGCTTTCTCGCGAAACCGAGTCAGCTACCCTTGCGAGTGTACAGGCCATGCTCGGCTCCTGCTTTTACATACTCACGCGTTCGCGGTTGAATCACTGTTGGAGCCTCTTTGGCACCACCGCGCGGCACATCCTGGCTCTTGGCTTACACCGGCGAAAAGCCAAATTCGAAGGAGGCTCCGGCGTTGGGGCCGACCTCATCGAGGCAGAATGCCGGAAGCGGCTATTTTGGTGCGCGTATAATCTAGATAAGTACTTGAGCGCAATATTCGGTCGGCCTTGCATATTTCACGACGACGACATTGATCAGGACATGCCCGCGCTTGTAGAGGACCAGCACCTGACCGCGGATGCGATGACGGTGGCTCGAAACGCCAACATGAATGTCATGCTCGGCCCGCTCAACCACCAAAGGCTCGGTCGCATACTCAGCGTCATCCTCCGTCGGTTGTACGGCATCAAACCGCCGGGGCGAGTGATGCAGTATAAAATCATGAGCGAGCTCGCCGCGGAGGTGGAAGCGTGGCGGCGAGGGTTGCCCGCGTTCCTGGACCCCGAGCAGGTGGACTCGCGGCTGCTAATCCCGCTTTTCCAACGTCAGAGCAATTTGCTAACCTTGGCCATGGGCCACGCTCGGATCCTCATCTACAGGCCGTGCTTGTTCAACGACTACCACCAAAAGGACACAGTCGAGACCAAGGCGAATATCCAAACTTGCGTTGATGCGGCCATGAGCATCGTCAACGTGATTGATCGCATGGTGGAGGCCGACCAATTTTACGCGGCGTCGTGGTTTGCGCACTACCAGGCGTTTTGCGGGGTAGTTGTGCTGTACACTTATACCATTCGGAGCAGGTCCGAGGACGCGGCCATGTGGATGAAGTACTTCCGAGCCGCCGAGCGCTGCCAGGGCCAAATCGTTTCCGTGGCCGGACTCGACTCGTTGGCCTCTCGGTTTTACGTCATCATGGAAGAGTTCCGATTGGAGGTCGTGAGGCTTCTGCAGCATTCCTCTGCCGCGCCGCCAGATGGCGGTCCGGATCGACAAGCCGATTCCGCGCTACTCCCGGCTGTCGCGGGGGAGGTGATATGCACTGGCCTGCGAACCAGGCGCAAGCAGACCAGCTGGGGCTTTTTGATCTTCCCAACTGGGAGCAGCTGGACTCGTTGGTAAGTTACAGTCTGGTGGTCGAGCACGAGCGAGATTAGAAGGAACAACGCATCAAGGCTAACAATGGGGGAATGTGCAGGCGCTAGACCTTGGCGGTATGATACCGGATCTCGGGGCCATGGACCCCAAACTGTACTTTTGAGTGCAAAGGCCGCTCATTCCCAATGTGGGGTAAGCTGTGACGAAATGAGATCCCGAACGGGAAGAGTATCGGAAAGGAATTCGGATTTACGGTGGGTATATATAATCATTCGCGGCCCCGGCGTGGCAATCTTCCGGGACCCGCAACCATAGATATACCTAGGAGTTGGGTGTAAAAGGCTAGATATCCCCTATCAACTACCAATTATTAATGAATTTGAGCTTTCACTCGTGTCCGCACTGCATATTCTACGTGTAGACATCTGTCACAATGATGGAGAAACCAAAGGTGATGCTTTTGGGAGACATTGTTCAGTGAGCGGCTCTCCTTGTACAAGATCCGATTTAATGCCAGGCAGCTAACCCATCCCATCAGTGCCGAGAATTCTTGGCTGGACCTCTCCGAGAAGGCCGTTTTAATCAAGGTAGACAAGCTCTCGCGTGAAGAATTCATACGCCAATCCAAAGAAGGGGTGTATGATGGTGTTGTGGCCATCTATCGCACGTTTTACAGCGTGGATATCACGGGTCCCCTGGATGAAGAGCTCATCTTTTCCTTGCCGCAGAGCGTCAGATTCATTTGTCACAGCGGTACGCTCGCCCTCGCGCCTTCATATTCCGCACAGGCAAAGCGAAGGAATGAAGAACCCCCGACCAGCTGCTAATTACTACTGCCAGGGGCTGGCTATGACCAAATCGACGTTGACGCGTGCACCAATCGCCGAATCCGACTATCTCATGTTCCCAATGCCGTCAACGACGCCACTGCCGACACGACCATGTTTCTAATCCTCGGCACCATCCGTGGCTTCGCGCAGAGCATCACGACGGTGAAGGCGGGGCAATGGCGCGGTGAGACGAAACCACCGCTTGGCCATGATCCACAGGGGAAAACGCTGGGCATACTCGGGTGCGGTGGCGTGGGGAGAAATCTCGCGCGTAAGGCAGCCTCGTTCGGCATGCATGTCGTATACCACAATAGGACGAAATCCGATTCCGTCGTTGAGGCGCGCTACGTTGGGTTTGGGGAATTACTAGCCACCAGCGACATAATATCTATCTGTTTGCCCCTCAGTGTGAGAGCTCTCTCAAAAAGCAAAACGTTGAATTTTCATCCATTGCTGACGGGAGCTGTAGGCGAAAACACGGCATCTCATCTCCACGGCAGAATTTGCCCAGATGAAGGATGGTGTGGTGGTGGTCAACACCGCGCGAGGCGCCATCATCGACGAGGAGGCCTTGGTGGAAGCACTCAACAATGGCAAGGTTTGGGCGTGCGGTCTTGACGTCTACGAAAACGAGCCGGCTATACATCTGGGACTGATTTCTCACCCGCGGGCGCTCCTCCTACCGCATCTCGGGACCTATACCGTCGAGGTAAGTACGATAAAAGCGCTCTTCCTACCGGAAATGGCAAGGTTGTGGCAAACACTAGTAAAGGTATTCTAACTGCCTTCTTCTTTCAGACTCACAAGATGATGGAGGAAAGGTGTATCGAGAACGTCCGCTCGGGCCTGACTACCGGCCGGCTTCTGGACAATGTCAGGGAACAATCGGGATACGACTTTTGAGGAATTGATTGGGCAAATTCTTGACTAGTTGTGGTTTCCCCGCATGGCCCCAAAAGTGGCCTCCGGTGTGGATAAAGGGGCCCGGTGAGGTTAGCGCCGGATACATCCTCCGGCTACATCGTCCGGATGTATAGCGTTCGGATATCATCAAGACCGGACCACCCACTAAAACGCATGGAGGATTCAGTCGGCTCTCACGCGCGCCGTTCGCCGGACTAGCTATCCTCGCCCATTCCTCCTCAATATCAACCAATTGCAAACGACTTATTACATCACTTTTGTTTGACAACCTATGTTAGAACGGGGGTGGCCCTTTGCTTCGGCCTATGCTTTGCGATATCGGCCTTTTTTTTTTTTCTTTGCGTGGCAAGCGTCGGCATGAGGGGTAGCGAGGGTCCAAGATCGGTGGTGTTGTGGGGATTGTAGGGGAAGCTATCGGAGCTGTCTCGACATAAATACACGAGCGGCGCGCTGTATCTACCATGTCTGAGGAATTTCACATACGTAGCATCTATCGCATAAGACAACACTCAACATTACCCTAAGAAGATTCCCAAACAAAAGACAGCCAAAGTAAGCAAGCCGACTCCGTAAACAATCGTTAACCGCGCTCGCACACAGTGGCTAACAACCAGCAGATGGTCAAGGAACAAATCATCCAGTCGGTGGAGCCCCTCCACGTAGGCCAATTCATGTTTTGCCGCGTCACGACCACCGAAGGAATCATCGGATACGGCGAGGCGGGCATCTGGGGCCACATCGAGGCGGCGGCCACCTGCATCAAGCGGTTCGCCGAGTACCTCGTAGGCAAGCGTGCCTTCGACATCGAGCACCACTGGAACGTGATGCACCGATTCAGCTACTTTCAGGGCCTGGCGATCAACTCGGCCATCTCGGCCATCGACATCGCCCTGTGGGACATCAAGGGCAAGGCCCTCGGCGTGCCCATTTACGAACTCCTCGGCGGCGCGTGCCGGACCAAGGCGAGGATCTACGGCCACATCTACGAGAGCACAATCGAAAAAGTCCTAGAGGAGTGCAAGCGCAAGATGGATCTCGGCTTCACGGCCTTTGGCCACATCAACCCTTTCCTGGACGAGGGCACGGACAAGGTCTACTTCAAGACACACGTCCAAAAGATGCAAGACGCCATCGAGAACGTCAAGAAGATGCGCGCCGTGGTCGGCGACAAGGTCGATCTCCTCGTCGAGCTCCATCGGCGGCTGACTCCGGCGGAGGCCATCACCTTTGCAACGGCATCAAGGACACCCACCCCATGCTGGTCGAGGACCCCATCCGCCCCGAGAACGCCGACGCCATGGCGCGCGTGGCCCACCGCATCTCCGTGCCCGTGGGTACCGGCGAGCGCTTCTGCACGATTTACGAGTTCCAGGCCCTCTTGGCCCGCGAGGCCGTCGAGTACGCGCGAATCGATGTCGCGGTCTGCGGCGGCATCACCGGCGCCAAAGGTCGCCGCCATGGCGGAGGCTCACCACGTCCAGGTCGTGCCGCACAACCCCTTGTCTCCTGTCGGACTCGCTGCCTGTCTGCAAATCGCGGCCGCCATTCCCAATTTTGCAATTCAAGAGTACGCGACCGGTTTTGAGGCCGGCGTGTTCGAGAGCACGACAACGCACCTAGGAAGCGATATTGTTGACCACGTCCCTGTCCCCAAGGAAGGATTTGTGGATATTCCCTCTGGTCCAGGCTTGGGTGTTAACCTGTTGCCAAATGCGCAGGAGATTCGCCCTGCTCTCGTGCAGCCGATCAAGATGAGGCCGCATAGGGACGGGTTCATCGTGGACCAGTAGATGGAAGGGGGAAAAGAATGCGCCTTTTCGAGTTGGTCCCCGTTTCGTTATTTTCAAAGATCAATTCGTCTTTTCATATGCATAGATAATAATAGATCAATCTGCTCCTTATCGTTCACGTTAAAAAGATTTTGTGGCTCGCTTCTCCGATACGTGTACCGAGGAATATTATGCGAAACGGGAACGAAACCACAGTCTGCATCTCTGCCTCGCTCATGGATCAGCTGACCCGACGATCTAAAAGCTGCGGCTCGGAGATAATGAGATATCGGTCCCGAGAAGACCCAGCTCGGCTACGACATTACAAGATCAAGGTTGCGAGTACAACCGAGGGCGCCGCGCCAGCCCAAAAGGGCGCTTGGTTGCGATATTCTGATAGCGCATTGGATCCATGCAACAGTTGGAGCTTTCAATGTTCTCCAGGGATGACTCGACTTTAAATGCAATTCTTGAATGTGTGAATAACAAATATATCCTTATCGTGAAGAATCTGTATTCTCAGCACCGCCTTCCGGGTAAATAGCTCACAGAAGGCAAGTCGAATACACGTCCCGTCGCACAGGGTCTGGGGACCGAATGTGTCTTAGCCACCAAGACTCTCGCCCCTGTCGAGTTGCACAAAGCCAATGATTGATGGATCAATGGTTGGTCTTTATCGTGCCAAGCGCCGTTCGTCAGCTCGTGCATGTAATGCGTAGTCTATGTTGCATCAAATGCCACCACCCCTGGGCAAAGCCCCAATCTGGCCTTGGTTTGTCCAATTGGAGACGCAGGTTGGCGCGCAGGGAAATTAACCTGGAATCAATGGCCCTGCTTCCCGTACTGCTGTCGCTGGCGGCCGCTTGCGTCTCTCCCCTTTTGTGTATCCTTTCGACTTTCCTTCTTTTTTTTTTTTTTTTTCTCGTTATGTTTGGAATGTCGGAAAGTATCCCGCTTTTCACCTTGGTCTCCGTTGTGGTCGGCACACGTCCCCTTGTGCAACAACGAATCCTTCAAAATCCTTTCTGGATCGTCGCTAGACATCGCGGGGTCAACTCCTATATCTCGTTTTACACAATGCTTCCACAGCGGCTACTCCCCTCATTTGCCTCTTAGCGCCTGCTATCGCGGCGGATGATTCTCCAACCTCTGTCGCCGACTTGGAAGACCCTTCCTTTATCGGCTACTATATTGCACCTGATTCAAGTTCGTCGCCCTCTCTCTGCCAAATTGTTCTCTGTGTTTGCTAACATGTCCGCTACTAGCTGAACGATTGAGCGCAAACAAGCCATGGGTCACCTCAGGCTCGTTCGCCGGTGACTGTGTGACGGACCCGTGCCCTCTGGTGACGGAATGCATCGATGGAGAAGCCAAGTTTAATAATGGGCAAACAAGCGCATGGTAGGTGATGGAGCGGGCCACAAAGATTTTAACTTGACTAACAAGTGCGTGCTTGTTCGCAGTAACGGCGAAGCTTCGTGCGTCACCATGTCCATCTTCCAGACTTACCCCAACGGTCGGCCCATCGTGTACAACATTGGATGCCGCTTCGGCTGGAACGCCTTCACCGTGTACCGCGAGATCCCCGCCACGACCACGTCGTCCAGCACGAGCAGCTCCTCGACCAGCAAGACGTCATCGACGAGAACGAGCAGCACGCCGTCTCTAGTTACCGAAACTGAAACTTCGACGCCGGAAAGCCAGGCCACGGAGTCTAGCGAGGAGCCCCCAAGAGCAGTAGCAAGGCATGGATCGCCGGCGCCGTGGTAGGGCCCATCGCACTTGCTATCGTTGTAGGTCTCGTGATCTGGATGAAGAGGAGAAAGTCCAGGGTCGTGGGCGGACAACACGCGGAACAGCCGAGGTGGGTGGAAGGGAAAAATGTGCACATGCTGAATACTGAGGAGCGGCCTGTAGAGCTCTCGGCTCCCTCAAACCTGTCACCTTCGGAACTTCCTGTGAGGTATGATGAGTACAACAAGCGCTACTAAAGTGGTAACTGGGAGTTTTCTTTTCATTTTTCATTTTTGTCTTATGTGTGATGGAGGTCTGGGTAGCTTCGGAGATTCGGGTTGATGGTGTAGAGCTGCACTTGCGACTGCGATGGCACAACCTGTCCAGGAAAACCTCGGCGGTCAGTGTGGAGCGATTATGCGCGTATTTGGCGTCATGACAATGTATAAGGAGCTGCTCAGTGCCCAATGTGCGCGGTTACTCACGAGATGGTCATAAGGACCAAGTGATATAGTCTCTGCCATGTATGACTTCGCGGCCATCCTATACTCGAACTGTAACTGGATGTGTCCATAGACATATGTTTCAGAGAACTCAACGCGTGTGACACCGTGCGTCCCTGTCCATGCTCTTGATGACAACTTGTCCAGCCCTCCTTGTGCAACAGAACATACGCGCTCTAACCATTCCTTACCCTCCTATACCACATCGGCCGCATCGGCCGTCAAACCCCGCACTGACGAACATAGAAGAAATCGATCTGAGGCCCTTTCACTAAACTGAATCGGACATAAGGCTAAACGTCCATGTTGCGTTTTGGAGACTTAGTCTTATGTTACTTGTCTCATAAATCCTATCATAGTAGAATTGGCGTATACAATGACTCGACGGTAGCCACCCTAGCTGCTAACAGGCCTCACAAATCTGCCGTCCAGGTACAGACTTCTCCTCAATATCTACAGGTCAGTCTCGGCAAGTATCTCACACAGATTGGACTTCGCTAAAAGAAAGAGAATGAGCAGAAGTGGCGTGCGTATAGAAAAGGCGACTCGCGGAGCGGGTCACAAGCTGCAGTGTGTTGGACTTTGATACTTTCGCCAGCCTAGGTAAACCCGACCTTAAGTGACACTAATTTGATCAACCTATCTTGTTAACAGCAATATACTAGCCAAATTAAGTGCTCCGGCATTCGTGTAACCTTCTCCCCCTATACAAGCTGCGTTGCATATGTCGTTTGGAACTGGTCAATCTCAAAACCAGAACGTACCACATTGTCACACCAGTGATAGTCCTTGACAGAGTCCTTCTCGTAAATTCTGAGCCCCAAGAGTTTGTGATGTAAAGTGTCTCTGAAGGTTTTATACTTATGGCCGATCGCCACGAAGGAAGCTCTGCAACTTAACCTTGTGCTTGATAGGTTTGGAACGGTTCAGCTGAACACCGTTGCGGTAGAAGAGGGTAAATAGAGTGGGAGTAAGATTAATGATGCGATACAAAAGCGCTTTAAGAACCACTCTCTATTATGTTGTTCTACAACGAGACTCCACAGTATACGTCAAATCAGAAGAGCTCAAGTCCGAAATGCCAAACTCCTTCCGGGACAATATCGATACAACGCCAAACCAGCATTTTTATAGCTCAACGAAAGCTAGCGATAAATCTCAAGCCCAAATACAACTCCACTTGGAGCACGGCCATATGTCTTGTCCAGCCCTCTGGTGGATGGGTAGAGAGGTGAGGCATTCGGGCTGTCTCTCTGCCCCTCCTGCCTCGATATTATTAAACTGGTAGCTATTTTTCCAGGATTTAAGCATTTAGAGCTGCGGGTGTGTAAAGCGTGTAGAGCCTGGTTCCTTATATTCTTCGCATTGTTTCAGTCACACTGATCCGAGTTGGCCCTCGGCGGCGAAACAGATTTGCCACTGAGCGCGTGCGGCACCATAGCCATCACGCGGCAACACGCCGTGGAGAATAATAAAGGGATATTCCTAAATTTGGCATCTATCTTTGGATCTTTCGGGGGAATAACGGACTCGTAATATGCCACTTATTGTCACTTGTTGCAACCAAACTGCTGTATGACTTGGTGGCTCATCTCCGCCTACCTTGGAACGGGGGATATCGGGGCTCTGACGGTGAAATCTAGTTCTGCTAGGGCTAGGGTTTAAGTGAAGGAGTCAAGTTGGATTAGCCGCACTGCTGAAGAGGAGGCGATATCTCTGTTTTGCTGCCTTAAAGTGGGCTGCCGTTTTCCAGGAGCGGAGCGGTCCGCGCCCTCACCGACATTGACCCACTTTCGGCGGCGTGGCAGCGGATCTGTCACCTCCACGAATGAGATGCGTGACCCAACACTTCACCTTATTTTTCCGAGAGTTTTCCGGCCTCCGACGCCATCAGAAGCCAATCAGTTGGACCGGTAGCCCATTTTGTCTGTTGCCTCTGCTTCAGGTTCTCAAGTGTGCCAAGCTTGCTCTGGCACAGCTGTGTCGGAAGCACGGGCGTTTGACACGTCACTCTACATGTAAGGACAAGAGGCCGAGGGAAACGTCATACACGCACAGTTGAATCGCCCATAGCACAATTCAATAATACGGCCAGGCTCCCGACAACTTGGGTAGCGACTCGGACGGCACTGCTTATTCATCTATGGATGTTCGGTTTAGCGGGAGAAATGCCACAACCTGTAACCTTTTCAGAATTCAAAATAGAAACTAAACCACCCCTTTCTCGCTTCAATTTCAAAAGATGAAGTTGGAAATACCATGAGCGTGAACAGTTCAATTGATAGTAGGAAAGGCTTAGTTTAGTCGGATGCTACCGACGTAGTTGTCTTCGTTTCCCTAGCCCGCAGCGCTTCTCCCTCGATACATAAGCAGCACCACCTTGAGCAAATAACGGCGCCGACTGTAGCTGATGAAAAAAAAAAAAGAAAGAAAAAAAGGAAAAAGAAAAACCTCACCAAGATCCCCTTCCGTTCCCATTACGCCCCATAGGGAATGCACCCTATTGTGGGGCATAGTTGCATGAATTTTCCTGATAGTTAAAAGGCTAAGACAGAGGCAACGGAGCGCCGAGTACTCTAAAATCGGTAACTACATCTATCAGGGTGGGTATGTATTAGTAAATCGACTTTTTCTTGATGTTGTGGGACTATTACGACTAGATCTGTGTTGATCGCATATTACCTTTTGAGCAAATCTTGGTCGAGTCGCCTATTAATTGAAAAGCCAGCTATTGGGGCTGGCGGGGTCTGTCTCTGGGTCCCACATTTCCGCTCCGAAGTTCCAGTCCTCGAATCCTCCGAAAGTTGGGGGTTCCGTAATCTCTGGCGTTTCGTGGTTGAGTTGGGTGTTGGGGAGTCTAAGCTCCTCATTTAGCTGGGTGTTGGATTCTCCGATGCGATAATCCACCTGGCCGTCAAAAGAACTGAGCGAGATCGAAAGATCAATGTTTGGGAAAGACGCATCTGCGCTGGTCATTGGCTGCACCGCTCCTTGCTTTTTCGGCGGGGTATTCCACGGGATGGGTCTCAATGTACATCTCCTCTAGCCGTCCCAGCACCGAGTTCATGATGGTATTGAACATTGCTTGATGCTGCGCCTCGTCTCCAGGGCATTGGGAATGGGTTTGCATTGCGGAAGAGACGTGTAGAGGACCCTCGAGCTCCCAAATGCCACTGATGAAGTGGCGTAACTCCCCCATCGTCGTATTAAGGTATGGGCTGCCAGGCCTATCCTCGCTGTTGAATAAGATGTCCCATATGGCATACCACTGGCCAACGGGGTTTAGCTTCCTACTAGCTTGTGAGGTGAGTGGAAGTGACCGGCGTGATGGCATGTAGCCGCTCCTGAGTGCCGCCTCTGCAGCTAATTTTCGATGGCTTGGCACGCCAATGAATTGGCATTTTTACTGTGCGCAAGAAGTTTCTCGATGATGGGAAAGGTAGCATTGCAACAGGAGCAACGGAGGATCGATAATTTGTGCCGGCGCTTGATGTGTTGCCTGACGTCGGGAATACGACTCAGCTTGTAACCCATGCAATCCATAAAGCGCAAGGGATCACTTTTGTAAAACGGGCATGCAAACGTTCGAGATATCTCCTCGACGTTGCTAACTTGGTCCTCGTTCGCCGGCCTGCCACCGGGGCCAACAACGTCGAGCATCGCATGGCTTCGCTTTTTGGACGTGAACGGTTTTGTAATTCCTTGAAGGGGACGGAAAGACACGCTTGGCGGGGCCTCAGATTTCGGCGATCCGATGAGAGCATGGCGGCGTGTCAGAAGGAGCTCCTGCTGCCCTGCGTCATCTGACGGCGGTTTTAGATCACCACCGAGATCAGAATCGCGGATCCGTGGCAGGGGACTGCGGATGAGTATACGTCCATACTAGGAAGCCCGCTTTAATGTTTGATGACACGAATAGAGAACTAAGATGTGGCTCAACTCTTCCACTTTATTTTATTATCTTCTTCAAAAGTTTGGTGGAGTTGATTTGTATCATGTCCTTCGCTATTGAGGAAGGATCCTTTCTTTATACATATGTAGGGCGCGTTGTTCTCGATTGTGATCACTGTGGATTGATCCATCCATATGCATTCAATTCGAGAGAGGGCTACATTCAATTCGAGAGAGGGCTACATTCAATTCGAGAGAGGGCTACATGTCTTATTGGTTGGTTCGCCTCGTGCAATGTTCGCCCCCTTGGAGATACTTCATTTTTCAGGCGTGTATCTCACTAAGGTGCATTGTGTGGCGTCAGGTAGTTGTAGGAAGGATGCTTAAGATCCATTTCTCGCTTTCAAAATGGCGTTTAATACGATAGTTCCTTTTATGCGATGCAACTGAGTGAGAAATACAATAAAGCGGCATATTTAAATATTCAAGTATAGGCCTAACTGAGAATAGCGATCTAAAGGATTTACATGTAGATAGTAGGTAGTAAGAGCAATCTAGGAGGAGCTATTAAAAAACGATTAACAGCTAGACCGAAAAAACCATTAAAAATTGGCATTCAAGATCTCTGGGGGTTTGGAGGTCGATCTGGTTTTGCAATAGATTCATTGTCCGGGGGTTTTTTTCAACTTTGCGCGGGTTGGTGGATATAAAATGTTATTACATTGTCTATACATCTGTCCATCCATGGATCGAGTTATCAGATAGTGAGAACCACTAGACCAAGTGCAAAAATAGGATAATATTACCCATATTCTTATACCGGAATATGTGATATTTCTAGGGTAAAACCCACTTCAACATCATTGTATTAGGCCGAGGAAGCCAACTGAGTCTATTAAGGCTCCTGCGCATCGAATTTCTGGTTGGTCGGATACCGTGTACATGCATGTAGATGGTTGTGACGTATCAGAATTGATGTCTTGATACAAATTCATGGCGAGCATGGTCTTCAACTTAAAGAATCTGTCACGAAGGCCAAAATCGATCGAGTTTGGGGAACGATGGAAATTCCACATCTGTCTGGTACTTAAGATATCTTATGAGCTAATGGCTACTGGTCCCTGAATGTCTGGTTGCTTTCATGTTTCCTCTCAGAATCAATAGATTACATCCATTGTCACAATTGCTTAAGAATCAATGATCCGCCCATCCTACATTGATGAGCCGCTTTCGTGTGCCTAGCCACCCCGCTCCACGTCAATTGAGGAGAGCAAATAAGCGAAAGCAGGGTGCTATATCTCAGCCCGGGCATCCCACTCTCTCTGCGAAACTTTGAATTTATTTGTCGCTCTTTCTCCCTCACCCATCGTTTCTCCTCTCAATCGTTGTGAGAGGACGCCAATCATTCAGTCCTCTGGCTCTACACCTTGAGCTCATGATTTTGGTTATGCGACCTCATGGCGATCTTGCCTGCTGGAGGCATATCCTCATTTTATGCTGTGTCGGTGCTTTACTCGGCGCTGTAGGCGCTCGAACGTGCTGCAAGACGGACTCCGCGCGTTCGGTGCTCTGGATGCCGGCCATGAACACCTTTCGCCGGCTCGACGCCAACTCCGACACCAAGGCCACCTACGATTTCTACTCCCAAATTCTAGGCTTCACCCCGCTCGAAACCTACGACGTCGGCAACGGCACCGACGTGTGGCGGATCCAGGCCGGCGCCTCCCAGATCAAACTGAGCCGCCGCAACGACAACCGCACGTACGTCGAGGGTGCCGTCACCGACGCCACGGGCCTACGCCTGTGGACCTTTTTCTTCACCGACCCGGGCGCGCTTCTCCGTAATTTCACCGACGCCGGATTGGAGCCGCCGGCCTTTGAGGGTACTGCTCCCACAAGGCGGTGGGCTGCGTCAAGAGCGCCATCGTGATGGATCCGGCGGGTCAGCCTGTGGAATTGGTGATCGTGGGCGAGGCTGAAAAGGAGAGGTACGAGGAAATGGAGATTGGGGTGGTCGTGACGGATATCGAAGTGAGTGTCAAATATTATAGGGATTTTGTGGGGTTGGAATGGGTTGGTGAGGAGCACGATGTGCGGTTCGACACGACGAAGCACGTCTTTCGCCACGGCGCGACTTACGTCGCCTTGATGAGCTTCGAGAAGACGCTTCCTGCGGACACGGGCACGGGTGGGATTCAATACGTCGTCAGCGACGTGGATCGCGTGCAACAGTTGGCAAAGTGCCAAGATGTCTCCATTATCCAAGAGATCGAGACCATCCCTGGGTATCCGGTTCGCACAGTTTGGCTCGAAGATCCGGACGGCATCATCAATTATTTTGCAGAGACTGCTGAGTCACGGGGTGAGGAGGAAGAGGAGGAGGATATTGGTTGACCACATGTAGCTGAGAAGTGACGGAAGATGACCTGAATCCCACATGTAGCTGAGAAGTGACGGAAGATGACCTGAATCTAGCACAAAGAATAATACTTCTCAATCAATTGCAACCCAAGATTCAAGTCATTCATTTACATCTACTCTTCGCTAACCTAGACATGTATCTTGCTTTCTTATCCAGCCCGGCGCTTCTTCACACACTTTTTCGGCTTGGGCGGCTCCTCCTCGACAGGCTCTTCAGGCTCCTCAGGCAGCTGGGGAGCGACACCCCTCACGGCACGACCAGTCGCGATCTCATCCCAGTCGGGCAAATCCACCGTCACGTTCTGCCACAAGCACCCCGTCTCCGGTATCTCGATCTCGCCCACACCATACGTGACCTTGCCGATGAAATCCAGCGCCCTCAATCGCCCCGCCCATAACTCCTTGTTATGGTCACCTAGCTCGTTGCGGTGATACAAGATATTGGCACCGTGATCGCAAAAGTGCTGCACCATCACGTCCGTCTCCTCAATGGGGCTCATCTCGTCCACCTCGGCCTTGTGGTAGAAGACGGGCATGTTAGGGATCCCATGGATACCCATCGCACCCTCCGTATCAAAGAGTTCCCGGATGGGGCCTTGCATCACGTCGTCCTCGCCGTTTTCAAAGTAATCGTACACATTTTGCCCCGCGTAGCCGATGAGCACGTAAAACGACGGAACTGCGTAGCGCGAAAGAACCCCGTCGCGTTGTACGGCCCTTCCGTCCTCAGCCTCTCCATCATGTACTCCCGCACCTCAGGCCACTGCGCCGTGATGCCGATGAGCCCGTTGACCAGCAGCCCCGCCGTCGGCTGCCCGTTCATGCGAAGGAACGCGCTCGTGATGTTGGGCGTCGTGCCTCCCACGATGGCGCCCGCGAGCTCCAGCTCGGGCGCGTACTCGGCGGCCAACTCCGCCGTGATCCCCGCCGCGAAGGCGCCCCGCTATAGCCCCACATGGTATAGCGCGCCGTCTCGGTCCGGATGCCGACCTCCCCGCCGATATGCTTGATGCCGCGGATCGCGTCGAGCGTGGCGTGCGCCGCCTGTGGGCCCGCGCAGTACGCGGCCAGGGGGCCCTCGTGGTCCGGGAGCATGACGAAGTAGGCGCGCTTCAGCATGTCCACCATCTCGCCGTACGGGTCGCCCCACTGCAGCGTGTAGCTCGGGCTGCCGTCCAGGCTGGAGCTGTCGTACGCGGCGTCGTATGTGACCACGCCCTGCACGCAGTCCTCGTCGTCGGCGGGGTCGGCGGCGCACCCAGGGGCCGTGACGTTGGAGTAGAAGACGGTGGCTACGGCCCACGAGGGGTCGCCGTGCGTGTCGCTGCTTCGGTAGAGGAACTGGTAGGTTCCCGCGCAGTAGGGGATCGGGCAGTCGGCGAGGCCCTCGGGACGCGTCCGGAGGATGTCGCCGGGCGCGGCGTCCTCCCAGCCTTCGGGTGCGCTGTACCAGGGGTCTTGTGTCGGGGAGGGTTGTATACGATTTCTGGCTCGGCGGGTTCTTCTCCTTCGGCGGGCTCTTCTCCCTCTGCGGGGGATCGTCCGAAGGTTCTTCGGGGTCAATTGGAGGATCGGCTGGGACTTCTCCGTCTTCTTGGCGCGGGGCGATTGCCCTGATAGCTAACCCATTGAACGTCGGACGATCATAGTCGAAATCGAGGGCGGATACGGAGAGGAACCAAAGGCAGCAGAGTAGAGCAGCACGCACGAGGCCCAAATGCGGATGGGCCTTGCGACGACCATCCATATCGACGAATACTCTCCCAAGTTCTCACACTCGACAAAGGTTGGAGTAAAGTTTGACAGGTCTTCTTCAAGATCACCTCCCTGCCCCCCACAGCAATTCTGTGTCCGGGTCTTACAGGCTATATCTACGGCGGAGGAGCGGGGACATGAACGCGTGGATTCGCCGTGGCATTAATCTAATCCCGCCCTTGGCCCCTAATTCTTTCTATTTCTTTTTTTTTTTTAGAAGTTTTCCTAGCTGTCAGCGGAGGTTATTTTTACCGATGATATTGCCGGTGTCTCTTGCGGAGGAATTTAGCCCGCTGCCAGCTAGCCAGATTCTCCGCGCAGCTACTTCGGATATGATCCGAAATGCATTTTTGGCAATTTCCTACATATTCAAGTCTTTCTTGGAGACCCGGCATGTATCTTTGAAGAGCAGAGATGATAGAAAAGTCTGGGGTAAGTGAGGGGATAACGAATGCACTCAAAGTCCAGCCGTATATTGTCTATGTATTAAACATTTCTTGGCTTCTTGTCACTGTATGCGCCGGATCACAAATCTTGTAAACACACTATGGCAATACTACTGTGGCACAAATGGGCTTATCGCCTTCCAGAATTCGCACCTCGTCCCTCGGTTGCCCTCCCATGCGTGAGCGTCCACAAGCAAGAGGTCATTGGCTAGACCAGGATCGCGGAATTGCGTAACTAGCGCCCCGTTGACTGCGTAGGTCGAGTAAGCCACGCCCCCGTCTGGTTCATGTTGAGCATCACAGGGTCTTGGTCGCTCCACGCAGGCCAGTCGCTGGCTGGATGCTCGGCTCCTTGAAGCTCGCTAGATGACTCGCCGTGCGCATCCTGCGGAGGGATGGATGGGTTATCCCAGACGATGAAGTTGCCGTAAATCTCTGCAAAATGAAGTTAGTCTCGCGTTGCAGGTTTTTGGTAACGAGCTGGGACCGCTCTTCCGGAACATGCGTTAGACAATGTGTGACCTACTTCTAAACGCGTTCACAAAATCTGGACCTTGATTTACCGTCGGCTGATCATAGTAGGCCGTCAAGTCTGCAGCATGGGCTGCAAAGGGAATGGAATACTGGTAATACCACGCCGCCTTGTCCTCACTTGTAAATGCAGAGGCTAGCCAGTAGCCAATGCAGTCTACAGCACCCTCTGCGCCAATGTTCTATAGAATCAGGGTACATAAAGTCAGCAAGATCTCTTGTTTCTCTGCGAACTTTGGGAAGCATACGTAGGCACGCTGCTGCTGACCAGTGGCGGCCTGGCTAACATTCACGGCGGTAGCGGGCCCGAACCCGTCCGTATCGAAACGAACAGCGTTTGGATCCACGGGGTCTGGCGAGCTGGCGTACGCCTCTAGCAGGGCGGTGATATTTTTATCCGATAGATTCGCCCAATTGCCCCTGATCCACTCCTCGAGCTCGTCTTGCGTGTTGATGGTCGGAATTAGTGCTAGGCCTTCGTTCGCGTTGTTCTATTCCCGGCATGTTAGTTGTATCCATTTCATCGATAGCGCCATGGGCCCTTTGATTGCGAAAACGAACCCCAATCAATATTCTCTCGCCATTGACTTTGCCCTTCAATTCTGACATGACCACACTCGGTGGCCCAGTCACATAGTCGCCATCGATGACCGGTACAAAGGCCCTAGTGCCGGCAAATGTTAGATCTCGGTCTATTGAAGGGCTAAGTCAAACGCACCAGTTTCCGTAGAATGTCGGTGGTGTTGACGAGATGGTATTGGCCGCTCTTTGGATAGCTAGGCTATCGGCTTCGACAAGACAGTCAAACACCTCGTCACCCTCGCAGCCCAACGCTTCAGCTAGGCGCTCATAGTGTCTCGTTGGCGTCGCATCGTCGTACCACGGCTGCGTGGGGATCCACGGCGACCCCGCGATAATCTTGACCACGGATTTTCCAATCAATACGTGATCAGGTGAAATTGAAGTTAGGTAGGGGATGGGGGCCTAGCGTACGTTCTTGAAGAGGCTCGTCCCGAGCGCGCCGTCCTCGGCAATCGCGTGCATCAGGATGGACCCGCCACCTGCTGATTCTCCGGCGATGGTTACCCTCTCTGGGTCGCCGCCAAACTTGGAGATGTGCTCTTGCACCCACTCCAGGGCGTACTTTTGGTCGAGGAAGCCTGCGTTGAGGACTCCGCGTTGCTTGACCTCGGCGGAGGAGAGAAAGCCGAAAGCCCCGAGCTACGAAGATATTAGTGTATACACCCCTCACTTGGAAGCGAATAGGAACAAGACAAAAATAGAAAAAAGAATCATACCCTGTATTGTATCGTGACCGAAACAAAGGAATTTCCATTTGTGTTCATTAGCCCCGTCACGTCATAGTTGGAGCTTCCCAGCCCGTACCCACCGCCGTGGATGGAAACGAATACCGGCAGCGGCGAGCCCTGCAAGGCATCCTCCGGGGCAAAAACGTTCAAGAAGAGGCAATCTTCATCACCGGGGACAAAAGCAGATTGACGACCTAAATATGGCAGAGCCTGCGGACAGCTCGGGCCAAAAGCGTCGGCGACGACCACGCTCGCGGTGGTTGCGGGGGCGGCGGGGGCCTGCCATCGGAGCGCGCCGACGGGCGGGGCGGCGAAGCGGATGCCCTTCCACGAATTGAGACGGGCGGTGGCGTTGTGGGCGCCGCGGTACACGGCGTAGCCTAAGTCTACGTCGAGTGCGGCTTCCTGGGAGAACACGGGCTGGGCCAGGAGTGCACCCAGGTAAAAGGCAAGCGGGGGCAGCGACATCGTGGGTGGATTCTGCGGTTTTAAAGCCCCTGGGTTTTGATACCGTCTTTCGATGAAATGCCGGCAGTGAAAGATTGCGTCGGGAAGCAAAGGGTGGTGGGCGAAGAGGAAAGAAGCTGGGCTATGTAAGAAGGGGATCTGCAATTAGCCGAGACATATGCGTAGTCACCGCCACTCAAGGGGAGAGGGAACATGAGGGACGCGTGAATACGATGTGGCTTAACGATCGTCGCACGATGAAGGCGGTGGATTGGTTACATGTGCTGGAGCGGAGCTAGGATTTGATGGGAAGTGGATGCATTTGGAGGCGTCTTTTGAGGATCGACTCGACAAGGCTTCTTCGATGGCCATCTGCGCTTGGTGAAAGGGGCCATAAATACAGCAAGAGTTCTTGGGCTCCACTAGGGAATGGTGCCTGGATTGATGACAACATAATGATTCATATTGAGTTTTTGGGGAGAGGTAAAAGACAAACGAAAGGATATGTGGATATTAGCATTTCCATGTTTGCTCGTCTGTACGCACCTCGTCTCGCAGCTGGTATCAGGAGCTTACGCAGCATAAAAACTAATCTCGGATAACAACTTCATTTTGAAGAGCGGTCACTTCACCAGCACCCATGTTAGATTGAACTCAGCAAGTCTTGTATTTGTTTTTCGTTCTTTCTAGAACTTTGTATAACTCGTATGCAGGTAATGATATTCAGTTCAGTCTTAGCTTCTCTGCTCATGCTGCCCATCATGCTCTTTGATCAATATATGTACTACGTAACGGCATCACAACATATATACACTGAAAATTGTAACGCCCCATTTCTAGAAAGGCGGTCAGTATAGAAGCTTCTACTATCAACCAGCAAGCCCATCCACCAACATAGCATCGATCAAGAGACAGTGCCTCTCAGCATTCGTCTCGCTCATCTCATCATCGTAGTTGAGGCCATAGGGCCAAATGTGTCCACCGCCGCAGTTGATCTTGGCGTCATTTCCATCCCACGACCGAAGCAGCGGCAGGGCAGAGGGCCAGTTGTTAGCACCGCAGCGGGTATCAAAGGCGCTGGTCTGGCCAATACCAAGAGTGTGAGAGATCTCATGAAGGGCGGTGCGCTCGTTCATGTAGGAGCGGTTGGAGCCGAAGCGGATGTTGCCGTTGAAGTTGCCGTCGGCGGTCTGCACGCTGGGCACGTACTGCACGGTGATGGTCTTGGTGGCGCGCTTGGTCAGGCGGTTGTAGCGGGCCACGGCGAGGTTCATGGCCGACTCGATGCGGGTGTAGGCCTCGGACTGGTCTGCCGTGGGGTTGGACGCGCGCTGGAGGGACCAGGTGAGGGCGGCCGAGGCGGCCGAGGCCCAGATCCAGAAGAGGGCGAGGAGTTGGGAGCGCATGGCGTTTGTTTGTAGGTGGCTCGGGCGAGAAACCGTTTTGTTCCCTGTGAGATGGGTTGGGAGAATCGGGCTGCTTAGGCTGTGCGTGCGGGGAGGTTCCGGTCGATCGCGGACGATCAGCGGCCGATAGTGCTATAGGCGGCGAGTGTTATAGGGATCGCTCCTAGGGATGGGTAAAGGGGAACAATGGAGAGGATAGGAAGCGATGATAGAGAGCTGGGAGTGTATGACGAAGAGAGGGGGCTCTGCACCGCCCTTCAGGAACATGATGGACTATATATGTATGCATATACGGCTCGTCGTTACTCTCTGGACTTTTCCCATTTCCCCATACTTTGCTCTCCTTTTTTCCCTTCTTCCCCATTCCCCGTTGGGGACGTGTGCGCCGAGAAACCCACATGCCCACGTCCACTTTCCCGGCGATATTAATCAACAGTGTGGGGATTGCTCTTTGCTAGGGTGCTTCCGCCCGGGTTGATTGATTTCACTATGCGGCGCCGGGCCTGATTGGGGGAAATCCGCCTGCCCGTTTCAAGTACCATTTTTGGTTGCCCCTCGGGCCAAGAAAGCCCCAGGCGGAGGCGGGCCAATCAAGGGAATACTCGAGACGATGGACCTAGCTCGCGCGTGCCTTTTTGCATTCTCTGCTTTTTTTCTTTTTCCTATTCGGAGATCGATAGGGTTGCTGCGATGCGACGAAAGTGCGGAGAAGGTGCCTTTGGAAGCCGGCTGCCGAAGGGTGGTTTTTCCAAAGCTTTTTACCTGGCTTGTTTGGTCAGTCGGGGCCTTTTTTCTTCCTTTGTATTGTCTGGCCCTACGTTAGCGTTGCAACGTGGATTCGGTCTTTTCATACTTCGATCTTAAGAGGTGGCGGATATCGACAGCGATCGTCGCATTGTTTGCTCCCTTCACTTCGGCTTGGCTCATGACGGTAATACAGCCGGGTCCACAGCCACGGGGACCCTACGAGGAGCAGAACTGCGGGTCAAGAAAGGGCACAACCATCAACTTCGTAGATTGCGAAAATGAATGGTGACCGATGTCGACCTTTTTCCATTTCTTTTCCATCAAATGATCAAGCGCGGCTCTCTTTAGACCAGCACCTTTGCAGCAACACGACATAGTACAACGAAAAGTGTTTGACGGACGAGTGTCCATTTGGTGGACTCATTATTATTTCATCATCTCGTGATTCCTCGACGAGTGCCTCTCCCTATCTCTACGATTTACACTGATCTTTCCTTTACCTAGCGCAGAAGCGCAACACCGCGTACCCTTAACCCGTGAACTTGATCTCGATAAAGTTGTGGATCGATCCAGGAATATCCGAAATAGACACGACATCGAGACCGGGATCCAGCCTCTTGACCAACGTCTTCCAGTGCTCGGCCGTGCGCTCGAGCGAGTTGAACGCCAGCAGCATCTGCAAGTCGGAGCAGGTCAAGATGCGGCGCAGGGTCGGGGGCAGGGGCGCCTCGGGAGGCGGGGCGACGACCTCGCACAGGAGCAGGCGGGAGCCGTTGCGGAGGTGGGGCACGAGCGGGGTGAGGATCTGCAGGGCGTACTTGTCGGGCCAGTCGTGCAGGATCATCTTGAGCATGTAGACGTCGCCGGCGGTGGCCTGCGGGGTGAAGAAGTCGCGGACCTCGTAGGAGACCTTGGCGCGCACGTCGGCGGGGATGTGCGACTCGTAGGCGGCTTCGACTTCGGGGAGGTCTTGGACGACGAATTTGAGGTTGGGGAAGGCGTTGGTGAGGATTAGGCCGGTGTGGCCGTTGGAACCGCCGACCTATGAGTTGAGTTATTGTTAGCACCACTTTTAGGCATGGGGGTTATTCCCCTAGGGATTAGGTTGACTTACATCGACGACGGTGGCCTCTCCGAGACTCGCCCAGTCATACCCAGCCTTGAGAAGCTCTTCCTCGCCGAGCGCGGACGCCGAGGCCGCCGCCTCCATGGCGTTGGCGAATTCCTTGGCGCGGTAGCCCTCGGGCTTGCCCTCGACGGACCTCTTGAGGTAGTCCCAGTAGCCCTCGGGCTTCTCGAGGCGGTCGACGTTGGCGAGGGTGAAGCCGGCCTCGGAGGGTTCCTCGGAGGCGGCGTCGCGGCCGGCGCTGTACTTCCAAAAGGACTCGGGAGTGTGCACGCTAGCGGGGCGGGCCTCTTGCAGGTTGTGGCGGAGCCAAGAGCGCAGCAAGGGTTTCTTGACCATGGCGGCGGAGAGGGAGCTGTGGACGACGGCGTCGGAGCCCGGTCCGCCGTGGGGCGCGAAGAGGCGCGAGGTGTAGGCCCAGGCGAGGAAGCGGCGGACGAGGGATTGGGGGAGGGTGGTGTGCTTGGAGATTTCGGCGATGGTGGCGGAGCCGTCGAGGGGGACGGCGTTCCAGAAGTCGAATTGGTTCAGGGTGTCGAGAACGAGGGCGTCGTGGTTGAGCTAATACAAAAACAGGGACGGACATGTGTTAGCGTGGACTCGGCGTTTAATATTTCCTGGTGTGAGCTTGACTTACGAATAAAGGCTGCATGAGGCCGTGGTCGCTGGGACCGAGGGCTAGGCGGTACAGGTCCGAGGCGGCGTCGATGAGCTGGAAGCGGAGGCCCGCGAGCTCGGGGTGTCTGGGGTAGTCGACGGGGCCATCGGCGGCGAAGGAAGGGGCGGGGGCGCCGTTCTGCTCGAGGAGGGCGTTGATGGCCTTGGTGGTTTCGGAGATGGTGGCGGCGAGGCTGGCGAGGGAGACGTCCTGGGCGGCCATGGTGGGCGGATACGGCGCGGATACAACGCGCGCACGGAGGAAGGTGGGGGAGGGGTAGATGCGAGAGAAGCTGTGACGGGATGGTGCACAGGGGGATTAGGGATGAAAGCGTATTGTCAATTCTTTATTAAGAATGAGACCTACTTGACAATAATAGAGATACACAGAGAAAGAATGAGAGAGAGAGCTAGTCCTTTATAATTTTTTTCCTTCTACTCCTTCTTCTTTCCGCGACATCAGCAAGCTTCAGCCGCGAGCTTAAGCTTCCATGCCGCCATTTGATTCCGCGGTCCAGCTCGGCCAAATCCTGTCAGCACTAAGAAATGCATCGAAGGAGCGAGCCAGACTCGCACTCTGGTTCGTCGACGCCCGCGAATTTGACGTCAGGAACGAAAGCAAACAAAACAAGTAAATCGGGAGGAGGGGGCGGCAAATTCGCAATCCAGCGCGGGCAAGTTGGGGTGTTCCCTGCGTATGTTCCTTCCGGAGCGGCCGCGATGAAGGTGGGAGGAGGAACTTTGAAGGATTCAATTGCTTTAAGCATAATCGAGGAGGGGGAAGAGGGGCAACAGTTGGCTCCTCCTCCACCACCGCCCCTACCCCCTGGTCTCGCTGGTAGCGAAGCGGTCCAAGTGCATACGGAGGATTCGCAAAGGGATTTTCTTTTGTTCACCGTCGCGCGTTTACCAATCAGGATCCAATTGGTGCCTGACTCCTCTTGGCCTTGTCACGCTGACGAGAGATTTGCGATGAAGAGTTAGTCTGACGATGGGGGATGAACCTTCGTATATGTAGGGTATTGGCATTCACGTCGCCCCCGGTATCACTTTTTGTGCCAGCCTCGGCGGTTTCTCCTGATGGAGATGTCGGTGGTGCCGAGCCGACGTTGTCAATTGGCTCTCGCGGTTGTGACGGATGGCACTTTTGCCTGGTTGCGCTGGCGCATCTGGGGACACAGCGGGACACAGCAAGATGGGAGAAGAATGAAAAACAAGGTTCTGACGCTATTGTTCTACACAACTCTGGAAGGAAGGAAGAAGGGCTGGGTGGAAAGGGAGGGGAGGGGTTACAATAGGGATGAGGATCGCAACCATCTCAGGACCGAGATCCTTCATGACATCAGTATGGCCTTGGCGGAAGCGTCAATTGAGAATCCCAGCGGCGCGGCGGGTGTCCGATGGAAGAGCGTTTCTATAGGGCAGAGGGCGCAACCTCTCCCCGATAAGGCGCCTCCCGGCTCCGGGGTCTTCTTGGCAGTCCCGCGGGCGGTCCCTTGGATCTGGTCTAGGGAGATCCACAGGTTTGTGGGCTTGTGGGGCTTGGATTGGCATCGTCCGACCTCGCTCTGTCCTTGACATTTTACGGATTGCTCACCAGACGAGGGACGAAGAGTGGAGCTAGCTACGTCCCTGAGTTTGAAGCACGGAGGAGGAACGCTCTATTTCTGGCTGGGATCATTGTGGGATCCTTTGGGATTTGATTCTTGTGCGTCTCTTATTCTGTCCCGTCTTGGTGCATCTTGTTTTTCAATCTTCTCGTTGGTCTGACAAACTTTGCTTCAGTGGCCGTGCCAAACCACGTTGTTGACGTTCCTCCAAGCAAGGGCAACGTGGGCTTCACTGCAATGAACCAGTGCTCCCATTTGGACGGGAGGGGCAGGAACCCACTGGATCAAGGGATTGATCCACCAATTCCTCCCGTTGAAATCCTTAGTCATCGCGTATTGACATCGTCGACGAATGCAATGACGCGGCCGACCCTGCGAAGTCGGGGGATCGTGCGCAAACCAATACTCTGATGGCCTTCGGCGCTTCACCAACGCTACAATGCTGGAGAATGTTGGCGTGGTTCGTTTTTGTTCTCTGTTCAATATTTCCTAGAGTCGACGAGTCGGGTCTAGATCATGACGCGTCGTTCAAACATTTGGCAGGGTCCTCGAGCTCCAGATTTCGAGTACCTTTACCCCACCGACCCTCCCGCCGCGCCATGTTGGCCATGTCATGCCATGTGCCCTACCGGAGCTTGTTTCGCTTGCTTGGCACTACCTTCCCAAAGCGGTCATCACGACATTAATTTCGGTGGACCTGTGCCTGTACCTGTGCCTGCTGCCTACGTTGTACACGAGATGGAGCAGTGGTATCTTTGCTTATCTGATCAACCATCCCCGGCCCGCCCTTTTATCAGATCTCCCAATTTTTCTTTTTCCGCTTGTTCCATCTCCACCGTTGAAATCGTTCAGTAGATCCATTACGGCAGAGGCTCGATAAATTCAATTATTGTCCGCGTCGCCCGCCTCGAAAATTACGATGCCGACGAAGCTGCTGCGCAGTCTTCTCCTGCTGGCGGCCGCCGCATCTCCGATCATCGGCGCATCCACCATCCCGACGCAGCGAGAGCCTGTCGAACCCAACGCCGCCAACGCGAGGGAAAATGCCTTTACATCTTCAACTCCGTGCATTCGGCCATGCGGCAATGGGGGTCGTCCCTCCGCCACAATGGCCTGGGTTTGATCCCCGCCACCGTTCCTGAGGATACGCTTTTGTACCACGGCACGCCGCGAAACAGCACGCCCGAAACGTTTGAGTGGCTCGCCTTTGAGATTGAGCACGCTGAAAATTTTGCCGTGAGCAGGCCTGCCCGTCGACCAGGGGCCCCGGCGGCCCTGGCGGTCCCGGAGGCAAACCGGGGAAGAAGCCAGGTCCGCCACCTCCTGGCGGGCAATCACCACCTCCGCCGCTGGGTGCTGCTGGGCCCGGCAGCCGGCGTTTCCACAATATAGAAGACGTCTCTTTCTCCGCCCAAAACCCCTTACGGGCCTCGACGACGACAACGAGCCGGGAGAAACCCCTAATCAGCGCGGCTACCTCCACACGTACCGCGCCAACCGCGAGCTCAAACTGCTCTACGTCGACGGCATGGCCGCGGGCAAATCCCCAAGGGCACCCTCGACACCCAGGACCTGCTGCTGCGCGACCTGACGGAAGCGCCCGGTTTCGGCGAGTGGGAACGAGCCGCCGACATGTGCAAGCTCGGGGCAGAGTGGGGGCTCGATGGCTTCATCCGCATGGAGGCCGGCTTCGAGATCATTTATTGCGATTTCTCGCGGGGCTTGACCTTGTTAGCATGCTCCGCCGCCCGCATTCGGAGGCCCCCGAGTCCAAGGGTCTGATGGATGCGTTCGAGTGGCTCCGCGCCACGGCTGAGCGGTACGATGGCATCGGCGCGGGGCGGGCGCACCTGGATTTCTCTGGCATGGTGAGCGCTTTGTGGTATCCCGTCAACACGACGAACCCGGCGGGAGGGCAGCCGCGGCTATCTGAGACGACGCGCGAAGAGCGAGCGGCGATGCGACGGCGCGTCGCCGAGATTGTTGTTTCCAGGGCAGGTGGGGGCGTGGACTGGCAGGGTGTCGTTGACTTGATTATCGCGCGGCACGAGCGGAGGATCGGGTACCTCGCCGACCCGGATGCGGACGCCAAGGACTTTGCCAGCCAGGTCTTTGTCCTGACCAACGCCTTTATTGATTACCCGTCCTTGCCGTCCGACATCGTCGACAAGACCGCCGGCGACGAGACGGTCATTGCGGATGCTCGCAGGCGTTGCGCCGCGCACTACCTGGCTTTACCTCGGGCGTCTAGGGTGTCTTGGACAAAGGAGGATGAGATGCTCGATGCGGCGGTGGAGGCCGTGACGGCGCGCATCTGTGACGACTTTTTCTCCGTGAGGAGCTTTCTCCTCGCCAACCACGACGCCGTGTCCTCTCCCGGCGCCGTCGGCTCCGGTGAGCTGTCGCGCGAGGATAGCCTCGAGCGGGCGAGGAGCATCATGCGCACGCTGAAGCGGGATCTGGACTGGACGGCGTGGAAGAAGTGCGGGGCGTGCAATGTTAATGAGGTGTGCTTTGTTGCTATCTGGCCGTTTGGCTTGGTCGAGGATCATTATGCGCCGAGCTGTATGAATCGGACGTTGTTAGCGACGAGGTTTGGGTTTGGGAGGGGAGGGAGCTATTGGTCGGATTAGAAGGAGAAAAACTAGGGTTTAAAAGTACGCTTGACTGACGAGTGATTTGGGGTTATCCTTGTTTTTGTATATGTTCTAGCGTCTTTTTGGTATGCTTCACCTGGATTTGAGGCGAGGGGGCCTTCTTGTTGAAAAGGTGGTGTACGAGCACAGATTTGAATTTGATACCCAGTTTCCGAGCATGAATTTCTTCCTCTTTTCCTTCTTGGCTGTCATATTCCAAATCAGTCTCTTTTGGGCTTTTCCTTTCCTTTACGTTTGATACGAATTCTCGTTTCGCGTAAACACCACCAAGAGAAAGCGGCGACAAACGTCACGACCCACGCTAATAAGGGAGGTCCCCCAATGCACTGCTCATTCCCCAACTCCCATGCGCGCCCTGAATCTAGGTCAACGGGGCTAGGAAGTCCAGTTCTCTTCCCATAGCGTCATCGACTGCCACATGCTTCCAACAAAACAGAGAAAAAGGGAGCTGGTGACAGATATTCGACGAAAGAAAGGGAGAGGTGGCGCGAGAGGTGGCGCAAACTCGGGAAAAGGACAGAGCGCATCGCACCTGCCCTACATCTCTGGATGTTCACGTCCTGCCTAAAAGTCCGAATATTGAACGTGCGTTGCAATCGCCCGTGGCAACCGTTCCACGCGCGCTGACAAGTAAAGACCCCACGTCATCCCTTGAAACCTTTCCATCTCCCCTCCTCTCCCCCGATCCAAAGCCACCAAGAATCATCTCTCGCGCCGCAACATGTCTCTGCATGTCGAGTGCATTCAGATATCCGCGAATAGGCAAACCGTCTACGTGCGGACTCGCCACACCATCAACGGCATCCCGTCCAATTTTCGAGCCCGACGCGATCCCACCGCTCCTGCTTCCTTTGGCTCGCGCCTGGTGAATTTCTGCACCGAGACCGCGACCACTTCTCCGACCCATAGCTTTCGCACCATCAATGACCTGGCAGAGGCTCTGGTGCTGGTCATTTCGAGTCTCTGGGACGAGTGGGCCATCTCCGTGGAGAGACGTCCGGACATGGTGATCGAGTTTTGGCATGAAGAGCCAACGTTGGTGATGGGCATGGTTGACGGCGACGAGGCTGAGGAAGGTGTATTCACCGAGGAACCCGTGGACGCGCTCGTGGTCTACGAGACGGTTGAATGGGGACGCTACGTGAGAACCTTGCTTCCCTTAGGTAGCATACCGACACAAGGGAACGCGGGGAGAGGCTACCGGTACGTGGCACAGGACAACCTCAAGATTGTGAGATACTTTCTCAAAGGCCGCATCCGAGCGAGAGTGCTGCTGGCCCATCACCCCACAGCGCCGCACTTCTAGTTCAAGTGCGTCGACTTCATCGACTACATGGTCTTGCACCCACGCAAGTTCCACCGCGATAGAGAGGGCATCTACCACGAGCTGCGCGTCCTCGCCAACATGCCCGCGCACCCCAACATCGTCGAGCCGCCCCGGACGCTCACGTACGTCATGGACACGACCGGCGGGAACTATTCTATCCGGATCAGCGGCGCGCTGTACCTGTACACGGACCATCATTCGATCGACACCCAGATGAAGATGCGGGCCGGCGATCGGGACAACGCGATTACGCTGGCGGCCAAGGCGCGCTGGTGCCACCAGATGGCGATCGCGGTGCAGTACACGTACCGCGTGGCCAACACGTTTCACGGGGACGTCAAGCCGGCGAATTTCCTCATCAGTGAGGAAAGGGAGGTGGTTCTGGCCAACTGGAAGCAGCGAGGTCCGGTGGACCTCATCACCGCGGCGCCCGAGATCGTGGAACGGTGGCCGTTGGACGAGTTGCGCGATCCGCGCGCCGACTACGACGAGGTCGTCCGCGGCGTGTATGCGCAGCTGCCGACGACGCCCATCGCCCACTCCTCCATTGCGGAGGATCAGAATTTCTTCGCTACCTGGCACGGGATCCAGCCCACGGCGCGAGCGCGCCGAGGTCTACAGCCTCGGCGCGAGCATGTGGTTGCTGCTCCGCGATATACGGAACCCCGGCGCTTTGGGGGTGCGTGCCGTCGTGGATGGTGTTTCGGTGGAGAGCTTGCCGGTGCCTGCGGCGTGGGGCGAGGCGGTGCTGGGGTGCTTGGCAAGGAGCCGTGGAAGCGCAGCGAGATGGATGACGTGGTGCGCTTTTGGGCCGTGCAGCGGAATTTGTACGAGCAGACTGTACCCCGCTATGATGATATTGTTATGCGGACTGGGTGAAGTCGGGATTTACACTACCTTTAGCCACGACTTTTTCTCGTGGCGTGCGGTTGTAACGAAGCATTGACCGGATTACTTGATTAGACGTTACGCCCGCCATACGCATGGCTCTTACTCTTAGGCATTTCTTACTAGGTTTAGTTCTTACGTGCAGTTATTAACAGGACCGTCTCATGACCTCAATAAATAGACTAAATTTTGGAGACATCCATGGATCCATGTACCAATGAGTAGGGGGCGTAGAGGAGCAGGCATAGTATCTCGTACATGTGTTCGATTGTCCCTGACTATAGCACATCCTCTTGGTCAGAAGGCTTAAAAACAATAAGACGACCGCAGATATAGAGCCATGTTCTAGGCCGAAGGTGATAAAACCCTTTTCAAATATCCATGTTCGAAGCTTTGAATGAAATCGACCCTTTGCAGCATACATCCTATTTCAAGCTAAACGATTCTCTTGCGTCCGAAGCTCTCCAAAGCTCTCCGATTTACACAATCCTACTAGGTAATTGAAGTTTCTTGCGTGCTGCATAGATAGCCAAGTTCTCCCTAGGCAGACCCCGCCTTGTTCGCCTTCACATGCAACTGCTTGACCTCCTGCGCCAGCTCCTCGTCCGGCCCATCCACCGTCCATCCCGGAAGCACATCCCTCACCGAGAAGCTCGCCACGCCCGAGCCCCGCACCCCAAGCTCTTCCCTCCACGCCTTGAGCTGCGCCGACGACGACGCAAAGACGATGCGGCCCAACCCCGCGAACCCGTGGGCGGTGGAACACATTTGGCAGTGCTCGCCCGAGGTGTAGACGGTGGCGCCGGCGCGCTCCTCGGGGGTCATGTGGGTCTGGGCCCAGAGGACGATGGTGAACTCGGGATGCCACGTTATGTCGGCTTTGGTGTTGATGCGGTTGCGGTCGGTGTAGCGGACTTGGCCGGAGGCGTCGACGAGGACGGAGCCAAAGGGGCTGTCGCCGGCGTCGACGGCTTGTCGGGCGAGGTCGACGCACTGGCGGAGGTGGACTTTGTCCTGGTCTGTGATGCCCATGGTTGCGGATGTGTGCTGGATGAGTGATGTTTTCCGCTGGCTGGGTTAAACTGCACTTCGTTATCCCGAAATATGAGTGTTAGTGTAGAGATATTGAAAAGATAGAATAAATGTAGAGAAAATACTGAGAATAGTTGGTTTAACTTCAAGGGAGGATTTAGTTGACCCCGCATTTAGCTTCAGCGGATTAGTCAAGAAAACGGAATACGAGAAGACACGAAGGGACGGAGGAGGCAGCTTGCCATGATCTCAACTATCAACAGGTGAAAATTCTTCTATCTACCTCCAAGAGCTCCTTCATCTAAATGGGGCAATTGGTTGGTCTTGACTATGTTCAGATTGAGATTTCTCTCCAAATATATACATGAATATAGGTTGTCAAAAATCTTCTTGACTGGTGTGATCTGCCCCCAACGGGCGGGATACAATTGATGCGTGGATGGGCGCGCTTAAACGGTCGAGGCCCAGCCCTGGATCTCGTCGAGGGTAAGGACGTAGTCGGACTCGTAGATCTGGTAGAATAGTTAGCCGAGGCTGCTCGTGAACTGGTATACCGGGATTAGACCAAAGAAGGGAAAAAGTCTTACCTCCTTGAGAGTGGCGGCGGAGTTCCAGGCGTCGTTGTTGATGAAGCTGTCTCCCCAGACGCAGAAGTACAGCCAGTGAGCCTGGTAGGCCTGGAGGAGCGAGGGGCGGGGAGCGGCGCCGACCTCGGTGGCAGCGGCCATCTTGGTGTCCTTGCCGAGGGAAATGACCTGCTCGTACTCAATGGCCATGGGCTATTTTGCATTTGTGTTAGCTACCAGATCACCACCTGTCTTGATAATGGAAAAAGTACTCACGCCATTGCCCTGGGAGTAGACGTCAGCGCTGACAATGTCAACGGAGCTGTCACCGGGGTACCACGCGGGAGCGATGGAGTTCCAGACCCAGATGAGGTTGTTGATGCCGTGGTGGCCGGTCAAGCGGTCGTGGAGGAGCTTCCAGAGCTTGAGGCAGGGGCAGGGCCCTTGGCGCCCCACCAGAACCAAGCGCCCTCGGCCTCGTGGAGGGGGCGGAAAAGCACGGGGACGCCGGCGGTCTGGAGCTTCTTGAGCTGGACGGCGATGGCGTCGATGTCGCGGACGAGGAGGGTGTAGTTGGCGTTGGTGGTGTCGGCGAGGGCGGTCTCGACGTTGAAGTCGGTGGCGGCGGTGTAGAAGCCGCTCCACCACCTCTGCTCCGAGGTGTCGTAGAGGCCGGTGGGGGCGTTCCAGTGCCAGAGGACGGAGACGACGCCGCCCTTCTTGTGGTGGGCGATGGCGTCTTCCATGGAGGTGCCTACGGTGCCGCGCTCGACGCGAGAGGGACTGTGGGGGTGGGGACACGCAAAGGTTAGGTGAAATGCGAGAGGGAAAAAAATGGTGAGGGGTGGTGTAAATGGGGGAGAGCTTACCTGTAGTCCATGAGATCGACGGAGAGGAGGGCGGGGTACTTGCCGGCCTTGTTGGCGGCGTAGTCAGCCCAGGTGAGGTCTTGCTGTCCCGAGAGGATCTTCTTGCCGTAGATGGACTTGAGGTAGCGGTATAGCTTGTAGGCGTTGGCGTCGGCGGCGGGGTTGACGAGGGTATCGGTGATTTGGTGGGCGGCCCTGGGAGCGGAAGGCTTGAGGGAAATGTAATCAACGAGGTACCTGAGTAAGTTAGATCAGTTGTCCTTTTTCTTTTCCATTTCCCGAGAGAGAGACGAAATATGTTAAAAAAAAAGAAATCAACTCACCATCCCCAGTTGTTGCTGATCACAATGGTGTTGGCACCCTTGTCCAAGAGCACCTGGCCACCGGAAGCAGTCTCCCACGAGGTGGTCTCCTCAAAGGGGACCTCGAAGCTAATGCCGCCGTTCAGGGTGACGGTGGTGCGCTTGGCGCCGTAAATGCCGGCGTAGCGAATCGTCAGGTCGTACAGCTTCTGCTCGGTGGCCTGGACGGTGAAGGTGATCTTGTCGGCGGACTCGTCGAAACCGCCGACGTAGCCGCTGCCGGAGAAGCCGGCGAGCTCGGTGAGGGCCTGGGTACCCGAGAGGACAGCATCCTCGGCTTCGAGCTTAAGAACGCCCGTGCAAGCGGCGTGGGCGCGCGCGGCGAGGCCGACGAGGAGCCCGAGGCTCAGGCGGGAGAGGCCTCGCATTCTAAAACGGGAACTGGTGGACGGAACTTGTTTCCTATTTTTCTAGACGTAAAGCTGTTAATACATGCGCTCGCACACACGGCGCTTGAGAAAGAATGATCGACAGGTTCAATCGATGATTAAGCCTGGATTAAAAAGAAGAGAAGAAGCAAAAAAGGAAGGGTAAACCGGGGAATGGGATGCTGCTCCGCATATATATTAAATCGTGAATGCAGGTCATTTCCGATCATCTGTGGCTATATAGCAGGTGACTATATACCCATATTAGCTATGTCCTTTCCGTGGGCGGCTCTCGTCTTCGTAAACCTAGCTTTCCCGGAACGCCGTCGTTAATTTCCCACGAGGGCGAGCTTGTGCTTCTCGTCCCGATTTTTTTGGCGGAGCTTCGTAGTCTCCGGCTCCAGATCTGCAGGACCCCAAGACCCTTGTCAATCGTGGAATAATTCTCCCGTGTACCTGTTCGGCACCAAATTTTACCGCAATACCACCTCTCCACACCACCTCCCCCACAAAGCTACCTGGCAAATAGGCAGCGTGTCAAGTCATTGTCCACAAGATTGGAGAAGAGAGGAAGCTGGCCAGTCGTCCAAGGGCACAAAGGCCATCGGCCCCCGCACGCACGCCACGTTCCTTGGAGACGGGAAAATCCGCTCGCATCGAAGAATGCGACGTGGAAACAAGTCTTCCGACTTCCAAGAGGGAATCGGCGCGCTTTTGTCGCTTGGCTCGGGGGCCTTTCGGGGCCGGGGAGATGGCTGCGCCCTTGGCTTTTTATTCTTGTCTTTCTTTTTTTCTTTTGTTTTTCTAAGGGTGTGGGTAGGATTTGCTTTGTTCTACTTCATCGCATCTTTCGAATGACATGGCGATAGATATATTAACACTACCCGTCTAAATCAGACTACAGGCTAACTGCTGCGGGCTCCTTGTGTTGATGGGAACACGCTCTGGGATCGCCGTTTCCTGAAGCATTCTCCTGGGAGCCGTACCGCTGTCTTTCGGCATGAAGGTGATCCGAGCTTCTCAAGATTATAAGCGGGAGGCACTTGGACACACTCAATGGGGAACTCTCGGGAACTGGATACTCAAGCTCCGGCCAGCACGAGCTCTTGTTTTTTCCGGACTCGGAGCTAAGACTCTGAACTGTTTGTGGCAGCATGTAGGTTCGAGTACACTCCCCTGTGCCGTTGCATTATGCTCTAGAACGGAGAGAATGAGAAAGGGCAGGAAAAGAGAGGGATGACGAACAATGAAAAAGGAGGCTTTTGTTTCTCTATTCCTATCCTGTCAACCCGGCTCCCAAGTGCGGCTGGTAATGGTGGATTTCGAGGGGACAATGGATGCGGATTTGCTAAGCTCCATCGACGTGGATAGAGAAAGCCAGCCAAGTACAGTCTAGCGTCTCCTAGCATCCGAATTGGGTAGGTTACCCGGGGCCCTCGCGCATCCCCCGATCCGCCAATGACAGGAATGAACCCCGAAAACGCCTCTGCAGAATGCTGCCGGGACGGACGGTCCAGGATGGCGGGGCTAGGATTGATCGGGTTCGAGCAGGTGGCTTGGCAGGCCCATTCGTTCAAGATGTTTGGCTCGGAAGAGCCATGGAGCATGGCAGCTGCATGTCGTACAACTCTGCAAAATGGGTCCGGTGAAGAGGAAAAGATGTCATATGGCCGTCTTTCCCAGGTAAGCCGACTACGTATTCGCTCTCCTCATCTCCTTTCCCAAGCGTGTCTTACGATAAAGACTTGTATCCTACACCCATAGGAAAAACTATGTAGGACTCTAGCCTTGTAGATCGGGAAGGAAGGGGGCAATTTGGTGGCTTCATGGTCCCCCTCGGCTAGTCAACAACCTTAAATTATTGTGCGGGCTGAAGAAATTGACTAAACTGCCAAAGGAAGAAGGGTGGCTTAAGAACTTGGCCTCTCTGTCCTCCACGTTACCCCTTCTACCCTGTGTTTCTCCACTCCTTTGGCGGGACGCCAGACCACCTCCGCATCCAAAGCGCCCGCAGTGTGTCGCGAAACTCAGCTATATGTTGATCAGACACTATAAAAGATGCTTTACTGCGTGGGACCCTCATCTGCGGAAGTAACCCCCGAGACGGGTCGGCATGGTTAAACGTGGGCATCTACACCAACTACCGCCGCTCCCGCAATACCGCAATAGGCCACACCTTCTACTTCGGTGATCCCGGCGGAGACGCTCTATAGCTACTAAAACCTAGACGACTCATCTCTCGGGAGTCATCATTCGCTACCATCGTAAGAGGGCCTTGGCACCCCCTCTACGAAAGGGAATCCCCTTTCAGCTCACGTAGGCATCATGTCCGTGATCTAAACCGGCCAAGGCCTCTCAGACTCCGATAACAACCAAGGCCAATGTGCGTATGGGGTGGCTCACCACTGGTGATGAGAAGTGAAACACAAAGGTCTATTAAAGATTACATACAATGGACTGAATACGAGGAGAATGGACTGACCCACGGTAATCCTCCTTCCGAAATTCCGTGTCTCACCTGCGTTAATCCTCCCTCTAGTCCTGCACAACAGGTTGCCTCCACCGTACAGACTCCTGAGACCCTTTCCTAGAGCTACCCTTTCTCTGAAGCGACGGGCGCTGCGGCACCTTGGCCGGCCGCGTTTCCCCCTCCGGGCTAGCGTTGTCTAGCCACGAGTCTTGACGCATGCCCTCGAGATTCGGCCTCTGCAGCGCCTGGCGACCTGCCGGCGACGGGGTTGATGACGCTGCTGGTGCTGAGCCTGCGGTGGCTGCAGAAGACCCGGCTGGGACCTCTTCTTCTCCAGCGAGGGCCGGGCAGAGGCGCCCTGGCGGATTCTCTCGACTGACGACCTCGCGGAGCTAGGCCCGGACATGACCACGCCGTCGATCCGAGTCGCGTCGGGCTGGCGCATATCGTGCCTCGTAGACTGGAGACCAAACACCCCGTCCGACGTATCACCCCGCTATCCATGCGCTGCACGACGGGGTTGGTGACGCCGGGCGTGTCCACCATGGGCAGAGGCCAGTTGGCGGCCGAGACCGGGGGCGGGTGGTTGTGGACGCGCACGCTCGAACCGCCGCGGGAGCTGCTGGCCCTGCCGAGGATGCCGCGCTCGGTGTCCTTGCCGCTGGTGCTTCCGCGGCGGAAGGACGAGCCGGCGGGGGTGGATTGGGTGGACATCCAGGGGGCGTAGCGGGCGATGAGGGGTCGGAGGGTGGGGAGGCACGCGCAGGTGAGGCCGGAGGCGAGCTCGCCCATGGACCAGCCGGAGGATTCGACGTTTTCCCAGGTGAAGTCTTCGTATTGGCGGAGGAATCGGATGCGGACGAGGGAAATGCACACGGTGCTACACGAAGAGAATTACCTAACGTTAACAATTTTGTGTTCTTTTAATTTGAAAAGAAAATGTAAAAAAACATACAAGAAGCCGAGGCCAAAGATGCCGATAAGGATGTGTCTCTGTCGACGCGGGAGGTTCAGCGTCTTGAGGATCGGGATCGGGAGGATAAAGATCATGATGTCGGTGAGGATGTTGCCGGCCGCGTTGATTTCCCAGAACGGATGGTTGGGGATGCAGCGGGCTTGCTTGGACTTGTCCCAGTACCCGCTGATGGGATCGCACATGAAGATGGCGACGACGAGCTGGGAGAGGGACCACAGGCCCACAAAGACGGTGAAGCCGATGAAGATCTTGACGATTTTCCTGCTGGCGTGGTGGAAGATGCGGAAGTACTGGCTGAGGAATGTCATTTTGATGGCCATGAGCGAGGCGTTGTACATGACGATGGATACGTAGAATGTCTGGCTCTCCATGGTTAGCGGGCAGGGCACCTATGTGAGTAAGAGAATATGAGCAGAGACTCACTTTTAGGTAACTAGGAATGTTCTCTTTTGGGACATCGTGAATGTGTTTACCGAGCCCGTAATTCGTATCTATCGGCACTTTGTCAGCTTCGGAGCTCCTCGTAGTGTAAATGGAAGAGCCATACTATACGCGACAGCAAAATCGCATCCAAACACAAAGAGCTAGACATCGTCAGCACCACCGACTCCACAAACAGGCGAGATATACAGCCAAGAAGACTTACAAGAGCTATGGCCGCGCAGGCGTCGTCAATGCCAAGCCGGTTGACGATGGTCTTTCGCGTCCAAAGTCTCAAGGCCACCGCTGCCGTAGCCACGGTGAGCGTGAAGGCAGCCACCCCAATGGTGACATCAACGCGGTTCTGCCCCATCGTTTCCCCTTGATTTACTTCAATACGATGATGTGCGTGTTGGCGTTTGGTCTAGGAACCATGAGTCTAGTGTAGATAGAATCATGGGAGCACGAAGATATAATAGAATATTCAGTAATAATAATAATACAGCTTTGGCTGGTATCGAGATGGAGAACTTAAGAAAGGATCCCTGGTCTTTGTGTCGCCATGGGGTCCGAACCAGGTTTTTAACAAGTCGATGCGTTTCCTCCCCATTCATTCGGTTCTCTCGATGCTGACCAGCCTCCTTCCCAATCCCCACACACTAAGACCGGTCCTACGTATCTGGCGGCCGTGTCCCCTTCATTCTGCGCGTGTGCTTAGCCCCGTGCCCGCTTCGCGCCGACCACTCCATAACGTATGGAGTAAAAACGTCAGAGTCGCGAAGACAGAACCAAACTTCCGACCTCCCCCTACTTCCCCATTGAGGAGGGATTGCGCCTGGTCTTTCGCGAGTGGTTCCCCTTTTCCAACCAGGGTGGGCACAAGCTTTCATTTTTGATGACTGTAGGACGGGGGCCGAGCGAAAACAACCCAAAAGGGGGTATGACGATATGGTGCAGAATTAGCGTGGCGAATCACTCCTCGCCTAGACGGGTTTAGATGGCGGAGAGGCATCGCGAACACGGCTGGAAGGAAGCGCAGAAAGCAGGGTCATCCGGGGACCGTGCGCGCGGTCGACCGCGGGGAGCTTCGCGAGGTGTGACGCAACCACCGCCCCGGCCGATGAGCCGAGGGGGCCAGGAAAAAGAATCGGGGAGCACGGCCTACACGTATCGCTTGAATGTAGAAATTGACTACTTTTTTCCCCTCCCCTTTCTTTATGGGCTAACAAGTAACGCTAAATTCCGTGGCTGTATACTCGAAGTAGAAAGGAAGAGATGCCAGTTAACCAGTTTGTCTTCCACTTCGATCGATTGATCGAAGATCAGCCATTCGAGAGGCCAAAGCGGCTTTACTAATGCACCAGTGACGTGTTCTAGAAGAAGTTTGAGATGAAAAATTTCCCTAGTGTCCTGTTTGCACATGGCGAGAGCGTGTGGCTAGGATGTGGCTCCCACCCACCGTCATTGATCGTCGTGAACGATATCCGCTTCGAGTGGCGCCACGCAATGACAAGAGTAGCCGGGAGCCTTTCCCATTTCCAGCTCACAGTTAACCAGGTCCGCTGTTGACCATCCTTTATTCTCAGGAGGCCGCGAAGGACTCCTACGTATGAGCGATCACATTGAGTCAATGAAAATCGTCTCGGGGGATAATCTTGATCGCTTGGCGTTATCATATGCTGTTATCACCTCGGCGATGTCTTCGACTTCATGTTGTCTCGGTCGATTAGCGCGAGAAGCGCGAGGCCTTATAAATGTCGACAGTTTCGTCTTTCTCGGAGGGAAATATGTCGTCCACTCAATTATATCTTTGATAGTTTTATGCGGTCTGATCTCTAATATCGATTTTACCGACGTTTCCAGCTCATGTCAAATTTAGGCGGCCAGGTCTGCCTACCTTGAAACGAACAGGCTGGCAACTTCGCCCTCCAGCTTCCTTACATATCAAACGATCATAGCGGCGCTACTTTCTTATGGCGTGGCCTAGCACCGACCGTCTTTCGGGACCAAACAGCCATATACTTACCCTGCGAGGTTCGATGTGCGGGAGGTTATTGGATGTCGCCGTGTCATTTTCAGCCATTCAGTTCCAGCCCTCATAATCATGGTTGTCTCGCGCCGTTTTCCCTGCCACCCTCACTTATCGAGAGACCAATAGGTGAAAATGAGGCGGAAATATGAGCTATTGTACGCCCTTACCCCTCTTCTTACCCTTTATCTAGCCCCTCCTTCGAGCTCCCCTCTTTTCTCATACTCAACTCTTCCTTCCTCATCATCCCCCTTCATCTATCCTCTACGCTCTAATTTTCAAGTATGATGGATCAGGCTATGGCTAATATTCAGTTGACTGGCGGCGTCCCGAATCCCGTCGACCAAAGCGGGCTATGTTTATTGTCCTTGGACGGAGGTGGAGTCCGAGGACTATCTACCCTTGGTATTTTGAAGGGTATCATGTCACAACTTAATAGGAAACCGTGTGAGGTCTTTGACCTTATCGGAGGCACAAGCACTGGCGGGTGAGTGAAACGGGTACCGCGAATGTTATCCCGGAATGACTGACGTAAGAAGGCTTATTGCTATTATGCTTGGGAAACTTGAGATGGATGTTGATGAATGCAGTGCCGCCTACAATGAACTCATGAAGACGGTCTTCGAACATCATTTACATCGATTCCCATCAAGTTCAACTGGCAAAATCTAAGCACAGTTCGATTCTAAGAAACTGAGGGATGCAATCGACAAGGTAATTATTGGAAGGGGTTTTCCCCGAGGATCCCTTCAATGATGGACAGCCTCAGGGGTGCAGGGTGTAAGTATTGACTCAAACACTTATTACCTGCCTATAAACTGAACTCGAGTAAGCTTTGTGTGCGCTACCTCAAAAAGCCGGGGCGGCATTACACGGCTAAGAAGCTACGGCCTTCCCGAAAAGCCCAACATCCCTGTCACTATCCGCGAAGCTGCTCTTGCTACATCAGCTGCCACTGGCTTCTTTGATCCTGTAACTATCGGGGGCCGCCATTTCGTGGACGGAGCATTAGGAGCAAACAATCCGATTTCTGAAGTTGAAGGGGAGGCATCTGATATCTGGTGTTCGCAAACAGGCGATTTGAAGCCTCTCGTAAAATGCATTCTTTCTATTGGGACGGGAAATCCGGGCAAGAGGGCGGTGGACGACCGCCTGCTTAGATTCCTAACCAAGACCTTGACTGCAATGGCGACCGAGACAGAGGAAACCGAGAAAAGGTTTATTGCAAGGTGGAGGGGCATTATGATCAGAGACGTTACTACCGATTTAATGTTGAACAGGGTCTTCAGGATATTGGCCTGGCAGAGTACAAGGAACAGGGAAACATCATGCAGGCGACGGATGATTATTTAGACCATCAGGACCGGGTTTTCGCGTACGCGATTGTGTCAAAAACCTAAAGGAGAAGCAAAGTGTGTCTCTTGAAAGCTTCGCCTAGGAAGGGAATTTCTATCGCTGACCTTTTTATAGACTGGGCTCCACACGATCTAGAAGTCAATGTTCAAGTAAGCCATATGCAACTCTTCTTAGCATTGTAGAGCTAACGTAATTTAGAACTTCAAAGATGCTTGCATCCACAACCAGACAGGTACTTACCCTCCCCTACGTCTAGCACTCTTCGTCGCTTTATAGCTCACCGAGTGATATGCAGGCGTTCGATTCTACTTGATCCCATTCCCGCGGAATCTACAGTTCGTTGGCCGCAAGGGACTAGTCGATGAGCTTACTGAAAAGCTATTTATATCTAATAGCAGCCAGACAATTGCACTTTTCGGCCTAGGCGGTGTCGGGAAAACACAAGTTGCCCTTCAACTTGCCTATTGGGTAAAACAAAATCGACCAGATTACTCGGTCTTCTGGGTTTCAGCTCTTAGTTACCCCGCATTTGAGCAATCATATGCTGAGATAGAAAAAAGGTTGGACTACAGCAGAACACCACAGAAGATCCGAAAGAAGCAGTCCAGTATTATCTAAGCTCCAAGCAAGCAGGAAAGTGGTTCCTAGTCGTAGATGATGCAGATGACTATGACCTGCTCTTTGAGCCTTCGGGGCAGAAGGAGAGTATTTACGACTACCTCCCAAAGAGCGAAAGCTGCCAGACTCTATTTACCACCCAAAGTTATCAAGTTGCCGACTCAGTTGCTGGGGGCGACTCTATAGGGCTACCAGAGATGACAAAAGAAGAAGCAATGAGCTTTCTAACCAACGCATTATCCAAGAAGGACCGACTAAAGAGCGAAGCGGTTGTGAACGATCTTTTACAGGAACTCACATACCTACCACTAGCAATCAGGCAAGCGACAGCGTATATCAACAAGAAACAAATAGGTTTAGCCGAATACCTCCGACTATTTAAAGACAAACACCGGACAAATAGGGCAGAGTTGATGAGCCATAACTTTTATGATACGACTCGGCATAAGCACAATGAGGCTATATCTATAACCTGGAAGATATCATTTGATCAAATATCGAAGACAGATGCTGCAGCATTTGAATTACTCAAATTCATCACATGCATCGAGCCAAAGGCCATACCGCGATCATTACTTCCTAGAGGACAGTCAGAGCAGCAGCTGTCGAGCGCGATTGGTACGCTTTGTGCGTACAGCTTTCTCAGTAACCGCGATGATCAGGTTTACGACATGCACAGATTAGTGTATGCGGCGACAGAAAGTTGGATCGAGGAGCAAGATGATATTGAAGAAATTCGCAAGATTGCAATACGGCATCTAGTAGGTGTCTTCCCGTCTGACAACTGGCACAATCGGGAGACATGGAGGGAGTATCTCCCGCATGCAATGAAAGCGCTGGAAAGGGGTAAGAATAGTGAGATTAGGGCATCATACCAGCTATATTACTACACGGGGCGTTGCTTAAAAGGGATGGTCGAATCGGGGAAGCAATTACGCAGCTGGAGCATGCCCTTACGATACAAGCAAAAACGCCAGCAGACAATCACCCGGACCGGCTCGACTCGCAACATGCTCTCGCCAAGGCATACCTAACTTGTGGCCGGGTAGGCGATGCTATCAAGCTCCTAGAGTATACTGTGGCGATGTAAGCAAAAGCCCTAGTAGATGATCACCTAGACCAGCCCTTATCATGCATGATATACTCTTACTACTATATACCTAGCTAATAGCTAGACAGTAGGTATTACCATTAATGTTACGACCAAAGGTCGTGCCAACTGGCTTTCTGACAACCGAGCTGTCAGTAAGCTTTTGGAGAGATAGTGGTATCTCTGGAGAGATCTGGTGATCTCTCTGTCGCTGCGAGGGTTACTAATCCTCAAGGGTCGCTACAGTATTACATCCTTACAAAATACCATAGTCACTATTAAGATGAAGCTAGGTGTTAGAAGTAAGTAAGTAAGATAGCTCTACCTCCCTAACTACCTATCTACTATTGAACAGAGGGGAAAATATGGGGGCAAAATGCTGTTCGTATTCGCTGCTTGGATCCTTCTAATACATCCGTTTCTACCTCGGTACAAGGGAATTCCTGCCCTCTTATCGATGAAATTCCTGGGATATTCACATGATCCGACCTTACTTGCCGTTCCGGATGGTATCGGTTGGATATAAAGGTAAACGCCATCCGGATATGGATTCGGCACGAAACGCTGCCCGAATTCGGTATTATTTCGGATATCCCATATTTCCATCCTTCAACAATTATAAAAGTCCTAAAAGATAATCACCAGACTAGCGTATAATATAATATACTTTTACTAAAGTATACTTAGCTAATGGCTAGGTAGGTGATGCTATTAAGCTCTTAGAAAATGTTATAGTGATAGATGAAAAGCCCTAGTAGCTAATTATCTATCCTGGCTCTTATCGTAATATGTTCTCGCCAGCGTATATGAAGCTAATGGCTAGGTAGGTGATGTTATTAAGCTCCTAGTGGTTGTTATAGCGATGAAAGCTGAAGCCTAGTAGATAGTCACTAGACTAGCTTATGTTATCATATGCTCTCGCCGCTCACTATTATGGAATAGATGTATATAATTCTAGAAGTAAACCTATATATACTGAAGTGGAGTTTTCGTCCTAAATATATAGGGTTTTCGCCGAGGTCGAAAACTATGCATCCAAAATCTATACGCAGCTATGACTATGAGTTGATTTCCCGCCCTGGCGGCGATATGTATGATGTTATCGCCTTATAAGTTTTGATGTGAGACGAAAAGGTCATAGGTTTCCCAATATTATATATATGTACCAGACGAGAAGCATTTCCGGGGCATTTAATAGCGTCGACGCGTTATGACTCAGCCGCTGTGTGTAAAAGCGAGTCGCCAGTCGACAGGACCATGAAACGCAAAGCTTGACATTCCACGTTATACTTAACTGGCATATCGGTTATCATAGTCCAGTCAAGCGTTTCGATATAGTTGTTCCTAGCTAACGTACAAAGTCAAGAAATCTCCTCTATGTGGGTGCCCGGTCCCTAGCGTGCAAGCTCTCGTGAAGTGACGATGAAGAAGCCCAAAATCATCTGGCAGTAGAGGTAATTCTAGCTATAGGAGCCCGTCATTTTCCGATTGAAATATGTCTGATGATGAGATCATCTGCGGTTGGCGATCAACATCCACTCTCTAGTAGAAAAAGTGCAAATTTGGGGCAATCATGGCGGCGAGGGTTTGCTCAAGATGATCGTGGTTGCAGACACGAATAAAACATGGCTACAGCCGGTATGCTCTAGTGAGAGACTAGCAGAGAAACACGGTAATTGCTAGGATATCTTCTTATTATCTGCTTGGAGCAGAAGCAATAAATATGCGGGAAATAAAAGCTAAGAATTTACCATTTCGCTGCATCAACAAAAGTAACTAGGAAAATAGACGATATGAACAAAGGCGACGACAACATGAAAGATATGGTAGCATCCGAGCACCCTATCAAGGGATGGTGCCGGGTTCCCTAAACGCCCCTACAAAGGAGCGTCCCTGGCACATGCCCTTTCGGTGTTGCCATTGGAGTACTGTGGCGTTAGAAACCAGGTGCTAATCTAGCCGAGGCCTTGGTAAAAAGCTATGGAGAGCTGGTGGATGGTTCGATGGCCTTTTGGCCGTAGACAATGCGCCTGTACTCAAGTGTTAGGAAAGCGTTCATTAAGTTTGTTAAATATATATGAAAACCCGCATCACAGTCGTGTTATAAATCTGTCGTAACGGCAGGAAAAGCCAAGGAAAAAGGGCACTACGTACAACTCGGAGTAGGCGTGGATGCTCGGATCCTGCAAGTTCTTGCGCATCTCCGCGAGGAAGAGATGAGCTTCTTCGATGCTCCACTACACAATCGAAAATCAGAACCGTAAGTAAAGATAAAACGAGACCGGGTGCGCAAAGCGCTTGGTAGTAGGAGGGGAACAACGAACACCTAGAACTTCAGTAAAGGAACGGACGGCGAAACCCTCGATACCCTGGAGGATGAAAGCGAGGTACCACTGTCCCCAGTTCTTGTACTGCTTATCCTTGGCCCAGGGCCCGAGGGGCACCTTGAGGATGCGTTGCTCGACATTAACAAAACCGGCGGCGGTGATGGCGTCGTACGACTCCTCGGCGGCCTGGAACGTGACGCCGATCTTGCTGCCGACCTGGAGCCAGAGGTCGGTCCAGCGCTCGATGGCGGAGCCGGGGGCATGGTGTTGTCGTCGGAGCGGGTGGCGCTGGAGAATTCGACTTGCTCGATCCAGCCGCCGGGCTTGATGTGTCTGCGAGGGGAGGATCCGTGTTAGAGAGAGAGAAGGAGCGCAGGGACTAAAGCGGCATTGTCAAGCGAAACGGCCAGTTCTCGAGAGGATACGTACTCTAGCGCGCCTTTGTGGAAGGCAGTCCAGTTGGTGACAGTTCCCAGCATGTTGCGGACGTGGACGTAGTCGAAGTGGTTTTTGGGAAAAGTCCAGGGCTTGTTGATGTCGTCGACCTCGAATCGGCAGTTGGGCGGGACCCAGGTGGGCTGGATGGGGAAAGATCGAGACCGATGACTTCGGCGCTGGGGTTGGCGTCGGCAAAGTCCCTAGCGAATGGGAGAAGAATTTCTCGTTACACACCGAGCTCAAAAACGTGAAGATATAGGAAGCGAAGGGGGTTGCCTTACATGGCCCAAGCTCCTGTTCCGCATCCGACGTCTAGAACATGCTGATGGTGGTGGTGTGTTGTTAGAAGTGGTCGTTCTCCAATGCACCGGCCTTATCTCCAGCGTATGATCATCACCTCCCTCCCGCGCTGGGATCAGTATCGTCGAAACTTACCTGAGGCTTGTCAAGCGGCGCATAGTAGAGCCCACCGGCCCTAATCTGCTTGTGCATCTCATTGCTACAAGTATCCCCAAGTCAGCGGACGCAATTTCCTAGCCGATTCCAAAAGTCTGAAAAAGAAGAATCCCCTAAACACCCCACGGCTGGAGTTGAGTCTATTGGCACACTGGTACACGTACTGAAGATCTTCGGCCTCTTGTTGTCGCTCGTCATTCGGACCCCTGTAAAAATGACATAACTATGTTAACGATGCCTTGACCAAAACGAGACGCCGCTTCAACCGAAACGCGGTTTTCATACCAGTATTTCGCGCCCGAGTCTTCTGAGTGATATCGCCGGCCGTGCTCCCAGTTGTAGCTAAGAGCCGAGCTCCGTAGAGAAGTGGTATCGGTGAGTGTGCTATATTTCGTAAACACGGGACGATGTCAGCGAGGAAGCTGCTTGAAGAGGGCGCGATTGTTTCCGCGCGGGAAAAGGTCGGGTGTGGGCTCACGAGGAGGCGTAGGTGGAATCAGCGTCGTTGTCCTACGAAGAGGAAGGGAAAATATGTCAGTCGGTTTTTCCTTTGGTTGGGTAAAACACAGGCGCGAATGGAACAAGGAGAATTGCCAAGAAAATTAAGGAGAAAGGGGCGCGCTCGATCGAGGGGGAACTGCAAAACTCACGGCTTCTATTTGCTCGACAACGTCAATGATGTTCTTGGGAGACGACGCGTTAGAGCCGGGAGCGGCGGCTGGCGGCGACCCGGTGGCATGTGCCGCGGGGGTAGTCGCGGAAGGAGAGGCCATGGTGTTCTGTGATACGGTGTCGTCGAGTCGACTAGTGCGAAGGCGCTAAGTTTAATCGGCAGCAGGTTCGGGTGGAGGGGATCGCTCGAGAATATCGCTCGGGGGTTAGGCCAGTTCGACGAAGGTCAAGATGGCACAAGGTAAAGTGGTGGATGCGAAAGAAGGAGGAAAGGAACAAAAAGGAAGGGGCCTCGGAGAGAGGGTTCGATGGATGGATTAAAGAACTGATTGCCCGCGAATGGGTCGAGCCGAATCGGTATTTCCTTTGCAGAACATCCAAACGACCAGAGCCAGGATGGGCTTTGATCCATCCACGGATCATTAGAGCCCTGCGAAACCCGGGTCGACCCAGCCAAGTCGACAGGAGATCCACAGCGGGGTAGGGACCCCCGGGTCGAGGAGGGCTGGCTGAGCGAACAGGCACAGGTTTCCGATGGTGGATGGCTTCGTAGCATTCTCAGGAAACGAACTGCTCCGTTGGTGCACCATTCAATCGATATTTGCGGACACAGACACTCTACGCTGTCGAGAGCCAGCCAAAACCCCCGCCTCTTCGCGTGGCGTTCGACCCCCACAGACTCCTCGATTAAATCCCGTGGCCGGAGTGTGTAGACGTGGGTATGCGCGTTGTCTGTAGCCGTAACCTGCAAAGTGGGATTACTTGGATTAATTGACAAGAGTCGGAACCCTCTTCCCGTCTATCTTCCCTTCTCGCACTTGCTCCCTCTCTCCTTTCTTCCCCGCGGTGCTCTCTCGAGGCCTTGTCGAATTCTTTCTGCCCTTCCCCTTCCTCATAACCCATATCCGTGCTTCGCAAAAGTGTGGACATGGCGTGGCCTGCAAAGGATGTGTGGGTCGCTGGCGGTCCGGGGCTCTCATCCCTGCCCTTCCGCCAAACTTTCCGACCAATCCTTTTCCTCAGCGAGTCTGCCCTGCTCATATTCCGCGTCGCCCGCAGCCGCTGGCGCTCAGTATCCAGAGATGGTGTTCGGTTGTCTTGGATGGGCCTTGCCCTTTTGAGTTGCAGAGTGGCATCTATGGCTGGCACCACGTCGCTGACATGTCCCTGAGCGCAAGTCTCAGCAGGCGAAATGTCTACGTCTATGGATGGTGTGGAAGCAGGAGTGGGGGTGAAGAAAACGGCGTGGAAAATGGCAAATGAGACAGGACATGAGAGCGACCAGCGACTGTCTCGTTTGTGCCTTGGAAGGGAAGGCGCCACCGATGAGTTCAGTGGGGAACATCTTGACCGATTTGAAGAAGAAGAAAAAAAGAGGAAGAGAGCACCAAGGGATACCAGAAGTACTACATTCGAAAAAGGCAGGAACAAATGATGAATATGAAAAAACCCCCAAGAAGAAAAAGACTGCTGAGCCATCGACGCCATACTCTCTACATCAGAAAATGACCGACAGTCTTCCAGAAAACGAGCAACAAAATAGCAGAGTGTGGGAGAAGAGGAAGCCTAGGGACCTGGTGTTGTGTCAATGCGAGTGCGACAGGTCACAACACCCGGCCTGGAGCGTAGGCCTAGTCGTTCGATATTGTAGGGCCTGTTGAAGTGAAGCCCTCGTAATACCACATAAGCAATTCTGGTATCCTCGTTGAGAGCGATACTCTGGTGAGGTCATCCTGCCTGAGTGATCAGCGCGTCAAGCAACCGGCTAGTTAGTTCGATCCTCTTAATGACTCTCGCCTCCAAAAGGGGATGAATGGATAACCGAGCAATCACAAGTTATTCCAATTTTCCCACTGGACAGGACGGAGCAGGCTGCGAGAGTCAGCTGATTTCACAGTCGCAAGCAGCCCGCGGATGTCGACCCGAATGGAACCAGCACGTCGGCGGGGGTAGGGAGAATCTGATTTATCAAATTGAACTTGGGTCACATTTGTGCACAAGCCACTACACAGCTGCGAAGATTCTTGCATTTACTCAATTCCTCAATTCCATCGTGACGTTGCGAAGCGGTGGCTGGCCTCAAGCCGTTGATAGACCCCATCAACTCTTGTGCCTTCTTTTCCCTTCTTTTCTTCTTCTTCCCCCAAATTCCTGTCACTGTTTTAAGATTTCGGGTGTTAAACAAGTCGCCCCCATTTCTTAAGCGGCACTATCCCATTTCAGCGAAACCCCACCTGCCATGGGCCCGGGCCGCGATCCATTAAATTGAGAGAGGAGGCCTAAGCCATTACGAGTTAGTATTGCCTCTGGCGCCAACACCCAGTGGGGCAGCACACCACGTCTCACACTTGCTCTTCTCCTGCCACATCCATCAATTGCACCAATCTTCGATCTACGCTCCTCTTCATTCTATGTGAGCCTTGCCATCGTTATAGAAATCCTTGTGAAGCGAGAAACAATATTTGAAATGACGAATTGTGGCTTTCGAGTGGTGTCACAACCGGAGACATACGTGCACAAGCGTGGGGGAAGGAGCGAAACACGAGGCGAGAGGTAAGGGAAAGGCCGAAACTTCCGCATCTTGGTCAAGGTCACTTGGGCGACGGAAATGGCAGGGCTTGGGCTATGGGCAAAGTGAAATGCCACGAGGAAAGATCGATGGGCGCGGAAATCCGGGAAACGCATTGGAACATTGAAGTAATAGAGAAGGGGGCATGGATTGCGTCGAAGATAGCGGGCCCGGGGACCATTTCCGCCTCTTGAGAGCTCGACATGGCTACGAAATCTGCACGCCAAGCCGCCAACCAACGGTAGCTAGAGGCAAGTCGTCGTTGGTTGAGGTTCGGTGTGAATGGCATGCAGCGACATGCAACACAGAAATGGATCAATTCAATGTTCGTCGCCTCCGAACCTCCTACCCTCACTTGCGCATACTGAACCGCCGTAGAGTGAGTCTTCGAGCTCCTACATATGACTGGTCCCATTTTCCTCATGGGGCGCCAAGCTCCCAGTTCAATGTCTGAAAGGGAAAATTATCGACCGAGGTTAAGCATGTCCTGTGCACTTGCAGCTCACAGATGTAGACTGACAACCGATGGTCTTGCTTGATAGACATGCATCCAGGATCCATCCAAGCCGCGGAGTTTTGGTTAACCTTAACTCCACCGTTGCAAACGCAAGCAGGGACTAGTACATCATTAAGTTTAGGATTGGCTTCGTCGCCATATACCGCAGCACCTTAATCGAGGTAATTTCTATGCATTACTGAGCCTCGAAAGAAGAACATGGTTGATATTCGCGGCAATTGGAGCTCATTTTCTTACTTATAGAGTGACCTAACTCGTTTCATCACGCAGTCCAACTCGGCCGATGAAGCGCATGTTGCTTGTTTTCCCTAGGCCGCAACCTGATGATATAGCTGCCTTTTTAGATGGCGTATCTGAAAGGGTGGTCACGGTAGAAACCCCTGTTGCGAACATCATGATCGACACGATGCTGGGTATGCCCCTGCTACACGTAGTCTGACAATCCACGTCCACCTTCTGTTGATGCCCCTTTCTGACGTTCTGCGAGCAGGTACATGCCTCGTACGTTGTATCTCGGACGCGATCTCCTTGCAGCACGTGGCAAGGCAGGGTCTCGAGGTGATCCATGGCACCGGGTGCGTACCTAGGCTCCCTTTGCCTTCCTCTGCACGACTTTATCTTGATCGATTATATTGCATGATTCTTGGATACCTGCCTGCTGCAACAAGAATTTGAAGGCGAAACCCATTGCAATATCCAAGCTACATGGTTCATCGGTATCAGTTGGTACAGTATATTTTCCGCCCTTGGCTTTCTGACGCACTGGATAGCTCCCTTTTGAACCTGCAAACTTGAAGGGCATGAAGAATTCACAGATGTCTTTTATTACTCATAGTGCACCTTTTTCTGGGGCCAGGCCCGCGAGTGACTAGACTAGACCATCACTAAATGGCCAGCTATCAAAAAATGGTGACATCTGATGCTCACGCGGGAAACTGGCTTACAGAGAGAAAAGATTGGGATCACGTCTCGTTGCCGGTCTACAGACTCGGGTGCTCTTTTTGTTCTCTCGTTCGCCAGGTATTGCGTTGTCTTCATCTTAGTCGCAGTTTCATATCACTCTTCTCCAGTCCTTGTTTCGTCGCCCGCCTTGCGTTCCTACTTCGTACTTGTCCGTCCATTGCCAAGAAGCGTTCACTTTGGCGTCTGAGTTTTCTCATACGAGCTTACTTTCGTCCATCCACTTTGTGTAAGACAGACCGTTGACTTCTTAACCGCAGCATGCGGCGTCGGGGTAAGTCAGTCCTTCATTTCCAACTTCACAAGAGACTACCCATCATCCAATCCAACGATTCCTACGGCCAGACTCTCTCAGCGATGTACGCAGATGGCCTCTGTCGCAACTGCCTTGTTGTATTATTCGTCTGGGCTCGTGTATCACCTCATATAGCAATTCATTCTGATGCATGGAACCATCCAAAGCGCGGCCTCGACCACAGGGTTAGTCCGACCACAGGCTTAGTCTGGCCTCGTTCCCATCCTCGGCGGCTTGGATACTTGGAGACTCGAATGAAACAACTAACAGCTAATACATGCCTTCTAAAGTGAATCCTTAGCATGCAATTCATTGTCCTTTTCAAGTGGTGAAGAGCTTACATCCTGTTCACAACTCTCAGCTTCCCCTTTCATGATCTTCTCCCCCTTTATATCCACCACATCTACACCTCCTCGCGATGATCACCACCCTCCCCATCGCTGCGCCCATCTGCCTCACTTCACAACAAAACATCGCCAGTGCCTAGAGAAGCCCTGCTCCAATAGACTCGAGCCCACAAAATGAATTCTGATTATGAAGGCAAGGGCGAGGGCCAAAACCGAGGAGGAAAAGGAAATAGCTAAGGAACCCCTCCCCCAACCCACCCTCCCACTCCTCTTCCTTCTTCTCTTCCTCTTTTCCTTGCCCACAAAAGTTCTCAATCCCCTCTCTTCAAATCTTCAAATCAGTTTCTTCAACTGAAAAAAGCCCAAGAAACAATTCAAACCCCCAAAAATCCCTTGAAGAGGAAAAGAATCTTCAAAACAATGTCAGAACTCCCTTTTCTCGAGGGAGTCATTGCCGGCTTCGTCCAGGAAAGGCGGGCGAACCACCCAGGAATCGGGGAACGACCTCCCCAGCTACCGCTGCCCGACAACATCCCCAAGGTCCCCTTTGGGCCCCCTATCCCAACGGCCCCGACCTCGATGACCCACCTAGTGTGTTGCCCAAACCCCGACGGAGGCCGTCCGTTCATGGAGTGCCTGGACAAGCCGTGGTGGGTGAAGCACGCCCTCGTCGAGAATCTGGCGAGGGCCAACGCGGCCCACGGCATGCACTTCCAAGAGCTCGTGCAGGCCTGCTGGGCGCTGGACCATGATTTGCATCGCAACCAGTTTTTGGCTGATTCATGCTGCATCGCCGGCATCATCCTCGTCACCTTGGGCCTCGATGAAATGGTGAGCGTCACTCCCAATTACTGCCTCATCATGCCTGCTACCATCGATGAAAATACCGGAAGGCCCGTAGGCATCGAAGTCAAGGACTGCATGAAGGTCGGCAAGAAGATCTACACCGCCGCCTGGGCCACGGATCCCGACTTCTCGGCCCGCCGCTTCACAATCGCCATCTTCCACCACGTCGAGTTCGACCACTGGACCCTCGTCATCTGGGACAACAACAACGACGAGCTGTACCACTACGACGCCCTGACCCGAGGCCACCGCCAGCGCGCCGAGATCGCCGCCCGCGCCTGGGAGAGGCTCCTCGATTCCGCCGGCTGCGGCCGCCCTTTCCTCTTCGTGTCCCCGAGCAGGTCCCGCAGAGCGGTTGGGAGTGTAGACTGCTCGCCATCGCTAACGTGGACAAGTTCTTCCGCCCCGACGTAGACTGCCGCCAAGTCACCAGGACCTTGCCCGCTGGCAGCCTGCCTTTATCAAGATGGGCGACAACGTCGAGGGTCTCGTTCAGCGCAGGAGCTCGCACAAGGTGGGTAGCTGGGGCGTCGGTCCTGGCTCTGGGGCCGACGCTTGATTACCATGCGCGAACGGGACCGCATGGTGGACACCCTCGTGTTCGAGGTCCGCGTGCTGGTGTACACGTTTTTCAGCCACCCGCTGAATATCCCACTTTGCATCGAGAACCCGCTCATGACGCCCGACCGCTGCCGCGACATGTACGGCCGCATCGAGGCCGGTCTGGTCCCGTGGCAGGGCAATTTCTACAACTTCCTCGAGGAAGACTGTCGCCAGACCCTCGCCGCCGACGCTCGGGTCCTGCGAAACATCACCGACGCCGCGGCCACGGTGCTGACGGCCGCGCTGCCCGACGGCACGAGGGCCAGCAGCGACGAACTCGTGCGCAGCGTTATTTACAACCGCGACGTTAGCAAGGTGGACACGCTGCTGCCCGAGGGCTTCAAGGCTCTCCCTCGTACGTATAACACGTACGCACTTGCCAAAGAGAAGGGGATTATTCAGTGGCCGTTCCCAGTGTGTTTGGGCCCGATGACAACGGCGCGTACGCCAAGCTGCCTCTGCACATTAAGGAGGGCGAGGATGAAAAGGACGGCAAAAAACAAAGGGCAAAAGCCCCGACATGGAGATTATCGACCTCACCGACGAGGTGGATTCGAGCACCCAGTCTTCGAGTCTCTACACCGAGTCCGTGACCACTGTGACTAGCTCGCAGGGGGATGTGGTACTGACGATCAGGTCTGGTCCGAACTGCATCGACCCTGCTATCCTTGGTGACCAGAGCGCGATTAACGATGCGGTGGCTGTCCCTTCCAAGAAGCGTGGTTTCTCGGACATGGTGGAATTTGTCGAGGATGAGAAAGCGGGCTCAGTGCCTAACCGTCAACGTTCCGCGCCAGGTCCCTCTGGTGACGGCGTCGCTCCCAAGGGCGGCTCTTATGTAGGTATGTCCCGGCTCGTCTTCCTTTCCGTCTCTTATCCCTCACCCCTAGGCTATCTCGGCTCCCCTTTCATTTTTGCATCGTCTTTGCTAACTGTTGCCGCTGGGGCCCTTTCCACAGGTCATCAGAAACGCTACGATCTGAACACTATCAACGAGGAAAAGGAAACAGACTCTTCAGATGAGAACGAGCGGCAGCCGATGCTTCGCTATTTTGGGCAACGGATCAGCAAGCCATTTTTGAAGCGCAAGGAGGATTCAAAGTCGGGGTGCTACGTCATGTGAATGCTGCAAGCAACAAAAGGGCTATTCGCCCAGACATTGACAACATTGAAGGATGAGTGAGGGCCCTCCAACAGTGGCATTCGAGGCATCGACAACGCACACACATATAAACAAATAAACACACAAAAAAGGAGAGGGCGGAAGGGGTTTCTGTAAGAGTATGAATCGTTTGACATAGTCGTGCGTTTGTATAATCCAACCCTTGAGGAGACGAGGAGATAATTGGGTTATGGAGTCCACAGGACGTCTTGTACATTTGAAGAGAGTTAGTTTAGTTCAACAGTAGATTAATAACTCTTCATTTTTTTATTTTTTTACGTCTCCGTCTCAAGCGCGCTAACTTCCATCTTTCCATGTCACCCTACATCATGATGCCATTGAGACCGACAAAACGTGGTCTGCCCATCCCCAAGGAGTCTAGTTGTCAGAAGGAAGGAGCAACGTAATCGTTGAGACTGATTTGGCCATGAAAGGGGAAGCAAACACGCGACTCGTTTAGTCAGTCGACGGCGAGTAAAGATTATCTCTGGCCGAGGCAACTAAATCACTCTTTTCCTAGCCCGCGGCAGGATTTGACAGCCACGTCACTGGAGCTAGGGTACCGCTAATTCGGAGCGGTTTCTAGAACACGAGTTGGAATAATGGATCTTTTGGTTTGGGTCGCATAGCTACCATCGGCTTTCGGGACGTGAAAAGAGCGGAATGTCGTGATGCAGTGACGGTGTGATGGGCCGCCCTGCGCCTTCCCGACCTGTCAGTGGAGCAACCCTTCTCGCACGTGGGTAAACTAAACCCACCTGCACCTTCCAGTCTTCAACATCACCAGTTCCGTCTCCGCAAACTACTCCGGTCGCTAGGTAGGTTGTTGGCTATGGACTAGCAAAATCCCGCCACGCGCCCGCCCTAAAATCCTCAAAAACGAAGTGCATGTCGCCGGTGTCAGTCGCACGTGCGTCCAACGGCTGCCATGCATGCATGGTGGCACACTGACGCTAGTGGTACCTGCATTAGAGAAGACGTCTCCATCACGGAAATGAGGTAATGCAGGTGACGTGGGGGAACGGTGAACGGATTTGCTCTTGAAAAGATCAATGGAGATGAAGAACCTAACGACGGCGACTACAGAGATAATCGAGGGGTTGTTAGGGGTGCGGAGCTACGTAATGGGCGGCGGGTTCGCCCACGTTGTGCGACAATTTTCCGTGATTGGTCAGGGACGAGAAATTGGGCAAGCTGGCTTCCCCTCCCCACACGTACACGACCGCGATGGACACCGGGCAAGAACCCGGAAAGGAGCGGAGCGCCGAGATGGACGACGTGCGAGGGCAGATTCGATTCCGAGTGCTTGGCACCTTTCGCTCACTTCAAGCGACCAAGATCGGAATTGATCATCGGCGTCGTATCACGATAGCCATAGCCCGCTCTATATAATAAACGATCCCTAGGTTGCACCCATCACACTTTGACCACGGTTCCCCAAGCTCCAACGCCACATTCTCTCTCTCTTCGGTTGAAGCAGCCTCCGCCAAAAGAGCTTCCAAGTTCCGTACGTCGAGCCGCCGCAATGAAGTCTTACTCTCTTCTCTCCGCCGTCGTGATGCTCGGCCAGACCGCCTCGGCGGCTTGGACGTCAGCCGCGGACAAGTCGATCGTGTACAGCTCGGTCCCGGGTTTCTTCCTGCAGGACGACAACACGACTAGCCCTACCGGCTTTGACTATGTATGTTTCAGCATGTTAAGAAAAAAATCAAATATGACTAGGCCCCACATCGATGATGGACTTTTGAAGTTTGCTGTGCTAATGTTTGCATCTTTTCTATGCTGCTAGGCCACGGTCAACTTTGGCTTGATTGACCGCGCGTACCCTACTGACAAGCGGTTCGATCCCGAGGGCACGGCTAGCCAGTGGGAACGGTTCGAGTACTACGTCGCGTCCCTCAACTCGGGATGCAGGCCCAGGGACAACGTGCGGTACAAGGTGCTCTTCATGGGCCGTCACGGAGAAGGATGGCACAACGCGGCCGAGTCCTTTTACGGCACCCCGGCGTGGAACGTGAGTTTCTCTTCCATTCTCCCCTTCCCCCAAGCTTCCTTTATGCACAAACTACTAACTCTGCTTTTTCTTCTTTCCCTAAAACAGTGCTACTGGGCCGAGCAGACAGGCAACGGCACCGCCGTATGGGCCGATCCTCTCCTCACTCCCGCGGGCGAGTACGAAGCCTACAAAGCCAACGCCTACTTCAAGGACCGGTACGAGACGCAAAACATGCCGCACTTCGAATCCTACTACTCGAGCCCCTATCGCGGTGCACCATCACGGCCAACATCACCTTCGCCGACCTCGCCCTCCCCGAGGACCGCCCCTTCGCCCCCGTGATCAAGGAAGGGTTCCGCGAAGGCATGACGCTGCACACGTGCAACTGGCGCTCGAGCAAGACGGACATCGCCGCCCTGTTCCCCTCGTACCGGTTCGAGGACGGGTTCTCCGAAGAGGACGAGCTGTGGCACAGCTACGAGGCGGAGACGACGGCGGCGCAGGCGGTGCGTGCCAAGACGGTGCTGGACGACGTGTTCCGCGGCGACGACACGACGTGGATCAGCGTGACGAGCCACTCGGGCCAGATCACGCAGCTCCTCGCGGCGCTGAACCATCGCGCGTTCCGCTTGTCCACGGGCCAGATTATCCCCGTGCTCGTCAAGGCGACGCTCGCGGACCCGCGGCCCGCGGAGACGGTGGAGGCGTACGAGCCGTATTCGACGTGCGAGGCGCCGCCTGTGACGAGCGTCGCTGGGCAGGGGTGCGTGTGCGAGGCTACGACGGCGGGGGTGCCTATGGCCACGGCGGTTGTGCCGCGCCGGCTGAGGTGATTGTGGCGGGTAGCGGTGGGGGATAGACGCTCTCCGAGCTCTAGGCCCAGACGTGGACCTCGTATTAATTTTCTCCGCTTCTTTTTCCTTGCCCCGTCCTTCTTCTCTGACAGGAGCTTGTGTCCTGAACGCGTGACTGAAAAAGGATGGGTTTCATGTGTGTATGTTGTATAATTAGCAAACAAAAGGATAGATCCATATTATTTAATTTGTTAGACGGGGCTTTCTTCGCTGCGAGCGCAAGGCCCCCAGCATTACCAACAAACTGTGTCATCGCTCTTTTCACCACAATCGACCCATGGCCACCCGTCAACCAGCGTAAAAGGTTTTCTGCGCCTCGATCCCTGAGCTGTCAATCAGTCATCCACCGGAGGTTTCCCTTTGGTGTTGGCCCATTTCTGCTGAACAACGGTAGGCTGAGTCAACATTTTTGTGGCTCCTCGCTGGTGTCGCCTCGAATCAGAGAGAAAGAGAGAGGACGTTTGGGTTGGGCGGCCAAGGGTGAGCCACGCTGAGGAGGCGCTTGACTTTTTTTTTGCATCATGAGCACGTGGTTGAGCGGTGCTGTGCTCGAGTGTTAGTCTGTCTTGGTGACTGTGTATGTCTGGGTATTGTGGGCTTCTGCTCTTGTCTTCCTTTGATGAGCTAAGCTTGGTCAGCATCATGATGAAACATTTTCCCAAGTTCAATTTGGCCCTTTTTCGTTTTGCCTGTCGGGATTCATTTCTGCCATGGGAGGATGAAGTTGAACCTGTTGCATCCTTGCTTGTCACGGACTTTGTCGTGTCTGAGTTGGTCCAGGGAATACTGTACGCCAGCTAGCAGACTTTCCGTGTACAACAGACCACCACGCCAATCGATCAATTGATCCACAAGTATATACGAAAGGCAAGAAACAAAGTGTAGAAAGGTCCTTTTGAAAGATCGCCATCGCGCTCCGTCGCGCAAAGCTATCCCGGGGCTAGAAGGGCGCGATCTTCTAGGGGCTCTGTTGAATGGCAGCACCAAGAACGACGGCGGCGGACCGTTTTCTCTGGCGGCGGTGTTTGTCGACCGATTTCCCGGGCCTTGTATGGAGCCTAGCGTGTAGTGAATCACTCTCATCACACGCTTTGCCAAACGAAGCACTGCTTGCGATGGTCGACCGCCGGTAGCAATGGGGGCTAATAGGTGCTAATAGGTGTGGGATGGCAACCTAGGGGATACCGAGATGGATTAATTCGAATCGCGCTGGGCTTTAAAAAATATGGTGGAGAAGGGGCAAATAAAACCAGGTAAATGGTTAAGAGTTCAGATGACCGGTATCGATCAGAGATGCACTGACAAAAGCTTGGCATCCCGCAATCTTGAGTCGCTGAGCCCCCATCTCGAATGAGCAAACCCCACATCGTCCAGACGCTTGCAACGAGGGTAAAAAAAAGATGTGGACAGGTGAAGATGACGGGGAAGCCACTTGGCAAGGAACAGACAGGCAACAGCCATGGGCCCCGTCATCAACGTTGGAATCAGGTGTCGTGCCCAGTTTTTGTCTCCTCCAGCTCTGTTTTAGAGTTTTGGTCCGCCGGGCACAGCCCCGGACCGTCGGTTTCTCGATCCGAGCCCAGCATCAATTTGATCGCCTCCCCATTCTTCAGTTGCTTCGAATCGCACCAGACCCCACAGAAAAGGACCGTCCTGGCGAACCAGCGTGCTTCAGCCCTACACGCTAGAAGCCTACCAAGCTGAGTTGCTTTTCGCTTCCAGTAGGTTCCAGCTGGTCCTCTTTCACCCCCACCAACCCGTCAAAGTGCTGGCCACTGCTCCACAGAACGCCTCAAAACGGGGACAGTCAGCCCTGCGAACGCCAGGCGCTCAGCCCTGAAAAAGGGTCTCCGTCTCGTACGCCCCCACAAGTTTCATTGGCACTGGAGCTGTCTTGGCCTGTCTCCGCGCGTTCCCCCGGGAACAACGTGTTGTGCCCACCTTTTCATTCTCGTTCCGTACCCTCCCTCTTCCCTAAAAGGTTCGAGGATCGATCCATGGAGTGTCTCGCACAACGTGCTCTTACCTCTGGTGCCTTGATTCTTTTACTCTGTCATCCCCCACCTCTTGTTCCGATTGACCAGTAGAGAGAGGAGGCGCTCCCCAAGAATACTTTTGACCCAGTTTGGATCTTGAGGACCGGGGCCTGGGATTGGGCCGGTGCCTTGGCGAAGACGCTTGCTGCCCCTGGATCGATCTGGGAAGGGGGTCCCAAGTGAGCTGAGGTTGGATCCACTCCGCCCACCTCCCGCTCCGGGTGTGGTTCAGAATCGGGAGATTATCTACAAACACCCACCCGGAAGACAAAAAAACTCTATTTGGCCCTGTCGCAGTCGGCCGCATTTCCTGCCCACCTCCGCTCCGGTCCGCGCTTACCAAGGTGAAGTATCTCGGGCGGCTTTGGTGACTCGCCCGACGAGCATATTAACGACCAAAGCCCTCCTCTTCGCCCATCGCTGGACGAGAAAAGACCGAATCTTTTTATTCACCAACCTACCAACTATACACACAAACAAACGAAAACACAACCAAGACTTGCAAGTGTTTACCATCAAACACACAATCATCCACAACAAGATACATCCAACACCAACACCAACAACAACACATTCCCAAAGCACAAACCACACAAGATGTATGCACCACTCGATGCATCAGATCCACCCTTCAACCCCTTACCCCCTCCACCCTCCCCACCCCGCCAGCCAGTCGTCGTACACCCTCCCCACCACCATGGAGGCCACGCCGACCCCGCACAACCAGACCGCCGCCCACTCGCCCGCCTCGTCCATCGCCACCGACGGGCCCCCGGGCTACGACACCGCCGCCGTCGTCGAGCTACTCAAGACCAAGCGGAAACCCCGCACCACCAAATCCTGCTTCCCTGCCGCTACCGCAAAGTCAAGTGCGACGGCCGCATGCCCTGCTCGAGCTGCGTCCGCCGCGACCACGCGTCCCTGTGCCGGACCGCGAATCCCGCCCACGCGAGCGGGAGCGGGAGCGGCGCGGCGGGGTCCTGGCAGACCTCGGCGCCTGTGCAGACGCATCAGAAGCGGACGAGCAGCCTGGCTTCGTCGCTCGAGGAGCGAATGAATCAATTTGGGTAAGTTTTAGAACCATTTTCCACTAAACCAAAAAAAGAGAAGAAAAAAAGGAAACCTGTTGCTAACACTATTCTCCAGAGACAGCTTCAAAGGCCCCGTTACCGACGTCGGTAGCGTCGTCTCGCGCCTCGAACGCATCGAAGAGCGCATCCACACCCTCAAAAGCGACCTCCTCCGCCAAGCCCGCAACACCTCCCCGAATCCCCCGCGCCTGGCAACGCTCGCAATCCGGCCTCCCCGACCCGGCCTACACGCCCATCATCAAAGCCGAGCCGGGCGGTTTCCGCTCGCCGCCGCCCGCCGGATTCGCGGGTCCCGCTATGGGCGCGGGCGCAGGCGCGGCGCTGGGCGACCACTTTGTCGAGGCGTCGACGGGCGCCACCATCTTCATCGGGGATTCGTCGGATCCTCCGCTCGCGCTCGGCTGTACGCGGCTGTCGCCCGCGGGGGCCCGTTGATCTCGGGAGCCCGGTGCTCGATGAGGATCAGCTCGCGCCGAGGACGTACGCGTTTGCCAACTTGTGGGCGCCCGAGACGTCCCTCAACGATATTGTTCGGGCGTTGCCTAGTGATGCGGATATCATCCGGTCCGTGAATGACCCCTTCTAACCCTTTGTGTTCACTCTACTCCTCTCTCCATGACCCAGTCCCTGCTGACACGCCATCACTATCAGATACTGGCAAACCTACCAGGCCTACGTGCACCCTTCTATCCGGCGCTCGTGGCCCATCAGCGCTTCGGCGCCCAGCTCTTCTCCTTCCTCGACTACAAGCTCGCCGCCGGTCCTGACAGCGGACTACCAGAAGGCATCACGCCCTCGTGGGTGGCCCTGCTCTTCAGCGTGCTCGCCTGCGGGGTACAATTCTCTGCCGACCCCATCAAAGAGCGAGACCTCCGCTCCAAAGTATTCGGTTCGTACTTCCCCTTTCCTTTTCTTTTTTGCTCTTCTCTCTTTTGTATCACTGTTGTTTTTGTCTATCCCCCTTGGCTCTGCTACTTGTGGGCTTTAGTTCTCACTCGACTCCCTCCCTTCTTCTTTTCTTTTTTTCTCCTTCTCCCTTGTGTTGTCCACCCATCTGGTGCAAACCTTTTCTCCCCTTTTTGAAGAGAATCAAAAATCGACTAAACGCACCGCCAAACAACCCAAAAGGCAAAGAAAAGGGCAAACAGGTTCCAGGAAAGGAAAAGAGTCTCTTCGCTTTCCGTCCTTCTATCATCGTAACTTGATGCGTCTCTCTGCAATACGTCACGTTGTACCAAAAGAAGCAAAAAAGAAATTCACCGACTAACGCAACGCCCGTTTGTGTCCGCGCACCTCGCTGGTGCCGTGCACATTGGCACCCATAAAGTTTGCTCGTCCTTTCAATGCCTGCGACTTTCAAACTTTTTCGCCAGCACCGACTTGGACCAGGTCCAGACCATGGCCCTGCTGGGTCACTGCCTACGAAACAATCTCGACATGAACAGCTCCTGGGTTCTCATGGGTAAGACTCTTTCTCTTTTTGTAAATCAAAAACTACTATTGCTAACTGACAAAAATCCCAGGCACCACAATTCGCCTCGCCCAGAGCATCGGTCTACACATGGAGTCCGCCGCCGCCATGACGCCGGGTCGCTCCGTCACTGAAAGTTACTACAGACGCCGCCTTTGGTAAGCACAATCACCCCCATCCCATCTCCACACCGTGCATTCAACATCAACGCTAACCTTTTTTTCCTGCGTCATTAGGTGGATGCTCATCTGGCAGGACACCTTCCTATCTCTCACCTACGACCGCCCACCCGCCAACACCTACACCCACGCCCCCATCCCGGCCGACTGCGCCGAGGAAGACAGCGGCGCCGGCCCCGGACGCACCTTTGCCGACTGCATCCTCCAACTCTGCCAAGTCGCCATGGAGCGCGCCCGCGAGGACGCCACCCTCCCTCCCGGCGGCGGCGCTGACGGCAACGACCCCGTCGCGCGCCTCCACCGCAACAAGCAACGTCTCCAAGCCGTCGTCGACTCGGCGCAGTCTTTCCTCGTCGACAAGGCCCGCTGCCGCAGCCTGCAAGAGCACCTGGAACGACTCGCCCTCGACATCCACCTAGGCTACATGACGTGCCGCCTGTACCGGCAATGCCTCGAGAACCCGGACCCCACCGTGGTCGACCAGCCCATGCGCGACGGCCTCGCCCGCGAGTACGCCGCCCACGCCGCCCGCGTCGTCCGGTCCTTCCTCGACATGTTTCGCCTGTCGTCCGTCGTCTGCCGTTCCTGGGATTTCGTCCACTACGTCGCCAGCTCGTGTCTCCCTCCGCGCCACTTACCCTTGGTGTCGCCGCTCGTGCGCGAGGAGATTTCGCGCTCCTTTCGCCCGCTCGTGCACCAGCTCATCTCTGTTCTCGAGGACGAGGTGAGGAAGTCGGAGTGGTACGATGCGGATACCAACGTGCGTCAGTATGGGCCGTATTCCCAGGTGGTCAAGGCGCTGAAGCAAACGTACGAGGTGGTGTAACGCGCTGCGAGCAAGACAACGCCGCGGTGTGACTCCTCGTAGCACTTTTCTTTCTTTTCCTTCATTAATTTTTAATGTTTCTTTGTATTTTTTAAAACCAGTACTGGCTTCTCGTGCCCGCTGGAACTATTTTGTTTTTTTCTTTCCATACCAGGTGGATTTCGGTTTCGGAGTTACAAGAGGATATGGAAAAGAAAAACAAGGGTTCCTTTATACATGCATACAGGGCACTAGACATAGACGGCAAGGGATATCGGCGTTTTATACCATTGATTTCCTTAGCTAGATAATAGAGAGCCTTCGAGTTGGTCTTGAAGGCTCTTTCTTACGCAATATAGCAGACGCACATCGGACTCGGGTAGTCCTACATTGTCGTCAGCATCGACCAACCTGTTCCCCTTCGAAGGAAGCTCTGCCGTATAATCGTAACCACATAGTTGTAGATATCACTTACAACACAGTGACATGAGCGCCTTTCCTTGCCTATACTCATCCATCTATATGTCATCGTGTAAAATGTATTAAGTATTATTGAGTAGCTAGTTCAAATGTAGCGGGCAATTATTGGCTCGGTTGCCAAGTGTTCTGCCTCAGTATTCCGTCTTATTATTATAGATCGTTCATAGTCAATGGAATCGTCGCGGTGTCATCACGTCACGCCGTGGGCTGGGGTTGTTTCCCTCGTCTTGTGCAATCGGCTGGGCCTCTGGATCCTTTCGTATCTGTCGCTCCTCGAGAGCCACCGACGGGATGCGAGCTCTGCGAGCTTGTCTCCGGCTCGAACCACACATTATACATAACAAGACGGATATCCAAAAATGAATGATGCTGTCAACTCGCCAGTTAGCCTTTCTTTTTCTTAACACAAAAACGGAGAATCACAGGCAGGAACTGTGGTTGCAGTCCGATACTCACCCCGCTGTAAGGATCGAATAGCGTCCTATAAAAATCCACACGGTATTGAACTGGTCCGTTGTGCGTATCGTCCCGTCGTCCCTTTCGGTGCCCGACTCGTAGCGGAAGCCGATGAAGAGGCTCAGGGCGAAACCGCCGATGGCGGCGGCAATGGTGATGATGTGGAGAAATATCAGACACCCCGTCAACCCAGAGTCCGAGGGCCGGTCTTCTTTGCGCGATCGCCACCTGAGACCGATGTCGAGGAGGGCGAAGATGATGATCCAGCTGGCCTGTGTGCGGAAACTTGTGTTAGTCTCCAACGTTCCCAACGTGTCAAGGGCAATTTGTTTTTCTTCATAGGTTAGGGCTGGGAAAGGCAAGAAATAAAGAACAAAAGAAAAGTTGAGTCGTACCGCGCCATATGCTAGGCCAAAAGGCTGGAGTCGGAAGATGAGTCGACGAATTTTGTAGTAGCGACACCGAAACCAATGCAGCTGAGGAGTGCTGCAACGGCGGCGAGCGCGTGTAGTATCAGTTTGATGATGAGTAGTAAGCGCATCTTGTATCAGACTAGATTGACTGAGCTGGGTACAGATGGCAAAATGTATTAGGTGGATGCGGCGTGTAGAGGCGTACAAAGGGCGACGGTAGGTTGAAACAAAGGTGTGGCGTCGGCTCAAGATAAATCATGCTGTATCGCATTCCTTGCCTGTGGTCTCTGTTTGCTTCCTTCCATAACGTTGGTTTTATTAGTTTTGAATAGGGGCGCGCGCTGGTGACTCGCCATCACAGGTCGCTGTTAGGTGGCGCAGTACGATTAGAACTTCGGGAACACGATCGAAGGATCAGGCACATAATAAGGATCAATATTTCACGTTGAGCCAAGCTTTCCACGTCCGGGTTTTCACCATCGTCTCAAATCGCGGTACCTAAAGACAAAGACGATGGTTCCTGAGATCTAAATCTCTCCACATGGTCATCAGCCACAAAGCAGGCTAGCGTTGAGAGCAATCTTGAAAGATACCCTTGAGGTTGACTGAGAAGAATATTCTCCCGTAGACAGATTGCCTCTAGTCGGTTGTTAGTCTGCCTGGCCACTGCACAGCCACAAGGCCCCGCAGCACCCAGACCACAATACGACGCCGTTTGTCTCCCCTCCTCGCGGTGTTGACCTGTTTTTGCGGCACCGTCATGCGCCGCCACAATGTTAGCGTCGAAGGGATTGGAATTAATATTACACGGCAGCTGGAAACGAGGGAGAGCGCGGATCTTTTAAACTCTCGGGGAGGTTAACGTTTCACGAAAGGATGAGAATGGGGTTTTCTTGACACGGGGCGACAGTCTTTTTGGGAGATAGCTTCTTCAGCCCAATGGCCGTGCTCAGAGATCTTGGGGGCAAGAGCTCAATTCCGTCAGCGTGCGCCTTCACATCCTTACTTTGACTTATCTGACTATCTGGCTGACGACTCACCTTGTACGACTGCTGAAATAGGCATCCCGTGCTGATTTCGCGACTGAAACTGCACACACCATTGCTGGTGAGAGAGGTGCCGAGAGAGAGGCTATATGTAATGCCATGGATGCACTGGATCAATCCACCACTTTGAATCCCTTCAGGTTCCGCCAAAGAAAAACAGCAGGTGGACTGGTTGGTGCCTAAAGGACGCCACAACATCCTAAGGTCGATGATGGAGGTATCGACAATCGCATATCGACTTGAATAGAATCGTCGAAATTTTTGTTTTCGAGGCGGAACCAGCCATGATACAGATTTGACGTCCTGAATGGCGAAATGATATCTTAAAAGAGGGTAGGATCCCAAACTCCGACGGCTGAACTACGATGTCACCCGTGCTCACTGATTTGTTCACAGCAAACGGCAACACAGCAAGCAGATCATTGCCAAGAACATCATTGATCGTTGACTTGCACGTAGGGTCTCTGTTTATTTAAGATAGAACCCAGTCGGCGTTCATTGAGCAGTTCTTGTCGAATCCCGTCTTCATCATTTACCGCTGCCGTCACCTCTTTACCCACCGTGCCGCCATCCCACGACATCGGAGACAAAAAACAAAACCAAAAAGGGGCTTCTATCAAGATGCGCAGCGGACGAAAGATTGACGAGGAGGACCCCTCCATCCTCGACCCCATTTTCCGATCCGTCGACTTCTCCGACACCCGGGGCGTCGCCATGATGGTCTCGCTCCTCCGCCGCGCTTGGAAGCAAAGGAGCCCGCCGACGGCGAAATGGACGCGGCCATCTTCGACTCGTGGCTGCACAACCTCCACGGCACGAGCCTCGACGAGGCAGCGGCGAATGCTACGGACGAGACTGAGGATCTCGAGAGGCCTTTACGCCGCGAGATTATCCAATTTTGGAAGCTCGTGCACTCGGACGTGCTTGAGTTCCTCAACGGGGCGACGGGGTACTGCGGGAAACGCGTGAGGCAGGAATATCTCCGCGTACCGTTTACCGGCGCCGAGGGCGCGGCGGCGGCGGCGCCGCGGAGCCATGATTTTGGAACGAATGTGCTCGTCATCCCGGCGTTTGTGGCGGAGGGTGCGGCGATTCGGATCACCAGGGATGCCGTGAGGGAGAAGGGCACCGAGGCAGAGGTTGGGGTGTTTGACTTAGAGGAGAATCCATTTGATATTTTCTATCTGAGGAGGGGATTTCAGTACAACTTTTACGTTAAGGGGCAGGGGAGGATGGGAAGACTGCGGGGTATTGTCCGTGTGTGTGTTGCACAAGGAGGATGATGAGGGCGATGACGATCTCAACAAGGATGACGGGGATGATGGTGAGAATGAAGATTGATGCATGGCGGCGAACGGGGTTTGCATGGCGGAGAAAGCAAGCGATTCAGCGAAATGGGAGAGATGTCGAGGCGTCGTTAGAGCGCCGTATACTTTTGGTTTTCCTCGTGTCCCTCCTAGGAAGAGCATGTCATGGGAAGTTTGCAGGTGACTATTACAGGAAAGCAGACTTGGGATATTATGATGCGGCTAGCCACGATGCGCATGCGAAATTGGCAATATATTTGCGTTTTTCTATTTGCGTCCCGAAAACCGGGAATCCGTGAGCGCGAGTCAAATGCCCCGAGGTGTGTGGTGTGCCAGCGACGGGGAAAAGACTTGGCAGGCACCACTTGATGATTCGACTCTTTTCCAACCAACGCCTCGCTCTCGGATCCCTTTTATTTTCGTAGGCAAGCATGAGTCGAGGAAACGGCTCTGACTGCCCGGGCACAAGTGTAACTCTCAACGAATACCGCTGTCAGAATGTCATGTTCAGCTCACCGTCCATGTGCCGGCGGCTTCCCGACACTTATCCCGATATGCATACACGTATGCGCAAACACGGACCTTGTATATCAGACGGGCGTTGTTTTTGACGCTTGCGATCAAAAGGAAATGTTTTATCTCGTTTTCCTTTGGTTGTCTGGGGTGTGCGTTTGATGAAGTTTTAAGCCCATTTTTTCGAAATCACGGACAAGCTTCTTTTCGTTGGTGGCGTTGGTAGCGTTGACTGTTATTATTCTTTAACCTTAATGGGCGGAATATCCGGGGCCGTACGCACGTAAGATCGCCCAGTGTTCGGAAGATCCGGCCAGGGATTGTGCGGGATGCAACAGCCCTTTTGCTCCTCCACCTTCCCCAGGGGTGCATTTCGAGAAGGGGAGCGTCGAGAATGGATCGGGGAATATTTGCGACCGTGAGCTAAGCCGATTCAGGTGTCCGGCTCTTGAGATCGGCAATCTTTGTCCCTTGTTGACGACTTCCCCCGACTGCAGATTGACAGAGGCGACGTGGGGTGGTATCCTGGTTCGCAAGGCTTGCAGGTTCATCTCGAACTGCATGACGAAAATCTGGTGGTTGTAGGCGTAGCATCGATTTGATACAGGCACTGCGGAGGGGAGGGGCAAGAGAGGGAGAGTGGTGGCGCCTTGTTTTTCAAACATGAACCAACGCGGCGGGCGCGCCCTCGCGGCCGTCAGCCCCGACAGTGTCATCCTAGCATCTGGGGGTTTTCCGGGGAGAATGATACTAGGTAGGTGTCCTAATAACCTTAATACCATGAAGACGGTGGACGGCAATATGTGCCAAGGGGAGGGGGAGGGGCGCGAAATCGCCGGGATCAAGGGGCGGGCGGAACAAAAAGACGTGGGCTTTGGGCCTCGGCGCGAGCGAGCGCTAGCAACGTTGGCGTTGCCCGGCATGAATGCCCCGGTGCTTGCTCTCTCTCCCAATTTCAGAGAGAAACAGAAGAAAAAAAGAAGAAAAGAAGGAGGAAAGAAAGAGCCCGGATCCCGGCCTGCAGCATTTCGTTCGCTTTTGTTTTCAGGACCGGAGAGCGAGATGAGCTTTCTCACCTGCACGAGTCCTTGTGCATGAGGAGGGAGATTTGATACCAGGACCACCTCCCCGCCAGCCCCCTGGTCATCGGATTGTTTTGGTCTCGAACCTTGCGCGATGTGCGTCCAGTGGGTGTTTCTTTTTGTCCAAGGACCGGTCTCTGGGCGGGGATGGTCGGATCGTCGAGGGATGGAACGCTGGTATCCATGTGGCCCGCGGGGATTGCGAAAGGGCCAATGTGACTCTCGGGGTTCCATCACAGAAAGAGAAGAGCAAAAGGCGTATAAACGTTGGATGAATCCCCTCATCTCATGTCTCTTCTGCTCTTGAACCTCCCTCCCCCATGTTCTTCTATTAAACACCCTGTTCCCAGTCTCTCTTTTTCGTTTTTTATCTCGTCTTATCCTTGTGTTACCACATCTTGAAAGAGGACCAGTCTAGTCGTACATCACACCACGCACGCACATGTGCACATCGTCACCATGAAGGGACCCTTTATTGCAACAGCGCTGGCATGCGCCTTCTCGTCTCCCATCACACAGGTTTGCGCTCAGACGCTACCCGTGGTCGATGTCATCACGACGCGCCATCAGGCCGTTGAGAATGTAAGTCTCCCCTCCCCTCCCCATCCACGTGTCGACGCCACCCTTCAGCGCCCGAGGCCCCTTTTGTCGCACCACAACAACGGGCCGCCACTCGGTCCTCCCTGGATAAGACGTTGCAAAATAAAGAAAGCCAAACGTCCAAAATCCAAAAGTAGATCCTGCCGCTAATCCGTTCTTTACCCCCATAGGCTACCGGAAGCTTCTACACCTTCCAGAACATTCCCTATGCCGAGCCCCCGTAGGCCAACTCCGCTTCCGCGCCCCCATGCCCCGCGTCACCGTCGACCGGACCATCCGCGACGGCTCGGGCGGACGGGTATGTCTCCAGACGGCGGGCCCGTGGTTCCAGTACTCCATTCCGCTCGTCATCCAGACCGTCATGACGACGTGCAACAACACGTCGGGCGGGCCGCCCGGCGCTCCTCCCGCTCCGACCTTGCCCGAATCCGAGGACTGCCTCTTGCTCGACGTGACGGTGCCCAAGTCTGTGTGGAATGCCCGCGAGACGACCAAGAGGCCGGTTCTGGTGTGGATCCACGGTGGCGGTTACATCCAGGGTTCCAAGGAGAGTGCCGTCGTGCCCGAACTCATTGCGAAGAGCCAGGCGAACAACAAGGGCGGCATGATCATTGTCTCCATCAACTATCGACTGTAAGTCTCAGCCCCCTCCTTTTGCGCCGCCACTCCTCCTTTCCGTGCCAAGGCGAGGGCCAACTTCAGCTTTACTCACCGCACAAAACCTCTCGCAGCGGTCTCTTCGGCTTCCCCCTCGCCAGGCATGGCAGTGGGACGTCGCCTCCAACGCGGGCCTCTACGACCAGCGCCTTGCCCTCGAATGGGTGCGCTTCAACATCCACCGCTTTGGCGGCGACAGCTCAAGGTCACCGTCATCGGCGAGTCCGCGGGCGCCGGCAGCATCATGACGCACCTGTCGGCGTTTGGCGGCATCGACGGCACCTCGCCGTTCCAGCGCGCCATCGTGCAGAGCCCCGCCATCAAGCCCGCCACCAACGCCGCGCGGTACGCCCAGCTCTTCCAGACGTTCCTCGATACCGCGGGCGTGGCGAGCTACGCGGAGGCGAGGGCGTTGTCTACCGAGCAGCTGCAGGGTGTGAACAATGCCATGGTGGGCCAGTCGGCGTTTGCTGATACCATTTTCGGTAAGCCCTGGGATCCCACTTACTTCTTTTTTCTCGTGATGGAAATGTTCTGACGTTTTTACAAAAGGCCCCAACGTCGACGGCCTCTTCATCCCCGACGAGCCCGTCCGCCTCATGGCCCGCAAAATGGTCGACAAGAACGTCCAGCTCATCGTGGCCCACAACTCCGACGAGGGCCTCTTGTTCACGGACCCCGCGTGGCCGATGAAGCCGGGTTCAAGAGCTTCTTCCAGGGCCTCATGCCCAACGTCCCCGCCGCCAAGATCAACACCCTCGCCTCCACCGTCTACCCGCCCGTCTTCACCGGCGCCCAGCCCTACACCACCATGACGGAGCGCCTCAAGCTCGCCGTCGGCGACGCCCTCTTCAGCTGCAACGCCGTCGCCATCAACGCCGCCTACGGCAACAAGACGCGCGGCTACCAGTTCGATATCTGCCCCGGCTTGCACGGCCAAGATGTGTCGTATACTTTTTCAACGGCGCGGTGGCGGACGCGACGATCCCTTTGCTCATTGACGTGCCTACCGCGACCACGATGCAGAACATCTTTGTTGATTTCACTATTCGTGGGACTGCGCAGGGGAGTGCTGCTAACCAACTGCCCGTTTACGGTGCTGGGGCTAGTGTGGCGAACTTTGATGGTGCGGCGAGCCTTGCCGTGATTAGGGATCCGTCGGCCAGCAGCCGGTGCCAGTTCTGGAACCAGGGCTTCTAAATCTTTCTTTTTCTATTTTTTTTATGTATGCTTCTTCTTATTCTTCTTTCTAGGCTAGCCTACCATTCCAACCATGAGCGTAACAGCAAGATATGGAAGGAATTGTGGAATAGAGCGCGAAGGGACCAACCTAGACGGTGTGTAGGTGGACAGCCGAGACTGTGCGGGTGTTACGATCGGACTGTTTTAATATCGTTCCCAACATGTAGACTGCATATACATAGATGGATCTCTTCTTCAATAGACAACTGAATCCCTTCTAGATCTCGCACATGCGCTACACCAGAAAAACCCCCAACCGTTAGTTTTTCGCGTGCGAGCGGAGCGCCAGTTGTAGGCCATCCCATCCGCAAACCACGTTTGCATTAGAAGGGCTGTCGAAATCCTCTCGGCCGACATCAGTCTTGCCATCCCTCTTCCGACCTAGCCAAACGAGGGAATGAGTTCAATCAAGCGCCAGCAAATTCCGCGCTTGTCTTGTATCACATGTACCGGGCGAGTGTCGGAAAAGGGTAGTGGTAAATTACATGTACGCCTGATCTTGAATCCTGCGCTCTGTTCGGGTGTTCGGCTTCAAGCGTCGCATCGAGTTAGGCGGAAATTTCCCAACGTCAACAACAAAATCCTACAGGCACCAGCATCACTCTAGAGGAGGCGGGTCCCAATTTGCGACCTCACACATAATGTCGCCCAAACCCCAGACATCTTCACACTTGTGCCAATGCTTGGCAAACACTTTGACATCTTCTTGTACGACTCTCTGCGTCTAGCATAATATCGCGAATCGCCTCCGTTCAGCCACAGCCTACTGAATTTTGGAAGCTGGTCCTGGCCTCGCGTGCACTTCTCCCGCCGCGCGCCATGCGCTTCGGCTCCATCGTTCGCTTGTCCGTGCTCTTCGCATCGGCGTCCTATGCCGACCCCACGTGTCCGGGGAAGAGCCAGCGCTGGGAAAAGGAGCTCCGGCTCTCGCCCCGGGACGCGAAAGAGGCCTGCGACGAGGATCCCACCAACCTCCGGTTCATATGGACTTTTCAGCCTGGTAAAGCGAGCGTAGGCGAAATCAACTGCCAGGACTTTGACTTTGTCCTCGCTGATGCAGGGCCGTGGAAGTGCCGCGAGTTGGCTGTGAAGAATGGCCTCGAGGTAGACGAGTTTCTGAACTTGAATCCAACTCTGAAGGGTAGCTGTTGGAAACTGAGACCGTGGCATATATATTGCACCCGGGGTTGTAAGTACCGCCGCCTTTTCTACGCCGCTCTTTGGTTTTGTATTGTATACGCATCTGTTTCTTCCCGGTGGAGGGGCCACAGGATGCGCATACCGATCGAGCCTCATTTGAAGGAGCTAACGGGGATTTTTACCACGCGAACAGTCGTAGAGCCGCTGAGAGCCTACGACGGACGTTGTGGACCGCCACACAAGAACGCCACGTGCATCGAGTCCGGCCACGGCGAATGTTGCAATTCCGAGACCTGGACTTGTGGGAACTCATGGTAATACGCCCCTCTTTTCCCTTTTGCGTCTCAAGTGCTCCTAGCAGGCGGTTTTCTGCCTCTCAATCAAATCGCTGTTAGACTCACACGAAAACCACTTGACAGCCACGACTGCGCCCCCGGCATCTGCTACGAGGGCAACTGCCCCGGCCACCGCATCTTCACGACGGACGGCACGTGTCATCCCGACCCAGGGATAGGCGGTACGTGCGAGGGCAAATGGGGCGACTGCTGCAACTTCGAGGGCCAGTGCGGGACGGGCGCGGGCTACTGCGACGACGACAGCTGCTGGGGCGGCAACTGCCTCCGCTGGCGCGGGTGCCGCCGCGGCTTTTGCTCGAGAAGAGCAGGTACGAGGACTCGATGACGACGGATGGGACGTGTGGGGCGCTGCGCAGAAACGGTGCATCTCGGAGTGGCCGGCGTGTTGTAATCGCGACGGTGTTTGCGGGGGCTCGAGAGAGGATTGCGATGTCGCGAAAGGATGGTAGGTCCCAGCATCGAAGCGACAAACTCTTGCCATGTATCAAGGCTAACCTTATCGACTTGTAGTCAACCAGGATTCGGCGACTGTGATGGCGTAGGGTCCTGGAGTTTGCATCAGCCCCAAGCAACATCTCCGGCGGTGTTGCCCTTTCGGGGTTCATTGTGAACAGGTGGTGCCCCGCGATGTACTGATGGCCGTATCGGGCCTGGCAGCGAAAGATGATAGAAATCTTTGTCATTGAGGTCAACTTGGCTCTGTATTAACGGATAAGATGCGATATCCCCGTAAAGGCTCCCCGATGTTTGCCAGCACGTGAATTTATTAGGTCGTTTGCGCCAAGATTCCAATATGCACATGCCCATCATCGATTGATGCTGCCAGTCCGGTCTACTTGTTCGGGGTTTCCATAAATACATGTAGCCACCCCCAGTGGATGATCGGCAGAAATCGCGACGAAAAGAGTGGTCAAAGTCGGCGCGATTTACGCCGTGTTACGCCGCGTTGGGCTCAAAATAGCAAAAAGCTGACTGACTGGAAAAATGGGGCATCCAAGGCAAGGGGAGTGATTCGGCTTGATCAGTGGCGGAGCCATCCGCTTTAGGGAAAACCTCGAGTGCTTTTAGGCCTTTGTGCGATCACAGGGTTACATCGGCCTGTTTCCCTTGTGAGAATCGCAATAACCCCTTGTCCCCCTCCCCGTTGGCCCACCAGTATCTTTAAAAATACTTAACCAAGCTGCTGGTCCAACCTTTTCCGAGAAAGGTTGGGTCTATTATTACCTTGAATCCACCTGACGTGCGCCGCACAGGAGAAGAGTTTCAAACATGCGCTTCACGACGACACGATTTCTTTTCTGGGCGACGACGCTCCTGCTCGCCGTGGAAGCACGAAGGGGAGGCGGTGGTAGCTCCGACGGAGACAGCGGGAGCAGCGGCGGCGACGACGATGACTCGGGCTCCGGGGCGGCTCCAGCGGCGGCGGCAGCAGCACGCCTTGCCGGACGACGCGCGATCCGCCCACCCTCTCGGACCTCGACGTCAACCGGTTCGTCAACTACACCGAGGATCCCCACTTTGGCGGCGCGTACTACTTTGGCCGGGTCACCCTCAACTTCACCGCCATCGCGGACAAGGACGTCACCTGCCGGTCGTCGGTCGACTTCCAGATGCCCCTGAATCTGTATGCGGCGGCTTTCATCGCGCCGCAGAGCCCGTGGCCCGTCAGCTCGTCCAACCCCTACGTCATCGGCTTCAAGGCCTGGAATCCCGCGGGCGGCCCCGACGCCGACTTCAACGCCTCGTACAACCGCTGCATCTCGCCCACCGACCTCGTCTTCCTGCGCACCACGTCGTGGTTCTCGTACACGTACCCCAACGCGGCGCTCAGGGAGGTGGTCGACACCGTCGACCTCTCCTTTTCCGCCAACCCTACCCCCGCCGCCGAGGGAAACTCTACGGCGAGGCCGCCTTCGTCGCCGGCCGTGCGCTTCGCGGGCACGTACGTGGAGCCGCCGCAGGATCGGTGGAACAACATCTCGCTCGCCCAGTGGGGCGGCGACGCGCTCGGTATTCCGGACGATCTTTGCCTGGGCGAGACTACCTTTGACGATCCGTTCCCCGAGGGGACCACGATCGAGGGTACCGTGAGCGCGGATGAGTTTGTGCTCACGATGCGGGGACGCGCGTCAGAGCGGTATACGGGGTCAACGCGAGCTTTGTGCTGGAATTCAAGGGTTCTTTTGCCGCGGACAATTCGACGCAGGCTGTCACGATTGACGGGGACACGGTCAATTTCAACGTGATTAACGGCGAGGAGAATGGGCAGTCGGCGCTGCGAGCGTGGGGGTGACGACCATGGTCTTTTTGACGGGCGTGGTGCTGAGCTTTGGTCTGTTGTGAGGAAGGGAATAGGAATAGTTTGAGATGATACCCCCTGTTGACGCGCGCGCGGTAGAGGGAAAGTTACAAAAATGGGACTACACACGTAGGTATTAGAATGAAGCAACGACACAATTTCACAATTTTCAAGTTTTCTTTTTCTTTTTTTTTTTCGTTAGCTAAACAGAGTCGAGCACTCGGCGCTCGTTCGTGCGAAATTTCCGGTGCTTTAAGCCGACTTCCTCCTGTAACTTGGCGGCTTGACTATAACCTCCACCCCTACCCACGTTGCGTCGTCATCGAATCCTGAGAAGCCTTCAAGCTGCCACTATCGGTGTCAATATCCATGCAATCGCCCTTTTCCACAGATCCCTGCTTTGCCTCCTCACCCACGGCCGCTTTCTTCTCCATTCTCGACGCACCCTGGGACCGCCGATTAGCGCAGGCTTGAGCAAATCCGTCAAGAAACTGCTTCGGAAGAGCAAGAATCTTGTAATCCGCCATGAGGCGGTGCTGGAAGATTCTGTGCGACATGGCGAGGTACCACGCACAAAAGGTGTCCTAGACCTCCTTGGCGCCTTCCTCCGTCGGCCTCGGGATATACGGATCATTGACCATGGCGGAGTCGATGGCCATGGCCACGCCGTCCTGGTCCAGGGTGATGCTGCGCACCTGGTTGAAGTCGAGGAGCCAGAGCTCGGTGCTGCGCCTCAAGAAACTTACCAGGCCGGTGCCATGGCTTCCTGCTGCTGCACCAGCACCAGCACCCTGCTGGCTACCAGCCCGGGCAAAGGTCATCGTGGCGGCGCTTCCGAGCACGAACTCGACGTCACGAGCATCCGTCTGCGCCGCCCAGTGCATGACGGCCATGGCCTCAGCCATACCGCGGGCGTACGAGGCCACGTCGAGCTCGAGCTCCTTCATCTGGGCTAGATGGAGCTTGAAATTCCGCAGCGAGAAGAAGCGACGGCCCGTGTGCCACCCGCGCGCGCTGCCGAGGTACACGCGGACGAGGCAGTCGGCGTTGGCCGGGTCCCTTTGGCTTGCTCCTTCTGCGCGGGGTCGAAGTGGCAGTACCTGTCGACGAGGAGGTGGCGCGTGGCCTCGGGCAGGGGCCAGATGCGTTCCGCACAGAGGATGGCGCCGGTGGGCGGGCCGTCCTCCCCGGCGGGGAGGATGGCGGTGTCGACGATGCCCTGGCTCTCGAGCAACTTGCGGGCGTCGTCGCCCGCCCTGTAGTCGTAGCAGTGGGGTACGCGGGTGCTGGCGACGCAAAACTCGGCAAAGGCCCGGGCGATGAGCACGTGCTTGTCGAAATCGTTGCGCAGGTCCGCGTTGTCGAACCGGCCGATCTTGAGCGCGAAGTTGCGGCCGTCCGAGGACCAGACGGTGCCGCACGCGCCGGCGCCGATTTGGCGGCAGGGCGTGTCGGTCTGGCCTTGGGCGGAGGCGTTGCGCTGGGCTTCGGAGGAAGCGGTGCTGATTTCCGTGGTGATTGTGAGCATGCGTTTGAGTTCGCGGTTCATGCGCTTCTTGGCCTCGGTTGCTACTTGTGTTGCTTCTTCGGTTTCGTCTTTTGGTGGCGGTGGGACATCGTTTGAGGCGGGCTGGGGGCCGGGCTGCGATTGGGAGGAGGCGGCGGAGGGAGGCGATGGGGGCCCTCTGAGGTCCTGGGGATGAGAGACTGGTTCAGGTGGGACTGTGGTGGACATGATGGGCCGCCGGTGTCAGGGGCTTATATGTGTGTATGTGTCTATGTGTTTGAGGAGGGGTTAGAGATGGGATTGACGGGAGGAAGAGGGAGAGAATGTTGTCAGAAGAATTCTCTGGCAGATGTGTTGTTTAAATGCTTCAATGTTCTCTCTGATGCTTGCTCCAGAGGATCTGAATATGCTGAGTTGCCTAGGTAATCATCACAGAGTTGAGGAAGGAGCAGATGGGCTTTGATGATGCTGTGAGCTCCTTCCTTACCAAGGTCACCTCATCAAACCGATATCGCCAGAGGAGCAGAGCAGAAAGAACCCAAGGCATTTTCGAGAGATGATCTAATATTTCAAAGTTCCCCATGACATCTATATTATTCCTCTTCTTCATTTTTCCAATGTCGTACCTCGAACAACTCAGACGCTTGTTAGCATGATATTGGGCCCATGGCCGGGCCCTGCCTCTCGCACAAATATTGCTTATTTGGCTAGATCTACCGGAGTCAGTATAGATTTCCAACTCTTGAAGCGATCCTGTATCTTCGCTAGGTCAACTCACCTAAGCTACGGATTGTCGTCGAGATACTACATAATTGACAACTCTTTGTGATGCAGTCCGAAAAGGAGACGACGACCTACAGAAAGCTCCTTGGCTACAACAATACGAATATCGGAAGACGCACAGTGATCAGTCAGCTCACAGACTTATATCCATTGGCTTTTCGAGCTTCATACCCCGACAATAAACTAGTGACGATAAGTCCGACAAAGAAGAGGGGAGACTCGCCAAGGCGCCAGACATTACCCATCGGGGACGTCTCTTCGGAAGAGCAGCCCTAGCGTCCGGAGAAGCAACCATCGTGGGTTGTGTTTGGGGGATAGCGAGCGGAGGTGGACGCTAGTGCTTCGAATTTCCTGTTTCGGATCGATTGCTGCAATGAGTGGGCTTCTGCAGCTCGCCGCCACCCAGAGTGCCCTACCGGGCGAACGAACGGCGAGCCCGACATGGTTTGACGCGACTCAATTAACCGCGACGTTTAGTATGACAGGTTGGGCGATGCGGGGTGATGTGCGGGGATCCTTCACAAGGAGGGGATGATTCAAGAAAGATCAGTGGGATTTGAAGTGTCCTCGATATATTTCATCTCCCACCATCAGACTGTGTTCGATTTGAGTTTCTGGTTGTTTCCTGATCAACATCAAGTCGCCGCAGGAACCCCTTCGCCCACGGCAATTCCTTTTCATTTCATCTTCCCTTTTGAACAAGGCCAAAAAAAGAGAAAAGAAAAGAAAGCAAAAATGTCCGCCGACGCACTTTCCTCCCTCTTCGCCCTCTCCAACAGGACCATCGCCATCACCGGCGGCGCCCGCGGCCTCGGCCTCACCCTCGCCACCGCCGCCGTCGAAGCGGGGTCGCACGTCGCCTGCCTCGACGTCCTCGCCGAACCCGCCCCGGAGGAGTGGGAAATCCTGCAAATCCTCGCGCAGGCCGCCGGCGTATCCGCCACCTACCGCCGCTGCGACGTCACGTCCGAGGCCGACGTCGAGGCCGCCTTCGCCGCGATTGCCGGCGAGGCCCAGGCCCGGGGCTCCGAGCTCGCGGGCGCGGTGGCGTGCGCGGGCATCCAGCAAAGACGCTGGCCCTCGACTACCCGGCCGAGGATTTCGAGCGCATGATGCGGGTCAACGCGGCGGGGGTGTTCATCACGGCGAAGCACGCGGCGCGGACCATGATTGCGCGGGGTGTCAAGGGTAGCATCGTCCTCGTGGCGAGTATGAGTGGGCAGATTGCGAACCGTGGGCTGTTTTGCTCGGCGTATAATGCGAGCAAGGCGGCCGTGCAGCAGCTCGGGCGGTCTCTGGCGCAGGAATGGGGCCAGTTTGGTATCAGGGTCAACACTCTGTCTCCCGGCGTAAGCAATCTCTGTCCTCTTTTTTCTTCTTTTTTTTTCTTTTTTTTTTCTTCTAGGTGGTTTAGACGTGCTCTGACATTCTTTGACCTATGCGTAGTACATTAGGACAGCCATGACGGACGACCTGCTCGCTGCGGAGCCCGCGCTCGAGACGTTTTGGATGGCCGGTGCCATGCTCGGCAGGCTTGGCGTACCCGCCGACTTCAAGGCCCCTGTCATTTTCCTGTTGTCTGACGGCAGCAGGTTCATGACGGGCGCTGACCTGAGGGTCGATGGCGGACACTGCGCCGCCGCATAAGCATGGCCCGGCCGGGACGGAAGAACGCAGACAACGGAATCATGAGGGGCTGGTTTTGCCTTGTTGTGTTGGTTGGTTGAGTGTCACGATGGGAGTGTAACGATGCAAGGACCCAAAAAGAATTGCCAACAGAGTGCTGAGAGGGCTTACTTTACGCATTTACACAGCTGATTAGTATGACTATATGGAACTTGATTTTCAAATCAAACACAGATATTACCCTTGCGGCCGGTGGCTTTGTGGAGCAGCCCGTTTTGCCCAAACTCCCGCTTCCAGGCTCTAATGTTCCCTTCCCTCCCCCTTCATTTCATCGTTCTAGAACGAGTTTCTTGTACAACCCGGACGACCAACACAAACACGGCACAAGATTACGAAGCGACGCTCAAGTATTACCAACACCTCCTCCGCCCGAGCCTGACTCACTGATGCGACGGGTCACGGCCTCAATTTCAGTGCGTTGGAGGCGCTGGCGATGGGGCGGGGTGCAAGCGAACAGAAAATGAATTAAGCGAGGCTCAGTTCACGCGCAAAAAAACGTACAACCAGGAGAAAGAGTCCGGGAGAGGGAGAGAGAGAGAGGGAGCTTTTGTGATTTCATGTTTGTGCCTGCCCGCTCCAAAAAAGATCAGTGATCATAATCGATCGATTGAAAAATGGGGGGGATGATCCCGCTCTCCCGCCGACTCCACGGGCTGGGCCCCTTCCGCTTAGCACAGCCGGAAACGGAGGGGGGCTTTTACGTGCCTAAGAGAGGACCCTTAAAACACGGGTCAGGGCCCCCGTCTCTCCCCAGCAATTGGGAGGGGACAAAAGAGCCCTGGAGGTATCGAGACGCTTCGCATTGTCTCGTCTCCCGATCCCCGATCGTAGCAGGTCTTCCGGGTCCATGCGCCACCGCCAAGACTTTTGTCTTGCCGTGCTTGTTGTTGGTAGGACGTTGTTTCCGGGAATACCAATCTCTCGGGTCCCTCCTTTAGTGAGGCCATCTCGGGCTGAAGTGGCAGCAATAACCGTGACAAAAAAGGGGAGGGGTTAGGTTAGGGGCTTTCGAGGCGGAGAGGGGAAAAGGGTAAAATAGCCGGGAGGCGGAACCTGCAGAATAAGAAACACATGGTGTATGTGCCTCGAACCAACAGCACCACGATGCCTACATTGTTCGGTTATTAGCTAGGAAACGAAAAAAGACATGGAAAAGAAAAAAACAATTAAAACCCATGCGTGCGCAAACACAACCACACCGATTTTGTCCATCGTTGTTTTCGTTTTACCCCCGCCGTTGACCGTGTAGGAGTACTAGATCCCACCTTTTGTCTTTCCATGTCGAATCCATCTGGTTGACCCAGCCCTTTTTCACTCCATCATGCGGCTCGACATGGAGGTGGACGACCGCCAGGTCCCCACGAAGCCAGCCCCGGTCCGCGACGGCACCGACCACCAAGCATCATCACCGGCGCCACAACCAGCACCACCACCACAAAACCCGTGCGCCGAGCCGGCCGGGCCTACCCACGCTCCATCTGGGGCCTGTGGATCGCCATCCCCATCCTCGTCGTCTCCTGCATCCTCGAACTCGGCCTCAAGATCACGGCGCCGCGGCTCGGGTCCTTTGATGTCCCGCGCGACGCGAGCGTCCTCGTGCCCGGCGACCGGTTGGTCGCGTCCGCGATGAGGCTGTGGCCGGCCGCGGTGCAAAAGGGCGAGGTCATGGTGCCGACGGTGTTGGCGGCCGTGACGCTGGTGGAAGTTTTGGCGCTGGGCTTCTTCGTGGTTCGCGTGGTACGCCAAAATCCCGTTACTGTAAGTTTTCTCAACGTTCGACTTTCTTCACTCGATTCGAAAGGGGAGGGAAAAAAAACACTCGACAGTAAGAAAGGATAAAAGAAGAGAAACTGACAAAATTCTCGCTCTAGATCCCCCTCACAGGAAGAATCACCATGCTCCTCGCCATGGCCATCATCGACATCTTCGGCATCGCCACCCTCGGCTTCGTCTTCATCGTCAACTACAAATCCGCCCGCTTCGACAACGCCCAGGCCCTCACCCAGGCCGAGGCCGCCCGCCTCGCCAGCGGCAACCCCAACGCCGGCTTCGGCTCCGCCGAGTTCACCTACCAGGGCAGCGGCCCTTTACCACGGAGACGTGGGCCTGCCGCGTCAAGGAGCTGCCGGGCTTCGATGCGAGCTTCGCCGGCGGGCTCTCCAGGGCGTGCGGCATGGAGCAGGCGGCGCGGTATTTGCTGATTGTGATTTCGGTGACGCTGCTCGCCGTGTTTGAGCTTGTATTTCGGGATAAAGTGGACGGAACTGGATTGTTTGCCGCGCCACGTTACAGATGACATTGCTTTTTTGGCGGCCTGTTTGTTTCACCTTTTTTTTTTTTTTTTCGTCTTTGGGAAAGCTGTACTTGTACGAAGGCGTAGGGTGGAGGGACACACGGGTAAACTTAACATAGAACACATTGACCATGGATGATCCATGGTCGTCATCATTCACATAAAGATATGTAGCCATGATCCTTGTATTAGCCTTCTTTTGGCGACAACTTTTTTTGCTGCCCAGATCATCAATTGATATAATTACCTGGAAGTTTTGAACACATAGTTGTGCCGAAAGAAACCGATAAAAAACAAAGAACGCCAGGAAATGGGGTGAACAAGTAATTTCGAACAATCAATTTGAAAGAAAAGGGAATAAATAAATCAAGCACAGGTTTTTTGTTTTTCAAGGTGCTCCGCGTTAGGGCGGTTGTGGTCGGGGCAAGGACTGCATCCTAATCTGCGAGTCTCCCTGGGCGGCGCCTGATGCTAAGTCGCTGGCGTCCGAGTTGCTCCTCACCGGCTCCGCGCTTTTACCCCCTCTGTCCTTCGGAACACGACGTAGTTGGGGCTGATTCTCCTTCCAACGCTCTCCTCAACTCCGACTAGATTTAAAAAGCACGAATTAGCGACTGAAGCAAGGGGAGAATAATAAATGGTAAAGGCACGAGAGACTTACAAAGCGTGGAATACGCCCATCTGGCAAAGACAGGCACCCAGATGACCACGGCGATGATTTGTCCGTAGTCCCAGGCATCCTTGGTCGTAAACGTCATGCCAATGGAGTAGTCGATCGAGATGATGTATCGAAGCAAGAACACGACCATGATGAGGTCGAGCATGGCCCACCGCAAGTGGAGTATGACTGCGACGATGGGGTACTTTTCGGTAACGTTGAACTTGCGGCGGAGACCCTCGAGGAGTCGGCTATGGGCGAGCTCGTCGAGGATGAGGACGGAGATGAAGAGGTGGGAGACGGCGATGCATTGGCGAGCCAGGCGGCGGCCGTAGATGCTGGGAATGCTGGTATCATCTCCAGAGGGCGGGGAGAGGCGCAAAGGGTGCATATTCAGGTTCCCGCCGCACTCGGGTATGGGGTCGACGGCATAGCGGGCGAGGTGGCTCTGGTCGACGATGACGCCGAGGATATAGACGGCGACGGAGAGGCAAAGGTATACCACCAGCGGGTGCCGAGGCGCTGGAGGGAGGACTGGATCATGAGGACGAGGAGGACGTGGGTGGTGGCGAAGAAGGCGGAGGAGCGGGCGCTGATGAACTTGTCGGGGGCCCAGGTGGGGCCGTAGATGATGAGGGTGGCGAGCTGGATGGCGATCATGAAGAAGGACTGGGCTTCTTGGAAGTCGGCGAGGGAGGTGAAGAGGGCGGCGGCGACGCGGGAGCTGCGGATGTAGTCGAGGATGGTGCCGATGGGCCGGCGGGACTGGACCTGGGCGAGGCCGTCGAGGGTTTCTTCCTTGGGTTTTTGGAGAGGGTGGAGATGAGGAAGTCGGGGAGGCGGGTCCAGTAGGTGAGGAGGTTGGCGACGGTGAAGAAGATGATGGCGATGCTGATTTGGATAAAGTACCCGGCGAGGACCTGGGATGGGGGTGTGCACGTTAGCTTTTGTTAGGTTTTATGCGGTGAGTCTCCCCGCTGCCTTGCATTTGGTCGCGTGTCTGGTAAACCTCCCTAAAATAGGTTGGTAGGAACAAGCATAGGGACAAGTAATGAAAAGAAAAAGAAAAGATGCTTACCCCGGGCCCACCGATATCGTCCGCTTCCGAATCTTCCAGCATCTCGCTCCTAGACGTGCACAGCCAGTCAAACTCCTCCAACAAGAGACCCATGGTCTGAAGCCCCTCCCTCGCGGAGATAGACGCCCACGAGCGGTCGAGGAAGGACTCGTCGTAGTATTTCTCGTACTGGCACTCGCCATAATCCCCGGACGCGCACGTGGCCGCGGTGCAACGGGCCATGCTCTCGAGGACGACGGGCCAGTCAAAGTCGACGAGAGGCCCAAAGTGCAGCTCGGCCTGGTAGGGCTTCATGTCGACGTAGCGGGCCTCGAGGGAGCCGTTCTGGACGAGCATGGCCGAGGTGGCGAGGACGGCGCAGTTGTAGAGGCTAAAGGAGGAGAAGAGGTCGGTGGCGTTGCGGCAGGCGAGGGCGCAGTCGCGGGCGACTTGGCGGTCGTAGTTGTCGCCGAGGTTCAGGTCGAGGGGGCAGCCCTTGAAGTCGAGCTTGACCTCGACGAGCTCGGGGATCTCGAGGCCATCTTCGTGGACGGAGGATTCTTGCGGGGCGTAGCCGCCGGCGACGGTGGCGTTGAGCTTGGTGAAGGAGTTGAGGAGGATGCCGGCGATGGCGTAGTCGGTGGAGACGAACTTGTCCCAGGTGAAGTTGAGAAGGGGCACGGCGGCCACCATCTTGGGCGGCGCGGGGGAAGCGGAGAGGGTTACGGGGGTTCGGAGCGAAGGGTGTGTCGAAGAAGAAAGAAAAAAGGAGCGAGGACGCCGTGGATTCCCCGGCTCCACGAGACACCCGGTTCGGCAGACGCGGGCGGAGGTGGTGGTGGAAAGACGACGACGAAAGGGGGCTGAAATAGAGCCCGGGAGGGGGATAAAGGACCCTCGACGCTAGATCAATCCCATGGCAAAAGGGTTCCCCAGACTAGAAACGGTCTGGAGACGTTGTTGGCGAGGATTTGTTCGAGGCTCTGATCGACTCGTGGGGGTTTCTTTCGCCTGCGGACTGTTTTGTTTTGTCTCCCTCGTTGTGGAAGAGGGGGACGAATGAAGTGATGTCGGCGCTCGACTCTGTTTTAGTGGAATGGCCTGGGCTGCCAACTTGTTTCTGGTGACATTGAAGTTTCTTTTGGGTCGAAGACTCGTGCTCGTTCCTTGATTTGTGCTAGCAAGGGGAGTTGGCCAGTCAGCGTTGGGCCGCAGGCCTCCCAAATACTAGTTCCAGCTGTCAACAACTGTGTAAATGTGATGCAGCCGAGCAAACCCGCTGACGAAGCGAACACAGTCCGAGCGCGATCAAGAGGTTTTTCCCCTCCAAAAAGAGATCGAGCTAGGTGGGAAAGGCTTGGCAAAGCGGAGAAGGAGGGCTCGTGGGCGCTGATTATTGGATGGTTGCGACGATTTCTGCGTACTCATCCACTGCGGCTGTGCTCTATTACTTGCGCTGGGGGATTGGAAAAGAACATGGGGGTGGGAGATGAGTGGCGCGGAAGATGATCATACTGCCTCTCTCTCTCTTTTCTTCCTTTTTTGCCGAGTCAAGACACGCAAGGGAAAAGAAAAAAATACAAAGATGGATAAATCTGCTCTTTTCTCAAGCATGCATTGATCTAGAACAAACATGTGGTTCATCGATGGGCCGTTCCCTCCCAGTTCAGTCCGTCACATTGCAGAGTTTCCGCTGCCGGGCAATTGAGGGGCCCTTCGGTAAATTCCGGCCAATGTCCCCATCGCGGAGCTGGCGAGGAGTCGGAATGTTGCATCGACCGTCACCTCTCCTCAAGCCTCAAGAGGACATCAATTGATGGCTTGTGTTTTGGTGTCCTAATATGGGTCAGCATCGAGAGGAGTACAGGAAGAGTGAATTATAAAAAAATCGATATCAATCGTATTGGGTGTCGTGATACTGCGGCCTCGCACTTCTTCATGCTCTCCTTTTCCCTCCTGAACATTCCCAATTTTCACTCGGCAATCATTTCCTACTGGCGTCGTCCTGGGGAATTAAAAATCGACTTTTTGCCCAAAAATCAAGGGAATCCATCAGCCCCAGGACGCCATCCTTCATCAGGCGTTCTTCTCTGCTCTCTTTATTGTTCCTTTGCCCATCACGGGCGGTTCCAGTGCTACTTGATGATTGGCGGTCCGCGCATATGGACAGCGCCAAGGCGGGAAGGATGCTCAAAGACGGGCTTTCCCTCGTTCCATTCGCCCACTGTTTCTCGTGACAAAACTTTTGCTTGGCCCCCTCTGTCTCCCCTCACAAGATTCGAATCGCTATTCAATAATAGAAAGAAGGGTAATTCTCCCAAGTTCATAGGCACTCGAGAGGAGCAGAGGGCTCGAAGGAGAGAAACAAAGGCTCCAACGACTGAGCAGCACCAGCTCGGCCGCCCCCTTAGTCGGCCCATCACTAAGATCAACTCAGCCCGCCCCTGCCGACAAGGTCCCGGTTTCAGAGAGATCCGCCCCGAACATGTCAGACCTGAGGAAGCGAGATGGGGCAGGACACGGAAAAGAAAAGAAAAGAGAAGAGGAAAAAGAAAAAAAGCCCAAACGAGCGGTCTCTCTGAATTCGAGGCGAGAGCCATCAGCTCGAGTAATCATTTCCCCTTCTCCTTGATTTGACCACAGATCCCCCAGCACAGACCAACCCGGAACACTCCCTCCTCTTCCCAGCAACCTTCGCGAATCACCGTGCTCGCCACCACCTCCTCTCCTCCAGCCCTATCCCCTATTTGCGGTCCTGTGCCAGCCGCTTGGATGCTTTGCGGCTGAGCCGCCCAAAACAAAGGCATAAACTACCCCAAGCTTGAAGAAGAACCACCACCCAAGTGTCCCTCGCCGTTGTTGCTTTTGAAATCCCCCCTTACTCCTGTTACTAATCCTCTTCTTCTCTTGCTTCCCTCCGAATAATGCGAGCTAGCAGTGATACCTACCGCTACCTTGTGCTCAGCTCGAACTCGCCTAATCCACGACCTGCGAAGATCCAGACCAACCAGGGGCGGGGGGCAACCGCGCGAAACAAGCTTTCTGCTCCCCGTGAAAGAAAGAGGCCCTAATCCCAAAGAGGTATCAATATGTGTTCAGGAAACCCAGGGTTTCAACTCTTTTTCCCTTGCCGCATTGCCCTCTCCCTATCCTCTGCGTCGAATCGTGGAGCGAGAACGTGAACCCCACCGCCAGGCTGCGCTTGGGCGGACGATAGTCTGGCGGTTCCCCTGAGCGGTAACGTAAATGGCTTGAGCTAAAAGTGGCTGGAGCGAGTGAGAGGAGAGGAGGGAAACCGGGGGAAATTGTCCACCATCGTGAAGGTATAAACTCGCCCATGTGCCCATGGTCGACATGGCGCACTGCCGGCCGGAATGTAATTTGTAGACGTGGATAGAGTCGAGGCCTCCTTCAGCTCAAGTATATCTCTTGTCTCATTCTCCGTTCTCTTTTTCTCATCCTTTCCTTCTTGGCCTCTTTTGTCGTGTTGCGCTCCTAATCGTTTTTAATCTCACCATTGATTTCATCGTCCACTCATTTCTACCTTGCTAGTCACTCGCTTGTGTATAGTTCCCTACTCCCCTTTTCCTCGTCCCTTCTTTCCCTCGCCCATTCCCTACCGTTCCAACCACACCGCCGAAATGCATCCCCAGTCCATCCTCCCATCCCTCGTCGCGCTCGCAGCCACCGCACAAGCCATCAACCCGCTATGGCTGAACATTGGCGATAGGGCATGCGGACAGTGCCTGGACGAGTCATACGCCGCGTGCAACGGTCTCGGCGACGACATGAAGCCGCCCTTTGCCGAGTGCATGTGCGGCGGTGACGGCTCGACCATTTTCGCCAACTGCATTCCCATCTGCGACCAATCTGCCATCGACGCCGCGGGACAGCTCACCGTGACCCTGTTCTCCTACTGCACCTACTTCTTCAAAGAGTACTGCCAAGCCGCCATCGATATCGGTGTCTCGGAGAAAACCCTCTATGATTCGGCGTGCGGTCCCACGGGTGGCTTCTATGGCACTGGCGGGAGCTCGGATGACTCGTCGTCGGGGAGTGGCTCCGGTGATAGCGCCGATGATGACGAGGTGACCTCCGGCTCTGGCTCCGGCTCGGGTGCTGGCTCTGGCTCTGGCTCTGGCTCTGGTTCCAGTTCCGGTTCTAGTTCCGGATCGGGTTCCGGTTCAGGTTCCAGCTCTGGTTCCGGCTCATCTTCAGGCTCCAGTTCATCTTCTGGATCGGGATCTAGCTCCGGGTAAGGCGACCCTATATACGTTTTGTATCCCTATTATTCAAGTAGGCGAAGCTAACCGAAAAACATCGCAGCAGCCAGTCGAGCGGTGCCGAGGCCGAAGAGGACGACGACAAGAAGAGCGGCGCCACTGGGCTCGGTCGAGAATGGGTTGGACCCATGTTTGCCGCGGGAGCCTACGTGTTGGTGAACGTGCTATAGAGAGGGTTGATCCAACTACGTGTACCCTCGAGGCTAAGGCCAATGGGTCAAGAGATGGGGAGGTGGATACGGTCGCCCAGACAAAGCCATATCACCTTTTGGGGCGGTTCAAAGGGATGCATCAAGCATTGAGCATGTACACGATTTTTATTCATTATACCATTTTCCATTGTTGAGAGACCGCATGTACAATTGACCACAAATAAGAATTTGAAAAGAAAACAAAAAATAATGAAAGAAAGGAACAGAAAGAGCCGCGGAGAAACAGAACGTTCTCAGAACCCCACCGTTGGTCCATCAATGAACTGAATGTGGTCGTGAGGATGGGGCGGAAAATATCCAATCCACTAGTCAATATTGTCTTTTTCGTCGAGGCAAGCCATCGACTGATCAAGGACTCAGCTCCTGCGCGTGGTGTGTGCCGTGTTACCTTTGTTCTCAGCCCGATTCCCATATCGTCCACAACCGCACTTCGGCAAAAATGTCACCGGCGCCACCGTAGCTGCCGAAGACCCTTGGAATTTGTCAACTGGTCAAAGCCAACCGGCAGGAAAGGCGTTGTCCACTTCGGATATCTAAGCTACGGATATAAATGCTACATAACCCACATCGCGATAATTTTCCGCCGCCACTATCTCAGCCACCCGTCCATCAGCCGCGAGCGATAGGTATGGCTGACTTCACCAGATGTTGCTCTCAAGACTGGCAGGCTGTACTCACTGATATTGGTCTTCAATTCTCGTCCTGTGCCCTCACCCCATTCCATTAGCCAGATTAAACTCCCTAATAACAAGATTTCCTCAAGAGATTCCAACAAGCCAAGGAAGGTACTCGTAAGCTTGTGTAAGCAAGGAGTAAGAGTGGCCCAATCCGCAACGAACGGGTGTGGAGAGGCAGCAGAGACTGGTGAAAATTCACAATGCAAAGGGGGAAAGCCGGTGAAACAACGGTGGTATAATATCAATGTCAGAGAGGAGACGGGAAAGAAAATGGAGATATATGAGAGGGACCGATCATGTTCTCTCGGGTTCAACGAAGACTGTTCACGGCATTCTCGGTGCTACACTTATCCCAATCCTGTCACTCACGGCCTGTGATGCTAATTCTCCGCTCAAGCGACGGGTTCTTCCGACGCCACCATTTCAGCCACCCGCTACTTGCGCTATCCGCTGGTTGTGGGTGGCAGGGGTGTTTTCACGAGACGCCGTTTTGAAGGCTAGCGCAGCGAACCAAACTTTTACTTGCTCACGATGACCTGAAGTCTTGCATGCTTCTTCCTCGGGCCTATCGCCTCGTTTTTTTCCTTCCTTCCTTTCTTTCCTCTTGACATGAAAACACAGCAAGGGCCCTTAGCAATTGCGTATCTGTCTCATCATAGTATGAATCTACGAGTCTGGGGCCCCGTTCGCTTGGACATCGCGCTGTTGATATTACGCACATTCAATCCCCGGTAATCCGGCATCGGGGGCGTTGCAGCGGACTGACCATGAAGGCACCCTTGCCGCTGGCTCTCCGCACGCTAGGCGATTCGCATCTTAGTCAGGGGCGAAACAAACATCTCACGACAAGTGCACTTCACACACAAATGGGCCATCCAGCGCGGATAGATTCCAGGGACGAATATTCATGGTGGGAAGAGAAGCTGTGGAGCGTTTGCTCCTTCTTCCTCTCCCTTTTCGCGTTCAATCATAAAATCAACAATGGATGATGTAAGGGCGCTCTGATACCTGCTAACGCGGAAAATATCTCCCTAAGTATGGCCTTCTGTTCTTGTAGGAAGCCCTCCTAAGGCTTAAGCTGCGGTGGGCATCGCCTGCTGGCTGGGCTAGTCAACGAGCCCTTCGATGTCGTCTTTTCGTCCGTTTCGACTGTAAATCGCTTAAATAAGAGCTCATGGAGGGCATCGAGGTATTTGGATAGTGTTGTGTTGCGTGTTTCTGCTTCGGCTCGCTGCTGCTGTTCTTCGGCTCGCTGCCTCTGCTCTTCGGCTCGCTGCTTCTCGGCTTTGGCTCGCTGCTGCTGCTCTTCGGCTCGCTGCTTCTCCTCTTCGAGTCGACGCAGCTTCGCTCGCAACTCTTCTATGCTGTCCATTTTGATGAATCGACCCGGCGGGCGCCACAATGCACAATTAGTAGCGTTGAGCCACGGACGGGGTATTGTTTCGAGCTCCGCCCCTGTGGCTGATCAATCAGCTGTCGCGTCGGACGGTCGGCTATAGCATGTGACGTACCTCACACGAAGGCCGCCGTTAGGATTGGAATGAATTCGAATGGCGGACAACGTCCGTGATCGACTTAGATAGCCCCAGGGATATTAAGCCATGTATCCTTAGGTAGTCTGGAGTTTATTGTCGGAGTAGGGGTGGTGGCTCTAATATTGATGTTCTCAACTCGCGCTGGGCTGCGACGCGTCGACTACCCTATGCCAGAGCGCCCCACAAGCTATATGCCCTAAAGCTAAGCTCAATATATGGAAATCGCCCCGCAGTAGACGCCCGCACAATAATAAGGAGATAGCTTGGAGCGCTAGAGAGCTTAAATTGAACCGCTCTGTGAGCATCTTATGCCCCCTAGCGATTCCCGCCGACGCAGTAATCCACAAACGTGTATATTGGTATATACTCCTATCAGTATCCCGTTTCCTTCTCGAATCATGGACCAATGATGATAACATTTAAACCGCTGTTAATGCGCATATTTGTTAGTAGTGTGGTGCTAGGCGGGAAAGGAAAGGAGATAAATATCTCTCTCATCGAGCGGGGTCTTTTCTGCAGGATGGATGGGTGGAGGATGCTGTGTTAAACTCTTGGCAGATAATATTTCGAGATGATGGTGAGCTACCAGGGCCTTGGGAGAGGTGCTGGCTGTAAGCACTGTAGAGGGGAGTTCCTGGAACCTCCCTCTTAGAAGCTTAGGGTCCCTGTGAGAACTCCCCTGAAATTAGTCCTATGACCAACGTCTTGGGTATCGGAGCACCCTATTTTGTCAGCTTCAGCTATGATCCCTATACCTGCTTGCACTCTAGCTAGATATCTTCTTATTACTATCCCTTCACGCCTGACTAGCTTAAATAAGAGAATTCACTAATGCCTTGACTAGTTCTGGGACTCCTTGCCTATCTTGCTCTCGCTTTGCCTCAATGTGCTCCCGTATTCGGCCTGCTTGGCTGCGATCTTGTATAGATCTGAAGGTAGCCTCGCTTAATACTATCTATCGCTATATGAATCTGCCTCTTTCTCCTGTCGCCTTAGTCCTCTTGAGAGGTAGAGATGCGTGGCGGAAGGGGTTGATAGCTATTTTTCCTTTTGCTCTTGGTCATCGATGTCTTTCTAGACCCTCACTCTTGTTGTCATTGCACTGAAGCTTATCAATATATAGATCGCCTTCAAATATATGTAGGGCTCCCCTGGTAGAGATTTAATTTTCAAAATGAATTCTGGAGTGCTCTTTCACAACACGCTTCTGGACCAATACCGATCCTATCAGTCGCCTCCACACTCGTCCGATTGTCGACATCCATATCAACCAGCACCGTTGTTGCCCTTATCAGTATCCAACTCCGCCAACAAACTGCTGAGGCCAGCGCTCCTCCTTCTCTGCCCTGTGATGGCGAAGGTCCGCGCGCCTGGTATAGCGACTATGCCGGCCCTCCCACCCCAGGAGTCTATTACGCTCCTCCTCCCCGGCAGTGAATAATATTCTCAATCTGCATCCGATCATGTGAGGCTAACCAGGACCCAGCGAAAGCAATGGGAAGGAATAAATACCCTTCTATAGCATCCCATCAATTAAACATAGCGTTTGAGACTCAAAACCAGATCTTACATAAATCTTCCTTTACTCTTCCAGGGATGGTATGTGGCATTAACGTCATACCGCCTCAATACATCAGCCTCTGTTACGTTGTAAAACGTCTATTCTTTCTAGGCTTATTGTTGGCTCGAGTATATTCCCTACTGAAATATCGCTTGGATGTGATCCACATTTTTGGTGGCTCCTCAAAAACACTTCGATTTTTATTCCCACAGGCCTTCTATCATCTTAATTAGATCATCACTCTGGTTGCGTTCCTCCGCTGACTCATCAGAATCATAGGAATCGTAGGGATCATTGATCCTAAACTTCCCACCACAGCCTGGCTCATCTGAATCGGAAAACAAATGTCGTCAGGTTCTGGTGGATAAGTTGAAGCATTGTTCGCTTCTTGCTCTATGGTCAGCTTAGAGTATCTCCTCGGCACCGCAGGCCACCTACCTCGCCTACTTAGATCTGACCGAATATTTTCCCGCACGTCTGATTCCTGGTGGAGCGGGCTTCTACTATGAGTGATTGAATAGGATGGGATGCGGTGTAGGAATAATAGCTCGTGAGTCGAGTAGGGGTTCTCGATATTCAATTTCTCCATCAGCAACCTCATGTCTAGAACGCAAGTATGGCTTAGTAACTGGGTCGTATCAATCTCATGGATATAGGCAGGAGGATTTCTTCTCTCGCGTTGAATGGCCCAGTTGAGTGCATGATCCTCATCACTGAAAACTGATAAGAAGCAACTTCTTTGAGGACTCTGCCAGCTAATATGGTGTTCAACTGCCTCCTTTAATTCGACCTCATCGTTGAATTCGCGTAAATCGTCTGCTGCAACGAGATGTCCATGATATTTATCCCAATAAGACTGGGAATTGCCGTGCGTCACTCTCCAAACCCTTTTGGAAGGTCGACGCACGTGTACTCATCGAGCTTAAAGGGTTTTGCCATATTCACGTTTTGAGCGATTCGAGGCGGGAATAAAGATCTTGAGCTAGGCAGCATTTATTTAGTTTACTGTCCAGATTCTACACGTGATCGAATCACAACTCTAACCACGAAGAGTTCAATTGTCTCACCGCTCAAAATCTGAACCAACCCTTTCACCCTCCTTTTTCTTCTTTTTGTTATGGTCTAGACCGACCTGTTTTTCTTTTTCCTTTAGCCCCTCCTTGTTTCAAAACCCAATTTTTGGTTTTTTTCTTTTAAGAGGGGGCGCGCTGGGAACTTAGGAGACCGGAAACTAGTATTCTCTAAGGAGCCAACGGGGTGTTCGCGATGCAGCGAAGGCGCTCTCACATGACTCATGGTGTAGGCGCATGTTCAGCAGATAAAATTAGTGGTTTCGGGTGGTGCGAATATCAGAAATCTCCGCGATGACATCAGCGCGTGACAAACTGATGATGAAATGTATGAGCCCAGTGCCAAGATGCGAGATGATACAATCTTAGCACCGGCCTGGGCATCCTAGCCTTTAGACTCGATGTGATTGTAAGATTAGGACGTCGGACTTTCAAGCTAAGTTCCTAATAGAACAAAGGTATCCTCAAAACTGGGAATGGAGCCGCTGTAAATCCTCTAAGCTTCTTTTCAGACCATCCACCAAGCGCTTTAGCTCCGTCCGCCGAAGAACCTGTTGTTCCTGTTCTGATCCAATTCGCACGAGAATGTCATCTGGGTATCGAGAAACTACTTGCGGGCAGAAAGCATTCGGTAAGGGAAACATTATATGACGTTCGATTACCTGTCGCGTCACGTTATCGACAAAGGTTTTCATTGCGACCTGCCTTTTGTTAAGCCTTGACTGTAATCGTATAATTGTTTGGGCAACATACTTTATAATAAGCATTGAGCTCGTTCAGGGCCTCCGAGCACGCTTGTTTGTCCATGTCAACAGTCATTCTCGTCTCGAGAGCAGATGCAAATCGATCAATATCCAGTCTGTTGTTGCTGATATGAAGCTTCCCGTTCCAGTCTTCCTGTGTGACTAGGTTGAGTGCTTGCCTGAGTGCTCGCTTCTGAGCATCCTGTCTGGATTTTTGAATATTGTCAGTGTAGTAGTGGTTGTACGTCAATGGGTGCCTCTGTTCGTCTGCAACGAGCTTATTTAGTTCCTCCAGCGCCTGCGACTCAGCGCCAGACAACCACTGATCAAAAATGTCCTCGACCTCTCCGCGCAGACCCTCATCTCGGATGAGCCTGCTACCGGCTGACCTAACCCATTGCCTGGCCATCACCACAGTGTTTTGAACGTGTTCTTTTGCCATTGTGACCCACGGCTGGGATTGCTCGCGGTAAAGCTCTGCGAGGAGGACCGGGTTATAATTGCCTGGCAATTCTGTTCCCCTAGTGCGCTCATACACCTACCCAGAGTTAGCGCCTAGAGGCGAGCAGGACTTCGGATTGACATACCTGCTCCACCCATGCCGTCATCTCCGATTTGCTTACAAGCAGCTGGTCCGTTGTTCCATCCATTGGCTCCGAATCATCTGCATCGACGGCATCTGAGATTTTTCTCTTCTGCCCTTGCTCCCGTATCTGGGAAGCAAACTTGGTATTGCTCTTTTGAACATGCGCCCGGAGTCTTGAAATATCGTCGCCGGAGAAGAACTCTGGGTCAAGGCTATGATAGTTACCTTCAAGTGCTGCCTTGGCTAACTCGTAGAAGCGCATGCTTACGCTCGTCAGGAATGCTCGTATGTCTCCAATAGTCGGACGTGCCTGGCCCATTGAGCCCAATTCCTCTCCGTTTCAACCAACTTTCCCTTGATTTCTTCGCGTACTTTCGGAAGTTCCCTTTCAATGTGCGAGTCAAGAAGAGCCTGCAAAAAGCGCCGGAGATTCTCTGCCCCGACTCGGTTCATGTCCAGCTTTTGGTTCGCCCAAGCAGGTGCCGAGAAGAAGCGTAGTTCGCGTTTATATCGACTGTCCATATCCAACCCTCCCTCAGTTCTTTGGGACTCGGATTTTTAAGCAGGAAGAAACCAAGCTTCAGCTTGATTGTATCCAAGTTCCTCGCGACAAGTGCAATTCTAGACTCTGTTCCCTCATTGATGAGATCGGGCTTCGTAATAATCCCGACGGTTCGTTGGCCCTCGGGATCGTGCCTCCGCGCCAGTTTGATGATTCCTTGGTTTGCCATGTCGTTGCTGGCCTGCAGAACCGCAAGGATAATGGTCCTAGAGCTCTGTATATAGTCCCCGACCATATCGCACACGGTCTGGAGGTCCTCATCGGTTTGCTCTTCATTTGGAACAGAGATGAGGCCTGGCAAATCTACCACGCTGAGATGCATGCCAATAGGTCCCGATATCTCTATGTGGAGTGCGTCCGATGCGAAGGCGGTATTATCCGCAAATTCTGAGTACCCCCGAATGCCCATGAGTTTGGCCGCCTCGTCGATGATCGAAGGAAGTTCCGTCATATGTTGAATAGATTTTTGGAATCCCCTAAGCGTCTTCTGAACTTCTTGTGTACGAGATCCGTGCGGCCGAATTGTAGCCGTAATGGTCTGGGGAGTGTTGGAGTGGCGGAGGACGATTTCGGTAGGAAATCTCGTGCAAAGACCCTCTTGACGAGGAAATGGCATGCCGGTTATGCCCTCGAGGACGGAGCTCTTCCCCGCAGACTGATCTCCACAAACGACCAGTTGAGGCAAGGACACCAATTCTCCCACCCCATTCGCTCTGATCTTCTCGATTTGGTTCAAAAGGTGGCTCGATCTCTCAGAGCGAAGATGGGCAAAGCCCGCATCTGGGGCTACTGGTAGGCACTCGGATTCAGTCATGGCTTGATGGCGAGAATGCAGGGGGTACGATTGCGGAAGCCAACGATACCAACTATCTAAGCGCGAACATATCGCTTTAATACTTCTCGAGCAGCACGCAACCACGGCGAGCGGACTCTGTCTCGGCTTGTCTTGGGGCAATGTAAGCCGGACCTGCGCAGGTTTCGGATGTATATAATCAAGGGATGCAGACGACAACTACAAGCTTCGGTGGTCATACCGCCTATTAGGTGGGGAGGGTCGGCCTTTGTTTATTTTTAACTTTTTGTACTTGTTTTCTATTATATCATGGAATAAAGGACTTCGGAATTGTCATCAACGCCGCGCAGGGGTTGGAATCAAGGGACGAGAGGGAAGATGAGGAGCGAGGGTTTAAGAATACGAAGGTCTGCTTCTAGCGATGTCTCAAAATCTCACCCGAGCTAAGATGGGGGAGCCAGATTGACTGAATGTACTACACTAGTGTCTACGTCACGATCACCAGCCTCGTCGCTCCCTCCACAATGGCACCCTGCAAAATTTTCGAGAGCTAAATTGTAGTACTCAAAAGCCGGGCGTTCCTTGGTAGAGTGTAGTAACCGTGAAGTCTAGGGCGGGTAGCGACCGACAAAGCCGGGACATGGCCTTCGTCCCAGAATCCGTGACCCCCGGTATTTGGCCTAACAAGACATGGATAACGGATGAGTTTCCAGATGTGCAGTCGAGGGTGGGAAGCAACTGATGACATTGTGGTATGGCTTCGTCCCCGTCAATAGAAGCCGAATTGCATGGGCATATATGGATTCACTAATCACCGACTTCCTTCCGACTACTCCAAGTTCCTTATTATATCCCTTATTTCCTTCAGGACTATCCCTTCCCCGCCGGAGTGGAGACCCTTTAGGTCACCACTACCACCTCGAGTGCATCCTTTTATGTTTTCTCTAGGGTTAGTTTCTAGAGATATTCACACATCATCGATGGGTCAGTTCCACGTCCACCGCTATCTATAACACTAGCACCTGCCCGGTATTATCAAGGTTTCACTTTAAATCTTGTTGAATATATAAAATCTATAAAGGCAGAGCTTCAATTTTCACCTTTATCTATGTAAATTACCCTCTCCGCACTGAACTCATATCCACCATTATCCTTAATTCCACTAATTGAAATGTCCATGCCTAGAAGGACATAACCACGTTGATTGCTAATTACAGTTAGGCCGCCTTTCTTAACTTCTATCGAAAAGTGGGTATGTCCGTAGATCCAATATTTAACTTGACTCCAGTCTCCCGAGGCCAAGAGATCAGTAGCAATGCTCTAGTCAAAGGACTACCCCTTTGTATTGAACAGAGCGAAATATGGGGGAAAATGCTGTTCGTATTCGCTGCTTGGATCCCCTCCTTGGGATCCGTTTCTATGGGAAATATCTACAGTATATATAGATCAGAACGGGTTCCGTTCTAGGGTCCATTTGGATATCTGTATATCCGATATCCAGATCTGCCGGATAGCCCATATTGGCGTCAAACGCTATTATGGTTCCGTATCCTTGCCAACAGCAGACCCCGGGACGAAGATACTACATCCCATCTTCGGTGTGTACTTCCCCATGTCAAGCTCAAGGAATCTCTCAGATAGCGCTAGACACACCCAAGCTGTAGGATGTATGACGTAATGCGGTCCATTTAATCACGTAACAGGACTGCGTCAGCTCCTGGCCTTGTGCGATCCTGGGCGGCTATCCCTCATCTTAAAAAAGTTAACCTGTCCATCTTCAGTCTTAAAAATGGCCTTTCACCCAAGGACCCCTAAGTGTGAATCTGCCTCCAAGTCTGGTGGCGGACCCGAGTTCCGTATTTTGGGGGTTCTGTGTTGAGCTTCTGCTATCTAGTAGCACGTTGCCAAACAATGGGTAAGCGGGGGAATGAATAAACCTCCATGTTCCACTTCGCCCTGCTTGACACATCTATAAGAATATATATTAGTTAGGGGCAGTGAGGATACCTGTGGGCGGAGCGGGATGGAACAAAGAGGGTGGCCGAGGCCCGGCGCGTCATTGACTCGCAATAATTCTGCCTCGGGCGCGCTGGCGTCTTGTTCAACTTAACATGCACTTTCCCCTATTGTAATCTTCCTTGCCTCTAGGAGAGGTGCTGCTGTGGCCACCGGTTAAAGCACTCATGGCGCGCTGTGCCTTCCATCTACGAAGTCTCCTTTCTCAATCATACGGCTGGTACATGGCGAATCACATCAAGCTCACTCTGCAGTAGCCATGGGCGTCCACAAGCCCTAGCGAAGGGAGCCTCGTGCGAAGCGCAGCCTGTCTGCCACTCACTGCATCCATTCGCTTTTCTCTCCCTAAGCCTGTATGAACCGATATGAGTGGGGAGGGTCACTCTTTCTCAGTCAATGCCTTCGCAGGTTAGAGTTGAGGCCTCCGCGTGCCCACTTGTATCTCTAGCGGTTGGCGGAGTGCCTTTGCCCTCCTTGAGGTCACTATATGACCTTGCACTGCCTGATCCTCTGCTCGCTATGATAAGGCCTCACACTGACTCATACTGCCTCTTCCTCGTAGTCAACTACACGTCATCTCTCTCCAAGCCCAGAGTGACCATGCTGCCCACCCTCGAGGGTTGCGATAGGGCGCGACAGGGCGTCAATCTACCTTACGGTCTCGTATAGAGGAAGGGTACGTCAGCGGCCAAGAGAGCAGGCCAGCCAAAGTAGATCTAAGGTCAGAATATCGGAAAGTTTTAGTCAGGGGTAGTCTAGATAGAGCTAGGATAACGAAGTCACTAGCAGTAGTGTGGCCAGTTGATATAAGACACTAATATAGCCCTGAGTTAGATATAATAAGTGATTATATATAAAGACTAGCTAGGCCTTCTTACGCACCCCTTCTCACTTAACTATTTATCCACCTCCTTAACCTGAGTAGAATATATATTTCGCCGATTAACCCTTAGTTTGACCCTATAACCCCTCTATAATATCTTGCGAGTTTACAAACTAGTTTCACCTTATAGCCCTATTCTCAACTATCCTCTCTTTCGCTATCGCCACCCTCAACTCAGCTAACGCGCGCTTCGCTGTTATTTTACGAGACCGAGCGAGAGCCGACAATATCAATACTATCGACAGCATCTTGCATAGTGAGTTTCAATCGCTCTAAAACAGAGTTCTCACTAATACAGTAATTACAGCTATCTTCACCACTGCATTCGCCATTTTTGGAGCTGTGACGACTATATTCCACCTAAAGCGAAAGAGCAATGACATCTTATCATACCAGGTAGTTCAGACCATCTTAGCTATGTTCCTAATTATAATGGGGGCTATCTCGCCGACCAAGTCCACAGCTTCTAGACCTCCTTTAAAAAGTTCGCCGGCGACGCCCGCATCCCTTACTACGACATGATATACTATAGAAGTGTCATCCAGGCGGGCTATAGATATATCTTAATCTTCCTCCAACTTGCAGTCGTTACAGTCAATCATTACAAGCAGAAGAATAAGCTGGTTGAGGTAGCTGCAGGGGGTCCCTAGAGACATATAACAGAAATGAGTCAACAGAGCTACCTAGCGCAGTTTAACGGGAGGCAGCGTGGGAGATTTCTACAGTACTCATAGTTGCCAGATCCGAGATCCGTCAGGGGCTCTATTCTAGGTTCGGATATGACAGGTAACGTTAGCTAACCCTAATCTTACCCTTAATATACTGAAACCATAGTCGACTGAAATTTCTCCAAACCTAACCCCGATCCGGTCCAATCCGCCCACATAGTCTTCTAGAATAAGGGGTGGTATGATGGGCAGGATTTCGGGGTGAAGGGTATCCGTTAATTATGGATGTACAGCATGCGGCACGCGGAGAAGCTTCCGGGAAAAGGGTGAAGAAGGTTAGCGATACCGCAGCGAACCCGGTCTACAAAGAAAACCCCAGGGCCTTGAGAGAATTAGCTCAAATTGCGTTCAACATCGGATTTGAGTCAAAGAAAATCAAGAACATACTGGAAAAGTCTGTAGACAGCATCGTTGCCCAGAATGCGCTACTTGAGGCGCGGCCTATGGGGAGTTTTTCTTATGACAGTTCTGAATTTGATCTTCTCAAGGATAGGATTGTTCGCTGCTTTCAAGCCGCAAAGAGGATCGAAACTGCAGTAAATTCCACAGGGATTGTTTAACAAGTCAGATGGATTACATGCGACCACCGACTGCTCCCTGAGCCCGCGCCGCACCTGTGCCACAAGCTTCTGAATGTGACCCCGGTTGTCCGTCCACGCAGCCCAGTTCTCCACCACTCAACGAGCCCTATCTCTGAGAGACAGCTCGCCGAATGCCTGAAGAGGCCCTCGATGTTCTCGGCGAAAATCGAGACATCCTTATGGGAAGGGAGCGCAAACAAGGGAAACTGGGAAATAGCCCGCTTTCCACGCTACCCCTTCTTAAATAGGCATAGGTTTAACCCCCTGCCGCGTCTGAACAACTGGCTGCCCCTAGCAGCAAGGAAGAATGAGACCCCAGCGGGGAGAGACCTGGCAATGAGTCACTTGACGTCTCGCACGGTGACTCGGGGCCTTTCCTGCGTACTGTACTTGCGGTTCGGGTCTTCTGCCAAAGGACCAGGATGATACAGGAAATCCTGAAACGTAATAACTAGTAAAAAGAAAAGATTGACTGATTACAAGAACGGGAAAACGGCTCCCGTTCCCCTGGCAAACTAGCGCGGATTTTTCCGGGCGTTTTGGTCCTCGACTCCGTCCCCTCCGCAACTCGTCGGATTTTAGCATCGCTTGCGCCAAACCTAGGAATGGGCCTTGGATTGTCGAGTTCGAGTGTTCCACCGATAGTTCGAATAAGCCATGCTGATTGCAGTGCTGATGCTTCAATTTGACTTGACTGCGATGAATTAGGTACCAAAGAGGCGTCCAAAAATACCTGGTGGTGGTGGTATGGGCGTTTTGACGGCCTTATATGTAATAGGCTTCGTGCGGAGTGCTCCGCACCTCAAGCTCCGCACCTCGGGCAGTCACAATGCCACACCACCCCATTTTCATCGGGTGGGTAAAGAAATTATTTTGTCCGGATTTGATAGCGAGAGGGTTGAATGATGTCCGGCAGGCAATCGAGTATAAATCACCTTCTTTGCTAGAAATCAAAGCTTGCAAATGTTCATTCTTCAACTTGTGCTGAAGGACAAGCTTGCCTCCTAGTGAGAAAAGAGAAAGCATACAGTCCGCTGATGATTGGCGTGCCAGGAGAAGATGTGATGAACCAATGCAAATCATAGATCGGTCAGACTTTTGGCTTTTCACATTACTTTCCCAAATGACCTGGCCGTCTAAATCGGTGACGAATAAGGAATTCGCTGTCAAGACGCCTATCTTCTTGTCTCGGGCGGCAACATCGAGGATTGGTGAACTGGACTCCGCTAACCATGAATTGGCGCATAGGTCTATAGGCAAATTTCTAAGTCTGAAGCGGTTCTTCCCTGGAATGGCGAATATTGACATATCTGCAAAACTCGCAAGAAAATACGTCCGGCCTGTGAGTGGCTCAGTGAGGCAATCAAATGGCATAATAATATCGTTATCCGTATTGCGTATTCAAGTGTAGGAGTCAAGTGTACTTGAATTGACTACTAAGTGTGATATAGAACTTCCCTCTCTCTAAGGTCCACTTGCTTCCTTATAGCTCACCGAGATCCTAGTAATCCGTCGCGCCGATCACCGCGACCTAGTAATCCCAGTGATCCGCCTGCAGGTGGCTTCTATCCGGGTTTACCCTTTTCTGCCGGTGCGTCCTTTCACCGCCTTCACTAGGCCTTTCGTTCCCCAGCAATTCGTTTGCGGAAATAATCCCTATTGCCCTAAGATTTGTATGGGGCTTGGCGTTCGTTCTGCTAGGACAAAGCGGAACTGGCAGTTAGGAGTTTCCAGGACTCTTTTCGTCTTTATCTCCATCTTCAGGCTCCTTAAAACCAGTAACAGCTGCTGCTGCAGCAGCAGCGACAACACCAGCGATCTGCACTCCGCCGTTCACAATCCCCGCGCCATATCCAGCCATGCCTGCACTTTGAAAAATGGCAAAGACCCCCGCAGCGACGTTTCCTATCGTTGCCTGAATTCCTGCTGCAATAGAGCCTGAAGAAACGCCGAGATCTATGTTAGGTACGCAATATTGCATCAAGAGAGTCCATAGAGAGCACTCACCTCCTATGATACCTTGGGCTCCAAAACCAGCAACTGCGAGAACCGGGGCGACGACAACACCAGGGATGATCACAGCAGTGGCACCAGCTGCGGCAAACGCAGATCTAACCGGATTGCCTGAGACCCATTGGGTAGAATTCTGGAGCCAGCTCATTTCTTTCCAACCTGATATCATGAAAAGATATCTTGCTTAATTTGTATGAAATGGCGGTTAAAACCTTAATTGTGATGTGCTGTACGCTGGCTGCTCAATGTGGGACTGATTGAGTGTGCGACGGGTTGGCTCCTAAAGAAGTATTTAGATATAAAGATAACCTGGGTGACTCAGCGAAGAATTAAAGTAGCTCAATGGCTAAATTCCCACTAATTAGTCATGTGGTGAAGAGTATATGGTACGAACTTTCCAGAGCAGTGCGGCGATGGGTAGGAATCTATGTTGAAGGTGGGGGATATCTAATGTCGGTCCGAAGGATCGAAAAACGAAGAACTCTACCCGAAGATTGCGGGATATCGACTCGGATAGTTCCATATCCCTGACAGCTCCTCATCTCCGTTCGCGAACTGGACGTGCACGTGACCGGCAGGACTCGGTGCAATTGGCAGTTTATGAGAAAATAAACCTGGTCTAACCTAACCCACTTCCATCAGCCGTAGGGTTTCCTTCTGAAACTTTATCTGAATTTTGAAGGAGCACTAGCACCTTGCCCCACTCGACAGAATGCGGAGACGCTTTGGAGCGCGCGAATCATCATCTGTCACTGTCCCGCCCCCGCCGCGGAAAACTTTCCCTTCTAGGATTAAGCTCCTATATGATACCTTTATTAAATCCTTATAGCGCCATAAAGCGAGCGTAGGATGAACAGGAATCCCTTGAGAGTCATGCTATTGTCCTTAATGTCATGAGCGGCCTAGAAGAAGGCCTGAAGGGCAGTGAAACCGGGCAGTAAAAAGGCAAATCCTCAGGTAGCGACCAAACCATAAGGAAAGGACTATATAAAGAGTGAACACAGTCCCAGAAGGACTATACCTTAGGCATCTACAGTCCACTTAAAGACCACACCTATAGTCACTATAGTCCTAAAGGAAACTAGGTCTATATAGGGAAGTAAGTAGACCTTAGAGGAAAGGAAGTTCTATATCCTTTTTAGTAGTTAATTTAAGTATACTTAACCCCTATATTTAAATATATATTATAGATAATAGTATTATTATACTATTTAATTACTTTACTAAGCTACTAATAGGCCTTAACTATTCTAACCCTAATATAACCTAACCTTAAGTAATATAACCTAATATTAGAATATTATATATTAACTACTTTTATTTAATAAGTAACCTTTTAAATAGTACTAACTATAGTAAGAGATAGATTATCCTCTACTTAAATACCTTTAGTAATATAATATTTTAATACTAGGATATAGGGCTTAGGGTTAGGTTATATTAAGATTAGAATAGTTAGGCCTATTAGTAGTTTAGTAAGGTAATTAAATAATATAATAATATTATTATCTATAATATATATTTAAGTATAAAAGTTAAGTATATTTAAATTAACTATTAGAAAAGATATAGAACTTCCTTTCTTCTAAGGTCTACTTATTTCCTTATATAGACTTTATATATTCTAAGACTAATAGTTCCTTACTATTAGTCTAAAGTAGACTAATATTCTACTCCTATTATTCTAAAGTAGACTAATACTATTCTATTATTATTCCTTATTAATATTATAAATAGCTTAGTATAATATTCTAATACTAAGATATAGGGCTTAAGGTTAAGTTATATTAGGGTTAGAATAGTTAGGCCTATTAATAGCTTAGTAAGGTAATTAAATAATATAATAATATTATTATCTATAATATATATTTAAATATAAAAGTTAAGTATACTTAAATTAACTATTAAAGAGGATCTAAAACTTCTTTTCCTTTAAAGTTTACTTACTTTTTATATAAACTTTATATATTCTAAGACTAATAGTTCTTTACTATTAGTTTAGAGTAGACTAATATTTTACTTTTATTATTCTAAAATAGACTAATACTATTCTATTATTATTCTTTATTAAGACTAATACCTTATTCTAGTTAATCTTTATAGGCCTTCTAGGCTAACTACTATATTCCTCTAAATATTATCTTTTTCTACTAATCTAGACTACTTTCTAGCCTATTTCTTAAGCTACTTATAATATAATATCTCCCCTCCTTTAGTCTTTATCTTTAAAGACTTTTTATATTCTAAGTTCTATTTTACTATTTTTATCTTATTAGTTAGTTTTAACTTCCTTTCTTTTTCCTTTTACTATACTAATATTATAATAAACTATATTTCTAAATATCACTTTTATCTTTTAACTAATATTTATAAAGTTTATAAGGTTAAAGCTTTAGTTTAATAAATTATTTCTAAAGGTTTAGTTTATAAGAATATATTATACTCTTATTATTACTAGGGAAGACTATATATTACTTCTCTTTAAGCTCCTCTTATTATTAAGAGTATATTTATCTTAAAAAAATATAATAGTAGTTTAATAACTTCCTCTTATATATCTTCTACTATTTTCCTTCTTCTTCTTTTTCTAATATATCTTATCTTAGTTACTTATTCCTTTACTACTATTTATAAAGTAGAAGATAACTTTCTAAAGTAAAAGGAGATCTTATAGAAGTTTTAATTTAGGTTAACTATCTTTATTATTAGTAAGCTTCTCTAAAAGAGAAGAATATAGTATTATTTAAATATAACCTCTAAGGTCTTTATAAAAATAATAAAGTAGAGGTTATAACCCTAATAATTTAATAAGCTATTAAAAATATATAATCTTTTAGTATTTCTAAGGTTATTAATTAAGATATAATAGGTTTTAACTTTAATATACTTAGAGATCTAGGGTTTTTATAAATATTCTTAATAAAATTAAACTAGAAAGTTCTAACTCTTTTAAAATATTAAATAAATTCTTATATATTTTTACTATATTTAAAATTTTTTTATTTTACTAAATATTTAATTTTTCTATTATTATTATAGCTAAAGTTAAGGATTTTTCTACTTTTATTTATCCTCTATTAGTTTAATTATAATTAACTTTTCTATAAGTATATTATTATATATTAGTTCTAATAATAATATATAAAAGATAAGGTATATAAGTTTTATTATAATTAGTAACTCTAGTTTATAATTAACTTCTAAATTTTTTATTTAATAATAAATAGTTTTAGTTTTTTATAATTAAGTTTATTATTTAATCTTTTTATAATAATTTAGAGATCTCTTTTCTTATTTTCTTTTAAAATAAGTAAACCTTACTCCTTTCTTAATAGATTAGTCTTTTAATCTTCTTTTAATTAATATAATTTATTATTTTTTCTTATATAAATTTAAGTTCTATTATAAGTTATTAATATAATTTTTTTATTTATTTTACTATTATAATTACTTATTTAGCTATTAATTATTATCTTTATAATTTAAACTTTAGTTTTAGTTTAATTTTATAGTTTATATAAAATAATAATATCTTTATATTTTTATATTTACTAATATTATATATATATTATATTAATAATAGGTATTTTACTTAGTTATCTTAGTTTTAGTTAATATAATATTATAGATAGGTTTTTATAATTTAGTTAACTTATTTTATTATTTTTTATATTTTAAAGTAGTATATTATAAATAATTTATAATATATCTTTAGTAAGTCTATAAGATTTTATTAAAACTTAAAGATAAATATATTTCCTCTATTTATATTAATTTCTTTTAATAGATTATAGTTAGCTAATATTATTTATAAAAATAAGTTAATAAACTTTAATATATTTATTATTTCTTTATAAAATATAAAATATATATATCTTATTAGTTTATCTATAACTATTATAATATTATTATATTTTTAGTTTATAATAAGGTTTTTTAATTTAAGTAATTTAACTATAAAGTTTATAATTATATTTTATTATAGTATTTTAAGTATTAATATAAGTTATAAAAGTCTATATAGTTTATATTTATTTATTTTATTTTTAATATATAAATTTTATCTAGTAACTTCCTCTTATATTAGTTTCTTAAGGTTTTTAATTATATAGTTATTTAGTATTTTATTTATTATTTTAGTAATACCTAGATATCCTCCTCTTAGAGACTTATATACTATTTATATAAGGTTTCTTATAAGGTATTCTAATATAGGTTATCTTTAATAGTTATAGTTATCTATAATATTTCCTCTTCTATAGTAATCTTCTATAGTTTATATAGTAGAATAGCTATATTATAGCTAGTAATTTACTATAAGCTATTATAAGCTTTTATTAATATATTTATAAAATACTATTTTTATCTTATTAGATATTTTCTTAAAATAGTTAAATCTTTAGTTAAGTATATTTACTTTTCTATTTTCTATTCTTTTAATATATATAATTTTAAAATTATACTTTAATAATATTTTAGTTTATTTTATTTATTATTTATTAAATTCCTTTATTATTATAAAGCTAATAAGGTTTTTATAGTTTAAGAATATACTAATTAAATACTTTACTTTAATAAAATAGTATTTCTATTTTTTAAAAACTTCTATAATAGCTATTAACTTTTATTAAAGATCTTATATTATACTATAAGTTTATTAAGTTTCTTTAATATAAAGGTTATAGGTCTTAATTATCTTTTAAGGTCTTATTATCTAAGTTAGGCTCTAATTATATAGTTAAATATATCTATTTTAACTTTAAATAGTTTATTAAAGTCTATATTATAAAATATTAATTATTTATAGATTTTTTTTTTTAAAATATTTCCTACTATTTTTTTCCCTAAATAAACTAGTTTTTATTTTTATAAAGTCTATTAAAGGTTTTACCTTTTACTATAATCTTATAAGAATTATTAGTAGAAGTTAGTAAAGTTTAAAAACCTTTTATTTCTATTATTATTTATAATATAAGCTAATCTAAGATTATTTATATTTTAGATTTTTATATTTATATCTTACTTAGTTTAATAATATAACTAAAGAAATCTACCTCTTATTTATAAAAGAAACTTTTCTTAGGTTCTATTAATAATTTAACCTTTATAGTTTTTATAATACCTTTTAATATATTCTTTATATTTTTC